TACCCTTTCAATTCCATGATCCCCATTTAATCAACATCGCAATCATCATTATCATCAACAGAAAGGTATTTAGGTCAGCCAGCAGTAACGCCGCCGCCAAAATTAATTCAACCTCAGCTTATTTTTTTCTGCTCAAGATTGGACAGATCTCGCCTTTTTACGACTTCTTTAATCTATTTTTTGGTATTCGACTATATGAACTGTGATGATCACCCTACGCTTCCTAATACATTCTTGAAGTACTTTTCAAGGCGCTTCCGACGGTGCTAACTGTAATAAGTGTTTTGATTGAAACTATTGAGCAATTCAATAAAACTTGAAATGAGGTTTTTAGCGAAAATAGCCATATTTTGTATATGAAAGCCTCATAACAGTGGTTTCAGAGGTTGCTCTGGATCGAGAGAAACATTTTCATTTGATATATGCCATAGTAAAAGTCTTTATTTTCAAGGCGAAAAATGCGATCCTTTGATTTTCGTAAAAAACCATGAGGGGTACCTCATGCTTTTTGGTTGATTTTTGGCCATATTTTTTAGGTTTTCAAAAAGTTGAGCAAAGGTGTCAGAAAGTTACTACTACTCAAGTGCAATTGTTTGGCGTTATTCCGGTGGCTCAGAAATGTCTACATGTCAAGATATGAAGGCTTGAAACCTGTCCAATTTGGTTATGTTTATGCTTTATAGCTTTTATTTACACGGCATGAACCACATCTTTAGTATCTAAAGTCGTCTTGAAGGGCAGTTCTGCAACCTGTGCAGCTTGTAATTTTAACAGGAGACATATTGATTTTGTAAGACTAATTCATGCGAATTTTGATGCCCTATGTTGCTGGTAAGCTTATTATTAACAATGCAAATGAGAACCCGAATTTGCTGCTTGAACGCTATGGTTGTACACCTTTGCTTGGCTACGGTAAAATCGATCAGGACTAATATTAGCAAATGTTGAATTAGATGCAATATCACTATACTTGACGACGGTGTCACCCTGCGGGCTGTCGCCGTAGACATTCCAAATCATTAACAATAATAAACTCTGCTATATATGTAAATTTTAAACAATCCGTTATTAATAAAGAGGGAAAGAAATCGAATTTACTACTTAGATACTACGATTTTGCATATTCGCTTCGCAACAATCAAGCCCTCGTATAGATCAATACTATGAAAGGCAGGGCTGGATTATATGTGAATACAACACGTAGAAAGACATGGCTTACAGATTTACTGAGTTTATTAAAGATGAATGCATAGAATACCCCCAAAGAGTAGCACGCTTTATTATGTTGCCTTTGTTGCAGAAGCGGGCCCATACTGTTTAATTTTATTAATAGGATGCTATCTATTGCACGGCATGAGATAGTAAAACGATAACATACATGAAAAATTGTCTTTTAATACTATACGATACAATGTTTGCCATAATATTCATTAGATACTGTTTCTCAATCGCTTGATGACCGTGTGGAATATACAAAATAATCCAATCAGACTGTAGATAATAATCTTCATAAACTGCTACTGTAGTGGAATTAGGTTCTCGAAATTTTGTGGTACTATATTCGCTTTTACTATGCCATCGCGTTGTTGAACAGTTCGTAATATATGAATGTTATTTTGAATGTGTACTAGAGCTGATTCGTTTAAAAGTTACTGGCAGATAAATGTAAAATTATCAAAAAGTTTCCGCATAGAATGTTACAAAGTGTTTGTTATTTAATGGTGTTGTGAGTATAAGTAACAGATTTAGATAAATGTATATGTCTCAGCAGTATAAGTGAGAAAAAAAATAACCTGTATTATTTTTGATATTCATATTAACTATAAAAGTTACTAACAAAGTCTGTGTGCACCTGTGTCGTGTGTATAGGTATAGTTTTAGAGTAGACTTAAATAAATGTGTTAAGCACAAAGAATAAAAGGATTATTATTTGTAGCTTATAAAAAATGTTCGATATTATAAAAACAAGAAAAGACTTATTTGAATAAGATCAGACACAAAAACTAATGATTTATTGATGAAGACAAGAGTTATTCTATTTATACTAAGTTCTGAATGCCAAAGTAGCAATTTATCTTGTACAACGCTTATCACATCTGGTGAACCTCAGTATTTAGATAGCTGAGATGCACTTCACTTATCATAGCTTGTCCATGTTGTTGCACAACACAGACATATCTACCCATCAAGAATACCTTAATCTTTATAGACAGTTGTAGCCCTTCTGGCACAACAAAATGTATATAAAAGAATAGAATTGAGATATAAGATGATCTTTATTGTTTTGCAAACTAGGTTGATATTTATACTAAATTAAAAAAGTTACACACAAAGTCTGTGTGTACCTGACACCTGACAATGAAAAAAAAAGGGGGGGTGCTTGCTTCTTTTATACTGACGCCGAAAGCTCACGTCTGGGCCACACTTCTTTATATAAAGACGCTGATGGTCTCACGTCTGACATTTAACCAATAACATTGAGCCCTTTTATATGGTGAGAAAATTTTAATATTGTCAAATTGTGGTTTTCTTTAAATATATCACATTTTCATGGGTAAGAATGTAATGAATTGAAAAGTTTGAAATTGATTTGATCGACTTGACTATTTCCAATAACGGAAAATAATTTAGTTAAAATGTAATGGCAGAAGGTTCTTTAAATTATTCCGGTAATATAAGTATTGCTGGTTGCTGACTAGCAAATTCAGAGTGAATTATTTTGGAGTTGTACTGTATAAACGTGCATTCAATTGCTATCAAGGTAAGCTCTAGGCCATGGTATGGTATAACACCACGGAGGTTTCATATATTGGATACTGGAAAATATGAACACAAAAGCGCCATCGTAGTTAATCAGAGATTAAAGGCTCTTCTTCCCAGAACATAGCGTATCTGATCAAGTGATTTCTTGTTTGCTATTTGGCTATGGATTGCGTGATATGTTGTTTCAAGGCAACACTTGTTGGTATCATTGGCCTTGAGGGGGTTATACCGTGGTCAAACGAAGGTGAATGGCCATGACAATCAAGCATTTAATCCAACTTTTGTTAGCATTAATCTATATAAGGATTTTATCATAGGGAGGCGAAGGTGCAATACCAAAATACTATTCAAGCATCTAGCCCAATACTTGATAACAGCGATTTTAAAGGTGGTTTTACCGTAGCGAAGCCAAAATGTAAAGTTTTAGTGTTTAGATAGCATATTCGCTTTCTCATTTCCATTACCATTAGCAGGCTTACCGACAACATAATAACGCATCAAAATTTACATGAGTTAGTCTCACCGAAATTGTGGAATACATCCACTATGATCTGCATTCCGACAGTTCATCCAGCTACCAGATTTAGATATAAACTATATGTACACCGGATTAGATGTATAGTACGATATCGATTTATGCTATAAGAAGATATGGACTTCAGATACGCTAGTACTATAAGATTCATACTGATGTATCATTTCTAAACCGGATCTCCAAATGCGTAGAAACAAGCAGTTCAAGCACCGATCACATCAGATCATAAACTTTGACATGAAGCAGGATTCAGTTACAATCCATATCATGGCATGTTCAGAATAATAGATCCAATCTATTATCCTATCACCCAAATCAACCCATCTAATACCTTATCCTCACATCAAATCCCTCAATTCGAATAGTATATAAGCCCTCTTATTTCCAATGTAATAAACGATATTCTTTACCTGATTAATAATTTCATACTCTTTTTATAAATAATTTATTTCTGATAAATCAGAATCCATGGCCGTACCATAATGCTCCTAGCTCTGGGTATGGTGTTATATAATTCTCTCGGTTTTGTATGAAAAAAAAAAGTCCTGTCATCTCACACGTAATAGCCAATGTCTTTTCATCTGATTGTAGTATCCATGAATAACTTTTGAAGAGCATGCCGTATGGTAGATTCCCTATTTTGGATGAATGTAGCAGGATAATATTATGGTTATTTCAGTTGATGAACTGATCAGTAATCAGTGTTATTATCAACCTCAATTATGTTTTCGCTCTAGTTATAAATCTGCAGTCTGCAATATGATTTGGTTTGAAATAAATATCAGAAAACTTCTTTCTGGAAAGTAATTTTTCTTGTTTCGTTTTGATGCTGTACAAGGCCGTTTATATGTTGAAAGACTGGAAGAGTTAAAAATATTCCATTGCTGTATTAGATGTAATAATTAGGTCACTCGCTAGTGATGCACATGCAAAGCTATTTTTGGGGCTCTTTGCATAAGTCATAGCAATTATGGCATGCAGCGTTTATGAAACACATATCAAGCCTTACTAGAGCTTCACATTCAAAATCCAAATCAAGCATTGGAAGCTATATAAACAGAAATCGAATTGCTGGTACTTTCGAGGTGGCTGGATGAATTTAATTATTGAGATATATTGGTTCAAGAGTCGAGAATGCAGAGTAAATATACAATTGACCGCTTTGCAGGAACATGACAAAAGGTTGAATCTACATTTAAGTAACGGAAGCAATATCTGACTACTGAGTTGGGGTTGTGGCCCTCCATGTTTTATTTTGACAGACATTAGCATTTAGGCATATCCAGTCTTTGAAAAAAAATAAGTTGACAGAGTTGAGGTACTTCATATTTAATTTAGCTTGAAGCGTGCAACACCTCATGTCTTACTTAAACAGATGGATTAGATGATGCGTTGCTAGAAGCATTTGGGCTCCGAAGACCAATGTCGATCTTTGTGAACTGAATCTCGTATAAGGCAACTAACCTAAAGCGAGGCTTTAGATATGCAAATGGAAGCACTCATCACTTGGTCCTGGATGACAAAGGAAAAGAGACATGTTCTTGATAGAATATCACTCATCATACACACAAACTTTAATGTCACGGAAATCCAAAATGGTGAACCCCCTCCCTCAAATTTAAATTATCATAAATTGAAATCATGGAACTCCTCTTTCAACTTTTCCCTTTTCTTTTTCTTTTTGTTCTTTTTTCAAACAAAAATGGGAAATAATGTATCAACTAAAAAGGGCTTAAAGAAAGACAAAAGAGCCAAAAAGAGCAAGAGCATGCCTTTGCCTCCACGTATTGATCTTGAAAATGAACATTCAACCAATACAGCACATTCAGTCAATTCAATCCTACTAACATCGAAAAACAACAACCACAACAATACCATTGGCAGCCTTAATAACTACAGCAATAATACCACTAATAACAATAATACCTTGGCTCAGTTAAATCCAGATTACCCGCTCCCTAATAATAATGAAGACACTTTACCCAGAGGAACAGACCCATTCCAAGGCAAAGTTGAAAATCCACAGCAGCATAAACTCCTCGCAACTTCTGATTATTGGCCTCCTCAACAGCAAGGACAATCAGAAGGAGCAGCACATCCATTTCAAGGTCAAATAGACGATGCAAATCAACTTACAGTCGGATCCATCAACCAGTTGACAGTAAACTCCATGTCATCAGAATACTCTTCAACTACCAATATCGACGAATACATCCATCGGTTACTGGAAGCAGGGTATGCTAGCAAAGTATCCAAACAACTATGTTTGAAGTCATCTGAAGTGACAGCCATCTGTAGAGCTGCCATGGATATATTCTTAAGTCAACCTGTAATGTGTGTATGCTTTATATATTTAGCAAGTAAAAAATTAACCTTTTTATATCTTAGTCTCTATTAGAACTTTCTCCACCTGTCAAGGTAGTAGGTGATACCCATGGCCAGTTTACCGACTTGATCAGATTATTCGAGATGGGGGGATTTCCACCTAGCTCAAACTATCTGTTCTTGGGCGATTATGTGGATAGAGGCAAGCAAAGTCTTGAAAATATGCTGTTGCTCTTTTGTTACAAGATCAAATACCCGGAGAATTTCTTCCTTTTACGTGGAAACCACGAGTGCGCAAATGTGACAAAAGGTACATGAATCACAATTTTAGTCTACATCATCGTGGCAAAGATCTAATTCTGTGTGTAATCTAGTTTACGGTTTCTATGACGAATGTAAACGTAGACTTAGTCCAAAGATGTGGCGGACATTTGTCGATGTCTTCAATACACTGCCTATTGCTGGTCTAGTAGCTGGCAAGATCTTTTGTGTTCATGGTGGTCTCAGCCCTTCATTGAACAGTATGGATGATATTCGAAATATACAACGACCAACCGATGTGCCTGATTATGGATTACTGAACGATCTGCTATGGAGTGACCCTGCTGACATCGAGACAGACTGGGAGGATAATGAAAGAGGAGTGTCTTATGTGTTTGGGAAAAAGGTTATAAACGAATTCCTGTCTAAATTTGATTTGGATCTGGTGTGTCGAGCACACATGGTAAGCAAAGGAACGTGTGCCATGTTTGATTAAAGCATGCTTACATATCTGTATAGGTGGTGGAGGATGGATACGAGTTTTTCTCAAACAGATCTCTTGTTACTGTGTTTTCAGCACCCAACTACTGTGGAGAGTTTGATAATTTTGGAGCCATCATGAGTGTCAATGAAGAATTACTATGCAGTTTCGAACTTCTTACACCAGCGGATCATCCATTGGCTAAGGAAAGGCTCAAGCAGAGTAAAAATAATAAACGTTGAGTACCGAAATAGTTAGTAAAGAGAGTATTTTTCATGTGCCTTTGTTGTGATGTCTACTGTATACATCATGTGTGCGTTGTACATGTATTTTTGCCAAGTAAAAACTTTAACTATTATTTACATGATATGTGCTTGGAAATCCTTTTAACGGGCTTGCCGACTTAACCAAAATAGACAACTGTTAATTATGATGTCAAGATCAAAATAAAGCGATACCTTTATTCATCTAGATTTGCCTTGTAACTAATACAAAGCTCTGAAACGTAACTTTTCATTCAGGCTACATGTTACACGCAATTATTCATCATACATGATCAAATTTCAATGAGTAATGCTATTTCGCCCATTATTTGTAACATTATCTGATTTAGGAACAGTTGCGAACATATAGATTTCTTTTAAAAGATACAGTATTGAGTGGCTTCAATGTTATGGAAGTGCCAATTATCCTGTTAAGGAAATCTCAACTGTGTCATCTAATTTCGAGTAGAAGTTTAAGCACTTTCTTTGTCACACCTTCTATCTCGACAGCAAAGTAGATGATGCACATTTTCGGGAGCAAATACTGACAGAAAGGATGTGGCCCTAAATGCCATCAATGGTGCCAACTGTATATTTGGTTGTATGTTTATTTAGTTTATATTTAACCAAAATTAAAAAGAAACATATGAGCCATTTGCGCACACAATAATATTCATTTACCCCTGGATGTGCAGTACAAGGCTTGTGTCACTGTTGACAATCATATTTCAAGAGTAATTTGCAAGAGTAGGGACAAGGCAAGTTGGGTCTCGTAAGTCCAAGAAGGATCCTCTCAAAGAAAATGGATAAGCCTATCTTTTGAATTGTCGATAATTTTCCAAACAACTTGGAAAGTGTCTACGATGCAAGCACTGATCATTCTCTGTATAATCTAGAGAGCTTCATCATTGCGAAATATGCTAAATATAGTTTATTCTATTGTGAATCCAATGATTATAAAGGATCAGCTTGAAAATTGTAAAAGATCTCAAATGTTTAATGGCAAATAGAGACTCACAGTATCGGCAATTAGGGCCGCTTTCATTTCAATGTTCAAGCAAAAAGCTGAATATTGAGCATCAATTGTGTTATTTAGTTACGCCTCAAAAAGTAAAATTAATATACAGTCGTATTTGATGCGGATCGACACAAGCTCGTTGCGCACGTATGCTTTAAATCTGCTTTAATCAGTCAATCCAATAGTCTCAGTAGCCTGTCTGTCCTGTAACTGATTCCGTTTCAATCGTGCTGATCATAATCTTGCATACAATCCAATCCAATTGACCACATTTAGTCCTCCAAACCCATGGAGGGAGACTCTATTTGATAGAAATTAATGCTCATTTGCTCTTGGAATCCGTAAGAGAGCCTATCGAGGCTATAAATTACCAAACTCAATGTCCTCTCAAAATTGATCTTAAATCGAGACCTTTATCATCGTTATCATCAAGTGTAAATGACACGAACAGAGAGAATAGCATCCTAACTTGCATTCAAATACACAACGCTCTACTAGCTGCAATATAGAAACACCTCATTCACGCATGTAACAATGAAGCATTAAGCTATATGGCTCACTGCTTTCCAAGCACTCTCCAACACACTTCTTATCCGCATAACTCGACTGTAAAAGCTGCAGCCTTTCTTTATTATAAGCGAAAGTTTGGTTTACTCTCGTTGATGACAGGGCCTTCAGTGTCTCCATCATAACCTGAGGTTGGTGTTGGCACATCCTCCCTTCTAGCAGCATCAGCAGCAGCAGAACTGACAGTAGCAATATTGCTGATGCGAGCGTTGGTTTGGCGAATGACAGGCAGTGGAGTGCGAAAGTCTGTTGCCGTTGTTGCTGTAGATGCAGGAGCATTACTATCTGTGCTACTATTCCCACTGCTCATTCTTCGATGATATTTGCTAGTGAGTTTGTTGCTCGTCTTTGTATAGTTCATGAGAGATTTCTTGGGCTGATGCCTCTCTTGAAATAGCTTTCTCAACTCTTCTTTGCGCTTTTGGTCTTCTTCCTCTACATCGTCGAAATCGTCATCCTCGTCTCCTCCAGATGCCATAGAGGAAGCAGAAGCCTCCATGCCAGACTCGTAATCATCATTAAACGTATTTCGAAGGGGAGAGAATGGTATATAGTTAGCTGTATTTAATGATCTATCCACCATAGTAAGTAGAGTGATATTACAAGCAAACAAAAAGAGGAAATTATTGTATAAAAGAGACATTTCCAACAGCAGCGTCAGCCAATTTGGGTCACTTGGTTCTCACCAGTCACCCTAAAGCTCTCCTTTTAGATGTTGCATGAATGCTGCCGACACTTTATAAAGGCTGCCTGGTTTAGGTCATTTTGTTAAAAGGATGTGTGGCGCAAATAGTTGTTAATCATAAGCATATATCACCTAAACATAGGCTCACAAAAGACTTATCAATATGCCATTCAAGATGCGATCTTTATTGATTTGAAAAACTAGACATTGCATGCCATTAGTGTCTGCTTGGCCACTGTTGCTAATAAAAGACATTCTGCCCAGCCTGCGGAATCGACACTGAAGTCTTCAAGTAAGCAATGGAGCCACTTTTTTCATGGATCTCTATAACAACTGAAATGGAGTCAGATGTGAGCTTATCGACGTGTGTTGGTGAAACAACATGGCTCATCTGTCGTACAGCACCCAAATATATGGAAGCACTCGGTCAGTACTTGTTTGTCAATGGTTTATGCGTTCTGGTCTCAACTTTAAATGACACCATTTGAAAGACGGATTCCATAAGCTACATGTCATTCATTGTAAAAACAGTTCAAGATGAACTTGAACGAGATCTAAACAGGAACGAGAAGCATTGCATTTCTAACGAGCACATGCACACTGAGCCTACGCATTTATGGCATCCTGGAAAGCACTACTACAGAAGGCACTGTTACAAGTTTATCTATCATAAATCAAACTATACATCATACGAAAGCCTGCTGGATTGTGTGATTCAATGACCGTTATCACGCGCCGAGGGGTTGAATCCAATCAAGCGTATTTAGCCCTATTGCATGAATGAGCTCTTTTTTTTTTTCTTTTCCTCTTAATTTCACATCATTGATTTTCTCCAAAATATCAAATCATCATAATAATAGAGATTAATAAATGGATACTGCTAATCACAATGTACTGCAGTTTGTATCAGCTGCTGCCCAAGTTGTAACTATCCTTCTCCCCTTTCTTTCTCTTGCTTGTTACTGATTGTTTTTCTTTTTCTATTTCTGCTAGTTCGAGACACAAGAAGTAGAAGACATGAAAGGTAGATGCACTCACCCAAAGACCGATAGACACATAGAACTGACGGCATCTACATAGGCTCAACTAGCGGTAAATCATCCACTGGTCCTATACAGTGACTCATACTGATACTCTTGTGTAGACTTACGCTGCTCAACCGAAGCCCTTTTAACCAACAGCAGCGCTTGGGATATTCCAGACACACATACAGATCATGATACCGATACCAAAGTTACGTCAGAGAAACCAGACGTGATCCGAGAGCTATTAGCAGAAGCTACAGGCGCAAAGATAGAGGAATCCGTGACAGCATCCTCGAGCGATTCATCCGTAGCAAACGATGCAAGCATAGAGGACAAACTAAAGAGCGTATTCCATCTTCCAGCAAAAGAATCACTAAGAGGAGGTAAGAAAGCAGCTCGTTTATCGGGGTAGCAACTAAGTGCTGGCAACTCTTACAGAATGGCCATGCTACATTGTTCAGTCTGCCATCGTGCCTGGCTTTATGTATCTTACGGACAATCACATTTGCTTCTATGCTTCGCTGCCCAAAAGCCAAGTAAGTATACCTGTATTACATCCATACATCTGACTGATGTTGTTAGCTTGTTTTCCACAAATCTGGCTATTTACAACTGAAAAAAGCCGGCAAGATGAAGAGCACATTTGAACGCTTCTTTTTTGATGTAAATGACGATGTGCTGACTTGGTTTGAGAGTTCCACAGATTCTTATTCACCGTTGGGGAAGATTGATCTAAAATACGCAATTGCTGTGCGTCAATCCACCAAGAGAAAGTACGGATTTCGAGTAGTGACAATGAACAAGACATGGCATTTTCAGGCGGATACAAATGCAGCTGTAATAGAGTGGTAAAAATTTGCTTATCTGAACGAGTGTTTGCAACATTGGACTCATTGCTGTGGTAGGACGAATGCTCTTCAAAAGGCTATATTTAGGGCCAAGAATAATGGCAGTAGTTTAAAGATCACATTACCGTTTGAAAATATACTGGATATCGAGCAAACAGAGGCATTTGAATTCCAAAAGTTCCTCAAGATCAGAGCAGTGGGCATTGACGATAGCTTTGTGATGGACGAGGTGAGCCGATTGTGTAAGCTATGTATATACAGACGTATTGATGAGAATCTAGTATTACTTTGCCTATTTCTCGGATATCGAGACGACATTCAAGCGGCTGAAATTGGCATGGGAGGGTTATTCTCGTGATACAGCAGCAGCATCAGGATCCGACAAGTTACATGCACTCACGTCAGATCATGATTCAACCAACAACTCACCTTCTCTATCAATATCAGACTTGTATGATGCCGATTCGCAGCCTATCATGATTCCAGCAGCATCGTCAGCGGGATTTATACCTGCACCCAAAAGATCCAATTCAGTAGTCGCTAATGCGCTTGCTGTACCCGGTGCATTGAAAGATTTTCTGTACCCATCAGCATCATCTAGCAAATCCACAGCAGCATCTGATAAATTACAGGAATCTTCCAGTTCAGACGACGACGATCAATCCGTGGGCTGGTTACATGGGAAGCGTCGATCTGGCATGAAGCTAGTGTACGGACTTCTGGGAGGCAACACCATGGAGGGTAGTCCATCCACTGCTTTAGCAATAGATGATGAAGACGACGACGAAGAGGGGGAGGAAGATGACGAGGAGGAGCATTATAGATTAGATACGGTCAGTAGCCCACGTGCAGACGAGGCAGAAGTTCTGGATGACCGTACCATGACCAATTTTCAAAAGTATTTCATTTTGCCGGAATCAGAGAAATTATTAACAGGTGAGAGATAGTTTGTGTTGCTGGAGAGTATCTACTAACCAGCGGTGTGTGTAGTCTATCGATGCTCATTGATGAAGACATTACCATGCTACGGAAAATTGTACATTTCCTCCAACTACATTTCGTTCAATGCCAAAGGATTTGCTACCAAGGCCAAGGTAAAAAAAAAAAAAAAAAAAAAAAAAAGATGCGTTGTGATTGAACGCTTTGGCTTATGAGACTCTGTATAGATGATCATCCCTTTCCTGGACGTCATTCGCATACAAAAACTGAGAAGCAGAGGCTACATTTTCCATTCGCTCAGCATCCTTACGCAGACCAAGAAAGAAATTTACCTCGAATTTTCATCCATTACACGAAGAAACAGCTGCTTTGCTAAGCTCTTTTTGCAGCACAAAAGAGCGTTGGAGAGCCAAACGGAGCCAGATAAAGCCGAAAAGTAGGTTGATGCTTGAATAACCACCTGTTACTTGTATGCATCCTTATGACATGTCTATAGGAAAATTAAGGATTGGGAAGTCAGACTGATGGAAGACGAGCAAAAAGACGCTATTGGCCGAGTGGTGCCCAATGATGCTAGTTTGCCAGTGCTATCTCGCCAGCAAACTGAAACGATTGTGTACAAGAAGCCTGAAAAGTCGCTGCATTTTACTTGTATCACGATTGGCACGCGGGGCGATGTTCAACCATATATTGCGCTGTGTAAGGGTTTAATGAAGGAAGGACATTGCTGCAGAATTGCTACGCACGATGAATTTAAAGACTGGATAGAGGAGCACGGCATAGAATTTAGAACTGTAGGTGGTGACCCAGGAGAGCTTATGGTAAATTTGACCGAGATGGAGTAGTGCAATGTGAACTTAAGCTATGTTAATAGAGGATTTGTGTTGAGAACAACTTTTTCAGCGTTAATTTTGTTGTGGAAGGTCTTCGTCTGGTAAGCATACAGATCTCCCCCCCCCCTCCTCCATTCGCACCGTTATTTGGGATATTTACATCAGCCTATCTAGTTTAAAGATTGGATCGATGAATTGCTTACTCTATCATGGAAGGCTGTCCAAGGCACAGAAATCATCATTGAGAGCCCCAGTGCAATGATTGGCGTTCATATGGCAGAAGCATTGCAAGTTCCTTACTTTAGATCATTCCCCATGCCAATGACTCGCACACGATCCTTCCCTCACCCATTTGCCACTCCCAACAACCCTAAAGGCAGACTATACAACGATATGACCTATGTCCTATTTGATCATGCTGTTTGGAGAGCCATTGCTGCACGCACAAATTCATTCAGAAAAACAACACTAGGAATACCATCAACAAGCTACGAGAAGCTGGAAGTATGGAAGATCCCCTATCTGTACTCATTCAGTCCGAGCATTGTGCCCAGCCCACTGGATTGGCTAGATTGGATACATTGCACTGGATATTGGTTCCTGGATAACCCACAAACAGGATGGACGCCTGATCCAGACCTCAAGGCATTCATCGAAGCTCAGGACACCAGGCCTATCGTGTACATTGGATTTGGATCCATCATTGTGTCAGACCCTGTGGGTATCACGCGTGTTATCATTGAATCCGTGTTGTTATCCAATGTCAGGGCAATTGTATCAAAAGGTTGGTCGTCTCGTCACAAGCAAGGTGCGGTCAGTGAAGAAGCAGACATGCTGAGTAGACATCCAGGAACCATCATGAGCGTGCAGTCAGTTCCTCATGATTGGTTGTTTCCCAAGATCCGTGCTGTGGTGCATCATGGTGGTGCTGGTACAACTGCTGCTGGTCTTCGTGCGGGAAGACCTACCATTATCAAGCCGTTCTTTGCAGATCAGTTCTTTTGGGGAGAACGAGTGGAAGAAATGGGAATAGGAAGATGCATCAAGAATCTGACTGTAGATACTCTGTCTGCTGCTTTGAGAGTGGTGTCTACTGATGAAAACATGCTCAAAGTGGCTAACCGTGTTGGTCAAAAAATTCGTGCTGTAAGTAATGTGCATGACTAGACCGAGCATACACTACTGACACTTTTTTTTTTTTTTTTTTTTTCATAGGAAACGGGCGTGGACACAGCCATTCAGTGCATTTATCGTGATATGGAGCTTGCTAAAGCGAGAACATCGTCGTCCATTCTCAAGACGAGTAAGGGGGGTGAGGATATGATGGCATCCAGCTTTGGAGAGGAAGATCAGGATTGGACCATCATTGAGGATGTTGCCTCTGGCTCTATATCGCCAGATTCTTGGAAACCCACAGACACGGAAGAAAAATCATAAATGTATACCAGAGTTTTATTCCGAAAGAATATAGAGACATGGGATAATAAATTACCATACAGCCAATATATTGATAATAGTATTTACAAGGGAAAAAGAGGGGAAAAAAGAAGACGTCTGAACTTATACGGCATGCATCCTTAAGCTAGCCTCTGAGGTGATTGATTCAATAACATCTAAATTGAGCAATTCCTTGACGGTATATTCTAAAGAAGCTTCGTATGTATAGACAATGATTGTATCATTGATATGCATATACTGTTTAGCGAGTGCTGCAATACAGTTTGACACACGAGCAATGTCTTGTCTCTCTTCCTCAGTGATGGGCTAAACAGTGAAATGTCAATCACCCAGTCTAATGATGTCTTTTGCTTGCTATACTTACATCGTTCTCGCTGGAATAAGAGACAGTAGGATCTGATTCATCGCCAGTAATTTCGAATTTCTTGTGAATCCAAATGTATCCATTCAACCCAAGAATGACATCTACGCCACATGGTAAAGAGTGAAATTGTGATTTACAGCGTTGGACAAGCACAGGAGGCACACACAAGAACGATCCGTTTCTCAATTTGCAAAACTTGAATCCACGAGTATGGAGACCCATCGTGCCATCAGCATAAAATGCTTGAACTTCAGCCTGCTCTAGTGTCAATAACCCATTGCCATGACCAATAGAATAAGCAAACACTTACCACCAACACATCACCCTCACAAAAGAATTGCCTCATTTGCAGTTCATCTGCTTCATTCTTACGTCTCTGCACACCTCCAGGAAGACTGACTGAACTCAATAAAAGGTTGGCATCTTGTCTAGCGTTGGTATCTACTTTCCATCTTCTCATTGCGACCTATACATCCCATTGAGTCAGATTTTCGGAGACAATCAAGCAACTGAACACTCACCTCTGTAATACGACCCACTACAATATCACCAATTTCAGCTGTATAACGTGTCTTTAATGGTCTGACTGACAGTAATTTGTTGACTCTTTCCACTGCACCAGCAACAGAAGACAAGACAGTGCCTTCTCCGTCAGTGTAAGTACCATGACCTCTGTTTTATAACGCATTATATGAATATCTGTTGCTGTTGTGGCATATCCGAACACAAAAGAGCGAAGTTTACCTCATGAATTGTTGATCGGTGGTTACTGTTTCACCAGGATTGACGAGATGAACAGTTTCTTCATCGACATCCATGCGGTCATTCTTGACCTTGGTAGTTGGCACTGGTGATAATATTCTCAAATCCATTTGTAGTTGCTATATGAATCAAAGTGGTAGTAGTGGAACAAGGACGAAAAAAATTAGCAGTACGGAAAAGCTCACGCATGTATTCTGGTCAATTACAAGCCACAGTATTGAACCTCCTAAATGTCATCTGCCAATTATGCAGATCATGGATCGATTCACTACAGTATGGTTCTTGATAGTATTATGAACAGCAAAGATGTTTGTATAGCTTTCAAAGCAACTTTATAGTATGTAGACGCTGGCAATACTGCAAATTAAGCAAGATTTGTATTTAGATGTCTTTCCGCTTGCCTAAACATCTTTCATAGTTGCTTGACTAGTGCATGCCGTTTATTCAATCTACCAGTACGAGAGAGATAGCATTTTTATTACAACAATCCGGGGTCATCTAATCATTAAAAGCACAACAAACATGTAGGCAATGTACATGGCAGGAAAAAAATCTTTGTATGAAATGTCTAGGATAGATATCAAATGCAAACGCTTTTTATACTCATTCTATTCAGCTCTGTATGTATCATTATATATGCTGTAAAACATTCAAAAAAAAAGTAGACAAACAAATCATATCCTTTCAAAAATTTAAAGAATTATGTGCCGTACAAGGTGAATACACCCACCGGCAAAGCCGGCAATGGGGAAGGGGTGTGGAGGAAGAACATAATGCATCTAATCCAACACTTGATAGCGTTGATTTATGGGGGGGGGGGTTTACCGTAGCGAAGCAAAAGTGCAAAGCCATGGTAATCAGGCGTCTAATCCAACACTTGGTAACATTGATCTATATGAGGGACTGATCGCAGCGAAGCGAAGGCGCAAAACCATAGTATTCAAGTAGCAAATTCGGTTTTTCATTTCCATTATTATCATGCTTACCAACAACATAACACGTCAAAATTTGCATTAATTAGTCTTACCAAAATCAATGTGCCTCCTATTAGAATTAAAAATTGCCCAAGCTACAGAACTGCCTTTCCAGAAGATTTTAGCTACCAAAGATGTGATTTATGCTGTAGAAATAAACTCTATAAAGCAATACATAACCAAATTTGACGGTCTTCAAGCCTTCATATCTTGACATGTAGACCTTTATGAGCCACCGGAATGACGCCAAACAATTGTACTTGAGTAGTAGTAACTTTCTGACACCTTTGCTCAACTTTGTGGGCGAAAAAAAAACATGGCCAAAAATCGACCAAAAAGCATGAGGTACCCCTCATGGTTTTCATCGAAAATCAAACGATTGCATATTTTACCTTGAAAATGAAGGCTTTTACTATGGTGAATATTAAATCAAAATGTTTCTCTTGATCCAACGCAACCCCCCAAACCATTTTTATGAGGTTTTCATATGCAAGATTTCGACATTTTGGCCAAAAGCCCTATTTCAAATTTTTTATAATTGCTCATTAAGTTCAGTCAAACCATCTGTTTTACTTGGCATCATTGGAAGCGCCTTGAAAAGTACTCCGAGTGTATTAGAAAGCATCTGATGATTATTACAGTTTATATAGTCGAATATCGTAAAATAAATTAAAGAAGTCGAAAAAAGACGAGACCTGTCCAATCTTGAACAGAAAAAAATAAACTGAGTTTCAATTGATTTTGGCGGCAGCGGCACTGCTACTGGCTGACCTAAATGCCTTTCTGTTGATGACAATGATGGTTTCGATGCTGATTAAATGGGGATCATGGAATTGAAAGGGTAATTCATTAGCGCAAATACTTTTTTTTGGGCTGATTTGCCTCATGGAGGTGTCTTTTGTAATGGCAATACCTCAAAAAAGTCGCTGTAGATCTTACACAAGTCCTGTATTTACGCATGGCCAGCTTTATGGTGCCATCTCAAGAGCAGCATCAGCGAATGGACACCTCTGCCTCCTGAACCTAATATATCCTTTCTTTTACTATTAAGTGATTGTTTAAAATCTACTTGATATCTCTGATCTGAATTGACTTCGGCGAGAGCCCGCAGGGTGACACTGACATCAAGCGTAGCAAGATAGATCCGCTAGTTTGATATATACATTATACAGTAGCAATAAGTATTTACTATGGAGACTGTCTTGCCTTGGCATTTTAACATCTCCACTTTCGATATGAGCCCTATGCCCATGAGCGTTCAACAGCATTAAGCAACCAAAATCAATTTAATCTCCGTTACATGTTCTGTCCTGATTTGCTATTTTTGAAACTTTTGGGATATGATTCGACCTATTTTAAAAGGTTCGACTATAAAATTGTGATGATCATCTCACACTTCCTAATGCATTTCTAAAGTACTTTTTAAGGCGCATCAGATGATAATTGTTAAAAGATGTGTTCCGAACAAAGTTATCGAGCAATATCAAAAAGTATGAAATGAGGTTTCCAGCAAAAATGTCGAGATTCTACATATGAAAACCTCATAAAAGCGGTTTGAGGGGTTGCGTTGGATCAAGAGAAACATTTAGATTTAATATCATAACATAATAAATGTTCAGTCCTTTTGCACTTTACAATCCTAATATGGAACCTGAGTTTCAAGGCATCTATCAGACCTGGCTCATATGAGAATAATGATTTTACAATCAATCAATAAAAACCACTATTATTTCTACCCTCTTTCCTCTGCTCAATGCTGTCAATGTTTTATTTGAGCGACGTCTCAGAGCCTCAGAGATTTCATTACTTACTGCAGACATTTTATGCAACCCATGCATTGTCAATGTCCAGACTAACGTTATTAAATATAGAATGCAATAAAATATCATTATGAACGATATAGAAGGCAATAAAATATCATTACAAACGATAGTACTATGACCTGCCACCTACTTTCTATACGCTTCGAGGGCATTTACTACTGTATTGCCTTATGAAAAGGGCATGAGTTTTCCAGCTGGCCCTACCAGCCAAAATTAATTCAAACCCAGAATCATAGTCTGTTCCAGATTGGACATATTTTGATAATTTTGGACTCGATCGAGCTATTTTTGCAGATTCGACTAAGTGAAGTATGATAATCACCCCATGCTTCCTTAAGCTTTCCTGGAGTACTTTTCAAGGCGCTTCCAATGGTACTAAGTAAAATAGATGTTTTGAATACACTTATTGAATGATTTGTAAAAATATGAAAAGAGATTTATGGCCAAAATGTCGAAATTTTACATATCAAAGTCCCACAAAGATGATTTCAGAGGTTGCTTTGGATCGATAGAAACGTTTTGATTCAAGATATACCATAGTAAAAGTCTCCATTATCAAGATGAAAAATGCGATCGTTTGATTTTCGATGAAAACCATGAGGGATACCTCATGCTTTTTGGTCGATTTTTGACCATGTTTTTTTGGTCCCAAAAAGTCGAGCAAAAGTGTCAGAAAGTAACTGCCAGATGAAAGCAACCATTTGGGGCTATTCTGACGATCTAAAACGGCCTTGAACGCAAGAAAATTCAGCTCAAATGCATTCAAATTTTGCTGTATTAGGGACACTAAGGACTAAAAAGTGGGAATACCAGTATGCTGCTTGCCCGTATATGAAGTAGCTACGTGTATATGGATGTAGAACATCACATAAGAATCAGATCCACAGATAATAGGAAGGGTTACTATGTGTAAGTGGAGGGTCAAAATGAAAGTAGCAGTATTTTGATAAAATACGCAAGAGCAATCAGTAGCACGAGCTGCCGCTGCGCAGGTTGGTTCTCTACCTTTGCTACGCTTCGGTGAGAACCATCCGAAGCATAAACACTCATACGATTAGTGATTACATATCAATCAACAATCAGGGTTCCTCTTCTAACATTTTAGCTATATTAATTTTGGGATATTAGCCAAAGGCCCGCGGCAGCGCGAGCCGTTTGAACGTAGGTTGGTTTCCACCGAAGCGAAGCGTAGGTCAGGAAACCACCCGAAGTGCTGAAAGGCTCGTATACCATAGTAAAAGTCTTCATTTTCAAGGTGAAAAACGCGATCGTTTGATTTTCGAAGAAAACCATGAGGTACCCCTCATGCTTTTTGGTCGATTTTTGGCGATATTTTTTTGGTCCCAAAAAAGTTGAGCAAAGGTGTTATAAAGCAACTGCTAGATGAAAGCAACTGTTTGGTGCTATTCTAAAAGCCCACAAAGGCTTCTAACATGAGAAATTGCAGCTTTAACGTACCCAGTTTTTGCTGCGATATTGATATTTTCAAGTAGTAGCAGCAGTTTTACCGTACGGTCTGCCCGTATCGGAATTGCTCCATGAAAATAAGAACTCATGTTTAGTCGATTCATATAAAAATCAGTTCAAATGACTGATATTGAATTCGAGAGTTAGTGGCGCAACGTTAAACCGAGAGCAGGATTGACATGTACACATTTCATGACACTCCATGAGTCAATGTTTGTGGCAAAGTACATGACCTCTTCAAGACCTGGCTGCACTCCTATTATAGATAAGCTCGAATCAAATATGAAGGTTATGTCTATATTTTCTGGTGGAAATAGCATAAGAAGCAACCCATTTAGTTCATGACGTGGTATTGTTCAATCAATGTAATTGGTTCTAGGTGGGAAATAATTTTTTCTTTATTTTGACATTGATTGATAGCTCTGCTCTCTTTTCCCCTTTTTTTCTTGTTATCATACACTAACATCAATCATCATGACTGGACAAACAGAGTGGCCCGCTAACAAGGTCCGTGCTACCTTTATCAAATATTTTGAAGACAACGGCCATGTTTTTGTGCCTTCCTCTTCTACTATTCCCCACGATGATCCCACTCTCTTGTTTGCCAATGCTGGTATGAACCAAGTAAGTCATTTTTTTTGCCGCAGTTGATCGCCCTGCTTGGCTGTACTCATGCGACAATATAGTACAAGCCCATCTTCTTGGGTACCTTGGATCCCAATTCACCCTTGGCCAATGTCAAGCGTGCCTGTAATTCTCAAAAGTGTATCCGTGCAGGTTAGATTTTGGGTAACAATAGACGTGTGATTGCCAGTTGTTGACATGGATCATTTAGGTGGTAAACACAACGATCTCGACGATGTCGGTAGAGACACTTATCATCATACCTTCTTTGAAATGTTGGGTAATTGGTCTTTTGGTGATTACTTCAAGGTAAAATTGGGATGTGACCTAAAAATTGAAATGAAGGAAAGGCGCTAAATCCATGAAATTAGTTGGAGGCTACCAAGTTTGGTTGGGAATTCTTGACCAAGGTGATTGACCTTCCTGAAGATCGTCTCTATGTTACCTACTTTGGTGGTGACGAAAAGATGGGTCTTCCTGCCGATCTTGAAGCCAAGCAAATGTGGATGGATCTCGGTGTCGAGGAAAAGCGCTTGATTCCCGGCAGTGTCAAGGATAACTTTTGGGGTGAGTTGTAGGTTGCTTTTGATCCGAATTTCGTAGTAATCGTTTTATTTTTTGTATAGAAATGGGTGAGACAGGTCCTTGTGGTCCCTGTTCCGAAATCCATTACGATCGCATTGGTGGTCGTGATGCTGCTCATTTAGTCAACATGGATGATCCCAATGTGCTCGAAATCTGGAACCTTGTTTTCATGCAATTCAACAGAGAAATCGACGGCTCTCTTCGTCCTTTGCCCAACCAGCACATTGATACAGGTCTCGGTCTTGAGCGTCTTGTTTCTATCTTGCAAAACAAGTACTCCAACTACGACACTGATTGTTTCACTCCATTGTTTGACAAGATCAAGGAATTGACTGGCGCTAGAGATTATACCGGTTTGTTGGGTGAGGAGGATAAGGATGGTATCGATACCGCTTACCGTGTCGTTGGTGACCACATTAGAACTTTGACTTTTGCTATTTCTGATGGTGGCGTTCCTAGCAACGAAGGTCGTGGTTACGTGTTGAGACGTATTCTCAGACGTGGTGCCAGATATGTTCGCAAGTACTTCAATGTCCCTATTGGTACTTTCTTCTCTTCTCTCGTCGACACCTTGCTTGAGCAAATGCACGAAGCTTACCCTGAGCTCGCCAAGAAGGCTGCTGATGTCAAGGCTATCCTTGATGAAGAAGAAGTTGCTTTCTCCAAGACCTTGGATCGTGGTGAGAAGCTTTTCGAGCTCTACATGAACAAGACCAAGGAGTCCGGATCTTCCGTCCTATCTGGTGATGATGTCTGGCGTCTTTATGATACCTATGGCTTCCCTGTCGATCTTACCCGTATCATGGCTGAAGAGAATGGCTTAGAAGTCAATGAAGCTCAATTCGAAGCTGCCCAAGAAGCCGCCAAGAACAAGTCTCGTAAGGTCAAGGGTGGTGATAACGGTCAAGGTGTTGTCGCTCTGGATGTGCACGATCTCGGTGCCTTGGACAGCAATGCTGCTGTCCCCAAGACTGATGATAGCTACAAATACTTGTCCGGTAATGTTCAAGGCGACATCAAGGCCATCTTCTTTGAACACAAGTTCTTGGACAATACTGCCGATATCCCTGAAGACCGTAACTTTGGTCTCTTGGTTGACAAGACCAACTTTTATGCTGAATCTGGTGGTCAAGAATACGATACTGGTTCCATCATCACTTTGGATGGCAACACTGAATTCGTTGTTGAAGACTGTCAACTGTATGGTGGTTATGTCCTCCACGTTGGACACTTAAAGTACGGTCAACTCAAGTTGGACGATAAGGTCGAGCTGTCTTATGATGACAACAGACGTTATCCTTTGAGAAACAACCACTCTGCCACTCACATCCTCAACTTTGCTCTCCGTGAAGTCTTGAAGGAAGACATTGATCAAAAGGGCTCTCTTGTCTCCCCTGAAAAGCTCAGATTCGATTTCTCTTTCAAGAACCCCGTCAATGTCAAGCAGTTGGCCGAGGTCGAGAAGATCTGTGATGATTTCATTTCAAAGAACCTCAAGGTGTACTCCAAGGAAGTGCCTTTGGCTGTTGCCAAGGCCATCCATGGTTTGAGAGCTGTCTTTGGTGAGACTTACCCTGATCCCGTTCGCGTTGTCTCTATTGGTTTTGATGTTGACGAAATCACCAACGATGTTTCCAACCCCAAGTGGGGTACTACCAGCATTGAATTCTGTGGTGGTACTCATGTTGCCAAGACCAGCGATATCAAGTATTTCGTCATTCTCGAAGAATCTGGTATTGCCAAGGGTATCCGTCGTATTGTTGCCGTCACTGGTGATGAAGCTGCTGCCGCTCATCGCAATGCTGACGAATTCGTTGGCAAACTCGATAGACTTGAAAAGTTGAGTGGTGCTGAACTCGAGGCTGAATTGAAGGTTGTCAACAAGGAGTTGGACCTCGCCGTCATCTCTGCTGTCTCCAAGGCCCACTTCCGTGAACGTTTCACTCAAATCAAGAAGGCTTTTGACAATGCTGAAAAGGCTCGCAAGGCCGAACAAATCAAGGAAGCCAGTGATGCTGTCAAGAAGTACTTTGAAGCCAACCCTGATGCTCAATACCTCGTCACTGAATTGCCTGTTGGTAACAACTCCAAGGCTTTAGGTGGTGCTATCAACTATGCCAAGGCAAACTTGAAGGATAAGGCTGTCTATGTCTTGAGTGGTGATGAGGCTAGTGGCCGTGTTGCACACAACTGTATTGTGGGTAAGAACCTGATCGAGAAGGGTTTCAAGGCCTCTGACTGGGCTACCGTTGTCTGTGAAAAGGTCGGTGGTAAGAAGGGTGGTAAAGACGATGCTGCTCAAGGTTCTGGTGATAAGATTGAGGCTTTATCTGATGCTTTGAAGGCTGCTGAAGAGTTTGCCAAGTTGAAGATTAGTGCTTAAATATAACATTTATTTTTTTTTTCTTTTCATAAATATTCTCTCATTTTTGTAATAAATTAAAAACACATCATTTTTAGGTTTAGTACCAATTCGCGTATTTTAGCTTTTAATTTAGATGAGATATTAGCAATGCTTATAGATTTAAGGTTTAGATAACTGCTAAATACATAATCTTGTACCTGTTACAAGTGCTCAGCACCTGCAGAGATTATACGAATCGCAATAGAGGATGCAAGGAAGATCAGGCAAGTGGATGTCTGCATTTAAATTGCGGTTACACCCCATATATCAAATGTTAATATAGCATGCTTCTCTACCAAGAGTAGATAGCGGATCAAGCAACCTATAGCACTTGGATTGCCCAGGTGTCGACACAGAATGTGTGTGTATGCTGTTTGAGCTCAGAAAACAGCATACACAGCTATAAATGTGCGGCTAATCTTTTGAATTTGAGCTGAACAGTGCCACTAAATGTTATTTTTTTGTACAGCAAGGCAAGGTTTCTCAAGAGATATACACTAGTCTAGCCAACGGATTTAATTTGGTCAACGTGGTCTACCTTGCTCATATGATCCAATGTCATTTATATATATATATATATATATATATGGAGCACAACAATCCAGATCAAAAAATGGAGCCATTCTTTTTCCTGGATGGTATCGTTTTGCCGAGGCAAGTGGAGTGTCTGAAAAGAGACATGTGTACCTATTTTTAAGGAGATACTAAAAAGAAACATGCAACAGTGATTGGATATGATGGTTTTCACTCAGTTTATTGGGTTGAAATATAAAGGAAATTTTTGGCAAATACAAGAAAAAATCCCTCATTTTCGTTTTCCATCAGTTGCACAGACAGTAAAAGAACCGTGCATTGTTTCTTGTCCCGCAATTGCAAGGAAGGAGTCATAAAACCTATGGGCTGTTATCGTGAGAAAATAATGGGAAAATCAGTTGGATACGGAGAAAAGGCAGAAAAGGTCAAACTATCAAAATGTCTTTTATATGAAAACAGGGTCCATATATGAAGAGAATGTCTGAGACATAAAAAAAAACCAAAGAAATTATATCATCTATGATATACTAAAAGGACAACTCCGTTTATACGAAATGTTGTGATTTTGCCAACATCTAGAACCATTTGACAAGACGACATTTGCTCGCCTGATGCATCATTTTTTCTTTCCAGATCCAAAATCTATGCAGGATTTTTTTAGCTGGTGATTCTTGTCCCTCCATATATGAATAAAATTTCTGGATAAAAAGACACAAACGAAAAAAATTTGTGGACTCCTCTCCGTTTCAATCGAAAAGATCAAGCATTGGTTAGAAGGAATATTTGGTACAACCGAATAGCAAATGGTAATGGACATCGTTCTTCACTTGATGCGAGAACAGCAAGGACTGTTAGATAAGGAGAACATGTACAAGATGGAAAATCCAGGAAGATGTCCCAGTGGCTCGAGATCTAAAAGATCAGATAAACGTTACATTCAAAAAAAGAACAAATGTACATCACAAGGGAAAAGAGTTCAACTATCTACCGGAGAAGAGGCCGAAGATCGGTCAATAGGATGAAAGAACTCGTTGATACCATTGGTTGGATCCGTGGGAAACTTGATTTGAGAGGCGCTTCAGCTTTGATTCCTCTCATCAGTGAGTTTCAAGTACACATGTTCCAAGTTTGAATTGGCAGAAGCCTGACATAAAAAATAATTCAACATGTGAAAGGATTCATCTCTTCTTTCTTCTCTATCTCTCTCTCTCTCTTCATTTCTTTCACTTAATTTCTTCTTTTCCAAAATTGCTGTTTAGAAACCTAGCATTTCTTTTGCTGCTTTCATCACCAAAAAACAAACTATATCATTTACCATTTAAGCCTTGCCTCTCATGGTTTGCGCCACTACCAACACTAACTCAATTAACAGCATGACACATATTATCAACGATCATAGAATGGCACCTAAGCAAAAACCTGTACAACAGGAAATGGAAGCAGCGAATCATGATCGAGATTTTGATATGGCTATGGCAGAAGATGAGGATTCTGAGGAAGATTCCTCTCAAGATGATGGCGAGACTTCCACTCCTTCTTCAATTGCTTCCTCCTCCCATGTTGGCAGCAGCAGCACTAATAGCAACAACAAGCGTCCTGCCACTCAGGCCTTATTCCTCAATTTTACTTCTGACCTGTCGCCTCAAAAGATGAGCAAGAAAAAGTCCAAGCCAAAGAAGCAAACGGCCTATCGAGTAAATGGCGTTAATATCCTGAACAGGTAAAAATTCCTCCTTTTAATCATACATATTGAATCCCAATCATTTTGGCTTGTGAGAAAATGAAAATGCTAACCCGGATTTCTATAGAAACAATTTGGATAGTAAAACGGCCATTGAGAGAATCCAACGACGCAGAGAAAACCACAATCATGTTGAGCGTCGTCGCAGAGACAACATCAACAATACGATCTTTGAATTATCCAGCGTAGTCCCAAATGCCATTCAGCCTGGCCAAAAGCCAAACAAGGGCAACATCTTGAAGCTATCTCTTGATTATATAAGGGTAAGATAACACTGCTTCATCTCAAAGCCATCTCGCATCTAACATGTCATGTTTCTCGGCTCTAAAGGAATTGCAAAACGAAAATGCTGCCTTGAAAGAGCGTCTGAGTCACTTTTCATCATCTCGTACTTCATCTATTTCCCCTCCTCTCGCCGCTGCTACCCTAACTACAGCCCCCATGGAAGCTTCGGTCGATGAAATGAATAATGCAAACTATCATCAGTCTCCATCCGCACCCACTTCACCTCGCTACATGTGTAGTAACACAACATTTACCCAGCAGAGTGCATCAGTGCCCTCCTCTCCACTTCAGCATTTGAAAGAAGAAGGTGTGATGCATAAACCTGTTCCTAATAATTTACCACCCCCTCTTTCCTTACCTCCACCTCAACAACAACCTCATCAACAACAGTTGCAATCTGTCTTTTCATCCATGTCTGTATCTTCAAATCCTTCATCTGCTGCTTCAACACCAACATTAAGTAGTAGCAACAACTATCCCTACTCTTCCTATCCTTCCTCAGTCTATATTCCTCAACCACCTCAATTATTTAACAATAGCAGCAATCACGTTGTGGCCTACAATAACAACAACAGTAATAATATCAATCATCATCAACACATTCAGCAACAACAACAACAACAACAACAACAACAACAACATATGGATCCTACCTTGAAAGCGCATCCTCAGCAAAACCTTCGCCCTCTTTTGCCTGCTACGAAATCTCCTCATCCTCCAGCGATCCAAAACCATCAGACTGCATTTTTACCTGCTCTTCGCATGAGTGGCTATGAGAAAATCTACGGCAATGTCTGTCGTTATTAAATTCTTTAAAGACCTCTTATATCTTGTAAATACCAAACTCCTTTTCTCTCTTCCTGCCTAGCCATAGCTTTCGTCTGCCAATGTCCATATGAAATGATTCTTTTACAATTGCATTACACATAGAAACAATAAAGAAAACATATATCAATGAAAGCAGGTATAAGTTTGTTCATGTCGAGACCTGCTACAGAGCTAATTGACATTGCGTATCCTGTACATTTTCCTGTGTGAGGGTCCCTACCGCTTCAAATAAATGCCGTCCGGTGTTCCAGCTCTATGCGATGCTTTTGTATAGTCTGAAGCATCATTTGAAACTCCAAATGCCCAGCTCAACTAATACAAACACAAAGAACAAGGTGCTCCAACTCCAGTACGACATGAATCTGAACAACAGCAGAGAAGAAAAAGGAAACGCTCGGACCCCAATAAAGACACATGTTACCAAACTCGATCAGAGATCAACAAAATCTAACGAAACACTTATTAAAATTCGTTGCTGTCCTGTGTGTGTGTGTGTGTGTATGTGTGTGTGTGTGTGTACCTGACCTGAATGCGAGAATATTGCTTAATCTATATAACTCTCACACACACTCTTAAAATCGCTCTTTCTGCTATCTTCTCTCCCTTCCCTTCTCGTTTTCTTTTCCGGATCTCTCAAAACATTGCACTATACAAAGTATATATCATCAATCTTTGTACCGCAAACAAGTTACACTCAGCAGAGTAAAGCACTACAGAATCAATCACGTCGTCCAAATCCTACCAAGCAGACAATTGTATGAACCGTCATTACATTGAATCCCATTAGTTAGTTATACAAACATGAGTGATCTTAACTGGTGTACATTTTGTGATACGGCTATAAGCCCTTTATCCGTAAGAGCAACACATGTTTTCTCTTGCGTGCGCACTAAAATTTAGCTCATACAACTTTCTCTCGTTATAGAAATCACTTTATTGCAGCGATCAATGCCTGAAAGCGGATGCACTTTGCAACCACTCTTTACTTGGCTATACATACCCAGAATGCACCCGTTTCCTTGCTCGCCACCGCCACCATCGTTTCTCTGCTAATGTTACCCGCCCCAATTATTGTCATTTGCCACCTCGTATGGTGCCTACTCCACGACACATTCCCATTCCTTTACCCAAGCACTGAATATAGTATGTCGCACAAATTGATGTATAAATCTTTTGTGCATAAATATATACAATATGCAAATAAAGAATAAAAGAACCCCTTCTGCCACTAACTAAAAAACCTCAAATAATAATAAATCAAGTTGGTGGTCTATGAAAAAAAGAAAAGAGAGACCTCCTATGTGCTAATTGTCTCCTCGATTGTATATATATATATATATATATTCATCTTCCCCTTCTCGCTCTCCAACTGCCTTACTCCTCCTCGCTCATTCTAATTTGCAATGTTTTGATCTGTGATATGACTATAAAATCGCTTTACCCCTTGCCTCAATTCAAAATTACACATACAAACACACACACACACACAAAATCCCTTTTTATGCTAACAACCATCAGCTATTGTTGCTGGTCTGCCCATCATTGTGGTTCCTGTTGTTGTTCAGTAGACATATGTTGAAATAATCTCGTCTCCTTTTTATGTGTTCATGTACATTAAATCAGACTTTTTCTCTTTCTTTCCTCCAACATTGCCTTTCTTTCTTTCTTTCTTTCTTTCTCTGCACAAAGATCGCACGCAAAACATGGAAAATGCACCCACTCCACAGCAGCTAAAACAGTTACAATACCATAAAAACGACACGGATTCAATCGATGATAATGTGATACAAGATTTCAAGTCATTTCATTGTCATGACACTTACAACAACTATACGTTCCAAGTGGCTCGAAGACAGGGCACCACATTTATCAACCCCTCCGCCAGAAACGACTCTCTCGTCGAGCTCAAGGTTGGCGTGCTGCTGCCATTCCATCAAAACAACAATGGCTGGACAAGAGTCATGACGGTGAGGTAAATTACTATGTAGCAGATCAGAGAAAGAGAGGGTCATGTTATAAACTTGCTACTTGTCGATAGTGGTATCTCTGCGATTCGGTTAGCCGTCGCTGAAATCAACGCACAAAACCTGATACCCGGTGCTTATATCACACTTGTGGAGAAAGATTCATACCCAAAAGCAGTTGAAGGACAAGCAGCCATCACGCAAGCTGTGTTTTCTGCTATATCACTGATTCAAGAAGGCGTCATTGGAGTCATTGGTGATATATCGTCTTCATGGACATCTCTGTCAGCGCTCATGACCAGTACATTGCAAATACCGCAATGCTCATATTCTGCTATTGCAAGTAAGAAACAAGTTTGACCAACTCTACTTTACTCAGCAATACTAACAGACGGACACCTTTTCATAGCATCCCTGTCAGATAAATCGCAATTTGGCTACTTCTTCAGAACTGCTCCTACCAACCTGCTTTACTCGGATGCTGCAATCACATTCATCATCAGTCAAGGGTGGCCTCAACTCGGTGTGCTGTATTCAAATGACGATTTTGGCCAGCAATGTGAGTGACATGACACATACATACAGATCCGACACAATTAACCATAGCATATAGTATCTGAGAACGTCGTTATGAAGGCTCGCATTCATGGCATACATGTCAAATCTTATCAATCGTTTTACGAAGATGGACCCAAGAGCGATATCAAGAAATCACTAGACACCTTTGCTGCTACGGGAGTGCGAGTGATATTCGTTGCAGCAGAGGGAACAGCACAGCTGGCAGCATTGACTGTTGCGGCACACAGTGGTTACATCAACGACAATACAGTGTGGATCACCATCGATGCTGACACCAACACACTATTTGCAGCCGTCAACGATTATAACTCTATTTTGGCTAGAAGAGAGAACAATACTGATATTGTGCCGTCTATCTATCAAACCGCATTCGTGAACGAGCTATCAGCAAACTCGACCAAAGCCAATCGAGCATTGAAAAAACAATCTCTGATCGACCTGATTGATCCAGTGGAATACGCTGCTCGAACAACGGATAATCTCAAACCTATTGATTTCAATGCGACATTTTCAGGTGGTGTATTTACATTTGATATCCTCAAAGAACTGCCAGGATATCCTCCTTTTGATACTTTTTTGGATAAATGGTCTCATTTAGACCCTGCCATGTAATGTACTATTTTTTTTTCTTCGCATGTTGCTGGTCATGGTCTCACTAACAGGCGCCTTAAACAGCTATCCTTACGGAGGACAAAACAATATCAGCAGCAATGAAGGTTTAGCTTATTCGTGCATGATGGTCATGGCGAGCGGATTCAATCAGACTATTTACAACACATCTCTGCATTCTTCCAACAAGACCGACATATTGCAGAAGCTAGCCACAGGTCAATTGGGCCAATACTTGACACCATCCACCTTCAACACATCATTTGTGGGTCCAGAGGGGCCAGTTGTATTTGACCAAAACGGAGACATCTCTTCTGGGAACTTTAAGCTGTATAATATTCAAAATGGCTCACAAATTGAAATTGGCAGAGTCATCGCTGGGCAAATGAACTTGACATCCCTGCCTGTGTATCACGATGGCACGACAAAGGTACTTGTATTTTGCTCAAGCGCGTGATATGCCCTGATTTTGCTTACAATAAATATGCTTAGTGTAGGCACCTACAGGTGTTCCTGACAGATTGTATCTGAATCCCGGTTACAACTCTCCTGTAACAATTACCTTGCTTGTGATAGCTTCTTTAGGAGCGTTTATTGCATTACTAAGTATGGTAGTTGTGCTTGTATATAGGAAACAAGAAGTTTTTAAAGCCTCCAGGTAAAAGTGATTGACCGGCTGTATGTGGTAGTAGATCATCTAACTAGGCGTATAGTCCTTTGTTTTGCGTCCTCGAGTTGATTGGGTTTCTGTTGGCTTATATTTCACTCTTCTTTTTTGTTGGCTATCGAACACCACTCAATTGTACTTTGATTCCAATCACGTTTCATTTGGGCTACTCGCTCATATTAGGGTATATCATGCTTCTACCAAGATATCGAGGATGGCTACTCACTGTTTACTTAGGAACCTGATCGCTAAAAACTACCGCATATACCGCATCTTCAACAACATCTTTATCACTCGAACAGTGGTGACAGACGTTCAGCTGCTCAAGGTGTCTGGCTCCATCTTTGCTACTACATGTGTAAGTGTCGTTTTGCAGACATGTCCTACTCCCATTAAATAAGATTCTTATTAGATTATCCTGATTGCCTGGTTTGCGTCTGGCAAAGTCTCCACAGTCAATGTGCCTGTGTCCAAGAGTGCATACTACACCGATTGTGCATTTGAAGGAGGCCCTGGACATACTGTGTTTGTATCTCTGCTGACGTTATTTGGCTCATTTCAGCTCATATTTGCGACCTTTTTGGCCTTCAAAACAAGTTCTGTGGGGCGAAACTATTCGAAATACAGCGAATACAAGCAAATTGGCCTGTCCGTTTACAACATATTCTTTTCAGTGCTGATTGGATTCATCATCTTCTTTGTGCCCACAACAGACTACTACACTCGACACTATCTGACAGCGACGATGATTGTGTGGGCAACCACGTTCTCTCTGCTGACACTGTTCGTGCCCAAACTGCACGCCTTCTTCTTTCCCGACAAGGATGATACCTCTAGCCGTATCGGCAAAACGTCAGAGCTAAGCGGAAGACAGCGTAACAGAAACAACGCCATTGGCATTGTCGACGACAAGTCGGCATCAAGCGATACACCTTCAGCAAGGTTTGAGTTTGACTCGTATCAGGACGCTGATCTCGTGAGCCTAAATTACATGGTCAACAACTCGTTGCATCCGCTCAATGATTCCAAGGTGAAATTGAACAACATATCCAGAAAAGGGCGAATGCACGGTATCATGATGGAGGTGCACGAGGTATTTTGTATATACTACTCCTTTGCTGACTACTTGTCTCCTAACTCCAAGCACTGTGTAGACCGAGGTTCCTGTCCAACAGGTGTTCAAGTACTTTCCATATCTGGCAGCATGGGAGATGATGTCTGTTGTGCTAATGCCTGGTATATCTTACTTTAGTTTCTTCTCGGTATGTGTGTGTGTGCCAACAAGGGCTAATTTCGCCACAGTAGCGTGCTAACACCTTCTTTCTAGGAAAAATCAAGCAAAGGAAAGGTGTTTGCTTACTCTGGCTCATCCATTGAGCGCTCCAGACCTAATGAGTACATTTTGAAAATCCACGGTATCGGCATGTCCAATGTACTGATGCAGGTAGAATCAGAAAAAGAACTGGTCAAGTGGAATGATTGGTTTAATACTCGTGTTCAATCCTCTCCTCCTACCATCCACTCGTCGATATCAAGAACTCCAAGTAAACATGAGGGAGATAACTATTTAGACGCATCGCTGCAATCTGCTACATTGGAGCGACTAAAGGATGGTGAGGGAAGCACAAAGAAATCAGCAAAGCGGTTGACTAGACAATCTCGTTTGGATTCAGGCATCACAACACATCATCTGCTGGCTGGCGAGGAAGAGGATGAATATGACCAAGACGAGGATGTAGATCGAAGGGGCAGCGAAATGACAGACGAAACACTAGATAGCTGCTATTTCCAGCCTGTATTGTCCAATGCAGAATATGGCATCAGTCAAATTATAGCTGCTCGGGAAGCACAAGCACACCAACAGCAAGCCATGGCCAATACAGATCAGGAACATCATGCCTCTGAAAGATCTTCGTTTTACTCTTCTTTTGTAGATTACTTCCCTCGTCCGACAATGGCAAACACAGATTCAGAGACTACAGTGGTTGCGTCTGAGAATACTACAAAAGACATGTAGCTCAATGTTACCGGTTCATTATTCAAAAAGCAGTTTTATATAAATAAAAACTGTATACATCAATCATTGGAAGTATCAACCAAGATATAAACGGTGAAAAAAAGTTATATTATTGTACATGTGTAGTTATTATATACGTATGAGCGGCATGCATATATAGTTAATCTATAAATATGGAAATACAGAGAGGATAGGAGCTAGAGTTGTAGAGGAATAAACAGGTAAAGAAGAAGAAGAAAAAAAAAAGAGAGATGACTTAGTCTCTGTACTTGTTCATGAAAGACTTGTGGAAGTCTTCAAGACTACCGCAGAACTTGTCAAAGAGGTTCTCCTCGGGGAGGAAAGTGGAACGGAAATGGAAGGTTCCTGGCTCTTGACCGAAACCAGAGCCTGGGATAACACAGACACCAGTGGCCTCCAACATGCCCATAGCATAGAAGCTATCAGGGGTCATACCTTCCTTCTTGGCAGCTTCAATGGCCTTGCTGGGCAAAGTAATTCGAGGGAACAAGTACATGGCACCTTCAGCATCATTACAGGTGACACCTTCCAAACTGTTGAAGCATTGTGCAAGCTTGGTTGCTCTGCGACCAAGAGATTGGAAGATAGCATCCACTTCAGCCTTGTATTGAGGATAAGATTCATCGCCTTCAACAGGAGGGTTGGTCATGAGATCCACCATGATTTGACCGTGCACATTGGGACACAATGAGATGGAAGAAATCTTGTAGAGTTGCTCCATGATGGCAGGATCAATGTTAACACACTCGAAATAGCCACCACGACGACCACATTCACCAATCATACCCTTGGATGTGGAATGGAAGGAGAAGAGTTCTTGCTCTTGATATTCAGGGCCCATTGATTTCAAGACCTTCTTGAAACTGTGGAAGGGACGACGCTCGGGTTGATAAATGTTGGTTTGATAGACTTCGTCAGCCAACAAGACAATACGCTCTTCGTGACAGAATTGGATGATTTCCTTGATGTTTTCCTCGGAAAGACATTGACCAGTGGGGTTACCAGGGTTGATAATAACTAATGCTCTGACCTCGACACCATTCTTGCGAGCCTCATCGACAGATCTTTGAAGCTCTTCACGGCCCAAACCCCAAGCTTGGCTCTCGTTGAGATAGTATGGCACGGGAGCAGCATCCACCAATGAAAGAGTGGCAGAGTAGAGAGGGTATTGAGGGATGGGGATCATGATACCTGATTGCTGATTTTGGGTCAAGAGCTGGATGACTTTTTGGACACCTTCAGAGGCACCTTGGGTCAAGAAAATGTCGTCAGGATTAGCAGCGTAGCCATCACGACGTTCAATGAATTTGGCGACATTTTCGCGGATATGAGTGATACCCTTCGAGTGAGAATAGGCACCTACACTGCCAATGTTCTTCAAAAGGACTTGAGCGCGAGAAATGGCATCAGCGGGGTACAATTTAGACACTAATGCTCTGTTCTCTGTCTTTAATAATTCTGGGTTTTCACAGAGTGATGCGACCTATTCCATGTTTCAAATGTTAGCCAACGCTTGTTTTCACTTGCAGATCTCCCCTTGCTTTGCACCATTTACCTGTCTGAAGAATGTAATGGGTTTTTGGTTCAATTGTTGAGGGTTACCAATGTTACAGAAAACCACCCGGTCAAAGTTCAACTTTGAGGGATCCTTTTTCAATTGCTAAACAATCGTGATGTGAAACAATAAGCATCCAAATGCCACCCCTTTATTTCATCTTTTCTGTTCCTTTCAATCTTACCTGAGATAATGCTTCAGCGCGAATAGGCAAAGCACCACGAACAGCATATTCAACGCTCTTGACCAAAGGGTGCATGGTTTCAGTAGTCAATACCTTGCCTACGTGAGCGAGAGATCCATCAGCGTCATCGTATCTACCTGATTGTTCACACACAAAATGCTTACCGTGCTTGGTTGAAGCAAATCGAATAGTGCTGCGTTGGTTCAGTTGAATGTAGCTAGTCTTTGTTGTACGGAGAAGGGTTCTGATCATGATTGTGAAAATAAAATTTGGAGAAAAGAGAGAAAAGAGGGAGAGGAAAAGGTTAAAAGGTTAAAAAAGACAGCTTTTATACAAAAAAGTAGCATCAAATGTGTAATCTCACTTCAACTCCGTTTTGCGAATGATCAGGAAAAAAGAGCCATTTTATCGTTAAATCGAATCATGTAACAGCACTGTTTTCTATCTCGACCCAATGCGCCCTTCCCCTATAAAAGGATATAATTAATGGATTCAAAACGTATCCTTGAGTTGTTCAGTGTTTTGATTAAAGCATATGAGTCCTCTTGCTGCTCTATGACACATATCTGAATCGGCTTGTCATTGGGTGCAGAAAAGCTTTCTTGATTTCCGATATTCAATGCATTCAAACCATGGAAATAAACCGTATTTTTCATAGAGCCAAGGCGAAATAGTGCCAATTATAGCTATAATATTACATTTAAGTGTTTCTGGCCAGATAACATAAGGCATATTCATACGTAGTTTTGATCACAAACAAGGTTGTATCGACTGAGTCATAATCTCCAGAATTCCCACAGTTAATAATCCAGCTACTACTGTCTACTAAAGAAACCCAGTTACACATCAAAACAAACAGATAGGCCTTACATGTACCGAGATCATTCTGCAATGTATTTGAGAACCATAGCATAGAAACATCCAATTCTCCAGTGTCAAACAAGGCACGCTTCATATTTTACCCAAGATCGTATATATTACCGGATATAAAGGCGTTAAATATCTTATCTTTTTCTTTATGAGGAACAAACTAAATTCAAGTAGCACATATAATTTTATACCGGCACAACAGGGGGTAAATGTGGGTCCAAGAAGTGTCACACAAATAGACCACCTGTCAAAAATTTAAGAGGGGGATCTTATACAAAAGTGCATGATCTCATGATGTCTATAATGTGTCTTGTGTATATTTCTTGAAAACGTTCATTTGGGATTTATACCACAGACGTTAAATTCCTTACCCCACAATTAGTGCGTTTGTTTTTTTTGTTGCACAAACATTCTTGTCGTCGTTTCATACGATGCAGTTCAATGGTTCGAAAATGCGGAGATCTGATAATGGACCTGCAATGAATTAGACTATAATTGAGTGGTAGTAGCCAGTTCGAATTTCAAAGTCTAGAGGAAAGAGGGCATGTTAACATAGCGAATGTGCTCAATTTTGTTACGATATGATAAACGAAATTTGATGAAGGATCGAGCTCAAATCATGATGAGACTTGATTGCGAATGTATGGAAATGTGCTGCCAATATCAATCCATTGGAACTAATCTATGTAGGATTGCTTATCGCCAGATTGAGCTTCAACCATCTCTTTCCCACTTTTTTCTTGCTTGTGGACTACGGGCTTTCTCTGGTAGTATTGGGCAAATGGCGATTTCATTGAATAAGGTTCAAGTTGTACAAAGATGTAAATGAACTGTTTAGCTTTCTCTCTAATTGCTGCTATCCTAACCAACGCTGCAGTAAATAGGAGCCTTCAGTTAGCAGTATTCAAGGAGCGAGTTTGCAATAAGCCGCTGTCTGTAACTGTATTTGCTGCAGAGAAATTCTCGGGTCGAGTGAGCAATAAAAGACCTCATCATGTACTCAGTATACATTATATAGCAAAATTATAAGTTTCGTGTTTAATCACCACATTAAATGAGATACTACAAGCTCATTTTGCGTTTCGTGTATACCATATGTAGTGTTCAAATCTTTGATTGCAGGCTGGTAGAGCACACTATTAGTAGAGAATTGAAGACTACAATGGAGAGTCTCAGGCTTCTTGGAGTGATAGATTCTGGGTGAAGTTTTGAAGCCTATATCATAAGCTACTGGAAGCCACATAAAGTCTTTGGCTGCTTAACTCTCCAACGTTCTGTTGTATTGAGAAAAGCAATAGGTTGAAGGCTTTCGAATTGAGCCATGATCATTCGTGTGGAGCTGACGCTTACAAAAGATACGGCACAGTCGGTTTATTAGTATGCGCCTTGAACTACAATCTGTTTGATCCATGTCAATTGCACATGTCTGAGTGTAACATCAGGGTGTATTCATCTTGGCATACATCATGATATCTATTATATATCTAGAATATCGCTTACATGTCTCTTACATAGCATGTATTGTACAAGCACGTTAGTACGTAGTGTATCTGTATCTAGTATCAGGAATACAAGCAGATGCCATGCAAATAGGATGTAACTGTAATGAAATAGCCACCCAAACGCAACTTGATTGAAAACCGAAATTCACCAAATAGCACTCATTCAAATTCATGCTATTTGGATCTATTAGTAAAAGCGCTCAAATGTACATCAACAACCATTTAAACATACTAAAGTAAAGATACACGCTTATATCGCACATCGTGTGAATGAATCACTCCTGATCACAGTGTATTCAATCACACCCATGATGGTCGTAATAAGTGATGTTATCTTTATCCAAATAAAACCAAATCAATAACAAGCATATTCAGATATGACAACTATGCCCTGCTGCCATAGTTGCACAATATCCCAGATAAAGGGTTCCATACTTCAATAACAAACATTATACTTTAAACCATCAAGGTTACATTAAATCATGCTATGACAATAGCTCGCCCAAACCTATCAAGACTACTCAAATCGACCCTTATGGCCAGTGCTCTTGCATTGATTACCACTTTAAATCAAACATCAACAACATTTGCCAGATATCGCAATAGCAGAACCTATTGCTCTATATCATCACTAATCCTACAAGCTAGATGCAAATGTATAAATACTCTTCTTTTTTCTTCACTCAATTCCAGGATCTTCAGTTCATTTTATACATAAATAAAATACAGTTGATTTCTATTGTATTTTACTATTGCTTTATTTTTTTTTGTGAAATCTATTCAAACCTGGTTTTACTGCAAAACCATTTAAACACGATTTCACTACAATCTATTGTTGTCGACGTTTGTATTGCGAAGTTTGTAGGTATCATGAATCCCTATTTGCTCAACTTTGACACAAAGTTTTGTTGTTTGCTTTCTCAATTATGCTAACACTCACTCAGCCTTTTTGTTTTCAGTCATTTCTCGTTAAATACGAGTGTTTAACATCGAGGATAGGCTTTTTGGCCTAGTTTCACGGCTAGATATGGCATTTCTATTGTGGACAGCTATCAAAAGTGTCCTGCTAAGCTGATAAGCATCTCATTCAGTCTGAGCAAGTTGTAAGATTTAAGTTTGCATAACATCATTGACGCTCAAGTTATGAAATTACTGTATTCACGCATTTCAAAAAGAAAGATCTGAGCCTCAGCATTTCAATAATACAAGTGTCGATTGCTTAGGTATCGAGTTCTGTACAATGCAAAATATTAGAGATACCAGAAAGAGCATTAATTTATTTACTTCTTCGTCGACAAAACCTATTATGCCTATTTTTAGATCAAATTCTGTCTAAATATAGCCATTTGAAGCACGAATAACTCATGCTACAAAGCGTTGCGAATGCTTGGAATAGCGTCAAACGGCTCTGCTTTGATACGCCTTACTTACAGATGCTTTATCTCAAATTTTTCTAGGTCATCGCAAATCCATGAAAATTCTCCTTTTTTCATATGTACTAGTAAGGGAAAATTCTTAAAAATCAAACGATCGTGTTTTTTACCTCTAAAATGAAGACTTTTCCTATGATACATATAGAATCAAATTGATTGCAAAACCGCAATGCATCACTGGAAACTGTTTCTATGAGGTTTGCATATGCTAAATTTTGACATATTTACAGAAAACCTGATTTCATATTTTTGCACACTGCTCATTATTTTCGGTCTAAAAGTTGAATGTAATTAGCACCATTTGATAGAGCTACTTTAGTACTCTAAAGATGCATTAGAAAGTTGGGCGTTACAATGACAGTTTTCATAGTCAAATTTAGCAAAAACGTTTAAAGGATGTGAGATTATGTCAAATTTGAACATGAAAATACCCACTGCATAATTTCAAATTAAAGCGCAGCAGTTACGGCTGCCACAACAGAAGACTGAGACCAAATATACTGGCCGTGACGTCGTGTAGGACGCCCTCTCATTTTCCCATACCACCGTTTTTTTTCCGTTTTTGCAAAACGCGTTTAGTATCAAACCATGGCGGTTTTGGAAACCGTTTGATTGACAATAACACTCTAGCTTCTGATAACACCGTCTTACGCTGCTAAAAAAACTTGATACTGCTTCTTTCAAGTGGAATGTAGCAGGTATAATTTAATAATAAGCACAGCAAGCCGTGGAATTTACACTAAAAGTATTTATTTGTTAGGATTTAATAATTCTTTTGCCTGTTTGATGTGGGTCCTGCTGCCTTCACTTTTATGTTATCTCTGGTATCTCCTTTAGCCTACCGTCTTTAGTGAATGCTTATTTGGTATGTGTCTGGTAAGTATCTGGTCTCTGCACGGTCAATGTATGATCTTCTCTAATGTTGTTTGTTTTCTCGTTCCTCTATTATAGTAGTACTGTTGGGGCTGATTATTTGGTCTGTGTCTGGTTTGTATTTGGTCTGTATCTGGTCTGTATCTGGTCTGTATCTGGTCTGTATCTGGTCTGTATCTGGTCTGTATCTGGTCTGTATCTGGTCTGTATCTGGTCTGTATCTGGTCTGTATCTGGTCTGCGTACGTTCTGTGTATAGCCTTCTCTAATACTGTTTGTTCGTTTCTCTATTTTAGTGGGGCTGGTGCGGCTGCTGTTGCTGCTGGTAATCTTCTGGTCCTTGATGGTCTACTGTTTTTGATGTATGCTTGTTCTCTGGTCTGTCTCTGGTTATTGCGCATTCTCTGGAGGTCTATTTGTGGCTGTGGTAAGTGGTAAGTAACTTTTTTTCTTCTGGTCTCAATAATATAAAACGTCTCTGGACGTTTTTATTATTATTGCTTCCTTTCTCGTAATAATGCATCCATGATGTTTGCCTCGTTGCGCTTTCTTCTCCTTTTTCTTTTGTTGGTGGTGTTTCCTCTGTGGCTTCACATGAAACAATATTAGTCATTACGTTGTATTGCAAACTTATAATACCACTTTTGCTTTTGCAGTTGTGCGTGTTTGTGCCATGTTCCTTTACATCCGACTATTACTACCTTGCACGTTGCTCATGTATGCAACTTTATTGCAACAACAACGATCTGTTCTGAACATCTTTGATGTTGTGTTTGTTATGCTTTTCTTTGACTCGCTTCGTGTGAGTGTCTCTTTGTTTTGCCTACATACTACTGTACTCTTATAGTAGTATGTTCTTTTCATTCTTTTATTATTTTTGTGTTGTTTCTTTTTTGAAGCATACCTTTTTTACGTTGTGTGGATGTGCCTATCCCTGAAGCTCAACAAGATTTTATCCGAGGCTAGGAGGTAGATAGGCCGCCTCCACTTGGTTATCGCTACTTACTTTAGTGATGATTGGGAGTCTCAATGCCAGAATCTAAAGCTAGGTGGTGTAAGTAAGACATGCTCTAGCATCTGGGGGAAGTTTGATGATAGTAACAGCTATATTGCTATATAGCGGAGCTTAAAATTTTGCCTCACATCAAAACAGGGGGAAACCCTCGCAAATTTTTTTTTGGGTCAGCGGAGTTTTCAAGCAATCTGATTGGCTCAGAGGTTGAAGCACCAAAGGGTTATAACTAGTTGATCTCCTGTTGATCTGTCATTTATAATAATTGTGTTTGTAATAAAAGTGTATATCCAAACAGTTATAATTTAAGTCCTTTATAAAATGTCGGATAAGGTGCAATGATTTGATCTGATATCTATTAAACAGTTTCATGCAAGCAATGTTTTTTAAATTTATTACATGGGGAAAGTCATACGCATGGTGAACACAGAGGAGCTGATCTATAACAGTGAGGAATCACAGCATTTTTTATTTGGGCTCAACTGTCAAGCAATAATCCATCAACTATAACAATGCAGTTTAACAATCTAATATAATAATAAGGATATTTTACATATCACCATTGCGTCTATTCCCATCATATGCTTTTATATACCTTATCTTTTATAATCAATCATTCGCACAATTCATCTTTATGCCATTACTCATGATATATAATCCTTATCTTCACTTGCTTGATCCATCTCAATAAGTATAAATACAGTCAAATCATATATCAATAAAACGGCAGACATCTTTTAATTACAGTTTAAATTTCACTGAATATTCAATTCTGATAAATCAGGAGCAGAACTCAATCAATGAAGATCCCGGGCTCAGTTAACAGTTGAACAAAGAATAGCGTCCAAACATGGTTCTTATTAAATTGGCTTCGTTACACTTTACTTGCTTAATTATTTGACAACCAATGTAGCGACTGAAAATCCGTTTATATGTTTAGCAACCCCCCTCCCCCCCCCAAAGCGTGCAAATAATGGTACTGATAGGAAGTCTTTAGCATCAACAGAAGACGCAATAAAGCTGTCCCCCCTTCTTGGTGAAATGCATAGCATCATAGCTTAAAACCTTTGCCAAACCACAATGAAGCTAGGTATAACCAAGCGGTTTTCACTACAGCGTTTCCCAACATTGCACCCATTGATTTGTTACTCATAATCTCTTGCAATTAATAGGTTCCCATAGAAACATGCTACTTTCAAAGCTCTAGCATTACTATTCTAAAACTCGATATTGAATGACCCAAAAACAGGAACCGAAAATTGGATTGTACATCCAGAGCCTGATGTTTAAATTATTAGGACACATAATAAACATATAATAAAGATTTATTGCTTGGATCAAGCACAGTTTTCTGATTTACTTTCAATGCCACTCACCTCATTACTGCTGCATTAAATAGCGAAATTTTAGTGATTATTTTAAAGATATACTTGTCTTTAGTACAAGCGCTATCCGTGAAACGCTCTGTTTTCGAGTACATGCAAAAACGACAAATGCTAGCCAACCCAGATGTACCCAAGAGAGCTCTGCTGGTTAAAGGCAACAAGAGTAATACGCATGCCTGAATTATGATGGAACGAAAAAGAAAATGACATAAAAATTTAACTTATTATCTTCTAAATGATTTACTAAATGATTTATTTATAAGTGAAAAAAGTACAATATATTGGAAGAGAAAGTTGAAAGACAAGAAAGATAGAAAGAGGAAAAGAGAAACAAAGAGCATCATCCGTGTGGGGGTATCGACAAAGGACATCCATGAAAGTTTAATATATACATACAAAACCCGAGAGATGAATACACACAACGAGGCCCTTAGATTTCAGTCTTTTCATCAGTCATCTCAAGAGGCTCTTGAGTTTGAAGGGCTGCTAAACGAATTTTGCGTTCCTCTTTCTTTCGGCGAGTTTCAAGAATGTATGCCTCTTGATAACCAGGGATCCAGCCAAACAAGAGGCGACCAACGGCTGGCTTTCGTACACGCACAAACCAGATCGGAATGGCCAAAAGACCAATAATGATACAAATAATGTATTGATACACACCAGCAGAACCGGCATCGATCAAAGGAGCAACGACAAGATAAATATCAATGATGACAAAGAAAATAGCAAGAGGAAGCCAGATCTTGAAGGGTCTAGGTAAATCCTTGGTCTTCTTTTTGAAACGCATCAAGATTAAACCAAAGACGGTAAAACCATAAAAGAGCCAGCCAGTGAAACTGTACATCTTTGCAAGATAGGTGAAATCACCAGGAATACACCAAATAGTAGCGATAACACCAACAAGAATAAGAGCGCGGATGGGAGTTTCACGCTTCTCATTCAACTTGCCAAAGAAAGGAGGCATAAACACAGCATCTTCGTTGGCTGCGGTCATTACAAGACGAGAGGCAGCCCACACATTACCATTGACAGCACCAAACGTAGACAAGACTACCATAAGAGCAAAGAAATAAGCACCACCCTTACCCATGGCAACCATACCGAGTTGCATAGCGACAGTGGATGAAGTAGCGACAGTGGCTACGGGCAACGTTGCAAAGTAAGCAATGTTACCCAAGACATACACCATGGTGACAAGGATACAGGAAATAGTAATAGCAAGGGGCAGAGTACGCTGGGGGTTTTTGACTTCAGCGATACCATAGTTCAAGTTGTTCCAACCATTATAAGAAAAGAGAGCCATGTACATGGCAGTACCGTAATCAAGAGCATTTGTGGAGCTACCGGCAAAAGCGTCCTGGAAATTTTCTGTATGACCCTTGCCAAGCCATACCCAACCAATAATGATAATCATTGTCAAAGCAAGCAACTTGGCAGCGGTAAAGACATTGGCAACCATAGCACCTGCCTTTCTGGCAAATGCATTAAAGAACACAACAACCCAGATACAAGCAATGGAAACAAGCTTAATGGCATAATCTGGCATGACGACATTTTCGCCATTGGGATCCTCGGAATTAAAGTAGGCCATTTCCATAATGTATTGAGCAAACACAGTAGCGATGGAAGCAGTACCGATGGGGTTGGTGAGCAAAAGATTAGCCCAACTAAAGGTCAAACCCAGGCAAAGACCGTAGGATGCTTTCAGGTATTGGTATTCACCGCCTGATCTTGTAATCATTGTACCCAATTCAGCATAGCAGAGAGCACCGATCATACTGAGAATACCACCCACAGCCCAAACAACCAAGGAAGAGCCTACAGCACCTACCTTCAATGTAACAGGACCAGGTGAGGCAAAGATACCACTACCAATGATGAGGCCCACAATCTAGGCAAGGATCAATTAGTCTCAGATGTTGTTTCTACACTGTAGACATGCCAGCTTACCATATTACAACTACTGACGAGGCCCATGTGAGGCACTACAATGGGACCATTACTCTCGACAGAAGTGCTATCGTTTGTCATGGCACCTGATTCCACAGATGTGATGGAGTTTCTCTTCTCCATGCGGCCACCGCCTAGTGAGATTGCTGAACTTGAGGATGATTCAGCGGGTCGAAGATCATCGAATCTTGGATCAAGCTGATCTTTCATATTTGTGGAGAGAATAATTTAATAAATGTTTTTTCTTTTCGATTTGATACAACAAAAAGTGGAAAAGAAGGCGAAAATTTTTTTGATTAGCAGCTCTGATTTATACCATCACTGACTGAAACAAATTCTTTTAAAAAAAGAAATTTTCTTTCTTAAATGAAGATAATAGAGCGTCGGCAGCGGCGACGAACAGGGCGGGGCGAATGACATGGAAAACTCACTTTAATACAACCCTAGGATATCGTTTACATGTTGCTGCATTTCGACTGTAAAGGCATTCTCCTATCTCTTTCTGAATAGTATACATGCATGTGAGTCATTTTAGTTGTGTAGGATAAACGTTAAAAATCGAGAGCAAGAAACGGAATGCCAAATGCACATAGCATACAATGGAATCAAAAATAGTTTCCTCATGTTCCTTCTACACTACCATTTGATTGGGATCGGCTTTCTAGTCTGTTGATTGCAAATGTCGATAAGCTTATTTCTATAAACGATGTCGAAAGAGAGATCTTGATTTTGCTAATTTCTATTTTGACATGTTATTTCTCACGGTAAAATGAAATCTTCATTGCAAACATTGGAGCAGGTATGGGTTAAAGTGTTACAACCATCGTGCTGGCGTTCAAATGATAATCTTATCGACCAAAAGCGGGTTTTTTTTGATCTCCTTGTTGCTGGAAGATGAATCATCCTTAGAAACCCAGGAAAATTGGAAAACTCACGCTGATGGATATGGCTTCTCAATTGTTTCTGTCAGTGTGCTTATAAATATGTAGCTTAACATTGCATTAGATGGACATTGCTTATAATATATTTTAGAATTTCGGAATAATAGCATTGTTGGAAAGATGGTGTATGACTCAACGTCTTGCAATGGGTCTATTGCTTCATTTCATTGGGCCTTTCCCTCAAATGTTATGGTCACATTTATCTCCGGAAACCGAGAATCCCGAAAGTTCAAAGGAAAATCCCTCAAACTTTCAATATCTAAAACTTGTATTGATTGCCCAGATACCTGGATGCCAAGATATTGTATAGCATGGCACAATGGCATGTCAATTTTACTTGATTCAATGACTCGAAAAGTATCTTGTATTTGTGCAAGATACATTTCAAGTGCAGCACTGCAGTGATTTAGTAGCAGGCTCCTTTCACGCTGTTGAGACGCGTTACAGGAACCACAAGCTCAATGCCTAAAGAGCGCTTATTGAATGCAAATGATACCAAAGCCTTTCTTTTTTATTTCTTATTTACATCATTTCAACATGGATGAAGATGAAATTGACCGTGTAGAAGCACCACTTGCATCCGCGCCTAGTAATCGTCATAACAGATTGCTTGGTATCAGCAGTAGACGCTCCACCATTTTGGCGATACCCACAAACCAAGAAGAACCACCTACCGAAGATCCCAACTTGACACAGGAAGAAAATCAGCAATTGAAAGCAGAATATGAAGCAGTGAAATCAATGAACCGAGCAATGGAGAGCATTTTGGAGGATTTTGGAGAAGCAAGCAACAAGATACATCAATTCACAGACACTGTGAATAGTACGAATACATTACTGGACGTATGGATGAATATATTAGAGAAAACGCAGGATATCATGTCTGTGCACGAGGATAAGACCTGGAAGCCAAATAGTAGGAAACGCCGTGCAGTGGATGAACTCAATAATGGAGGTGGTAGAGCGTAACATTTCCCTTGTATCTGCTCGATAGCCAAAAAAAAAAAAAAAAGAATATACCACACAACATGCTTTAAATTTGATGTTAATCGCACATTTCTAGTAGTTGTAGATTTTATGGATAGTTAAAGAATAATAATAAAAAGCCAAACTCGTTATTTATCAAGGCTCTATGGCAGAAATAACGTTACAGGCAATATTTTCTCAAAATCATTGCAAGATCTTTCTGCATCAAGGGTTTAGTTACATAATCATTCATGCCTGCATTGAAGCAATTCGTCTGTGCAGTCAATTGGATGTCGGCTATGATTATATAGGGGAAATAAGCATACCGCATAGCTAATCACGCTCAATTGTATCTTACCTGTTAACGCAATGATCGGTAATGCAGGGCTAAACTTCATCTCCTTTTCGTAGGCACGAATTTTCCTTGTTGCTTCTAATCCATCGCAACCGGGCATATGATGATCTATCCAAGCCAACAAAAAGTAGCCAGGTCCTCTTGCCTTCCACGTATCAAAGCACTCGAACCCATTATTGCACTTTTCAACGATAAATCCCAATCGATCCAGCTGTTTCACAATCAACCTTTGCGCTATAAAGTTGTCTTCAGCAACCAGAATCTTTTGACCTTTGAATTGCGCTAGTTCTTCAGGCGAGAATCCCTCATGATCCTGTCTTGAATAAGGAGGTGTTACAAGCACAGGCACAATCTCTTGCACAAGTCCAGTTTCAAGTACTTGGCTGCTGTTGTTGATGTCAGTTACTGCAGTCGCATCTGTCTCTGAGGAGGAGGAGGTAGGTAAGTCTGTGATGGCGAGCAGCGTGTTGTTCTCAGCGGCATCAGTGCCAATTACCACTGACGTTTTAGACAGCACCTTGACAAGTGCATTCAATAGTTTGACTGTACGAATGGGTTTGGAGAGTCGAGTAACCAGAGGATGGAATACATGATGATGGTGCAGGTGGTCGCCACTGATGCTGTTAACAGACGCCTTGGTATTAGCGGAGGGCGACGAAGTAGTCTTATCATCATTGCGAGCTGATACAATACTCTGAACGAAATGGCGACGAATGTTGTCTACCGTTGGCGCAAGTAAAATCAAGATACGCATGTCTTTAAGGGCAGGCGTCTCCTCAATGTGCTTGATCAACGTTAGCAAATCTTCAGGCTTGGGCGAGTCAAGCACAATACCGTCATATGGCGTACCGCTTCTAGCGTTGAATAAAGCAGCATCAATACCCTCTGATACCGAGTCTTTGTGCTCCAAATGTTGCACCCAAGGTATGAACGATTGGATCATGAACTTGACTCGTTCGACGCCGACAATCAACATACGAGGCTGACCGAGTTGTAGCTGTAATTCCTTGATAGAGCAGTTGCGTGCATCATAACTGGCATCCGTCTTGGCGACAGTGTCCCCGTTTTTGACTTGGATAGTAAATGTAAAGGTGGATCCTTTGTTCACCACGGAATCCACATGAATTTCGCCATGCATCAACTTGACGAGTTGTAAACAGATGGATAAGCCAAGGCCCGTGCCACCAAAGTTTCTTTTGCAGTCGTTAGTTTCTCATTGACAAGCGCTCTCCTATGTATATATATTACTATACCTTGTCGTGGAACCATCTACTTGGCTAAATGGCAAGAACAAGCCCTTGATTTCTTCTTCAGACATACCAATGCCAGTGTCTTGAACAGATATTCTTAGCGTCAAGTCATCAGGCTCTTTCTGCGTAGCACTGTCCTTGTCTACAGAGCATCGCACCACGACTTCGCCATGATGTGTAAACTTGATAGCATTGCCAATCAGGTTCATGAGTATTTGGCCGATGCGATTCCCGTCACCAAAGATGATGGACGGCACATCTTGGTCGATAAAGTAGGTTAGTTCAACGTTCTTGTTTGTTGCCAGTGTGATGAGCAGTTCCATTCTATCAGCAATCAGGTCCTCAATGTAGAATAAGCCATGCAACAGCTTCACCTTGTGCGCCTCCAGCTTTGAGAAATCCAATAAATCGTCAATGATGTGCAGCAACATCTCACAGCTCTGCTTAGCAATAGACACAAATTCCCTCTGTTCTGCATCCAGACGAGTTTCGCTCAACAGGGAAATCATACCATAGAAACCAGAGAACGGGGTACGCAGTTCGTGAGACATGTTGGCTAGAAAGTTGGATTTCATTTTGGTAGCTCGCAATGCCTGTTCTCTGCTGGCGCGAGCTTCTTCCAATGCCTTGAGTTGGCTCTCAATCATGAGTGCATTGGCCTTTGTAGCCTTTTGTACCGATTTGAACAGCAAGGCATTTGTGATGGAGATACCAATCTGGTCACACAGCAGCGCCAGTACATTGGCGTGCTTGTGAGTAAAGGCGTTCAAGTTGGCCTGCAGGTACAGCACGCCTACCAGTGTGCTCTTGTGCATAATGGGCATACAGATCACAGCTCCCTTCTTCATGCCGCCATCGCCCGTGTTGAAACGAGGATCGCCTTCCACATTGGAGATGAAAAGATTGGCATGCGTGTGGATTACATAATGCACGATTGAAGTGGATATCTTGTCATCGTCATCACGAAGAGCCAGAGGCGGTTCAAATGTCTGACAAGTGTCGGTCGCTCGCACGGAATAAGCAGCAATACCAAATACCCCTTCTTTGATGATGATGGCACCAGACTCTGCACCCGAATTGCCCATGATGATACCCATCATCTTTTTCAGCAGTTCGTCAAACGAGTTCATCTCATTGGAGATAACTACACGATAGGTTAGTTGAGCCTTCATACTAACATGCGTGCTAAAAGTACTGTACCTTGCGAGCTCTTGATAATAGAGGTCAAATCCACCATGTCCAAGGAGAACAGCGTGTCTTCTCGCACGACATTGACATCTTCTGAAGCCACATTGTTGCTCAGCAAAGACTCGTTGTTTCCACCCGCACCGCCAGCACCGCCTTCTGGCCCACCGGTGCCTACACCCATATGTCGCTGCTGTTGTTGCTGTTGTTGCTGCTGGGAGTCGTCGTTGCCATACAATTCTTTGAGTGAAGAGCCTGGACTCGTTTCGTCACTGCTATTGTTATCCCAAATACTAAAATTCTTGTCCACGACGGTGGTGGTCAATCCAACAATGACATCCTCCGTCTGCACTGCCGCTTCTTCCTTTCCTACTACTGTTCGGCTCTCTAACTCGGCGCTGTACTTGTTCTTGAGATACTGCACTTTACCAAAAGCCCCCCAACGCGCGTAAAATTCAATGGATCTCGACAACGTGGGTATAGCCAACATGGTGAGGCCGCAACGCATGTAGTGTTCAGACGCAAGCTCGAATGTAAGGCCCAAGAACGAGTACCAGTTGCCCTTGAGCGCAAGCTCCATCACTTCGTTGTAGAGATGTAGCGTTTTGTTCAAGTTGTTCATGTCTAGTGTGGATATTTGTGCTTGCTATAGGTAAATGAATGAACACTTGCCATACCAAACTGTCCATTTACACTTACCACCACTTTATGGTACATGCGGTAGTTCACCTCAGAGTGAGTAGCTAGTTCATTAAGCCTCTTTTCGTTCTTGTAAAGCTGCTTTTCATACTTTTCCCTCGTGCTGGGCTCAAGATGAGGGTCTCTCAACGACTCGACAATAGCAATGCAGTGATAGTACATGGCAATACCAACATGGCGATGTCTAGTTAATAAGGAGATTCAGCTGCCTGTTTTTTTTCATAGCTTCTTGGACTTACACTGCTTCATTCACTGAGTTATCAAAAATCTTGAATCCCAAGTCGGATGCAGCCTGTGTAAAGCCAAAATGGAATAGCAGAATCATCTTGAAACTGTAGTGCCAATTGAGAGGATTACCAGAATTGACGCTCTGGCTTTTGAGATCTTCCACAAACGAAGGCTCATCAAAGCTACTGTCAGGGTCATTCATCATCTTCTCGGGGTCCATGGTGATATCTGTCTTCCCTTGGAAAACAAGCACGGACCTCCACAAGGAGATATTGAGGATAAGCACATCCTTGGAACTGCCTTTACTGCATTCCTCCATCGAGTGATTTAAGTGCCAACGCAGTTCGGATAGGTTGCAGCTGGTCCAGTACAATGTAGTGGCAACATGAAATAGAGCCATGGAGGAAAAAAGCTTAAACGGGATCAGACCTTGCGTCTATACTACTCTCCATATAGTACTTACCTGATCGCCGCCAGCAATAGCGTACTTGTAGGCTCGCTGGTACTGATAGATATACTCTCTTACATGCACACCGGTCCACTGAGCCAACATGGCATGATGCACAATAATGGCACGCGCAATTTCAGAATTTCCTGCATACTTTTCACTGATGGCCATACCAAATTTACCCAGTTGAGCCGCCAATGTGAATTCAGACACTCGGGTCGCAGTGCAACCCACCCAAATAAAGCCGCCTCCACTAGCTGATGTGTATCCGTACTTGAGCGAGAGCTCACATAGCTTAAGGGCAAAAAAGTCGACCAAAATGGGGTTCACCCAATACGCACCTGTGCAGGCCTCGTTCAATAGTGTCATGATGGCAATTTGCGTCGTATTCTGACAGGGGCCCGACTTGATCAAAATGTCAAAACCAGGTTTTGTGATGCTGGATTTGACAGCTTGGTAATACCGCAGCACTTCCTCCTCTGTGATATTGGTATCCACGACAATGCCCAGTTCTTCCAGCCCTTGCAAGATGTTGGAGATGCCCTTTCGATACTGAGATTGCTGAAAGTAGATGCGTGCTTGAATGCGCCATGCTTGAGCTCTTTCAAAGGGAAGGTCGTGTGTGTGGTCCATGATTTGCTTGACCATGCTGTCCCTCATGTCATCGTGTATGATGAAGGTTGTTGCAGTAACAAGCTTGTTGTCATTGGCAATGGCGGATTTGACGGTCGTTACTGCTTCCTCTTTGCCAGTCGCTGGCGCTGGTGGATCAACATCTTTCGGAAGAGTATAAGTGGCTCTGTTCATGTCATTGTTGTTTAGAATCTTGAGTTCCAGAATCTTCATGTAGATTGTCAACGTCTCAGAGAAGGACGTATCAGGGCCGTCCTGCCACCGCTTTTCGACATCCTCTTCCAGCAAAGAAAGCGCGCACAGATAGTAAGTCGCTGATATCTGCAAGGCGCCCGACAGCGTGGCTTCATTACCAGCTTTGATGAGCACATCTCGATAGCACTTTCTCTTGTCCATTAGCTTGATGAGGCCAGCACTCTTGACAAAGTGATCTGCTGTAAGAAATACATTATCATCCTCTTCCAACTCCTCTTCCTCCAACATCAGCATCTGTCCAATCTTGAGATGCATGCTCTCTCTCTGCGAAGGGTCTACAATCAGCATCGAAGCCGCTTGATAGTAACGATCGTGGATAAAGTGAAAGTCGTTGCCTGCCTTGTACTGAATAATACCTTCGTTCAAAGCGACCTGCAGACCCAACATGGCTTGATTGGACCTCTTTTCTTCCTCTTCAAAGGTGAGCACAGGCGTTAAAGAGGGATTGTTGCTGCTGCTGCTGCTGGGCAACACAGGCGACGTGGGATTGGTGCGAGGGCGGCTCTTGACGCTGCTTGCCTCATCGGTCGACATGGGGGACCTACTGTTACTGATGCTACTGGAACTTGCTATGCTACTGTTTTCGTCCGATGTGTCACCACCACTGCCTGAACTGGTGGCCATCATGAGCCATTTGATTCTTCGAAAATTAAAGACATGGCCTATTAAGCTTGCCCACATCAAAAAGTACTGTGCGCTGAGGTCCAATGAACGCAAGTGAGAGACGAGGTTTCGAACATCAAATATAGACTGGTTTGCATTGTGATATTGCTGCATCTGTTGCTGCTGTTGAGGTTGAGATCCACCAGGGCTAAACAACAGCACTTCGGTCGCATGATTTGCAGAAGAGAGGGGCTTTTTCGAGGGTGGCAGTGGCTGCTTGATGTCATTATCGAACAGTTTCTTGATGTTGTCCAGCCTAAACTTCCAGCTCTTCGCTGTCCAGTCGAACCAAATGTCGTCTTTTCGCTTCATCGTCTTGAGAAACTGCTTGGCATAAAAGGGGTTACCACGCGTCCATTTGTATATGATATCGACGAGAGGCATGATGGTCTCGATACGCTGTTGTTGTTCCTGCTCCACTTCATGGTACCGCAGTGTTGTGTATGACCTGTGCGAATTGTAGAATGTATCCAGCACGAGTTCTTTGAGCCCTTCTCTGTCCAATGGCACAAGCTGAATGGTTGTCACTGGACTGGCGCACTTGTCTAGGATATCTATTACTTTCTGAGGTGTCTCGTCTCCATCTCTAAACGTTAAGATAACCAGCATTGTAGTTCTAGAGTGGATAAGTGCGCTAATCAACTGAATAGAAGCTTCATCTGCTTCTTGTAAATCATCCAAGCACTAGTAAAATAGACAATCAGGAACCCCGTTTCATGCAATATGATATCATGATGTACTCATTTACCAAAGTCAATAGCTTTCGTCTCGCAATGGTGCGAATGATGTTGAGAAAGACCTTTTATTTAAGATAGTTTGTTGTCAGCCTCACCTAAAGGTACATTGTCATAAAAACTTACCGAGTGAAATCGAGTCTCCGTGTTCAAAATGTTGATCAAGACATCATCGTCAGATAGGCTGATTCTCTCCCTGTAATCATACAAAATTGGTTTCAATTCAGGCACCATATTGACCATCAATCGCACGTTGCTGAACTGGGGGCCAAGATTTTTCTTGAGATCGCTGTAAAATTCTCGAATGACATGCTCTGATTCAGTCAACAGTTGGCGCAGGATAGAGGAGAGACAACGCAGTAATCCATTGTAAGGTCTCTTTTGGTTCTTGTCGAATTTGGCTGATGCAGTGTATCCGCAGTGCCGCGCCTGTACATTTAAGGTGGATACTAGCGTGGATTTACCTATACCACCTGGTCCTTTCAGTACAATGACCTCACAGCTAGTGTGATCAAGTGATGTGGATGAGTTGACTCGCAGTAGATTGTCTGCCTCCGTCAATGCACTCGTTTCTTGCACAACAGTGTCAGGCTTCTCTGTTACTGAAGAGGATACGCTGGCGACAGACATGGAAGTGGTGGTGGTGGAATCGGATGCTGACAAGACACTGAGATCTTCAGGCACGCTCTTGTTGTTGGTCGTCGGTAGATTGTTGGCTTTTCTCTTTTGCTGCTGGTGAAGATTGTAGGTATTTTCGATGATGGAACTAATCAACTCGGATTCTTTGTTTCGGCCGTAGACGCTATCAGACACTTTGAATACAGGGTTGATGTCTCGAAGACCCAAAGGAAAGTAGACCAAGTTCTACATGGAGAGAGCAGGTTAATAGACAAGCACAACGTTTTACCAAAGAAAGGCTTCTCCGTATACCTCTTCTGGATTATCGTTTTCAAGTCGCTTCTGGCATTCGAGCAAATCCTCTCGCAATCCATAGGCACTGTCGTATCTCTCGTCTACCGTCTTTCTGGTCAGTTTATCGATAATTAAGCTGATGATGGGTGGTATATCGTTTCGAATGGTATGTACAAGAGGCACATTTTTGGATAAAATGGCGTGGATGATATCTATGGCTGTGCCGGCAAAAGGGTTTCGATCCGTCAGGATGACAAAGAACATGATGCCCAGAGAATACAAATCCGCTCTGTGGTCCAGCGCATTGGATGTTCTGCCGGTTTGTTCAGGACTGACATAGACAAGCGATGTCTGGAACTCTTTGGGCGAGTAGAATCGACTCGAATTCGGTGCAGTCGGTGTGGATGAAGTAGGCGTGCTGCTGTAATGATTCGTTTTGTGCTTGTAACTGTTGTTAACCTGAAAGTAGTTGGAGGGTTGCTGAGGTGAGAATGGAGGAGGTGGTGGAGGTGTTGGGATGGTCGAGGCGGAGGATGTCGTAGAGGCGGGTGCAGTAGCTGTTGCATTGCTGCTGTTTTCGTTTGACATGAACGACCTCCATCGTGAGCTTGTGAGCAATAGTTCTTCGTACGAGTTTAACCCACCACCGAAATTCCAGACCTTTGTGCTGATGTTGCCCTTTTCATCGGATCTACAATGGAAGGCTGATGGTCGCAATTCGCCATGGATTACACCATTCTCATGTAAGAATTGGAGAGCCGAACAGCATTCAACAGCAAAGGTTAGAAAGACATCCAGTGTTATTTCGTTGCATTTGGGTATTGGCATCACATCTTGACCCCACACATCGTAGTTGTTGGTCATCAGCGTCAATGAGTGTAGCGTAAAGTAGTTGGTCTTTTGATACTGCTCGAAATAGATGTAGTCATTGGGCTGAATGTCGCTGTAGAGTAACGCTGCGAGTCCATCTTGCACCAGCGAAACGTATTCTACAGCATTGGGCACGTATTTGGATCCACCCGGCAATGAGTACAGTCGTTTTGTTACGTAATATTCTCGTTCCAGTCGAACTGAATGAGGCGAGATCTTTGCTAGCACGATCTTGTTGTCTTTAATTCTGGAGACGAATTTCAATAAACTGTATACAGGTACACAAACAACAAGATTATATATATATATATATATATATACATACCTCTTTCCAACACTGACTGCCATCAAACCACCTGCTCCAGCAAGCTCAATGGCCTTTCCAAAAATGTAATTGGGTATTCTAACTTCAAACGTATCATAATTTACATTAAAATTTCCAGGGGGAGGTGCCCTGGGAAGTGGTCGATCTAACAGTGATTTGGAGTTTGGATTGGACGCCTTTTTCGCACTCTTTTCTTTGCTCGACGATGCTGATGGTGATGAGTATTTGTAAAATGAAGCCATTTACCTTGTTTGCGTTTTGCAAGAAAAGAAAAAGGGAAAAGAAAGGAGCAAAATAGGAAAGAGAGAAGGGGCAAAAGCGAAAAGAAGAAAAATCGATGAGCAACAATACAGATCATTTTTTCGTAGAAAAAAGAACTAATCTTGTTTAGGTGCGTTGTACCGATTCGCTACACCATTTTATTTATATTCCCTTCTATGGGATCATCATTGAAGCATAATATCTGCTCCAGTAACAATTGGTCCTCCTTGAGCGGGCATCATGTTTCCCATCATAGGTAACCTTGTATTCATATTTTGGGTCATCATCACACGCAGGTCAATTCGAAGTTTGTGACTATACGAGTGCAAGCTGATAGCCCAGTAAGACTGAAAGTCGCTGTGAGTTGTCCATGTTCTATCCTATGCCAATATGCCAAACTTACATAGACCATGATCATGACAATAGTCATCATGATGGAAAACTTGAGCTCATCTTCCCAGGTTCTGCTGCAATTATAAAAATCGCCCATTTCTGTACTGAAGCCTGTTGTTGTTGGTTCTTGTGTACCATTGCTTTGAACTTGTTGCAAGATCGAATTGAGATTTAATGAGGCTGATCTGATGCACCAACTCACATAGTTGTCTCTGTCTACAATGAACAATATAGTGTTGATAAGCATATCAAGTAGCAGAAACGCGAGTGCGACAAATATGAATAAGGTGGCCCGTTTGATGCCATGATATGATTTCTATCCAAAACTGCTAGTGTGAGTGATACAAGAAGGCGATGAGGAAATGGACCGACAAAGATCCTTACAAAGTAAATTGGAAGTAATGTGCCCAGAGAAATACCAAAAAATACGAGGTTGATTGTTCCAAATATGTAGATAGCCGTTGTATTTATATATGAATAGAAGGCTTATAACAATCTTTAACCTTCTGTTACAGTATAATTCATTCTCATCTGTTACTCACGACTCTTTGCTTGAAACGAAATGATGGCGAAATAGAGTGACAATCCCTGTGTGTGTGTGTGTATCATTTTTAGCCAAACTATTGAACGGTCCACCATGTGTGGTATTATATTTACCATCCAAATGATGCACGATATAGTGGCTCCCATTCGCAAATGTATACATCCACAGTATTTGTGTATATACGGGTTCATGGAGTGCACAATTTGGTTACGAAATACAGGGAAGGGTATCAACATGTTGTGTTATGTTTGTATGTAGGAAGAAAGTAAAGAAAAATGAAAGAAATCTCCCAAATCTCTGTTTTATATACATACATTGCATCCATCAAGTAGTAAAGGGCAATCCAAAACATTGTCCTTAATAAGGCGGTTTGTTGTAAACATCATCATCTGATAGGCAATAGGTAATAGTAGATCCTATTCAAAATTGGTACCACCAAGGGCCAAAGATGGAGATCGCCGCGCTACCAAACATGTTTGGCACGAATGCGCATGATGGGTATTTACTTTAAACACTTTCAAAAAGCCAGTAATCAAATGTCAATATCATCTCTCTTTACATGACAAGAATGGTTTAATCCTTGAGAAACTTCAGCACCTCGTGTAAGATCTTCCAATGTTCATGTTGCACTGAAAATTGTAGAATGAATCACCGTTTTAACAGCGTCAAAATCGATATACATTTCATGAAACTGATGTTGCCTAGCAAATGAATCGAGCCTACTTGTAATCATTATAAATGCTCAATGACAAAGAAGCGTGAATAGCTGATATTTGGCTATTAATGTAATTACTACTTGCATAGATCTAGTATCAATAGGTTTTATTCTGAACCTATCATGTCTTGTATACAAGGTACACGTATTTTGACAAACAACGCTATGCTCTACGTCGAAAACCCAGAGGAGCAATTCCTAAATGGGCGGATGGAATACTTGAATTGCCTCTTGACACTCAAAAATAGCAAAACACAGCGAAAAATGGATACATTTGAGTCGCAATATCTCGTGTTTGGGAGCTGATTTAGACTGCCGGAATAGCACCAAACCATTTCTCTGATCAAGAACTTGCTTTCTGACAACTTTGCTCAACTTTTTTTAGGATCATCAAAAATTGACTCCAAACCATGAGGGATACCTCATGATTTTTATCAAAAATCAAACGATCGCGTTTTTGACCCCAAAAATACAGACTTTTACTATGGTATGTATATAACCAAAATGATGCTATCGATTCAAAGCAGCCCCTGAAACATAGTTTGTGCAACCTTGATATGTAAAATCTCAACTTTTTGGCCAAACACCTGATTTCATATTTTCGGATATTGCTCCAAATTCTTGTTCAAAATACCTCTTGTAATTAACACCATTAGAAGCGCCTCAAAAAGTACCTTAATAATGCATTAGAAAGTATGGGGTGATCATCACAACTTACATAGTCAATTATGCAAAATAAGTCGAAATATGTTCAAAAAATTCAGAAATCATCAAATCAAATCAACGATGTTGAGCGGAGGATTAATTGGGTTGGCGGCGGCTGCTGTAGCATGTATGGCTGTGGGCTTCCTGAGTATGCTGGTTTCAAGCAATGCTTTGTTGGCATATTTTGATATCCTTAGCTGTGGAAGCGGTGAGGCCGGGGTTTGGTGATGTGGTATTCTGGACATCATTTCTCTTTTGCTTTTTAATGTTTACTGAACTATTGTTGTCGTACTCCGGATGCGATTTGAGTTTCGAAACAGTCTTTAAATGCTTCCAGCAATTTGGACATTAGTAACCGTCTTTCTCTCGTCCACCAGTGGTATAGTTTACAAACTTACTTTGGCGTCATGTCACCATCATTTTTGATTTAATCCATTCAATTATCATCAAACAACCTTTTTTTTAAAACATACCATCCAAATATCATTTTATAGTCGATGATTTGCAGCTGGATTGTTGTCAAATTAAACATTTGACTTTTGAACCAGAAATAGCCAGGTGCTTTAGTTCTGAGCAGCTTTATTTCATGCTGTAAGCCCTCTTTTGATACTTGAAATAGGTCTGCTGGTATCAAGAAAAGCAAATCGGTTGATTTTTTTAACCAGACGTATCCCGTAATGAGGCTGACGCTGTAACTGAGCATCGGGTGAAAGTGGGACATTACAAATGCTTTTACCACACACAGGACGATGGATCTAATTTACATTGAAAACCAGCACCAAATGAATATAGAAGAAAACAGAACATGAGCATTTCATTATTCTCTTTCCATTCAACAATGCTATCTCGTTCAGTTCCAATCGTTTTTGATACAACAACACTTTCACTGTTCTCAAAAAGACTACTCAATTCACCTCAATTCAAGCTGAATTATAAACCGAACGTGAAAGATGCGGCAGTGCTTGTGCCTTTATGTGTCGTTGAAGGAAAACCTAGCATCCTATTCACAGTAAGAAACATCAATATGAGAACGCATAGCGGCGAGATAAGGTGAGTTTTGTGTACAGAGTCATTTTGACATGCCAGTCTTAATGTTTTCTGGTTATAGTTTCCCTGGTGGTAAAACAGGTAACTCATCATAAAGGAACACACAAACGCTAGAAATGGCAAGACGCTGACGCTGTGTACTAGATGAAAGCGACCCCTCAACACAGTTTACTGCGTTGCGAGAGACAAAGGAAGAGATTGGCATAGACACTGAATCAATAGATATCTTGGGCTGTTATTCAGCATTGCCCAACAAAACAGGATCGCTCAAAGTGTATCCCTATGTGGGATTTATCAAGGATCAAGTAGACCTCACAAAATTCAACCCTGATGAAGTGTCGAGTGTATTTACATTGCCCATCGACTACCTGATACAGCCAGAAGTGAGACAGCTCAAGCAATTCCGTGAGAGCAAGATGAAGTATACAGAATTCAAGGTGCCAGATCATATAGAAGGCGAAAAGCAAATTTGGGGGTTGACCTCCTTCATCTTAGACGGTATGTGCATGTGTACAACGAACATTGGGCACGGTTTATTCATCATGTTGGTATAGGGGTCTTACGCAAGATTATGCCAGAGCATTATCCCTAATGACACCAACAGCAGCTCAATAAAAAAAAAACAACTATGTTTTCACTTGATATGGCCTGCTTTTGTGTTTGGTAGCGTTATAATCTGCAGATTCACTCCTATGCGTATGGAAAAAGCATTCTTTACAATACTTGTTGTCATCCTCACATCCTAGACACTCAACAGTGGCATCGTCATTGCAAATACCTGTTGTACATCCATGAATGAGACACTCTACATCTACTCTATATGGCATGTAGTACTTACAACACCAATCATCAATTTCGTCATGCAAGTCTGTGCTTGTCAGTGGTTTTGGAATAGACCCTTTGGGCTTACTGCTATCATCATATGCTGTTGTTGAAAAGGAAGGTGCATCCTTCTTTAATGCGTGGTATCGCTTCTCCAGATCCTCGTCCCTCTTTTTTGCAAACTGTTCATATTTAGCATCCAATGCGTTTTCTTGCTGCAGTTTCTTGATCAGCTCATCGCTTTCATCCGTACCGATAAACGGGTCGTTGTCGCCCATAAATGCCTTTTGAAAACCGTCCATTTTCTCTTGCACCATGTCCTTTTTCTCGTCCAACACGCCATAAATGTAATCGTCGATAGCATCCGTCTCTTCGTCGCTGTCTTGGAGCATCTTCTCAATCTGTGAGAACACCATGCATCTTTAGTCCTTGCTGTGTATGGCTCGTTTTATAACAATGCTTCAATCCTTACTTCTCTGTCTATATCATCGCCGTACGCATGGTCAGGTATATGGTAACTCTGTTGATTCACAATAGGCGGCGAGGAGAAGACGCTGGTGAATCTGCTGGCTAGTTCTTCGTCTCTATACGTTTTCGCATAAGAACATCGCTTTGGTCGTTCATTATGCTATACGTACGTCTCTTTCTTAGAGCCATCATCTTTGGACAACAGTTTGTTGACTCTGCTCGTAAAGTCGTCGTTTGATTTCTTGTTGAACGACATGCAAAAGAAGTGCTTTAACTGGTCTTCCAACGTCACAGAGAGCGAAAAATATTTATAGCGAGTTTTTGGTGAGATATCATCTTGTATAGCTCCAACATGAGTGTGGTCGATAAAGTAACCGAGCAATTGGCTCTCATTGAACTGAAGGGTAATATGACATGGTAGCATAAAAACCAGCGCATACTAACAGCATTGTAGACGATGATATTGCAGAGTACATTACTGGCATCATTGAGGATGAGTCCATGGAAGAGGACGAGAAAAGAGAGGTTATATCCGAATTCCTGTCAGAAGCAACTGTAAGTCGTGGTCTCTGTATCTATCCAACAAACACAAAGCTGATCTCGAGCTAGGACAAAGATACCGAGAATTTGATCAACCACCTGCTGAAAGACTGGAAACAAGTTCATGAAAACCAACAAAAGGAAGCAGAAGAGAAAAAGTCCAAACTGATCCAAGATGCCAAAGCGCGCGAGGAAGAGAGACGAATCAAAGCAGAAAAGGAGCAGGAAGAGAATGTGTCACTTCGCACAGCACAAAAGCTGTTGACCAAAGAGCAAAAAGAGGCTCGAGACAAATTAATGCAGCAATATGGATATGTCGCTGATGGCAGTGATGATGAGAGCAAAAAGGAGGAGCCCACAGAGTTGACACCCAGAGATAGACGCCGAGGAAAAACATTGCCTGTTGCAGGTAAACCATTTGACCCGGATCAATGTATTCAGGCACCATTTCTGACACATCTGCCTATTAGATCCATTACTTGCTGCTAATCGCAATGCCGACATTGTCAAGGAAAAGGAACAAGCACGCCGTGAAGAGTTGAAAAAGGCAGCTGATAAAGAGAAGGAGCGTAACCGCATGCTACAGAGCAAGCAAAAGAAGGATAAGGAACAAGATAAAGAAAAGAAAAAGACTCAAAAGGGGGAGAGACGAAGAATGTAGTGTAGTAATAAACTATGTTTTATTAGCGCTTCTTGTACAAACAAGGCTTTAGTAACTGTTGTGCCTTCTTTTGCAATTTTGTCTTGGAGTTGTTGATGCCTGCACCCTTCTTGAGAGACCGAATCTGTGTTTTACTGAGGCCTGCCAACATTTCATTGTCCATTTCCTCCTCGTAGTTGGGCTGCTTTGTAAAGTAGAGCATGACAAACATCTTGTTGTCGTCTTCCTTGTCCATGAAATCGAATCCTAACCCTTCCAGCAGCGAAATGAACGAATCCAAATCACTGAATCGACTAACAACTTCTGCAATTTTCAACTCGCCACCAACTTTAAGGACACGGTGTGCCTCTTTAAGAAAATCCAAGTAGTTTGTGCCCATCAACGATAATGAGAACACAGCGACATCCACAGAATTGGCTTCCAACGGTAACTTGGTGATATCGCATGCTGTAACAAGGTCGTTCTTGGCGATCAGATCAAAGCTCAACACTTTTTGCTTGGTCAAGGACTGCGCGATCATAGCATCGCCACAACCGAGATCAGCAATGACAGTGTCTTTGGGAAGCTTCTTCAGCTGGCTGATAATGACATCGACAGGATTGACAGGCCATGATTCCACTTGGTGACGGAAACCTTCGTGGTATTCGTCAAATAACTCGGGCTTCTCTTGGAAAAGACTGAATGAGTGCTTTCCAGGTGTGGTATACAGTTGTTCATTCAGCCATCGAAAACGAGCGCCTGATAGCTTTTCCTTCATTTTGCGTTGGAGTGGTGTAAGTCCATCATCCATGGGCGAGTTCTTTGCTGAAGTATCTAATTTCTTGGGCTGACTGAGCTCTTCGGTCTGCTGTTTCTAGAGTCCATGTATTACTAAGCATGTTCTCGCTTTCTCTTGTTGAGTACATTGGGCAGCCTACCTTTTCATTCTTTGCTGGTTGTTTGTTCTTTTGATCTGTGCTCTTGTTCTTTTTGTTTAAAAGCTGTGGCACCAAATGTGAGCCGACATGTCAAACCAAGGTGCATGAATGGACTTCTTTACCTGCTGTAACTTTTTCTTTTGATCATTGGCAGGTGCAGTCTTGGCTTTCTTGTTTTGCACGGGTTCCTTCTCTTCAGGCTTTTGCTCTAAAGCTCTCTTCTTGTTTCTGTTACGGGGCTTCTTAGCTTTGGGTTCCTTTGGCGTGGTAGCAGACGCATCATTCAATGTAGCCATTTGAGCTTGAATCTGATCGGCCTCTCTGGAAGCCTTGATCTCCTTTGAATTGTCCTCTACTTGTTGTGTTGCTAATTTTGTCTTTTTGGTGGATTCTTGCTGCTTTTGAGGAGCAATGCTCTTTGGCAATGCCCAGCCTGAAGTTTCAAAGAAAGGTTGCATAGTTGTTGCTAAGCAAAAAGAATTGGACAGAAGAAAGAGATTTTTTATTTTATCTAAAGCAATTTCTAGACTGCTAATTCTCTTCACATGTCCCTTGATCCATCCTCATAGACTGCTTTGACAGTTGGAAAGCGCAATGAGATGGATCCATTCTCCTTTTTGGATTCTGTAAAGTAGCGAACGGTAATTGTCTTGCCAATGATCCTCTCTGGATGTTGAGCGTAATCTATGCGGCTTTGCATGGAGAATCCAGACCCAACACTGACAGGGTATCCTTTGTGCTCAATGTTGACATTGGTGACCACAAGCTTGGTCTCACCTGTGTCTGCCATTCGCATGTATCCAGTTTCTATGTTTTTCACAGTGTATTCAGCATCCTCCCATTCCTTGAGCTTGACCAAGTTTTTCCTGTCATGCTTTTGAGTCAGTTACAATGATGCTTGGTAGGTGTTGGCTACACTCACGTTCGCTTTCCTTCATAGCCGACGTCTTTTCTCAGCATCAATCCCTCCCAGCCTTTCTCTATGGCTTCCTTCTTGAGCCGGTCCAACTGATTCGAATCTGACAGTTTTGTTTGCACTACTCTTTTGAGATGGGGGAGTGGTATTGTGCCTATAAATGACTCCAATGCCTGTTGACGCTCACTAAACAGCTCATCTCCTTTTGCTTGCAGAAAATGATCTAGTTGAATCCGATCAAACACTTGATAGACTGGGTTCTCCATTTCCTCAAACCGTCGCACCTGTCCCATTGCCTTCAAGAAATCTTCGTTCTTCAAATCATCACTGGTGTAAGCGCATATTTCTCCATCTAGCACGAATTCATCGTGGAGGGCTAATTTATGCAGTCGTTTCTGTATGTCGTTCTTTACTTTTTGTAATGATTGAAATGGCCTTCCTGTACGGGAATAAAACTGAATGTCGTGCTGGCAACCGCCCTTGCTCTTTCGTATCATAGCAATGCATCGAATACCGTCTAGTTTCTGAGAGACATACCAACCCTCTGTCACATCAAGATGAGGCACATAGGATGCTGCTAATGCAACACTCATGCTCTCCATGGGCAGCACATGGCGGATGGTCTTGAAAGAAACGCCCATTTTCAAGTTCTTGTCCAGGATGCGCCAAAAGATGTCCTTGTGCTCCTCTGTCAGGCAATGCGTCTGATAAAAGGCTCCCACTGCTTCACAAGCAGCGTTTCCTCTCAGTGTGCGTGCTGCCAAGTCGTCCAACAGTGTGTTCAAATCGTCATATGTGGATACAGCTTCAATGGCATGCGACTTTAGATATTTTAGTGCTGAATTCTTGGAGAGGTGGAAGCGCAAGTGTGGATCGTAGATGCGCTTCAAAGTGGAATGGCATGCTGGCGACTCTTTGACGATGGCGCTCTTCTTCAGTGTACTTTGCACGCCATTCACACTGGCGCATAACTTTGCTAGTTGATCTAATTGAGCTACAGGAGAGGTTTGCTTGTTGGAGCTGTAGAATCGTTTAGGTAATAAATACAAAAGGGTCATGTAAGAACAAAAGGTGGATTTTATTGCACTCTTTCTCATGAAAATATATGTGCAGCAGCAGCGGTAGCATAAGCCACCCAGCCAGCTTTATGCATGCTTGACCATAGTGTAGAAAAAGTAATGGAATGCATCGCCCATTGTCTTTGTATCGATATTCCAGCAGTCTCTTTGAAGATGTCTCTTGCGGAAATGAGGTTGTCCAAATGTAATGTATAAAAATGTGCCTCCCACCTTGAGCACTCTTTCGACCTCATCTACTTCTCCCTTGACATCGTTGATAAGTTCCTCTGAGGGGTCCCACACATCGCCTCGATCGCACATCAAAGCATCCATGGTACCTGGATTTTACATGAGATGGGTTGCTACATTACCACATTCAGCTTTACCTTTGTCAATCACTGCATCAAATGATTCATTGTCAAACTTCAGATCACGAATGTCCATCTCTAGCCCTACATGTGTGCCTATCAATGCCTGTTCATTCTCCAATGATGTCCATATTTACAGCTCATTTCAGGTTTATCAGCACATCTCTCCTTCATGTGCTCAATCACAGTTTTAGAGTAATCGATATTCACGATATTCTGATAGCCATCATTGTACATGTCCTCTCCCAGTGCTGACAAGATGTTAGAAGGTCCTTTGATTGGACTGCATATACCAATCTACTTACTGGAGTTGCCACATCCAAGCATCAGCACCCTGGCTTCTCTGTTGGGAATGGCTTCGTTTAGTAAAGGCTTGAGCTCGGCATATGTTTTGAACCAGTCAAAGGTAGTGTTTGCATCTTCTCTATCGTTGTCATGTTGAGTATGTCATTCTGCAAAATTTCCAAGAATATTACTTTTGATATCTATCTTCCCAGTATTGCTGAGTCTTGTATGCTGTTGGGTCGTCAGGAACAACGTCTAAAGATGTAGAGGCAACCATTGATTTGGTAAATGGAGATATGACAGGAAGCGAAAAGGGTCGAAAAATCTTTTTTCATACAGCCTGAAAAAAAAACGGAGTGTGATTTTCATGATGGATGGCATTTGGCATTTGACATCTTTGCAATGCAATTGAGGCATCGTGCTGTGAAAATGTCAGCATGAAAGGCATTTGACCTAAACCCGCTCGACCTGTATTCAATTCAATGTGATTGCGAGATAAAATGTAGCTGTTTCCAGGCACTTTCTTTTGTGTAAATGCCTCTTTCATGCGAGCAGCTCGATCCAGGTCCATGAATACAAGCAAAGAGCAGTCGATATGTGACCTTGCATTCACTCAAATCAAAAGGATTGAATTTTTTTCATCGAGATGAACAATAAACTCTTTGAATCAAAGCCAAATGTCTAAACGAGGAAATCAAAACGGAGGAAACAAGAAGAAGAAGCAAAAGATCTATCATTGTGCCAAGGTACAGTGAACCCAAATGCTCGACTATGAAAGATGGCCAACAAATGTCATCTGTAGGAAAACTCCACCAAAAGCCACCATAATAAATTCAATGTTACTCCTGGCATGGCAGGTGTACTTGTAATGTGTTCTCGAGGCAAAGAAAGCCGTGCAGTGAAAGAAGCTTTAGATGTCTTGGCCAGAGTATGTAACTTACACCCTCTGTAGCATGGAGTATTGACCAGACCACACATAGTACGGCGATACACTATATCCTCCAGAAGAGAATGATGCATCAGAAGACTCCAATGATGAAGATCTCGATTTGGAAGCATCTATTGCCAAGGAAGTAGCCGCACTAAAAAAGCCTGCTTCTAAGAAACGATACAGCAATATCACGACAGCTACTGATTGCGGTAAGCATGAGCGTACAACATTTATTGATCCAGTGCTGATTCTCCATGGCGACAGTTGCATTCATTCGAATCAATCCTCCTGTAAACCCATCCAAAGTGGTTCATCACATGTTGACAGAATTGAAAGAGACTCAAAAGTACATGACCAGATATATCTCCAGATTTCTTCCAGTTGAAAAGACATGCAATGCTCATATCTTAGACATCGAAGCAGCCGCTAAAGCACTATTTGAACCTCATTTCAGCCAGAAAGACGACCAAGGCAATCTCATCTCTAGAAAGGTAACCTACATGAAATCTCGGTAGTATGAGCGCAGTGCACATGCTGACGGTTTGAATTACTAGTTTGCTGTGGCATGCAGAGTGCGTAATTGTACAAAGATTGACCGTATGAGCATCATCAATGCCTTGGCTGCTACGGTTGGACCTGGACATAAAGTGGACCTGCAAGAACCTGAATTAACCATCATTGCTGAAGTGTGTCAGGTAAAGATGGTATTTGATATCCAGGAGACATGCGCTAACAGAAGATGATAGACTGTATGTATGCTATCTGTTGTCGATGATTTCAATGAGCTGAAAAGGTACAATGTGGAGAGCATTCTTGGGGCAAACCAAAAGAACGATGCGCCTGCTGTTCCTGCCGATACTGCTGATACTACTGCTACTACTAGCACCACGAAAGAGGCTGAGAGTGAGGCTGATAAAAATGCTGAAATCAACGAATCATCCTAAACATGACATGAATAAAGTGCAAAAAATTCAGGAGATACAGAAAAGAAGCTTGCTCTAGATTTACACTATGAAAGGAGCCTTTGCATTGGAATTTCATTTCAAGGGGACCAGCTTGTACTGACTCTTGTTCTTTGTTCGTTCTTGCACCATGGAACATAAACAAAGATGCCCTTTTGTAATTCTTGTTACACGAATGATCAAAAGCAGAGAGAGAGAGAGAGAGAGAGCTTTTTTACTCGGTCCGATGAAAGAGGGAACATCAATGCTGATCTTGCCATAAAATGAAAAAAAAAAAAGTACCTTCATTCTCAAGTTCCTTCCTTCCTTCCTTCCTTCCTTCCTTCTCTACACTTTATCTTATATACTATTCATCTAATCTCTTAATCATGGACTACAGCGGATCAGTGACAAATGGCAGGCCAGCTGCTACTTCTGATTCTAATCCTAAATCAACCGAAGCTTCTTCCCTTCCTCCCAGCTCGACATCAACCCCTCCAAAAACCTCAACTACAGTAAATATACCAGTAGTATATATCATACAGGGCAATATTGACGTATTTCACACTATATAGGATCCTGTAACATCTACCACCACTAACCCAACTACGGATCCTTCTGGTACTACTTCCACGACGAATGGTATGACGAATGACACTAGCATCCAAACTTCTACTACTTCATATAAAGAAACCACATCCTCATCATCCTCTAAAACCATAGATCCTCCTCCAACATCAACCACCACACCCCCTCCTTCCATATCAACCACTACTTCACCACCGCCCGTCATTAGTACCACAAAGGAAGTTGCTACATCTACACCTGTTCCCATTGTCACTGTAACAACATCAGGCACTGTTGTTCGCACGTTTACATCCACTTCTTATAGCAGCTATATCACGCATGTTGCAACAGCTATACCTTCTCAGGGTGGAGGTGAACCTGGATCGACCAACGTAGGTGCTATTGCAGGCGGTGTCGTAGGCGGTGTCGCAGCCATTGCTCTGATAGGTATATACATGTAAATCAACATGTTTCATCCATTCTTGACATTGAACATGTTTAATTGAATTTTAGGGTTTATCGTCATTCTACTATCGAGACGTCGTCGCAACAAAAACAAAAAGGAAACATCATACGAATCAGAGACTGGCGGTGCAGGTGGTCCTATCAACCCACATCCATTCGCTAATAACTACAATACATATGGTACACCCACAGTGATCTCTGATAATAATAGTCTACCCAGCAGCAGACCACTCTCGATGAGCACAGCTCCCTCACAGGGCATTAAGCCAAGACCATTTGTTCAAGCCTACAATCCTGCCTACGATGACCAGCATCAGCAGTACGCTGGATACGATGGATCTCAATCTCCTCCTCAAGAGCATTACTACAGCGATTATAACCAGGCATACAATAATAACTACAACACGAATGCATATTCACATGATGCTTATTATGCACATCAGCAAGAACCAATGATACCTATTTCAACATCGACAACTGCTGGTCTCTCTTCAGGTAATCCTCCCCATGGACGCAATGTGCCAGATGAGAATGACTATGATCTGACTCGAAAAGTGTCGAGACATGTTCCTGATGAAATCAACTAGATGAAATCAACTGTTTTCGTTTAACAAATACAATGATAAACTTGATATAAAATGTCTTTATTTGGGTGTATAGCATGTGGCTCTCTCTCTCTCTCTTTTTTTTTGCTGTGTATCATATCAACATTTCTCTTTCTATACGCCACATACTACCAATGATAGGAGATGTTGGTATCTTCTCCTTTCCATTCAGTGCACCACTGATCTCAAGCAATGCTTTTTAGGCTAAAAATAGTTGAGCATCATGTGTGGTTACATTTTGACATGAATGTACTTTTTTTTTTGTCGTACAAGGAGCCTTTTATCAGAACAAAGCTTAGCCAAAAGCCTCTGTTTGTTGCGTCAGTTGCTGCGTTTTTTTTTCGCAAATTTGGTGCAAATACTAGTGCAAGTCTCGCTATACCAAGATTGTAATAAAGTTAAGGTTTCTATTATGTAAATCAACTAAAGATCATCGTTGGCTCTTTATATACAAACAAATGTCTAGTCAATGAATGTCGTAATAGATTTACAGTTACGTACATAAACAAATCAAGCCCTCTATGGGGCATTTGCACTAAAAACGATCATGTCATCTGATTTCTCTATCATTTTTCAAGAGATTTGCATAGCAATAATGTCTGTTGTATAAGGTAATGCTGCCATTATACTAAAATGCAGAGATATTAAACAAGTGGCTCTACTGTGTTGCTCCATATCATTAACATGATTAACATCGTCGTGGATTCCATTGAACTAGTAGTAAAAAAAGCAGGATTCCCTGCTCTCAACACCCAGGCAATGCTGATCAAAATTACAGTTTAGCGTTTCGCATCAGGCTTCACATTTGAATTCGCACTTTGCGATGATTTTATTTGACAGATCTAAAAGCTGTAACAGAAGTAAACCAAAATAGTCATGTAAACTACTATAATGCTTTTTTCTATTCGCAATTTCCTTTTAACAATTAGCTTCAAAAGCATCGTTTGCAACCAAAAGAGAGGCATCATTGATTTCGTCGGGCAAAATTATTTTTTTTATCTCCGTACACCATCTTGTTTTGATTTGTTCGTTTTCAAACTTTTTGGATCCTATTCGACTTATTTTGCAAGATTCGACTATGTAAATTATGATGATCACTCCATACTTTCTAATGCCTTATTAACGTACTTTTCGAGGCGCTTCTAATGGTGTTAATTACAAGAGGTATTTTGAACAAGAATTTGGAGCAATATCCGAAAATATGAAATCAGGTTTTTGGCCAAAATGTTGAGATTTTACATATCAAGGTTGCACAAACTATGTTTCAGGGGCTGCTTTGAATCGATAGCATCATTTTGGTTATATACATACCATAGTAAAAGTCTTTGTTTTTGGGGGCCAAAAACGCGATCGTTTGATTTTCGATAAAAATCATGAGGTATCCCTCATGGCTTGGAGTCAATTTTTGATGATCCAAAAAAAAGTTGAGCAAAGGTGTCAGAAAGCAAGTTCTTGATCAGAGAAATGGTTTGGTGCTATTCCGGCAGTCTAAATCAGCTCCCAACACGAGATATTGCGACTCAAATGTATCCATTTTTCGCTGTATTTTGCATAATTTTGTGCAGTAAGAAGTAGTTCGAGTAGACCATCTGCCCTTTTACAATTTGTTCCCATCGATACAGACGTAGGGCATTCCAAATGACTCAGATCTGCAGTTACCAGCCGTTCATCGAAACTTTTTGCGTGGAAGTGCAGATTTAAAAAGTGGCAATCAGAGAAGCACGTATATAGAAGCTATTTGGTATTGTATTGACATAACAAGTTGGCCCTTTCCGTTGAAATGCTATCAATGCTGCTGGCTATACTCCACGCTAAGGGGAATGTGATCTTCAAACAGCCTGCATACACTATAAGGAACAGGCTTACAAGAAAGAGAATTGCGAGCATGCAACATTATTCAAGCAGAAATTGGCTTGGGTTGGCTAGCCTGCCTGTCTTTTTGACACAGCTTCGAATTGGAGATTCGTATTATCCATGCACAAGGCTGATGTTCTTTCAGGAGTATGGAGGATATAGTCAAATGTTTCTTGGTATGTTGTTCAACTTGCTAACACTGTTTACTATAGCCACATTACATTAATGCCCATTTTCGATGTCTGCGCTGCGTACTCAACAAGAGCTACTGATCTAATCCTTAACATTTCCTTCATGACATGGCAATGTTGCGTGCTCTAGGTGATCCCCCTGAAACATGAGAAGGAGTTCTACTATCGTTCTCAACAGAGATACATGGACAAAGTTGCGTTAAATGAACTGCGCTATCTCGTTGGCACATTTAAGTTGACATTTGAGCAGAAATCCATAGATCTGCATTCTGTATGTTGGTTACTTTACAAAGAGATCATTTTCAACCGTTTTACAGCGTCACAAGGTACGTACCCATCTATTGGTTTAAGACTCTCATATTCATAAAGAGGAGTTTTTTCAAGGAAAGGCCACGGGCGAACGATCTTTTTCCTTCTTTCCTTTTCTTTTTTTTTCGGTTCAATATTTTTTGTGAACATTTAAATAGAATAGGGTAAATTGTCAAATCTCACTCTTCTTTCCATTCATTACAACTTCTTTCCTGAAATTGTAACTGTCTATTCTTTCTTTAAAACGATACAAACCACACAGAAATAGAAAGGGTCTTGTCTTTTCAGTTAAAACTCTTTATTGACCTTTGTTTCATTTGGCTAATCAGGCTTATGACAAAGTCTATCCAGTTACCCTCCAAACCACCCACCACTTCACCCGCTACTCTCACTCAATCTAGCATATCCAGCAGCGACAACATGAGCGCAAATTGTACAGCTACAAGTGTCTCCAAAAAGAAGAAGAAGCACAAGAAAAAGTCAAAGCAAAAGGTTGCTGATTTTGCCGCCAAAACTCAGGCCGATATGGTAGATGCCATGATGAATCACCACGTAATCAGACACGGTGACCACTTGGATGCTCAAGCAGCATCCTCTTCCTCTTCTTCCAGTAATAACAACAACAAAGTTAACAGCAGTAGCAGCAAAAAGACAGAAGACAATTTTTGGTCAAGCACAAACAACACGGAGGAACGTCAAAAAATTCGAGAATTTTGGTTGCAATTAGGCGAAGACGAAAGACGCTCGCTAGTCAAAGTTGAAAAGGAAGCTGTTTTGCGCAAAATGAAGGAACAACAAAAGCATAGTTGCAATTGCTCCGTATGTGGTAAAAAGAGGTAATTTTTCAGCACCACGTCTCGCTATAATTTCGTTGTAACCAATCTCCACTCAAGTAGAACTGCCATTGAAGATGAATTGGAGGTTTTATACGACGCTTACTATGAAGAGCTAGAGCAGTATGCCAACCACCAGCAACAAACTCGAGGCACAGCAAACCCTTTGCACGCAAGCTATCTCCCCACGGATCCAATGTACGACCATGGGTACGACGATACAGACCCCTTGGACGAAGACGACGAGGAGGACGATGACGAGGATGAAGATGAGGAAGATCTCGAAGATGAAGACCTTGACGATGACGATGAAGACGACGAGGATGATGAAGAAGACGATGAAGACGAGGAGGACGAAGACGATGTGGACGAGGACGAGGAGGATGAAGATTTTGATGATGCTGATGATGACGATGAAATCATCACTCGCCCTCCTATTGCTACATATGCCGAAAGAAGTCGTTTTGAAGAGATGGCTCACATTCGTCATACTGCTCTTTCGAGAGCCTCTGCTAATGGAGACCACTTTAGTTTTGGAAACAGTTTAACTGTCAAAGGTAAAAGCGCATCTCAACCTGCCTTCAGATTCCTAGTACTGACTAGCTTTTTTCAGGTGGTATTTTGACTGTCGCTGACGATCTCTTGAAGAATGATGGCAAAAAGTTTCTTGATATGATGGAGCGTCTTGCTGAACGCAGAATGCAAAAAGAAGACACTCCGCCAGATCAAAGCAACAACTACTTTCAAGAGGAAGAAGACGACGAAGACGCCTTTGACGATGATGATGACGAGGTAAATTGTAGAAACGCTCGCTTGTAAGACCACCTTTATTGATTCTACCGTGTTGCAGGACACGCGTACTGAAGAGCAACGTATGGAGGAAGGTCGACGCATGTTTCAAATTTTTGCTGCGCGTATGTTTGAACAACGTGTCCTCGCTGCTTATAGAGAAAAAGTAGCTCAGGAACGTCAACAGCGCTTGTTGGAAGAGCTTGAAGAGGAAGACCGTTTGCGCGAAGAAAGAGAAGCCAAAAAGCAAAAGGAGCGAGAGAAGAAAAAGGACAAAAAGAGGTACGTAACACGCTTTTACACCCGTGGCACACTCAACTTATGATTGCCACAGACAAATGAAGCAACAACAAGAGGCTGAGCGTCTCGCTCGCGAAGCCAAAAAGAAGGCAGAAGAGGAAGCCGCCAAACGTGAAAAGCAAAAGAAGCTTGAACTGGAAAGACAAAAGCGCGAACAAGATCGATTGCGAAAAGAAGAAGAGAAGAGACACAGAGAGGAGGAACGTCTTCGTAAGGAAGAGGAAAAGAAGCGCAGAATCAGAGAGGAAAAAGAGCGTGCTGCTGAAAAGGAGAGAAAACGCAAGGAAAAAGAAGAAAAAGAACGTATCGAAAAGGAAAATATGGAAATGGCCAAGGCTCAAAAGGAAGAAAAAGATCGTATAGAAAGAGAAAAGGCCCAACAGGCCAAGGCAGCAAAGGAAGAGAGAGATCGCTTGGAACGTGAGAAGGCACAAAAAAGCAAGGCAGAGAAGGAAGAACGTGAACGTTTAAAGAGAGAGGCAGATGCAGCAGCATCAGCAGCAGCAGACGCATTAGCCAAAGCTAAAGCTAAAGCTAAGGCAGCTGCCAATACGATGGAGCAAACATCGCCTCGTCATGCTTCTCCCTCCAAAGCTGTCAAACAAACAGATACTTCTGTTGCTAATTCAGCCAACACACCATCTCCTCCCCCAGGCATCACAGCACCTGCAGCACCAACCTCTTCAGATTTCTCGCCTGATAGACAGCAAGTGCTGATTGACGCACTAGTTGGCTCAGGCAGACCGAACTTCAATGACCCCAACGCGCTTGTTTCACCTCCATCTCATCCTCATCCTGTCAGCGCAGTGCCTATTCGACCTCCTCCCCATTTACAGCCTCCTCCATTCATGCCTTCCCATCTTGATATCCTCCAAGGCACGTCCTCATCCTCTTCTCTGCTGAATGCATCACCTATCGACAACCACACCTCGCCATCTCCTTTATCTGACAACTCTCCCTCCATGCTGGGTATCTTTAATAATCGTGTGACATCTCCACTGGAGCCGAGTGCATCGTCTCGACGATCTATCACGCCAATTGCCCCTATTGGACAACCCATCAATGGCCGTCGCGTATCATCTGTGCCCCTTGGCAGCAATCCATTACATGACTCGACGTCGTCAGATCCCGTCATGACAGCTTCCAATGCTGTGAAGCGACCATCTGTGGCTTCGCCATTTGATTCTACAGAGCCAAGATCGTTCTTTAGCAGCTTTTTGTTTGGCGAGCCTCGCAGCACAATGATGCCCATGAACGATTATGACACACGATTTGCACCACAACAGCCTTCGTTTGATCGACGCTTCTCGACAGAACCTAGTTCACAGTCTATGCAGCCAAATTGGACGAACGGATGGACCGCAACATCAGTTCTATCTGATAATGTGCATGGAAAGCTATTTGGTGATGCATTGGTAAGTGATGGGGAAAGCTTGTTGGTAGGGGCACTCGTTAACTCTTCTCATACAGCCTGATCGCCCAGCCATGACATTGGAAAGAGCCAAAGTAGCCTATCAAAAACTGAACGAAATCACACAGACCAACATATTTAGAGGTAGCCAGCAGTACCATACGCTGGTGCAGTTGCACTGTATGATGAACGATTTATACAGTGATTTCCAGATTGACATTCGCGAGCTATATGAAGTGTTGCTGGGATCGCCTTTGAGTGGATTCCAGTGTTTGAATCATGCACAGCATGGCATGGTCGTCTTGTACGATCCAATGATGATGAGAAACACGCCACTACAACCACCTCAGCAACCAGCCCATCCTAACCCAGCATCGGCAAACTCACCGCCTCCTCCCGCCTTGGGTATTTCACCGTTTAGCACGAATAATAACCCTACTCACCCTCTTCAGCAACAACATCAACAGAATATGAATAATGTCACCTCTTTATTCAATAGTACCAATATGTAAATCAATAATAAAAAGAAGAAAAAAAACATATAATATACGTACTGTAATCATTCCAACAAAGTAGACAAACAAATTATATCCTTTCAAAAAGTTAAAGAATTGTGTGCCGTACAAGGTGAATAAAACTACAGGCAAAGCTAGCAATGGGGAGGGGGTTTGGGGGGAAGAACATAATGCGACTAATTCAACACTTGATAACATTGATTTATAGGGGGGGGGGTTATTGTAGCGAAGCAAAGGTGCAAAGCCATGGTAATAAGGCGTCTAATCCAACACTTGGTAACATTGATCTATATGAGGGCCTAATCGCAGCGAAGTAAAGGCGCAAACCTATGACAACTAAGCATCCAATCCAGCATTCGATAGCATTGATCTATACGAGGGCTTGATTGTAGCGAAACGAATATGAAAACCACAGTATCTAATTACCAGCAACATAGCGCATCAAAATTTGCATGAATTAGGTTTACCAAAATCAATATGCCTTCTATTCAAATTAGAATTGCACAGGCTGTAGAATTTCTCTTCCGGAAGTTGTCAGCTACCAAAGATGTAATTCATGCTGTGTAAATTAAACTCTATAAGGCAATACATAACTAAATTTGAAAGCTTTCAAGCCTTCATATCTTGAGATATAGACTTTTCTGAACCTTCGGAATGACGCCAAACAATTGTACTAGAGTAGCAGTAACTTCCTGACACTTTTGCTCAAATTTTTGGGGATCAAAAAAACATGAACAAAATTCGACCAAAAAGCATGAGGTACCCCTCATGGTTTTCATCGAAAATCAAACGATCGTGTTTTTCACCTTGAAAATGAAGACTTTTACTATGGTATATCTTGACTCAAAATGTTTCTATCGATCCAAAGCAGCCTCTGAAATCATCTTTGTGGGACTTTGATATGTAAAATCTCGACATTTTGGCCAGGAACCTCTTTTGATATTTTCATAAATCATTCGATAAGTTTATTCAAAACATCTATATTACTTAGTACTATTAGAAGCACTTTGAAAAGTACTCCAAGAAAGCATTAGGAAGCATCGGATGAGCATTGCAATTTATATAGTCGGATTTCGCAAAATAGATCAATCAAGTCGAAAAAAAACAGAATTTGGCCAATCTTGAAAGAAAAAAAATAAACTGAGTTTGAATCAATTTTGGCGGCGGTTTGCTGCTGGCTGGCCCAAATGCTTTTCTAATGATGACAATGATGATTGCGATGCTGATTATTAAATGGGAACAATGGAGTTGAAAGGACAGCTGATTAGCCCGAATACTTTTTTAAGGAGTTTTCCCTAATAAACATGTCTTTTTCAATGGCAGTATCTCAAAAAAGTCGCTGTAGATCCTACACAAGTCCTGTGTTTACTTATGGCCAGTTTTATGTCGCCATTTTATCAAGAGCATCAGCAGTAGTGAATGCTATGACCATTTTATTATCAAAAAATTGAGATTATGGTGTACAAGTGCTACATAAAACTTGAATTTTCTTTCACATCGTCTCAATAATAGGTTTCGTTTGATATCAGTGTAAGCAAAAAGGACGTTGAGGAAAATGCCTCCTCTCCTCCTCCTTCTGGTTCTGATATAACCTTTCTTTTACTGGTAATGGATTGTTTAAAATCTACTTGATATACCAAAATTTGATTATATCTGATATAAGATGTCTTGGGAGAGAGCCTCGCAGGACAGCACCGACATCGAGCGTAGCAAAATAGATCGGCTAGTACTTAATGTATATAATAGTTTATTTAATTCAGTCATCGTGATCATTATAATGATATTTCTTTTATGATCACCATCATCTTGGTCATCGTCGTTGTCATCGCCGTCGTTGTCATCATCGATTTCATCGATTTCATTGTCTTCATCATAAACATCTTCCCTGTCTTCATCGTCCTCGTAGCATTCTTGATCAGAGCCCTTGTGATAGTGCTTTCTATACTGTCATTCAATGACAGTCTCTGTCACTGCGAGTGCTGGTTCTGGATTCGGTTGAGCAGTAAAGAAAATTGGCACGCCAGGTTCAGTGTATCCAAATGTCTGCTTAATGGTAGTATCTTCTCCAATCAACGTATATACGGGTTGAAGCAGCCTTGTAGTCGTATAGGTGGAGATATAGGTTGATGGGTTCGTTATCGTGGTAGTGTAGGTTTCTGGGGTATATTCTAGTTCTTCTGTGAGGGTACGATTTTCACCAGGAATGACAATAGTCTCACCGCTGACTGTGATAGTCTCTGTTTCACGATCCATAACGACAAAGACAGTTTCAACGATAGGCGTTGGTAGTAAAGTAATGGTGGCTGTGCCCACTATTTCGGTAATGGTGCCTTCAATAAGTGTTACTGCATCTGTCACTACGGCTTAGGTAATTGTAACTGGTTGTGGTTTTTCCAAAAATGTTTTTATGTTGGTGACAGTTGCGGTTGCTGCATCTTGGGTAACCGTAACTGTATCAGTAAGTGTATCAGTAGCTGTGCCAATACCAATCTCAGTGGTCGTGGAAGTGCTCTTACTGGTTGCTTGAGCATTGGTGCTAGTGGTTGTTGTTCTTCTGCTAGAACTGGTGGCGGGTCTTGGTGGCAAAAAGAAGGGCATACAGCCACCATAAGAATCGCAAGAACCACCAGCCGCATGATAATCGAGCAACTCGGCACCCTCCGTGGGGCTCTCCCAAGTGTAAGATTTCCCAACAATGTTGCTTGCAAAGGCGCCAACTGTACCATCGATAATGTTGCCTGGAGTAGAATATCAATATACACTTTCTATAGCACATGTACTCAACGCATGCATACCTCTGGGCGCCAAAACAAGACCCTGGAGTTGACCACCTGTCTTTCGATGAAGCATGAATGTACCTTCTGGCATGATGTTTCCCTGCGTTCAGAATGTCAGTTCATACAAAGATGGGCCTCTGGAAGATAGAAAACTTACAGACTCGTCTACAGGATAGAATTTGTAAGTGGAGTTGCCTGCATTCAATCCAGCACTTGGATTATTTGTATCTATTGTGATAGTAGCACCATTTTTGACTGGAATCTACACAGTGGGAGTGTTAAGAGGCATGGTTGCTTAGTCTTGTAAGCACAGACTTACATTGTAGACATAGGCTCTAGTGCGGTTAAACTGAGGTTGCGGGACTCTCCAGTCGCCTTGTCCAAAAAACACACCCTCAGCCTGTGATTTTTCCGTTGGATTAGGACTACAAACAGCTTGACCACAAGAATGGAAGGTCATAACATCGTACAGGGCCATTTCGTTTTGTGGAATCTTTGTAAAGATGGCGTCGTTCTTTAGGATAGCAGTAGGCTCACGGTTTGCAAATTCCTCGCTTGCCAGGCGAAGATCTTCCTCAACCGAAGTAAAGTTAAAAATTCCAGTGTTTTTGTTATTGAGCGCGGTACATCCTTGCTCTTCCATAATAACTTGATCTATGATGCCGCCCCATTGATATATGCGCTACCGCAGACCTTGGTGTTTTGAGTATTTATGTTCCCGTCAACGACTAGGATCTTGTTCTGCTGCAGCTGACAGCTGTTATTTGTAACAGTTGGTTAGACAATGCAAATGAGGAAAATGGCTACTATGCTACATACGATGATTGGCATTGACTACGTAATTTGGCGCAGAGAAATCACCCTTGACAGCTAGTGGACCCAAACTTTGAAGAGAACCAGATGTATCAAAGTCGCCAAAAAAGATACCGTTGAATCTTGCAAGCTATACAAAACTTTGAGTGAGCGCATTGATGCAGACATCAGCTCTTCTATTACATACAGCTCGGTTTGTACTGAATCCGTCATCACGACATCTACAGGACGCGCAAGAGATTCTTAAATATTTTGGAAGTGGCCAATCTAAAAACCATACCTATCGAAATCCACTGTAAACTGATCGAGTGGTGTGGCCTGAGACAAGCCAAGCATGGCCAAAGCAGAACATAGCAGATACACACCCGATTTTTTGGCCATTGCAAAGTGAATGATATAGATAACCCGAAAATGAGGGAGAAAAATGACGTTTTATATTTTATAGAAAATAGCTTGCAATGTTTGTATACATCTCTCCAAAATATGTGATAGAATCAATTTACAATGAACAAGTCATTCTTATGCTTTCATCTGTCATCTTCTGCATTACACAAATTTACAGCAAGCCAGGCATGATACCTGTTATACAATTGACATGAATCCGTCCATGCTACTGTTTCAGTATCGTTTAGTACCAAACATTTAGTTTTTGAATCAAACAACCGATAACATTCAAGCATTCCTCAAAGAAAGCAAATGATCGGTGCATCTCGATAGTATATATACAATCCTGCTTACATACTGATTGAGGAATGCGATTGCACAATCGCAAGGCAATGCTTTTCAAGAATGAGCTTTCACTAAACAGAGTACATTGAATGAAAAACGAGCCGTGATGAGCTCTAGAGTAGATTATGAAATGTTATACAAATGTGCTCAATACAAACGTTTGCAGTAGTTGGCAAACAAGTTATATCAAACTTAAAGTTACCAACTACCTGGGTAGTTTACCAACTTATTGGAAGTGATAGCCTTAACTATAACCTTATGCAATGATATGCAGATTATAGCACTGCACCGCGATTACTGAGTTATATCTAAATGAGCTTGTTCCTCGTCCAATAAGTCAACTTCCAATATGTATCTTTACTCATTTTCTTGGGTAATTTGATGATGATGATGATGGAAGGGCATATCAATAAACCCCAAGTTGCACAAACAACAGTCTTTATTAAATCGCCGTTGTTCTTGGGAAGAACAAAGTAAAGATGTATATACATCTCTTCTTTTTTTCTGTATAGTTTTGACTTTACTAATAGATTGAAAGATGTCAAAGCTTTTCACTTGCCTGGCTATTGCAGCTACTGCGTCTGTTGCTTCTGCTGTTGTAAATGAGAATGTTGCCGAACCCAAAAAGGCTGTTGTTGATGGTAAGTTGCTTATGTTGCGAGAACGCGTGAAGCATTACTGAGCGTGGCATAGTTCCAGCTGATAATGTCATGGTCAGACGTAAGTGATTACATCGCTAGAGCATTGTGGTGTACCAGCTAAATTAATCTATTCTCATAGCTCTTCGTATCATGGACTTCCAGATGGAAATCGTGTTGATCAGCGTCTTTATCCTCTACTTTTTCATTTGGTTGAGAGGAAAGAAGGCTAATTTGAATAGAGCCAAGGGATGGTAAGGGAGCCAAGATGAGAGTATTCTGGGGTCACTAATACCGTATTCTGTAGGCTGAATGGCCAAGTGGACTATCTCCAAAGTCAATTTGCCCTTGTTGGCGATAAAAAATCCAGTGACCAATCCATCTTGATGATGGATGGTCCCGACTGCCTCTTGCTTTATGTTAGCGGTAGACGTAATGTTCAGTTTGGTCACTGGTGGCTCAAGGTAAATTATAGAAACAAAAGACCATCGCATTGATATTCACCATCTTGCGTTCTGTGTAATAGTTGAAGCCTAGAAATGACATTTTGACCTATTTCAGCACCACAGTGCTTTCCAAGCTCACCTCAGCAACGAAGCCTGCTGCCGACAGAGTTGTAAGTTTCTATCTGAAGTTTAGTTGAGGTCTTACTTAACAGTACCTCTAAAGGAATTGAAATTGCATTTGGACAAAGGTTTGGCAGAAAAGTTTGTTGTTGGAGTGGTTAGAAAGGATTTGGCTACTGAAGTATTCAAGAAGCGTTTTGATTTGGTAAATGCTTGACATTGCTCTGGCGTGTGTGGCAAGGATTACTCATACTTGCTATGTAGAACCGTGTCGGTAAAATTGCCTCCAACAAGGCCATTGCTTCCTCTGAATACACCATATATGCCGAGACTCAAAAATTGGCTGATTCCATCTTGACTTCCAAGGTCGCTGATATCATCAACAAATCTGAAGGTCGTCTTGAATCTTTGGTGATCTCTAGTTTACCTGAGGAAGAGCCTGAGATGTGAGTGTGTACTAGTGCTTTATAAGAGCATAATGACTCATCACTGGACAATGATAGGTTCGAAACTGACAGCTACATTACAATCTCTCTCAACTTTTTGATGCCCACATCCGCTGGCTTCGATCCTCTCGTTGAACTCGTTGGCGATCTCCCCGATGCCATCAGTCAATTGAGACTTACTGGCGATGTCAAGACCAAGATCAACAAGAATCGTGAAGAGCTCGGTAAAGAATTTGCCAAGAAGCTTGCTGCTGATCGTGCTGAAGAATTAGCTAAAAAGAAGGCCGAAGCCAAGCGTGCTGAAGAGGAGCGTGTCAAGAAGTTGAGCCCTGCTGAACAACGTAAGTGGGAGGAAAAGGAGCGTGCTCGTAATATGAAGAAACAGCAAAAGAAGCAAGGAAGAAAGATGTAGAAAAAGCTTTAGTCTTTAATTATCGTGTAAAAAATATATATATATATAAACTCTTTCTTGAGCAAAACAAAGTGTCAATCATCATGTTGTCTGTTGGGATATATGCTACAAATCTCGTCTATTTCTTGCCAAGTTGTTCATTAGCAATCTTCCAGGCGGGTTTATCTGATTCTGCTGCTTCACGCATCATGTCCATCATTTGTTGGCCCTTTTCACGGTTGGCTGCTCGTCTTTCATCGTATTCCTTTCTTAATGCGGGGTCGAGACGCTATTAAAGCAGTTGATATGGGTGAATTCAATGCATAATCTGATCAACTAGTTTTGTTTTACCTTTCTCATGGTTTCTTCATCGGGAACAGTGTACTTCATAAGACCGTACCCTGTTGCGAGGATACCGGTCATGTATAGAATAACTTTGATTTCGTTGGCCATTGTGTTGAATTGTGTAAGATGAAGAAAAGAAAATGAAAATATGGGCAAGATGCCGGGGGTCTCACATACAGCTGTGCTTGACATTTTTGAAACTCAAGAAGCGCTACCATTGTAGTTACTAAGCGCCCTGGTAGTGAGCGAAGAGAGGACCATCATGCGTTAATTCACAGTTGCTCACATTGAATACATGTATACTATACTGAAATTGCAAACGGTGCCTTTATAGAGCAGATCCGAAGCCACTCAGCTAATGCTATGTGCAGATGTTGGATTGGTCACATAGTTTTATTATACATGAGTAGATGTGTTTTACATTTTCTCTGGTTCTTTTGATTAATACACGTATATAGATATATATTACATTTAGGCGATATAGCCAGAGCTGTTATTGTTGTTGTGGCTAATATAGGCTGATGAAGGTTTGTTGGTCTGTGCCATTGGATAATCGTCCTCATCATCAATCATCCATTCATTGGTCTTTAGTAATGCTGCATTGTTGCCACTGGGTTGATATTGTGGTTTGTCGTTTTCTTCAATGAATAGTCGTTTCACTAATTGCAATCCTCAGTCTATGATCCATCAGAGATGATACATATAACTTACAGTATGGTTTCAATCCCTTGCCAAAGTTGCGACATACCAGTATATCCAATACAATGGTAGACTATGGAGCACATCATGTCAGTACACACTATATACAGCTGATGACACATTACTTACAATACACAAGATAATAGCCAAGCATACTATCGTACATACAATAGATCAAGGTTAATCAAATGATGCGTCCCCCCCCCCTGATTTGATCTAATATTTACCTGCCAAAATCCAGAAAACCCAAGATCCTGCACTATCCACCAAGATCAAAATGAAATCCAGGCCCATAATGATCTGTGTTACTAGAAAGACCATCATAATTGTCTTGCTTTCCGTAATCACTCCGCGTCGTGCAAATAGTAAGCCGGGAATCAATAGAACAGTTAATATAATATGAATAATGTAGCCTATGAACTTTCGATTTATAACGCCCCAAAGAGAATAGTATCTTTCCTGTGACATGACGACAGCATAGAATACACACAGAACGAAATGAAAGAATGCGTCTAATTTAAGGATCAAGAAGAAAATTTGTGTCAACTTGAATCGGGCTGTATTATATATATATATATAGTTAGTATATCAGCAGTACGTAATAATGTATAAGTATCTTTGGTTTACCTTGCTGCTCAATGTCTGCCCCAATTCGTTTGTAGATATTCCATCCAAATTGCTTGTATAGCTTCCAGCAGAGATACATGAATAACATCGATAGAAGGAACATGACTGAAACAAGCCCCACTTCATTACGAAGTGCGAAATTAAAGTTCCAGGAGACATCAGTGTCCTCTGGTGGCGGAATGTCGTTTTTCACATCTAAATGTCTGTATAAAAATAACATAAATACCATGGTTTTCGTCGCCAGCATGCTGACTCACTTGTAGATGGTGCCTCCTACTTGAATGGCTGCAAAAACGACCAACAAGACTTGATTTACGGTATGAGCCACAAGCTGGATCACACTTTGTCGAACAATCTATTTTTACTACATGTTACTACCAGACAAAAAAAAGTGATTTATGTGCGACCCTGTATACGACTTACGGCATCCATTCCCAAGACAAATTGAAACAATGAGAAGAGAATGAAGAATACGTTTTCGTTCTTGAGTCGTCGTAGGCCGAGTGCGATGAGCATGATCTTTGCGTCTGCATCGTTTTCCACTAGCTTTTTGTCAGGATCAACGGAAGTGCTTGGCACATCTTGTATCGACTGGTTATTGATCAAATCTTGGTATACTTTAACATGAGAGTTCACAATTACACTCTCTAGAACAATGCAAATAAAAGTCGTCAGGACAATTAGGATTGTAAAAACTCTGGTGTATTTTGATTCCTGGATTCGTTTTTTCTATAGCATACACAGATAGTTAGATCCTGCTTTAAGTCGTTTGATTTCATGTAACCACATACCGATAGACTGAGCATTCTTATCAGGAAATGACGAGGTTCCGGTGATGATTCATTATTCATGTTTAAACAATAAAGATATTAATAAATGTTTCAAAAAAGAGAGAGAAAAAAAAGGGGAAATGAATTGTTCATAGCCAAATGACGCTTTTTTAAAGTAGCTTGCGCTTGTTTTGGACATCCCAATTGATCTTGCTTGACCGGACTCATTTGTGCATCTCGCTAGACCATATGAAGCCTCTAGGTAACTCAAAGTGGGCTTTTAGCATTCTCGAAAAAAAAAAAAAAAAAAAAAAAAAAAAAAAAAAAAACACAAGCGCAAGCACCCAAGAGACTCGTGAGTGCTCACTTTTGCTCCTATCTTCAATCAAATGAGTGTGAAACTATTTAGAATGTATAGATCTGAAGGAGCTAAAGACGAAAATGGTAGTAAAGCCATGGATCGAGATGGAAGAGCACCATCCCACTTGGAATTGGAACGAAGAAACTTAAACTGGTCAATTAGACAATCAAGGCAAGTTCCAGGAAATCAATGGACTTCACAATGCTGAGCATGTCATTGCTTATTTTCAAAGCATTCTGATATCAGATTTACGCATTGCAAATTCGACATCTTACCTTCAACTTGATAAACTGATTGCATGTATCCTTTGATCTGGGTGGAGAGCATTGTCCAAGCTTTAATGACTCATGTGAGTTGAATTTGACCTTTAATCCGAGTTGGGCAACATTGCTATGCTTACTAACAGTACCATGTATTAAATTTAAGGGCAAATAACCTAATTTGGTGCAATTTTTAAGTGAGTCGTCTTGCGATTTTACTACAGATTCAAAGAGTCTAGTAAAATTGATAAGAGTAGACGTAGGAACAGGCTCTGAATTTCAGAAAGAAGAGTGTAGAAGAGGCATTTCGTAAGAGCCCTTCATCACAACCTCATCTCGCTACTGTGCTATAAGCTTTATGTCCTTTATGAGAAGTGAAATGACGCATCACGCTATACCAGACATACAACGTTATACTGTATAGCAGTAGTGTGTTCAGCCATTCAATTTATTACTTATCAGTGTAAAACTATTATATACAATTTGGGGAATTATTACTAGATTATTAGAATTATCATGTTTTTTTTTTACTGTTATACAACTAAAATAAGGGGGCTTAATCCCATGGTCGCCAACATTTTCTTCTTTCCTCTGTCAACCGCTTTTCTTCGTCGCATCTCTGTACATATTCTGCTGCGAGAGCCAAGATATCTATGGGTCTCATTTGCGGCGATAATTGGGGATAAAGTGTGGGTGTAGATGAATTGGAAGATGTTACACTAGATTGACTATCATAGGCACTATGCTCTTCTCCAAAAGGCATTTTGCTATAATTTTGATTTGGTGGATTCATGAGTTTTTGATTTACATCGGCTACGTATTGATCCTGATGTTGTCGTTGTTGTCGTTCTGTGTGATAAGCAGTAGATGTGGCAACGCCATGATGGTGATGATGCAGGTATTGTGGGGGATAATGATGCTGTTGTGGTGGCTGTTGTGATTGTGCTTGTGGATGATGGTGATGGTGATCTGGCGGCGGGGTCCAGCAGATGGGATATACGAATGGATCATGTTTCTTTTGCTCTTGCAATCGATTACGGTTGACTTTAGCACGACGGTTTTGGAACCAAACCTAGTGATTTCATGAGTGATTTTGCATTATGGTATTCACATGTGTAAATAAATACCTGTACTTCACGATTTGTCATATTTAATTTGGAGGCTGTATTCTCTCTTAATTGGTAATTAGGTGTATCAGTACTTGCAAACAAATCTGACAATATGGTCAACTGGTATGGTGTAATTCTCTTTCGTTTTGGTTTATTGACGACTAGTAACATGTTAGTGCCCTTTTTCTATGCTGCTGCTGATGAAACACTAAAAAATTTTACCTTCGTGCGATTTGATGCGAAGTCTCTTGTTGTTGCTGTTTACAACATTCTCTTCGGATGAATCGTCTTGATGGTCTAGATGTGATAAATTTGGACTTTTCTTGGCAGAGTGATTCATATGTACGAGGAATTAAAAAATGGGTAAAGAAGAAAGAGGAAAAGAAAGAGATAAAATGTAAGAGACAAGAAACCAGATTGTTATTTATAATAGGCAAGAAAAGGGAGGTCAAAGTTTTCTTGTTAGTCGGAAATCAACCGCCGAGGTCTCTTTTCTTTTGGAGTGATACCAATAGATGCAATCATCCTAAATTAGCTTTCTTCATTATGGTTCTGATGAAACAATAAGCTGAAAGAACCACCTATTTATCATGGTATAACTGATTAATCTAGAATCACGTGTAAAGACCTCTCTCATTCTCTGTTTTCTAGGCGAGTTGAAGGAGAGGCCATTTCTTGATTCATTCATGTCAAATGAGGGTTATCCTGCGGTTAATTCAAATGTGTCACCATGGGCACCCATTCCGATTCTTTTTTTTTTTCATCATGATTTGCCTTGATGGTTACATTGGAACACTAAATGTTGAAGTGAAATTCATTTCCGAAAATAAATTTAATACGTTTATAATCAAACCAACATGCTAATGCCCTCTTTACACTATTAAAGGTTTGATAGCATTTGAAAGCATATATACGTATGCACATTATATATGATTAAATTTAGAACCTGCTATCATTCATGTACTTTTTAACAACATTTTAAACCGTAATTAATGATGTGATACAGTGTAACCCATCCTGTTGTTTTCTTTTTTCATTAATAACAAAAACAAGAAGAAGCGCTCTTTGAGATGGGAACAATTGCCCTGTGCACTCGCCATTCTTGTCAAGAAGAATCAAGACAACAATAAAGGCACGAAAACATCGAGAAATAGATCAGAAATCAAGCTTCTTGAACATTCCACTAAGACTGAAATATATTACTTGATTTAGACTTTTAGTATGCAAAATTATGGAAAAACGCCCTGTTGCTTTTTGTAGTAGTGCATGATTGAGTGTTACAAACAGTGAATTTCTTGTTGATTTTACTAATTTGTACCTGCAAAATTATAGGCGACATGTACACTTTATAAAAACGCATTTAGGCATCATGCACTATAATAGCATCCAATGTGTAATAGTACATGAGCGCTTTCTCATCCAGGCATTAAATGTTACTGAAGATGTGAAGCAGAAAAAGAAGGCACGCAACTCGAGAAATAAAAAAACAATAACAACAACAACGATTGAATTAACAGCTCGGGTTGCCTTAAATGTTATCTTAAAGTGAACAAAGTTGCAAAGCCTGAAAAGACCAAGATCTTGTTGATGTTTCAAGTCGTGTGTGTGTAACAGTTTAGTGTTTTTTATCATGGCCAAGGTGATCATTTTGAATTATACTTGGTGCATGATGCCGAAAAGCGTGCACTATCCACGCCGTTTTTTTTTTTCCCTCGGGAACTATAGATGCATGTCTAAAGTAACTGCTTTATACATGCCAGTACACCCAAGACAGATAGACCTTGACGAACATGTACCTACGAAAATCAATGAAACGAGTGTGCCCCTCCTTCAAGTGATGATAGTGCTAAGAGCTAGTTGCAATCAAGCTATTTGTTTGTCCATAACAGAAATGTTCAGTAAAGTTGGAAATATGTGATCGCCGGGATACACTAAAATTTAGTCTTGTCATTATATCATCTCCTTACATTTTGCAGGAGGATTACTTTTGGATAAATCAGGTAGCTGCAATGATGGCTATTGAAGCTATGTTAATCTACTTTTTGATATATGCTGCTATGGACAGTTGCCCTCATTATCTTTTCACGGCCATGCAAATCCCTATTCAAAAGACTACATCCCCAGATGTTAACTTATAACAGGATGAATGAACCTTGAAACTATTTAGTGTCAAACCCGCACACCCTGAAACAATTCTTTAGGCACAGCAAAGAAATTGACAATGTCTAGCTTGGTAACTCCCAATCATGGCATGAAAATGGCTTCCGATTTGTACCAGAGATTCGCATTATGGTTAGTAGTGTCACCTAATCTTATTTATTTCAAATATTGGGACTAGAGGAGAGAAGGCGACTGATGGCCACTAGTACATAGAGAAGAAGACTTTAGAGTCTGGTAGAAGAGGTAAATAAGCCTCTTCGCTTGGTAAATGTCTTCGATTTTCTTTTTAGTCCAGTTTGTCTGTGTACACCGAGACAATACTCCTATATAACAATATGACGTGAATAAGATGAATTAGCAGAGACATGTCTGTATACATCGCGTACTTTATATATGAGGGGACCATTGATATATTTTCGGATTTCTCCACTTGTGATCTCTTTGATGCTTTCAGGTATATCGGCATCTCCAATCTTCTCTATAGCCACCTAATTGCTATCAGAGTAAATAGCTCTACCTCCAAGCCTTGGATAAGCATCATAGGGATTGTTTTCAAAGCTAATTGTTGCAGATGTATCAGCCCAGAAAGGGCCAGCTTCAATTTGCCTTTGTTTGCTTAAACCTGGAGTCCTAGCATATTCTGTTCCACTCAAATCATGGTATTTGATAGCATTCGTAGTCATTTATAAATCCATCTTGCAATTGAAGTTTTGCCTTTTGCACGCTTCAGCTATGCTATCTCCTCTAGCGCCGCCAACGATTTTCTTTTATTCAGGATACTATAAGAGTAGTATACTAACGAATCATCCCAGAAAGAGTAGTACACTTACCATCCATGCGTAAATACAGGACTTCTATGCGATCTACAGCGACTTTTTTTTTTTTGAGAGATTATCATTGCAAAAGACACTTTTATAGAGAAAACCTCCCAAGAAAAAAAAAGTATCTGGCCTAGGCAATTGTTCTTTCAAATCCGTAATTTCCATTTAATCAGCATCGCAATTATTATTGTCACCATTAGTGTCATCATCAGGAAGGCATGTAGACCAGCCAGCAGCAGCGCTGCCGCCAAAATCAATTGAAGCTCAGTTTGTTTTTTTCTGTTCAAGATTGGCCAAATTTTGTCTTTTGTCGACTTCTTTAATCTATTCTATGATGTTCGACTATGTAAAATGTGATTATCATCCGATGCTTCCTAATACATTCTTGAACTACTTTTCAAGGCGCTTCCAATGATGCTAATTACAAAGGGTGTTTTGAATAAAATCATTGAGCAATTTGGTAAAGTATGAAATGAGGTTTATAGTGAAAATAACCATATTTTGCATATGAAAACCTCATAAAAGTGGTTTCATAGGTTGCTTTGGATTGAGAGAAACATATTGATATGATATATACCATAGTAAAAGTCTTCATTTTCAAGGTCAAAAATGTGATCGTTTGATTTTCGATGAAAACCATGAGGGGTACCTCATGCTTCTTGGTCGATTTTTGGCCATGTTTTTTTGGTCCTCAAAAAGTCGAGCAAAGGTGTCAGGAAGTTACTACTATCCAAGTACAATTGTTTGGCGTCATTCCGGTGGCTCAGGAAGGTCTACATGTCAAAGTATTAAGGCTTAAAAGCTGTCAAATTTGGTTGTATTTTATACGTTTGCTTGCCAATAGGCACGTTTTTGTTATAATATAAAGGCGTAAAGACATTGTATGCATTAATCTAGGATTCGAATATCGCTGTATCATAGCACAAGGATGTAGCTTATTAGTGAGATGATGGCAGCTCAAATTATCATATCCTATTATTTATTTGGCTACTCAAATAGGGCTGATATCCTTTACAACTTACAAATCACTCTCTTCACCGTTCAAGTTATCCTTCCCGAGAATATTGTAAATACTCTTTAAAACTAAAGGAAACTGGCTCAGGGCATTCTAAAATTGGCAACTTGACAAGCATAATGATAGCTCTCTCTTCCTTTGCACAGAAGGATGCTAATAATCAAAAATCGAGATCACTTATGTTCAAATTGGTCAAATTAGATGAATAAGAATCATTCAGTAAACACATGCTTTCCAAGTGTTTTTTGCAGACATAAAATATGAACACCTGTTTTTTAAAGAAGATTGGTTGACTAAATCTCACCGAAATTACTGTCCTCATCAGTGATTCCGGTTCTCATATCATGAAAGCTAATAAGAGGTTTTGCGCCTTTTTCGTTAAATCCACTCGATAAGTCTGCTCCTATGTCCTCATCATCAAATCAAGATGGTTTTGTATATACCTGGCATTTTTACGAAATTCGGCAACAGTGAGTAATACATATATTTTCAATGATTGCACGAAGATGATACATTAGGCTTAACATTGCTCAGGCACAGACTATGAAGTAATTGTACTTCAAACATGATCATGTTTTATGGTTTAAGATAGCATATACGGGCAAGCAGCATACTGGTATTTCCGCTTTTTAATCCTTAGTGCCCTGATACAGCAAAATCAAAGTGCATTTGAGCCTCGTTTTCTCACATTCAATGCCGTTTTAGATCTTCAGAATAGCACTGAACAGTTGCTCTCATCTGGCAGTTACTTGCTGACACCTTTGCTCGACTTTTTGAGGACCAAAAAAACATGGCCAAAAATCGACCAAGAAGCATGAGGTACCCCTCATGGTTTTCATCGAAAATCAAACGATCACATTTTTGACCTTGAAAATGAAGACTTTTACTATGGTATATATCATATCAATATGTTTCTCTCAATCCAAAGCAACCTATGAAACCACTTTTATGAGGTTTTCATATGCAAAATATGGTTATTTTCACTATAAACCTCATTTCATACTTTACCAAATTGCTCAATGATTTTATTCAAAACACCCTTTGTAATTAGCATCATTGGAAGCGCCTTGAAAAGTAGTTCAAGAATGTATTAGGAAGCATCGGATGATAATCACATTTTACATAGTCGAACATCATAGAATAGATTAAAGAAGTCGACAAAAGACAAAATTTGGCCAATCTTGAACAGAAAAAAACAAACTGAGCTTCAATTGATTTTGGCGGCAGCGCTGCTGCTGGCTGGTCTACATGCCTTCCTGATGATGACACTAATGGTGACAATAATAATTGCGATGCTGATTAAATGGAAATTACGGATTTGAAAGAACAATTGCCTAGGCCAGATACTTTTTTTTTCTTGGGAGGTTTTCTCTATAAAAGTGTCTTTTGCAATGATAATCTCTCAAAAAAAAAAAAGTCGCTGTAGATCGCATAGAAGTCCTGTATTTACGCATGGCCAACGTTATATCGCTATTTCAAGAGCAATATCAGCGAATGGATACCTCCCCTTGACTCTGATATAGTCTTTCCTTTGCTATTGATTAATTGTTTAAAATTTACTTCATATCTCTGATTTGGAATGTTTTCGGCGAGAGCTCGTAGGGCGACGCCGCCATCGAGCGTAGCGAGATTGATCGGCTAGTCTCAAAAATAATTGAATAACATTTCCATTGCGGTCGTTTCTTGGTAGTTCCTTCAGGACTTACTTCCCCAGAGCAAACAATATAAAAAAAGTATCTCATGGTTTTAGGTCTTATTTTCCTGATATCAAAAATTTGAAGCAAAGGTGTTAGCAAGTTAGAGAGATTTTGATGCATTCTGACGGTCTAAAACAGGTTTAACACAAGAAAACGCGACTCGAATGTGCACAGATCTCGCTGTGTTTGCATACTTTCTCGTAGTCAGAAGTAATCCAACGTATAATTTCTGGACAATTTCTACTGATTCGGCGTAGTAGAGTACTCGCGAAGAGTCTGATTCACAGTATGAAGGGTTCTTACGTGATAGTAGAAAGTTAAAAAGTTATAATTGGTGGAATAGGCATAGGCGTCGGGCAACGCGAGCCGCTGCCGTGTAGACTAGTGACTCAAGTCAATGTGTCAGTTCACTCATACTGAATTCAGCGCTGGCTTTTGGTATCGTATTGACTGCACTGTACGAAATAGGATCATCATGGCGCCATAATGCCCATTGAAGCTCCCTATGTCAAAATTTTCTAAAACCTGTTACAATGTCCCTTGATTTTGGATACACTCTCTTTCTACTACAAACTCTAATGCGATGGAGGGCACTCATCGAAAGAAAAGGATTGCTAGCAATAAGTTTTATTTGCACTATTTTATTTCTGTATAAAATAGCAGGTAATCCAATTGTTAACAAATTCATGCAGCCTTTGACGTATTACAACAATAATAACGAGCCTGTCTGTTTACCCGAAAACTATCTTCAGAAGCAAAGACCAGTCAAAAAGGCGAAGGCTGCTATGGTGATCTTGACAAGAAACAGCGAAAAGGATGCAGTTACGGAAACCGTCGTCAACTTTGAAGATAAATTCAACAAAAACTTTAAATATCCTTACGTATTTCTGAATAATGAGTCATTTGATGAACCATTCAAGAATGCAATTCGCGCTGTCCTGTCACCCGAGACAGAGGTCAAATTTGGTTTGATTCCTCAAGAGCATTGGGGCTATCCAGCATGGGTGAATAAGCAAAAAGCAGAGAAGGCTCGTCAAGAGATGGATCGCAATGGCGTTTATTTCGGCGGTTTGGGGAGCTACCATCACATATGTCGCTACTATTCTGGTTTCTTTTACAGACACCCGTTGTTGGATGAGTACAGCGTTAGAACGAGAGTTTATGACCCATTATGATGTATTTACAGCTTTACTCGTAGATATGATTGGTATTGGCGAATTGAGCCTGGGGTCAAATTATATTGCGACATTACTTATGATTCCTTCCTGTACATGGAAAAACACAACAAACAATACGGCTTTGTTATCACATTAACCGAGTTACCGTCAACTATCCCTAGCTTATGGAAGCATGTGCTATATCATGTCAAAACACGGCACATTGATATCAAAAACGACAGAAAATTATCATTTCCATACTTTCTGAACAAGAATGGGATTACAATAGGTGCCATTTCTGGTCTAATTTCGAAATAGCATCACTCAACCTGTGGCGCAGCCCTGCGTACAGGGATTTTTTCAATTACCTTGATGAAACTGGCAATTTCTTTTATGAGAGGTGGGGCGACGCACCTGTACACTCTTTGGCGGCTGGGTTGTTTCTCGATACAGATCAGATACATTATTTTGAAGATTTCGGTTATCAACATGATCTTTATCACCATTGTCCCAGCAAAAATAGCCAAATGAGATGCCGTTGCGATTGCCCTGTTGGTACCAATAATGAAAACATCGATCATAACCAAAATTGGGACACCTGCCTTCCTAACTGGAAAGCATGGACCAAATCTGACAAAGCCCGTAAGGCTGAGTGAGATCTTGGCTACTTGGAGGCTTATTTATCCTCTTGAATTCAGCTATATGTATGAAGTGTACTCATAATGTTTAGAAGCATTATGGCAATAAATGCAACATCAATCATTTAATCACGAAAAGAACAAGACAGGAAATCGTCAATGGGATTACTACTAGTGATGAATTAAGAAAGCATGTTAAGTTCATTTTATTTGCTTGGAGAAATGACACATAATATATGTATAGGTACAGATTTAGGGTATTTGAGTGAGGAGTAATAGAGACAAGAGATGGAATATTAATCTAAGGATAAGGTTCTGCCACCAGCATTTTCCTCAGTGTTTTGCGATGGTTCATCTGCTCTCTTCAACAAATGAGGTTTTAGGCCTTTATCGAAATTGTACCAGCAAATAGCAGCATTTACTGTCGTCAATAGCAGTAGAATCAAAGTTACACACGCTATATAACATTTAATTAATGAGCTATGATATAAACTTCATGATAGCTTTTGATCCTTACCAAAAAAAGTGAGAAATTCTTTCACAAAAAGATACTTTTGTTGCTGTGATTCATCGTACATTCGATATAACTTGAATATGAAATAAGCTACTCCTGCCGCTAAACCAACAAAAAAAAGAGTAATTAAAGGTTTTGACTCATGTTTAACCTATGATGAATAAAAACTAATTAGTTGGATATTCTAATAACATGCATTGGAGATTAACACTTGCAGCGTACACAGCCAATACTAGCACGAGACAAGTCAATGGCAAGGCAACGATGGTTAATGGATATTCAACATCTCCTCTTTGAAGCACAAGAACCAGGTACTGAATCGAGAAGCCCAAAAAGAAGAAAATATCTAATTTGAGAATCGTCAAAAAGATTTGATACCATCGGTACATATCTACATTTCTTTCATTTAGTCAATTGACATGTTGTCCTTGATTCCGCACCTACTTCTGACATCTGGATCAGCACCAATTTTCTTGTAAATTCTCCAGCTATATCATTCATAAATTAATGGCAGGATCTCACCTGTAAAGACATATGACACCTACCCAAATTCAAGATACAATCTGGCTCCCAAGTAAAAATATACTAATTGACAGATACCGATAATTACAGGATTTGCAATCATGATCTTCTGTAGCTCCCAGACAAAGGCACGATCGATGCTTTTGTTGCTAATGAGTGCTTCTGCTATTTGCTTGAATTGAAATACGGCATAACTGAAACAACATAAATTGAATAGAATAAAGGCGATTACTTGAATGGTGTTCTTATTATGGACCTAAATATATATTAATAAATAGAGAGATCATGAGTTTTTTTTTTTTTTTTTTTTTTTTTTCTGATTATTTGGGAGGTCAATACTCTACCGCATCCCAAGCAAGTGCCACCTGAAATATTAATGAGAAAATGAATATAATGAGATACACAGGTATTCCTTTTGTCAGCCCTTCCTCTATATTGACAGTGATGCTTTAGCGTATCAAGACGAAAAATGTTAACTTTCATATGAAAAATCGAGATATTGTAACAATCTTGTACCTTTGTTTGAATTTTGCGAATAGTACAGCTTCCAGTATGATAACCACCACCGCTTCAATGATGGTGAGTAATACTAGGTACAGTGAGTTTTGTGTTTTCCATAATGACTAAATAGTAAAAAGAACAACATTATATATTTAAGCTAATTATGAATGAAGTTGTGTATCAAACACAAAAAGGAAACAAATATTACTGTGAATGCCGTTTCTCTCCTCTCAAGTTTGAAATCATTACTGGCTTTATCGTTGTTTTCGCTAAGGAAACTTGTTGATGAATATGAATGGTGTTGTTGCATATCGACTTTTCAAAGAGAAAGTGAAAAAGTACGATATTATATGTATGAAATAAAAATAGAAAAGAGAAGAAAGAGGAGAAAAGGCTAAATGTTGTAACTCAATTTTTTGTTCACAACAATCCTCTTTCAGTCTTGAAGCTACATACACACACACACACACACACACACACACACACACACACACACACACACACACACACATGAAATCCAAAGAAAGAAAAGATTCCATGTCTCCAATTATATAAACGACAGTATAATTTCATTGTGCCTGTGAGCTCCTAGGACTCCATTTGCTTCATTTCTATTCTCATTCGACTCAATGCTCTAATTTTTCTGTCCAGCTTTGTTATTGGGTCCAGCATTGTGGAGATTGCAAGCACTGCTCATCAAAAATCAAGCAATGTTATTATCTCTTGAGTACATGCCACTTATATGATTACTCATTAAGCACAATGCTTTTCTCACTACTGAAGTATCTGTGTAAAAGAATAAGAATTCATCAGCTATATTGTTTTGTATATTTTGCAAAATAGGAAAGCAGTAAAGCGTCTCATCATGCGTAGGTGCGCCTGGACAAGAAGCTGAGAAAGACGAACAACTATGTTCTGTGATGGCTAGTATTATTGGGTTTAGCGATATAGCTACTTACACTGCCAATAATATTGCTCACGATTCAAAGAACTGGACATTGCGGAAATATGCATGCCAGATAATTAATGAATATCTGCCTATTAAAGCAATTAACTGGAAACATATACATAAATGCTCAAACATAAGCCGATGCCCGTCTACAGATCTAAGAATGTAGGCATGGTTTCTATATGTTCATGACTACAAGAATTCCATTGATATACGCCTTGGTGAAGTTCATCAGATCTGCAAGGAGATTTGCAATGAAATTGTGTCCTTACAAGCTGCAATTGATCAGACTGTTAGAAATTCGTACCAACTGTATTAGTATCAATCACAAAAAACGCCAGAAAGCCTCATTGAAATGGCAAATGCCAAAAATCTGATGGATGATCCATACAGGTAAGTTGCTATACAGTATATATGAAACTCCGACGTTTTCTGATCTGCTGTTTTCAATGCTCAGGGCAGGGTGGTTACGGCGTAGAATCTCGGTCGATCTTAGCTTTACATTAGAAAATCAATATCAGAGAATCCAAAAATATTATTAAATGCAAGGTTTGAGCTGTTTTTATTTGTATTCTAAGCAAATTGAACAGATCTGCCAAGGAAGTTCAGAAGGAGAAGCCAATCACACCTACTTTTCTCAGTTTCATCGCATGAATACCACCAAATGCGATGCTTAGCAAAAGAGAGATCAGTTTCTACTCATAGCTTCTCTGATATTACATTAAATATTATGCCTTCAAAATCAAAAAATCATTTTATGAATCCAAAATTTATGCCCAATGTAGGCGGGATGAAGAAACGTTTAGGAGCCACATCATTGGATGATCCAGGGCAAGACGCCTGAAGAAAGGTATGCATCGCAGCAGTCCCAGCGATTAATTTTTTACGTGGCTTAGAATTAATAAAAAATTTGCTTGCCAAAGGGTAATCAGTTTAGTTCCTCCTCTTTCCCACTACTTATACACAATGGAGAACTCTGAAGGCCAAGTTATCGATCTTTACATCCCCCGCAAGTGGTAAATAACAACACAATCGAGAGAATGGATGAGGATTAGACGATATTAACGAGATCAATTCTCTCAATGTAGCTCTGCCACCAACCGTCTCATCACTGCCAAGGATCACGCTTCCGTTCAAATCAACGTTGCTGATGTTGATGCTGAGGGCCGTGCCACCAACTCTTTCGCCACCTATGCTTTCTGTGGTTTCCTCCGTAAGGAAGCTGAGTCTGACGATGCCCTTAACCGTCTCTCTCAACAAGATGGTTGTAAGTATTTGAAGGTTTTTTTTTTTGGGTAAAATGTGGTTGTGATTGACACCCACTCTTTTTGTAGACTTGAAGAACGTCTTCTCTTACCAACAATAAATCTAAAGACACAACTTTTCTGTTTTTTTCGTATCCATTGGATGTGGAAAGAATTAGAAGCTCTTTAGACATTGTGTAATTTTTATTTTACATCCGGTTCTCGCATTTGAATAAAAATTTTAAGGTACACTTTTTTTGTTTAAATCCTTATCGTGTTGCGATTGTATTCGGGTTTGTGGATTTAGGGAAGGAAATGGGATGCATATGGGCTTACATAATGCGCGATTGTGCTTCACGTTTTAGACGTAGTCTAATCTGCTCCGAGCTTCCCTTTGCAGTTCACTATAGCTAAAATAGCACACCTTTGAGTAGGTTAAGACATTGGCCGAGATGAATTCATTTCTGGCAGTAATCACAGGATAATTCTGTCCTGTCTATTTCGAAATGCGTCCAATCATTATAAAATGAGGAGATGGACAGATTTCCACATCACATGTGTGATAAAGTTTTCTTTGTGCAATTGCAAGCTACAATATGAATTCATTGTATTCACAAATGTCCATCTAATGATCAGAATTGCAAAGCAGATGAAATGTTTGAATCTATTTTTGATCAATGGGTGAGATCCAGTTACTATTATGCGGAGGCTTATGTTCAATGATGGAGGCGATGGCAAATGCTGAATGTACACTCTAGTATGCTTATAGAAATCCCTTTCTTGTTCTCCTCAGCCCAAATCAATTTTTCTCATACGAATATTTAGTGTCCTCAGATTATGTTACAGTGATTTTGTTATTAAGCCTGATATCATTGATATAAAAAACCCTTGTATTTTTCCAATTTATGGTAGATCCGATTATATTCTGTAAATCTCAAAGCATTGCAAATCCTTCAGGACAAACATCAGAGATTTGGAAAAAGAAACACACAACTTTAGGTTTTCCAAGTGTGCATTTAGAAAACTTACCCCTTTTTTTCTCCCTGTCAGTAACCATAGCAGCTACTACGTACATCAGCAGCGGCAGGCAACAGCAACAGCAATAGCAGCATTTAGTTGTCCAAGCGATAGACATATCTACAGCAAAGCGCACACAAACACACCAAACTATAGATTTACTCCCCTTTCTTCTATCCTTCTTTTTTTCTTTCTTCTTCCCCCTTTTTTCCCTCTTTTTTGCTTTTTTGCTTTTCTCTTTTCTTCATATATATATATATATGTGTATATATATATATATATCATTGTATATAAGCCATCTCCACATATACGTACACACACAGCAATGGTCAATACTCAGCGGTCTTTATCTGCATTTCTCATCCTATTGTGCTGCTATATTAACCTAATTACATGTCAGCAATGCCTATCACTGAATGGATCAAATACTTGCACCATGTTCAACGCAGCGCATATTAGTATACGAGACTCAGAGTTTATCGCACTACCTTGGCTAGTCAATGTTTCTACCGTAGCCGAATTCGACCACCAACTACTAAATTACGTCAACTCATCCACTTTTTGGAATCTGGAATTGGGATGTAAGAGCTCAACAATCCACAATAGAGCACGTTATGCTGTAAGCCTCACTTGTGCAACCATCGTATTCGATACTAAATCATCGCTGCCGTGCAACCCTGAAAATAACACGTTGCCTATACCACTCTGCCAATCTACCTGCGAATCGTACTCAAAATCAGTGCAGTCAATACTAAGCTCATCCCCTTCAGATAGTATCTGTAATCTGAATGGCGGTAGTCTGATAACTGCCGGCTCTAATAGCTTATCCCAACAGTGTAACACCAATGAAGGCTTAAAGGGTCTTCCCTCAACTGGATGTATATCAGGAGCAGACCATGAAGTTTCAATGTGTGGTAAGGAAACAAAATTTACCCAGTGATTCAAACTATGCTCAATCCACTATACATAATAGGCTTTGGAGAAGATGTAGAAACACTTTGCAGGTACTGCAATGAATACGACTCCACGTTATCCTGCTGCAAAGAGCAAAGTTGCATCAGAAACAAACCCATGGTCTTGAGCGGTGGCGTGATTGCAGGCATTGTGGTTGGAAGTGTAGGTGGACTCTGTCTATGTGGATTCATAGCGTTCTGTATCATACGACGAAAGCAAAAAAAGAAGCGTAGATCAACACACCCTAATGATTTCATGTACAGCCGCAAAAACTCTAAAGACCTCACTCGCATGATGTCTTGCAACCTTCCAAATTCAAGCTCTACTATCATGATGAACAATAATAATACTCCCGAATCTCATATGATGAGACACGTATTTCCAATCGAAGATGAAGATTACATGGAGGTCGTGCCTGACATCAACATGAATTGCGATGCTGAAGCTGTCAAGGGACATGTATTCAAAGTGAATTCCTTGGAGAAGCAATTTGTCAGAGTCATTTATCCACTGAAAGCACCCGAGAATCCAGACGAACTAGAACTACTAAAGAACGACATCATTAGAATGTATTATTATTTCGATGACGGCTGGGCGTTTGGTATATTAGATTCTTCAAGTAATCTTTGGGTATGTGTACTAATGATTTGACTCGATTAGGCGATAACTTTGGTTCTGGTCTTCGCGGATTGTTTCCAATCCTATGTGTAGTCAATCTGACACAAGAAGAGGTGCAAGAGTTGATCTATCTATCAGAGCTAACAGATGAGCATTTAGTGGACAACGAGAATGGCGACGGAGGGGAGCAATACTATAGTTCAGTTCGCCATTTCTCCACAGGCGTACAATACGATCTAGATCCAAGAGCCACAATCCGATTACAGAACCTACGTCGAACCATGACGTTTAGAGAGAAACATCATACCCCCACATCAGAAGAGAACAACTTCCACTACCTTTGTGCGGCGTCTTTGTCCACATCTCCGATACATCCTACTATGATTCACAGCAATAATAATAACAACATCAACAATGGACATGCAGGAGAAGGAGTTCCACCACTAAGAACAGCATCAATGCATGCTACATATAGCCCTCGAAGGTCTCGATATTCAAATATCTTGCAGGATCCCCTCCATATGCAAGAAGAAGAGTATTTTAGATCAGAGTCATCTGGGAGCACTGCTATTGTGAATAATACCCCTGATAGTAAAACCTATTTGAATGGCCACTAGCTTGGTACAGCTACTTTAAACTTCTATAGCCACTATTACTATTATAAAAGTTAGCTTTTTTCTCTTTTTGTACTGGCCATTCTGTATGAATAAATGCACGTAAATAAAGTGCCTTTCCTTTCATGTCGAGAATGATACTGAAGGATTACAGTGACAATCAGCTCGTGTTCTAATTTTACCTCTATTAATATAGGCCACTTGAATTCTAAACGTATTGCCATGATGAGCCATCCAATTTTAATCTACTGCAATAAAAAATATAGCCGATTGTTTTTGGAGCCATTACCTTGCAACCGTTTATCACTGTTCTAATGGCTATTCTTCATCTAATCGTAATTGCGTGCTGGCGATCTTTTGACAGATTTGTAATCCTGCTAAAAACGGAGATTCAACGTTATTTCATGGCAGAAGACGAAAATTTTCATTCAAGCTCTCTTTTTCAGCACCATCTATCGAATAATGAAAGAACTTGTTACCAACACAGATCCCAACCGCTCCAGAAAAGAGTTTTATCAAGAGCTCTTGGAACAAATCCAATGTATCTGTGAAAATCAGTCATTTTGGGTAAGCATTTTCATTCTCCAATGTCAAAGACATCATAAAACATTAACGAGATGTGCAGGTAACCAACCTTTCCAATGCTTCTGCTGTCATTTACCATGCTTTGATATCGCTCGAGCATTTCCAAATTAAACCCATTAACTGGTGTGGTTTCTATATTACCGACCCTAAAAATGATGAATTATTAATTCTCGGTCCTTTCCAAGGAAAGGTGAGATACGATTATAAATTGGGCGACTGAGACAACAATTTCTGACATGTTATATGATGATTAGGTTGCCTGTACAGCTATTCCATTTGGTAAAGGCGTTTGTGGTGCTGCTGCTGCCACCAAACAATCCCAATTAGTCCGTGATGTCCATGAATTTCCTGGCCACATTGCTTGTGATTCAGCCTCAAACTCTGAAGTTGTCATCCCACTGATCAAAGAAAACGTAAGCTATTTTTAACCCCACAGGAGATTGCTTGACTAATTCAGTACTCATGTAGCGTGTCTTGGGTGTTTTGGACATTGATTGTGAAAAAGTCGAGGGCTTTACTGAGGAGGACAAGGAAGGACTGCAAGCAATTGCCGCTGCCATTGTCGAAAGCTGTGAATGGCCTTAAGCTCCTTCTGTTTTCGTGTGTTTGTGTGTAGATTATAAAAATAGCAACTTTTTTCACTTTGCCTCACAACACTCCTTCAATGAATAAACAAGTTGCTGTTGTTGCCGTTGTTGATTAATTACTGAATAGACTTTTTCGTAGCTGGTCCTTCCCCTTTTTCTGGAATATGTTAATTAGCATGATTTCCGTAATAAGCGCTTTAGCCCACATCTCCTTAATGAAAACCATGATAAGCTCCTTCTTTTTGCGTCTACCTTTGGTCCAGTTTACCATGATGATGATATAAATAATATCCATAACTTTGCAATGGTAAACCCTCTCTTTTTCTTTCTCTCTCTCTCTCTCTCTCTCTCTCTCGTTTCTCTGTTTCCATATCCAATCCTTTGCTCTTCTCACAGTTCTATAGACCCACATCTTCTTACTGTACTCTTATTATAAACAACTTACATATTAAATATTAAATAATGGAATTTCTGGTAACATCTAAGCCTTCGTCTATGCTATCTAATGCTTCTCAAAAAGAAGAGGTAAAGAAAACAGTGTATTGCAATTCCTAAAATACCTAATGTAATTGAAATTAAGGTACCTGATGCTGTAATGAGCATGAATAGTACTCATAACAATTTTGACAACTCCCTGTTACGACATTACTCTTTACTATCATCTTCTCTTTTGATTGAAGAAGATTCCTTGATTGAATCATTACCGTCCCTGTACTTTAATGAAGATGATAAGAAGGAAGACACGGAGGGAGATGACACTGAAGAAGACGATGATGATTACACCACTGTAAAAGAGCAAAAAGCGCCACCTGCCGGCTATACAAATATGACATTTTGCTTTATCAAAAAAGCAGCAGCAGCAGCAGCAGCAGCAGCAGCAGCAGCATCAGCACCCCTTTTCCCTTCTTCTTCCTCTTCTTCTCAATCAATAACACCTCTACCTATACAAACTTATTCACCGCAATTGAACCTGAGTTTATACTCACCATCACCTTCAGTTGCTTCCTCAATAAGAAGCACCAAAAAAAGTCGCAGCAGTACTAGCAATAGCCATCCTAGTTACTCTTTAGCATCTACTGCTGCTGCACCACCTTCCACTATCAAATCCTCCTGTGCTTCTGCTTCTGCTGCTTTTGCGTCCTCTGCTGCAGCTCGAAATCCAACTTTAACCTCATTTAACAACATCAAAAGACAAACACCTCTTTATTCCACTGCTACTCTTTCTTCTTCTTCAAAAATTACTTCTACCATCAAGATGGACATACGCTCTCCACCCCAGCCGTCGCAATCCACATCTCGTTTAATGAATGCCTTTCATCGATTTCGTAATTCTGCTTCCTCCTCTGCTAGTGCCATCAGCCAAAAGAATGCATCTTATCACCATCATCATCAGAATACAACAAATAGTGTAGCACCTGCAGAAATTGTATCTACCATGAAGCCATCTCCCTCCAAAAGCTCGCTGGCCGACAAAATCAAGAGTAAGTTCCATCAGCAATTAGATAAGAAAAAGAACAGAGCCAGCCTGGTCGAGCTATCTACCAAAAAGAGAGCCCTTTCCAATTTTACCATGTCTCGCTCTGCATCCCTCTCATCCATGACGAATTGGTCATCCCGTTTAAACGGTGGCAATAGCAACAAATCAACGCCTCTAAAGAAGGGTATCAATGCACACAATGACGAGCTGAAATTATCTCATTCTGCATCAGTCTCTTCGCGTCTATCGATATCTTCATCCCTTTCCTCTTCCTCCTCCAGCTGCTCCTCCTCCTCCTCCTCGCCTTCGCACTCCTTGAACTACTTATCTCAACGCAGCTCTAGAAATACATCGTTATGTATGCCGTCTCAAATCGCCACTAGTACGCCAGCAACATCGTCATCTGCATTTTCATTGACCAAGTCCATTTCTTCTCACCGTCTCTATAACAAATCCAGCAGTGAAGCAAGCAGTAGTAATAGCGATGCTGGCAGTAGTAGTAGACACAGCCACCAAGCAGTAACCAGACCAAGACAGCCGCTACGGGCTGTAAATCCCAACGATTCCGTGCGATTTGTTATGCGACAATCTTCTCCCATGTCTGCCAGTAGCAACGATAGAAAGAGTTCCTTAAAACAACAGCAGTATCAGAAAACGGTTGTTCGATTTTCCAAACTGGTGTCTGTCAGAGAGACTTATTCAAAGACTGATTACGATCGAGGCTCTAATCCTGATGCTGTGTGCACACGACTGACTCCTGTTATGGCACAACAAATCAAAGAAGAGCTAAATGCCTACAAGTTGCATGAAATGCAGGTTCATGAGTATAGCAGAGTACACACTCACTTCTTTATTTAATATCTTAGTTGATCCATATTTTGTAACATTTATCATTAAACTCGATACTTTCCCTGTACTTTCTCTCATCTTTTTTTTCAAGGGGCACTCAACGCAATTAATGCACACAACAAATAATAAATGGATAATTTGCTTTATTATAGAAAAAATTAATGTGTTTTTAGACGAACAATGTAATTTTTGATATAGATTTGAGTTTTTTTTTTTCATAAGTATCTACAGTTCCAGTTATTCATTGATTTGATTTGATTGATTAATTGATTAATTTGATCCATTTTCGGTTGAAGGATATCATATAAAGGATAAGTGGAGGATAAGAAAGAGGAAGGGAGGGAGGGTTTTGTCTACAAAAAGTTCCAATCATAATATGAAAGGGCATAAAATTAAGAAAAATATATAATCACACACAGAGAGAAAAAATTAATATATGTATAGAATAAAGTATAATAACAGAGCTATTTTCAGAAGGGATGAAATAAAAACATATGATTAAACAATATAATCACAAGGAGAGTAAGGGGTGGGGGGTAGGAAAGGAAGGTGTTTGTTTGTTGCCAATGCTGTTAGTAAGCAGCGACATCAAAAGTAGCATAATCTTTGATTATATCAGGAGGTTTTTTCAATTGAGCCAAAGGGACACATTGATTCGGCTGTACAAAAGAGGATGATGGATGTTTCAAAGTTGACAAGAAATAACCATGGTAGAGGCAAGCTAAATCACTGATGTGCGCATAAGCATCTTCTTTTGAGGTAAGCAGTGGCTCAGTTTTCGTTGGTAGTGGTTGGTCTAGAATCAATTGAGCCTTGGGTTGTTCCACTATAGTAGGTGGTGCATGACAAACAGTTTCATCCTTCCTCAGGTCGACCGTACGTTGTTTCTTGGCTGCTGCCACCACTGGTTGTACTTCTTTGTTATTGTGGCACAATAATAGATCCAATATAGCTTGATCACCAAAACAACAATCAACAGCTCGTTTGTTCCTTGCATTAGAGACATCTGATAAGCATCCCAGATCCAGCAAAGCCTTCACCACCAAATGCCTTTTAAGAAATACAGCCAGGTGTAAGCTGGTGTTTCCTTGGCCCCAGACATGGTTGATAAAGTGCTTGAGTTGAGCTGGAGTTGCATGAAGTTTCAGTTGTGCCAAAAGAGCCATGACCGTAGATTCAGAGCTGGTCATCAGAGCCAATTGAAGTAGGTTTAAATCAGTGAAGGATTTACCAAGGCACAGCATAGATTCTCTTGTCGCAGTGAGTCGGATCACCTTGTGTTGCTGAGATGGAGGATAGAGAGCAGCATCATTTGTGATTCTAGATGTCAGGGCAACTCGAACAATGTGCTCTAAACGATCATCTTTGAAGAACTTGATGAGTTCCTTCTTGTCATCACCTTTGACCAATGACTGAAGTGTACGCCATAGTTTTGCTGGAGAACAACAACTGGCAGAATTACAACCTTTATGTAGAACAGAAGGTTGTTGGCCAGTGTCCTTTGTCATTTTGAGATGGTGTTGTCAGAAAGCTTTATTTTCTTCACAGCAGGAATCTTGGTTTATAGCTGCAGTAGAAAGAAGTATAAAGTTTTAAGGAAAAGAAACAGGAAAACGAGAATCAAGCAGAGTATTTATATCACATTAGGTTTCAGTAAAATCGACATCTCAATTCTTTAGTATACACATTCAACAGGAATATGAGCTTAAGAATATAGCATAATAAACAAACAAATGTCCCATGCTTTTCTTCCCGCTTCTCTCCCTAATTTTTGTTTGTTTTGAAACAATTTTTGTAAATTGTGCTATTCTCATCTCAACCATAATCATAAAGAGACGCTCAGCCTAGCCTTGACACCACTCATTCATGTGCATGTTGATTCAATTGATTTCAATAAAGATGTATATATATATATATATATATATATATATATATATACAATAGACACATGAACATGTTTTTTTTGTGATAGTAGATTGTCAAATTGGTGTAAATGAAGGTGCCACAAATCGCTTTTTTTTTCTCATTGAAACAGTTATATACATATAAACACAACGCGATATTCATGCTTTTCATCTATATAAAGTTGGAGCATTCTTTGATTTGATATATACAAACTGTATGAATTTGAATCTACAGCAAAATCAGGCCCATCTTTCTTTCGTGGCTCAGGCTAATTCACATTTAGTCTTTTGAGATATCATTCGTCACTGAGCCATGTTGGAAATATACAAACGGTGGATTACGTATCGTATTACAACAACTCGCTTTTGAACACCAGGTTGACAATCATTTCGTAGCTTGGTTCTGTACGACAATTAATGCGAACAACTGTCATGCCTCGTAGCTCTATTTCTTGCTACTGTACTAATAATCCTCAATGCTTTTGATAAGCTCATGTTTAACAGCTCTGTTAATTGCATTTGCATCGAATATACACCAGTATATTCCTGATTACGATAATGCGTAATCATTGACAGCGAGTTGACTTCGATCCTACTAATTCGTATTGAAATGTCGTACTTTAACATTCTGTCCTAAAGTGAGAGCCTCTCACAAGCAAATCTTTGCGGTGAACTTACTTCTTCTGCGGTGCTGCACGTCTCAATTAATAAAACCAACTCACATACAGGCAGACAAAATACGGAATCATCTCTTATTACGCCAAAGTATACAAAACACAGCGAAATTTGAATGTATTTGAGACGTGTTTTTTCGTGCTAGAAGCTGCTTTAGACTGCTAGGATAGTACCAAACAGTTGCTCTTGCCTAGCGGCAACTTGCTGACGCTTTTGCTCAACTTTTTAGGGATCAAAAAAAAAAAGGACAAAAATTGACCAAAAAGCATGAGGTACCCCTCATGGTTTTCATCGAAAGTCAAACGATCGCGTTTTTTACCTTGATAATGAAGACTTTTACTACGGCATATATTGAATCAAAATGTTTCCCTCGATCCAAAGCAGCTCTGAAACCACTTTTATGAAGTTTTCTTATGCAAAATTTTGACATTTTGGCCAAAAACCTTATTTCATACTTTTATAAATTGCTCAATAAGTTCAGTCAAAACATCTATTTTACTTGGCATCATTGGAAGCGCCTTGAAAAGTACTCCAAGAAAGTATTAGGAAGCATCAGATGATCTTCACAAATTATATAGTCGAATATCACAAAACAGTTCAATCAAGTCGAGGAAGGACAAAGTTTGTCCAATCTTGAGCAGAAAAAAATAAGCTGCGTTTGAATTGATTTTGGCTTATGGGATAGGCTGGCCCTTCTAATAATCATGAAGACAAAACAGTAATAGATGCTTTTGAAGCGTATGGAAAGTAGGTGGCAAATTAAATAGCGCTATTGTTAGTCATGCTATTCTTCTTGTATTCTATATTTAATAGCGCCAGTCTACCAAAATACTTGTCAGATCAACTTCTTTCCTTTTTGAGGCTTTGAAAGTATCTAGGGACTGAACATTTATTATAATATGATATTAGTAAGGTTGATGTCAAGTTTGTCGCTTCGCACAATGGAAGCATTTTTTCGAGGCTTCAAGATTAAAATTTTTGACATTTATTGAAAAAACTAAAAAAATTAACTTATCGACTTTATTTCGACAACAGATAACGAAAAAAAAAAATTACTAACGTGTAGAGCATATCAAATTACATCTAATCAATTAGGACTACTTGCAAACTTGAATATCTACTTTAGGTCGAAAAAATCCTTCAAAGATCAAAATAATTCTAGAAATGGCCATATCGAACAAACAGAGCTTCATTTGACATAGAAATTGAAATTTCGACAAAGCTAAATCTGTTGATTTTGCTCCTGCATGGTGTTTCTATGGCAAGGAAAACGTAAGTATGCTGCCCTGATTTTTGTTCAAACATACTTTTTATTTTTATAACTACATAAAAGAACGCCGATTGGAATAATATCAAATGAATTACAAATTGTTTACTATACGCTAGCTGATCTATCTCGCTACGCTCAATGACGGCGTCGCTCTGCGGGCTCTCGCCGAAGACATTTCAAATCAGAGATATCAAGTAGATTTTAAACAACCAATGTAACAGTAAAAGAAAGGTTATATCAGAGTCAAAAGGGGAAGGTGTCCATTCGCTGATGCTGCTCTTGGGATGGTGACATAAAGCTGGCCATAAGTAAATACAGGACTTGCGTAAGACCTACTGTACAGCGACTTTTTTGAGAGATAACCATTGCAAAAGACACTTTTATAGGGAAAAACTCCTTAGAAAAAAAAAGTATTCGGGCTCATTTTTTCTTTCAAATCCATGATCCTCATTTGAACAGCAACGCAACCATCATCGCAACCATCATTGTCATTATCATTGTCATCGTTATCGTCATCATCAGAAAGGCATTTGGGCCAGCCAGCAGCAGCGCTGTCCGCCGCCAAAACCAATTCAAACGCAGCTTATTTTTTTCTGCTCAAGATTGGACAAACTTTGTCCTTCCTCGACTTGATTGAACTGTTTTGTGATATTCGACTATATAATTTGTGAAGATCATCTGATGCTTCCTAATACTTTCTTGGAGTACTTTTCAAGGCGCTTCCAATGATGCCAAGTAAAATAGATGTTTTGACTGAACTTATTGAGCAATTTATAAAAGTATGAAATAAGGTTTTTGGCCAAAATGTCAAAATTTTGCATAAGAAAACTTCATAAAAGTGGTTTCAGAGCTGCTTTGGATCGAGGGAAACATTTTGATTCAATATATGCCGTAGTAAAAGTCTTCATTATCAAGGTAAAAAACGCGATCGTTTGACTTTCGATGAAAACCATGAGGGGTACCTCATGCTTTTTGGTCAATTTTTGTCCTTTTTTTTTTTGATCCCTAAAAAGTTGAGCAAAGGTGTCAGCAAGTTATTACTACTCAAGTACAATTGTTTGGCGTTATTCCGGTGACTCATAAAGGTCTACATGCCAAGATATGAAGGCTTGAAAACTGTCAAGTTTGGTTATGTATTGGTTTATAGAGTTTATTTCCAGGGCATAAAACACATCTTTGGTAGCTGAAATTTTCTAGAAAGGCAGTTCTATAGCTTGAATTATTTTTAATTCGAATAAGAGGCACATTGATTTTGGTAAAGTTGATTCATTCAAATTTTGATGCGTTATATTGCTGGTAGGCTCGATAATGATGGAAATGAGAAACCGAATTTACTGCTTGAACACTATGGTTTTACGTCTTTACTTTGCTACGGTAAAGTCCTCTTATAGGTTAATGTTACCAAATGTTGAAATATATGCATTATGTTCTTTGGGGAGGGGCTTCTGATCTCTGATTGATCATTCTGAAGTTTATAGTTCATAGTTTTCCAGCATATACTGTACAGTATATTCGAGATGTAGCAGACAAACAATCTACTTTCTAAAGCTATTATGCGAGCCAATGCCTTCGTTATCTTTACATTCATCTTCGATATAGCTGAAATATAATTCATCCACACCACCAATGTATTTGCATCAATGACAAATATATCGAAGGTATCAATGGACGTGTTGAAACGAAGAGCGGATCCAGTGAGATTGTCTTAATCCTCATAGATAGCCTTATCAGCACCAATTTCCTCAGCAATTTCATCCTCATTACGGTTGTAAGCAACAAGCTCGCTACGAATAGGCATGACAATGCCATAGACATTGGGTATCGAATAGGGGAGCATAAGATGCAAAGCATACTTCGTTACCACTGCCTTCACGGGCCATCATGATAATTTCTTTGGAAATGGTACGTTTGGCAATGAAGTCTAATGGTTCGTCATACGTTGGTATGTGGTAAAGCCATTGCATTCAACTTTCCAATTCATGCAACTCACTTATTGCACAGGCATAATGAAGGTTCCTCCAACATATTTGTTTTTATTACAGCGTTTACGACAAGCAATGTTCAATTTGCGAGAGCATTGAAGAGCAGCAGCATATCTGGTATCATTGGCCGAAATTCTCTTCAACGACTAGGCAACAAAGAGAAGCTTGCTCACGAGTAATAATGGCAGCCTCACTAGCCTTTATATCCTCAAAATCGCTGAAACCCAAGGCTTCAAGAACAACGCTCTCGAAAGCCAGTATGTAATTGAAACCAACTTTTGTTTGACAACGGCCCAAGATCAAAGATCTGGTGCCATGAGGATCACGGAAGCCAATGATACCGAAGCCAGCAATTATAGCAACACAGACATAAATACCCTTACACTGAGCATACACATCTCTGATTGCGGTGGAAATATCCTCTCGTTGACTCTGTGTGATGGCAAGCAGATGGATGTTGGAGGTGTATGAGTGTGGATTGCGAAAAAACCAGATGAGCTGTATGACCCACATTAGGGCGTGGCTCTCAATCTGACAGATACCTTTTCAAATTGTCAGCCAAAATGTTCATTAGTAACTCGGTGTTGGTGTCTGTGAGCAACTTTGTCCATAAATTTTCTCAACTCACGAGCAATGGTCAAATTAACGCTCTAACAGAGAGTTTAGTTTGGCTACATGTGAATTTTCAATGTTACGATTTGCATGAGCAAAGGTGATACCATAGTGTGAATTGAAATAGAAGGGTTGAGCTTCAGACATGGAAGAAGTACCTGCTGAGGGGCCACGAACTACGCTCAAGGAGAGGGATGGTTTAGGTACACATCGTCCAACAAAAGAGCTAACCAACTCAACATGACCCACACCCAAACTACCAACCAAGCTGGGGGAGCTGCTTTTCCTTAAAGACATCTCTGGCCATACCACTTCCTTTACATTGGTAGAAACAATCCTTTACAGCACCCAGTGACGATAACAGCGGTATCCTGTTTTGCAAGACGTTGGTAATTGTTGATGACTACAATCATGAGCTTTGTACTTACTTGGCCCGATGTTGAAGAAGACCTAAACTTTCAGGACAAGCAGCCCGTTTGCATCGGCTAAGATAAGTGCTGAGATGTTTAGTTTGTAAAGGAAAATGTAGTAACAAAAAGCTGTGAGTTTCAGTTCGACCGGAAAACCAAATCAAATCTTTTGGTAATTCATCTTCCTCTATCACTCCATCTCGCCTGCTTGGTTTCTTTCTCTTTGTTCTCTCTATTCATCTGCCACACACTAGATGGATCGTTCTCTTCTTATTCTCTTTGGCTCAGAAACGGGCTGTGCACAAGATGTAGCAGAAAACTTGGCAAGACAAGCAAGACGTCGTCATTTCAAGACAAGAGTGATTGCCATGGATAACTATGACAAGGTAATACTTGTGCTATGATTATAAATACATATAGAAATTGATGTACTTATCCGTTGAATAGAGTCAGTTTGTAGAGGAAAAATTGGTCTTTTTTGTATGTTCCACTACTGGCCAGGGTGTAGAGCCTGCCAATATGAAGGTATGTCTGAAAGAAGGGCATGCTCTCGATTTGAATTAACAGTGAAAACAGAAATTTTGGAGATTCTTGCTTCGAAAAAATCTACCAAATGACATTTTGTGTGATTTAGATTGTGCAGTGCTTGGATTAGGCGATTCTTCGTATAGAAAGTAGGTTGCTAATCAGATTCTTACTAATTGTCATACATTGAAGCTGACCAATGATACTCGCACATAGGTTCAACTATCCATCAAAGAAGCTGTACAAGAGATTGTTGCAATTGGGTGCAAATATGATTGTTGACAGAGGAGACTGCGATGATCAGCATTACTTGGGGTAACATTGGATGCATATTGGTTATGTTGGGACCTTATATTGACGATCACTCTTTAGCTTGGACGGTGCATTTGTACCATGGGCAAAGAACCTATGGGATGTTGTGTTGGAGAAATACCCTACATCAGAGCCATTGATCCCGGACGATGTCTTGTTGCCGCCTAGCTTCAGGATGGAATTCATCACCGATGGTCAAGCACAGCCTCAAACAACACTTGCTGGCGAATTCAATCTCGTCGTGCAGAAAAACGAACGCATCACAGCAGACGATCACTTTCAAGATGTACGCCATATAGAGCTAACGTGTACAGAAGAAGATTTCAAATATGAACCCGGAGACATTGCAGTGATTACACCAAAGAACTTGGTGGAGGATGTCGATATGTTCTTTGAGCAATTGGGTTGGACGGAGCACGCTGACAAATTGATTCGATTTACACCTTTTGATGAGTTCCATACACTGCCAGCACATTGGCCATCGATCATGACATTTAGAGATCTATTTGTATGCTACTTGGATGTGTTTGGTGTCCCTCGTAGATCATTCTTTGAGATGCTGGCGAACTTTACTACGGATGAAAATCATACTGAAAGATTGCGCGAATTTGCATCGCCCGAGGGACAGGAAGATATGTGGGCTTACTGTGCGAGACCACGTCGACATATCGGTGAAGTCTTGTTTGATTTCAAGCCGTTTGATATTCCATTTGATTACATGCTCGATTTATTCCCTCAATTGCAGCCTCGGTCCTTCTCGATTGCATCCAGCTTGAATGTACATCCCAAATCCCTGGAATTATGCGTTGCAGTCGTCAAATACAAGACCAAAATGAGGAAGATCCGCCGTGGTGTGTTTACTAAATGGATGTCCACCTGGAAAGAAGGAGACGTGATACCGCGTGTCCGCATTGCAAAGGGTACAATGACACTGCCGCCCTCAGAGGATATACCGTTGATCGCCATCGGGCCAGGAACAGGCGTTGCGCCTATGAGATCATTTTTAGAAGAAAGGGTTGTTGAACAAGGAGCTACCCAAAACGTCCTGTTGTTTGGTTGCCGCTACCATGATAAGGATTTTTATTTTAAAGATCAATGGCAGGAATACGAAAAAAATGGCCAGCTTGTCTTGCTCACAGCATTCTCAAGAGATCAAGATAGCAAAGTCTATGTGCAAGATAAAATTCGACAGCATTCTGAATTCTTGTGGGATCTCATCGAGAACCAGCAAGCCAAGGTGGTGCTTTCGGGCTCCTTGGACAAGATGCCTGGTGAGGTAGCTTATGCATTCAAGCAGATATTTATGAAAGAAGGAGGATTAGATGCAGAAGAAGCGGAAAGCTATTTTTCAGACATGGTCAAATCAGGGCAATACCAAGAAGAATGCTGGAATTAACGCTTTTTAATAAAAATCGTATTTATCTGATCTTGCAACATATGTTTGAGCGATCTTTGGTAATGATAAGAGCAAGAACAAGAGAGAACATGGCCCGGACATTCAATAGATTCGAAACTTTATCAGTGTTTTCGAATTATACCATGATGCGATGGTCGTCACCCACCATCGAACTAAACAGCTCCCTTTTTTTTTTTCTTTTTTGTATTTCTCTCTCCTTGCTTTTTTTCATATTCTATAGACCTTCATTTCGACCATTTTGGCTCTTTCATTTGCTGCGATAAGAAAGTCAAAAGAAGAAAAAAGAAGAATCGAGTACGATAATTTGACGACGAGAAGCACCCACATCCATATACATCAACATGTCTGTGTATAATCATCGACCTATGGGGCCACCCACTCCCAGTCGCTTGATTGAATTATTAGATGCTGTGAAAGGCGAATACGACCAGCTCGCTCAGGAGGTGATTGTCTGCAAAAACCAAAGAGATGAATATGAGCACAAGAGTAAGTGAATGTGTGGATGGCTAGAAAAGCGCGTTGTATTAATATTCATCTAGTGAATAACCAAATCCAAGAGATGAACCTATTTCAACAAAACCTGCTTGACCTCGAAAGAAACCAACAAATGATCAAAAAACAGTAACTATTCACCGCAGACAACTTGCGAATGCTCGACATTGAATACTCTTTTTTTTTTTATTTTTTTATTTTTTAGATACGAGGAAGAAATTGCTAGACTTCGTCAACAGTTAGACCAGCAGGTAAAAAAAAAAAAAAAAAAAAAAAAAAAAAAAAAATAATAGAAAGTTGACCTTTTTCACATAGTCTCAACATCCTCAACAACACGGCAGCAGTGCTGTGGCTCCTCCCCCTCCTTCAGCTGGCGGCTATGGTGGTATGTATATAGAAATTTGCAGAAAATCGCCTATAATTGCAGAAAATTTTCTCACTCAACATGGATTGAATTAGGCCCTTCAGGATATCAGCAACAGCAGCAACAACAAGCACCACCACCACCCTCCTTGATGGAATCAAAACCTCCTGTACATCACCCATCTTATCCCGCTGGACCACCTCATCCTTCATCAGCAGTAGCCGGACCACCTCATCCTTCTGCTGGAACACCCTACATGAACGGTGGATCTCCTCTTCCATCTAATGCCCCACCACCACCTCCTCCTTCACAACGTAAGTATGAACAAGCAGCTAAGCATGCAGTAACTCATGAGTGACATCAGTTGCTTCTACTCCTGTCAAGTCTGGGGCTGGCCCTCTTGTGAGCAATTCATCAGCATCAGAAGCGCTTGGTGACATTAACCCTGAAAACGTACCCGCAAATATGAAGGTGGAAGGCCAAGATTGGTTCGCATTGTAAGTGCTGGATTTACGGTATCAGAGGGAAGAGAGAAAGGGAAGAATAATTGACCATATCTGTAATTTAGATTCAATCCCAAGGCTACTCGTTACTTGAAAGTGGATCTTCTTCATACATTTGATCATGGAAGCGTTGTTTGCTGTGTAAAGTTCAGTGCTGATGGCAGATTCCTTGCAGCTGGTTGTAATCAAGCAACTTACATTTACGACACATTAAACGCTACACGAGTTGCAGTGCTTCAAGATGCCAATGCAGGCCGTGATGGCGATCTGTACATTCGCTCAGTTAGTTTCAGCCCTGATGGCAAGTATCTCGCCACTGGCGCCGAGGACAAGCAGATTAGAATTTGGGATATTGCAAAGAAACGCATCCGCGGTATTTTATCTGGCCATGAGCAAGACATTTACTCTTTAGAATTCAGTCGTGATGGCCGTATCCTAGTTTCTGGATCTGGTGATCGCACTGCTCGTATTTGGGACTGGCAAACCAACCGCTGCATACATGAGCTTCGTATCAATGATGTAGAACAGCAAGATTTGGGAGTCACTAGTGTTGCAATCTCTCCTGATAGTCGTCTTGTTGCAGCAGGTAGCCTTGATAAGGTCGTACGTGTCTGGGACGCTGTTACCGGTCAGCTTTTAGAACGTTTAGAAGGTCATAAGGATAGCGTGTATTCTGTTGCATTTATGCCAGATGGCAAGACCTTGGTCAGCGGTAGTTTGGACAAGACCTTGAGGATGTGGCAATTGGGCACCAGTGAAAGAGCAGGTTATGGTACAGAACGAGGCAAGAGTGCATGCATTCAAGTGTTTACTGGACACAAGGTAATTGGGAACATTGCGCGTGTGGGATAATCTTGCTCATACAAAATAGGATTTCGTCTTATCTGTTGCTACTACACCTGATGGCAATTGGATTGTTTCTGGATCAAAGGATCGTGGTGTGCAATTCTGGGATCCTCGTACAGGTCAAACACAATTTATGCTTCAAGGTCATAAGAATTCAGGTAACAGATGAGAAAAAAGGTGGGGTAATGTGTGTGCCCTCTAATGTGTCTTGTCGTTTTTTTAGTCATCTCTGTTGCAACAAGCCCAGGTCATAAACCTATGTTTGCTACTGGTTCAGGTGACAATCGTGCTCGTATCTGGAGCTATGAACCATTGGGGCCAAATTAAATAAAATGTTCAAGAAAGATCACCTCATCGTATGTCTTCCCCGCATTTCGCCGTTTGTTGTGTTTGCCCATTATTGTACTACTTGTAATCAATGGACCAAATCAGTATGCTTTCTTTCTCTTGCTAGTCGTGTGTAGTTTTTTAATTTTTTTTATTTTTTATTTTTTTTTTTTTTCTTGGATTAAAAAGGTTCATATCCCCACGCTCTATTTTGCCAGTGATTGGGTTGTTTAAAGGACATGCATGGAGATGCCTGTTATAAGGAACAGCAGCCATGTTTGTTTGTGTACTGCTCCTAATGCTGCTTCTAGAATAACGCATGCATCTACCACCTTGCTAAAGCAGAATGGCGTATTTCATACCATTTCTGCTCAAAAGACAAATTTGCCTTATGAGAAAATAATGGATCTGAAATAGAAGCATTCCTCTGCTTCTCTTGATTCAGATTCAAAAATGTGGGGAAACTGGCTATAAGGTTCAGGATTGATGTGCCACATCAACCTGTTGTTGTGTGCTTGTAAGAAATGCGTGTGTGAATTATTTATTCATTACCTAAATATATGGTGACACCATGATTGTGTGGAGATTTAAGCTTTCCACACAATCTTAGGTAATCTATTACAATTTCTGTATGAACATGAACAGATCACATGAATTTATGCTACTCACTATAAAAATCCAAATCTGTTGTCTGCTTTTTTTCCCTTCTTTTCATTTCTTCTTCTAACATTATTAACACCATCTTGAATATGACCGTTGAATCTGCTCCTGCTGAAAAACTATACCCTGTGCCTGAACGCTTGTTGGCTGGTGGTGATATCCCAAAGCCCTTTGTCGCCAGTTTTGATGAATACAAGGCCAAATGGGAGGAGTCTGTAAAGGAACCTACCAAGTTCTTTGGCAACGTACGTATATAATACACAAGCACCATCCAAGTGTGGTCACTAACGCACATGCTTGTTATGTATAGCTCGCTCGCGAATTATTGACTTGGTCAAAGCCGTTTGAGACCGTTACTAGTGGTGGTTTCAATGAAGGCGATGTTGCTTGGTTTTTGGAAGGTGAACTCAATGTTGCATTCAATTGCGTTGATCGTCATGCATTAGCAACACCAGACAAGGTAAATTAGATACAGACAAGAGGGAGGTATACCAGTGGCATACTGAACTCAACGCCCTTCTACCTAGATCGCCATCATCCACGAGGGGGACGAACCTGAAAATGTTCGCAAGATCACTTATCGCGAACTGTTGCAAGAAGTAAGTCGCGTTGCTAACGTGTTGAAATCATTGGACGTCCGTAAAGGTGATAATGTTGCCATTTATATGCCAATGGTACCAGAAGCAGTGTTTTCTATGTTGGCTTGTGCTCGTATTGGTGCGGTTCACTCTGTCGTCTTTGCTGGTTTTTCTTCTGATTCGCTCCGTGACCGTATCAATGACGCTGGTGCTCGCATCGTCTTGACTGCAGATGAAGGTCGTCGTGGCGGTAAGAACATTGCTACTAAGCGTATCGTGGATGAAGCCCTCAAAGCAACTCCCACCGTCGAGCATGTCTTGGTGTTGCGTCGCACTGGCTCTGAAGTTCCATTTACCGCTGGTCGTGATCTCTGGTGGCACGATGAGATGGCAAAGGCTCGTCCCTATTGTGCCCCTACCAATGTGAATGCTGAAGATCCTCTCTTCTTGCTTTATACCTCAGGTTCCACTGGCACACCCAAGGGCGTTGTGCATACTACAGGTGGTTATCTCTTGGGTGCTGCTGCCACTGTTAAATATGTATTTGACTACCATGAAGGTGACATCCATGCCTGTATGGCTGATGTCGGATGGGTAAGCCTTTTTTAAGATGTCCAGGGGAGAGAAAATGCAGTATTTGTTAATTGATGTACATGATTACATTAGATTACTGGTCATACATACATTGTTTACGGTCCTCTTGCTTTAGGTGCCACTACAGTTTTGTTTGAAAGTACTCCTACTTATCCTGATCCTGCTCGTTTCTGGAACCTCGTTCAAAAGCACAAGGTCACTCAATTCTACACTGCTCCTACTGCTATTCGTGCTCTTCGTCGTTTGGGTGATAAATGGGTCCAACAAAACGATCTCTCTTCTCTACGTGTCATTGGCTCTGTTGGTGAGTCCATCAACCCAGAAGCTTGGGAATGGTACAATGAACAAGTGGGTAAGGGTCGCTGTGCTGTCGTTGATACCTACTGGCAAACAGAAACCGGTTCTATCATCATTACTCCTTTGCCTGGTGCTACTGCTACTAAGCCTGGATCCGCCACCTTCCCTTTCTTTGGCATTCAGCCCGTTATTCTCGATCCTGTCACTGGCAAGGAGTTGGAGGGTAACGATGTTACTGGTGTCTTGGCCATTAAGCAACCCTGGCCTTCCATGGCTCGTTCCGTCTACAACAACCACTACAGATACCTCGATACCTACTTGAATCCCTACAAGGGTCATTACTTTACTGGTAATATTAGATAATCCATTTTTGTTACCTAATGGACTGGTTTGTTTACTCGCTAAAAATAGGTGATGGCGCTACTAGAGACAAGGATGGTTACATTTGGATTCGTGGTCGCGTTGATGGTAATTGAATCTCATTTTAATACACCAAGTGAGAGCCACTTTCTCATGCACAAAATTCTTTAGATGTTATCAACGTGTCTGGTCACAGGCTCTCCACTGCCGAAATTGAATCTGCATTGATTTTGCATCACTCTGTCGCTGAAGCTGCTGTCGTTGGTGGTCAAGATGATTTAACCGGTCAATGTATTCATGCCTATGCTACCTTGAAGCCCAACATTGAAGACTCTGAGGGTCTCGACAAGGAGTTGGCGTTGCAAGTTAGAAAGGTGATTGGTCCATTTGCCACACCCAAGAAGATCTATATTGTCAACGATCTCCCCAAAACTCGTTCAGGAAAGATCATGCGCCGTATTCTTCGCAAGATTGTCAATGGCGAGCAAGATTCATTAGGTGATATCTCCACATTGGCTGAGCCTGCTGTGGTTCCTCATCTCATTGAACGTGTTCACGGAAAGAACTAAACAAATTGGTCATATCAATTATTTACTATATGCGTATGTCCCTTATAAGAAACATGTCTGAAAACCAACAAAAAAGAGCAAAAAAAAAAAAAGGAAATCACTCTATGATAACATATGTCTCTCGAAAACACACAAGGCATTCTACACTCTACATTCTCTTTCGACTCTTGTCATACCCTATTCAATAAAAAATAATCAAATCGCATTATATTCGATCCCTCCTTGTTGAGCATTGCAAACATCCTACTGATGTACACTAAAATTTCACTTTCTCATCTTCCCCTGTTTGCAGGAACGGATCTGTCTCTTCTGCGAAACCCCATGTCTAAATCAAAAAAACTAATTTATATTCGGATAGACACAGCATAACGGCATTACCTCTTACTACTCGAATATGTACTATTTACAGCGAAATCTGGGCGCATTTAAGCAATGGTTTCTCACGTTGGAGGCGGATTCAAACCGCCGGAATAGCACCAAACCATTTCTCTAATCTAGCAATAACTCAATGACACCTTTGTTCAACTTTTTGGGGACCCAAAAAAACATGGCTAAAAATCGACCAAAAAGCATGAGGGGTACCTCATGGTTTTCATCGAAAGTCAAACGATCGCGTTTTTTACCTTGATAACGAAGACTTTTACTATGGTGTATACTGAATCAAAATGTTTCTCTCGATTCAAAGCAACTTCTGAAACCACTTAAATGAGATTTTCATATGTAAAATTTCGACTTTTTGGCCAGAAACCTCTTTTCATGTTTTCGTAAATTACTCGATAATTTCATTCCAAAAACTTTTTACAATTAGCATCTTTGGAAGCGCCTTGAAAAGTGCTCCAAGAATGTATTAGGAAGCATCGGCTGAAAGCAACATTTCATATAGTCGAATACCATAAAATAGATTAAAGAAGTCAAAAAAGGCGAAATCCGTCCAATCTTGAGCAGAAAAAATAAGCGGAGTGTCAATTTATTTTGGCTGTTGGCGCTGGTGGTGGCTGCCCCAAATGCCTTTCTGATGATGACTATGATAATTGCGATGCTGTCCTTCTGGCTCTAATATAACCTTTCTTTTACTTATAATGGATTGTTTAAAATCTACTTGATATACCGAAAATTATCAAATCTGATTTAAAATGGCTTTGGCGAGAGCCCGCAGGGCGACGCCGACATCGAGCGTAGCAAGGTAGATCGGTTAGTGACATTTTATACTCTGGAATTGCTTTTTTTGTATGGATAAAGATCAAAGCCCAATGTTGATGTTGTTATTACCTACATCCATGGAAGCTACCAGCAGTAATTCAATACGAAATGAAGTCTAACACCAACGCTTTGACTAGAAACTTTGGCATTATCGCGCTCGCTTACATTTAGAAGCAAATTTCGATCTGCTTTCAAAAAGAATGACAGCCACTACAGAAAAAGAGGGGCGTGGAGCCTAAGCCGCCGCCTCCTCCATAGTAGAAGCAAAAACTTGCTGGCAAGATCAACACAAAAGAAATAAAGGCAAGCAATTGATGATAGACGTTATTCAAGAAAATGTTTATTAAGAAAGAAAAGATACCACTATAATTGCAACTTTAGGAAATGAACATCCATTACAGATGGACATTTGCAAGATGATAACAACTGAATCCTTACAACAAGACATTTTGCTATGATTTATACAACCCTCAGCCAGTGTGAATACAACTCTCACGATGTGTTCAAGTAATATGAATGATAATTCAGTGTCATCATCAGGCGGTATAAATCAATCAGAGCAAGATGCGTGCCAGGACTACAGTTTAAATCACCTCATTCAGTCGCAATGTATACGTATTGCACTAGAAAAACACGACCTCACCCACACAGTACAGAAGATCCCACCTTTGCAAAAGCAAATAAAAAAAAATAGTTTTAATGATGACTTTCTTGAATACTTCTAACGCAAAAAGATACAGTCCAGAGACATTCTTGAAAGTCGAAAATCGAGAACCTTCTTGGAAAAGGAACCAAACGCAAGCACAGAAGTGATGCATTTAGGCAACCATAGCAGAAGCAGTGGCAGACTCACTATTAGAAAGAAAAGATAGAGGGTTAAGGTAGACAGTTACCGAGCTCGCTCAATTCACTCGAAAGCAAACGAGACGTTGACTCTTGACATAATGTCCAATATAGGCAGTAATCGAATTGTTTTTCCCATCCCATCACACACACGCACACACTAAATGTTAGTACACAACAAAAACACAAAAAAGGATACTATTTCCAGGTAGGAGGGAGTTGACCAGCAGTCTTGTAGTAACGAGCAAGACGGTGGATACGAGATTCGATGAGAATCAAACGGTACTTGGAGTCCTTATCCTTTCTGTTACGTTCCAAATGCTTACGGATGGAGACAGCCTTCTTGATAAGATGGTACAAATCCTCAGGGACCTCAGGAGCAAGACCGTTGGACTTGAGAATACGGAGAATCTTGTTACCAGTGATGGACTTGACTTGAGGAATACCGTTGGAGTCACGGAGGAGGACACCAATTTGAGCAGGAGAAAGACCCTTCTTGGCGTTCTTGCAGATTTGCTCAACAACCTCCTCGGGGGTAGTCTTGACCCAAGAGGCAGGAGTGCGACGGTAGGGGAGGGCACTACCAGAGATACCCTTACCAGAAGTATACATACGACCCATTTTGACTAGTTATTAAAGATCTCGAAAAAAGATTGGGAGAAAGAGAAGGATTCAAACAATTTACGATTTTGGAACTGCCATTTATTTGACAGGTTGAAAAAATTTTTTGTCTGCACAAGTGTGGCTTCCTAATGACCGTATTTCCTTTCATTCGCTTTGCATTGTTGTTGCTTGGTAAATGTCAGAAAAGTTTTGACCTTCAGCTTGTTCTTTTTTAAACTACTCGAAATGTCTTCATTGAAACAGCAGTTGAAGAAGATTGGTACCCTCGACCTGCGCAATGTGAGCGAGGCATCCAGAAAGACCAAGGCTTCCTTTCTCTTCAGTGCTCGTGAAGCCGCAGATCAAGATTTGGAGACCATCTACTCCATTGCCTACAATGGTATCATGGAGCTTGTGATCCTCGATGAAAAGTTCTCTGCTTTCGAAAAGACTCTCTTCTCTGAAGGCATGAAGTCTGTGGATAGAATCCTTCAGGTAACTGGGATAACGCTTAAGTAACATGTGAGCCGATAAATTAACATGTGCTCTTCTTTATATCAGACCAAAGAAGAGAACGAGAAACTCGACACTAGCATCAACGCTTTCCTCTCTCAACTTTCACCTTATTTCTTATTGAAACCCTCTGGAAAGGTATTGGAATACCTCATCCGTCGTTTCCGTATCCAAGATTTCAATGTAGAATCCATCCTCAAATGCATTCTGCCTTACCACGAAACCAAGTCATTTGTCAAGATGATCTCTATCCTCAACATTGGGTAAGAGCGAGACGTACAATCAGCCGTAGCATAGATGCATATGATGCTTACACACATCTTTTTATCTAGTGAGAAGTCGCCCTGGGAGTTCTTGAAGCCCATCAAGAAGAGCATGCTTCCTCTTGAAAGATCTCTTTTGGTTAAAAAGATGATGAAGGACAGATACGTATTCGACTTTATCTGCAAAATGGTGACTCAATCTCTGGTGCCTTATCAAACACTCTACTCGTTCTACACAGCACTCTTAACAGATTTCATCAAATTTGCGCCCTCGGTTACTGCGGACATGACCATCGCCCTCATGCCTCATTTGATCGACGGCTTGAAGGCCAAAAAGTTGCCTGAATTGCAATTAGCTACCTACATGATTGTCTCTCAACTGTCCTCTAAAGCCACTTTTAGCAAGGAAGGTGTAGAAGCACTTGCTGACACCATGCTGAGAAACTACAAGAAGTCATGCTATGCCTACTGCTTGCTCACAGTCGTTCATCTCTGTCAAACACAAGAAAGCTTTGAATCCGTCTCTAAGAACGCACTCAACAGCATGTTTAACAACACTCGTTTTGAGCAGACCCTATTGGAAATCACTGACAAGTACGCTACAGATCGTTTTTTTGCTTGTTTCTTGAAGGATATCAGTCATCAAGTAAACTGCATCAAGTTGCTGGAAAGTTTGGTGCTGCAGGGCTATCTCTCCAGCGAGAATATCTCTCGTTTGTGTCAGTCTATTGTGGATAGCTATGTTGCTTTGGCTGGTGGTAATCAGGAGAAGAAGCAGGAGTTTGTCTCTCAGTACCAATCTCTTTTGGCCATGATCTCTCAACGCTATGTGGAAGAATTGGATGTGGTTTTGGAATCCCAGTTAGCTGTGACAAAGGACAGTAATGCTGCCATCAACAAGGAGCTCTATGAATTCACCTCTTCTGCTTTCAAGGGTACTTTGCACGAAGTTGTTCAAGAAGCCAACACGACTCTTTACCTTTGTTTGAACAGCCCTGCAGTCAATAACCGCCTTTTGGCTTTAAAGAAGTTGGTGTCCATCATTGATGACAAGTCGAATCCCTTGACTCAAACTCCCGACATCTTTGAGTCCTCCTTGGCTGCCTGTTTGGACAAATTCAACGCACTCTTTACGTACGCGATTGAAGAAGTCCCTAACCACTTGCTCAACTATGTCTCTGCTGACAAGATCTTGGCTTCCATGGTCCGTCTTTTGGAAGAGCGTGGTGCATTCAATTCCAAGGATGCTGTCTCTGTTCTCAAATTCTTGCTGTCCGATTTCATCAAAAAGCATCCCGAGCAAGACTTCCAGGTCGCTCGCATCCTGTCTGTCTTTATCTTTTCTGCCTCCAGCAATAACCTCACTAACCTATTGAAGCGCATGGGATCCACTCATTTGAAGCAAAGCCCTGTCTTGGCGGCCATGATTGACCATCTCAAGGCCGCTGTTAAGGCTGAAGATACCTTCCAGGTGCCTACCAAGTTTATCAAATTGCAAGCTGATCTGATCAAGCAAAACAAGAAGCCCGAGTATGCTTCTTTCTGGATTGAGATGGTGCAAAGTAAGTCAAAGGGTGAGAGTATTCTCGGTATGCTGGTGATCGCTTTGGCAGTTTCTCTTGTCACCAAGGAACAGGAGCAATATGCCTTGGGGTTGAATGCTCTGAATGCCGTCTTGGTTGCTGTTCATAGCAAGTTGGATCTATTCTATTCCACTAAATTGAAGAGCGGCTTCCTCGATGAGAGCTCTGCTGCTGCGGGTTTGCCCTCCAAGGAAGTCATCAAGCAGCTAAGAAACGTGGAAGATGTGCCTGCTGCTTCCTATGTTCAATTGGCCCAATTCGTTTTGATCACCTTGACCCACTCTATCCATCGTCCTGAGACACCCATTGACTGGTATCGAAGCAACACTGCCAATGCTACTTATATTGATTTAGTCAGCAAACTCTTCAAGACCTTTGTCAGCGGATCCTCCATCGTTGCTTTTGAAAAGACCATCCCTCAACTCATTCAGGCTCAATTCAATGACGATTTGCTTCGTTTCATTACCAGTGTGTGGTCCAACAGTGACAATACTTACATTGTCCGTGCGCGTGCTCTGCAAATTACATCTGCCTATCTTGGCCACTACATTGAATCCAAGAACGTCAAGGTCGATTTCCAACATTTGGTGCCTGCTCTCTTCCCTACGTTGGGTGATGCTCATCAGTCTGTGCGTGTTCAAGGTCTCGCCTGTCTGCAGAACATTCGTTCCATCTATATGTCTCAAGGTCTGCCCAGCGGCCACAAGGTGTATGACACCAAGATTCTCACCGAGACGGTGCAAAAGGTCAAGGCTGCTACCAGTTTGACCATCCTCCCCGACAGCACCTTTTACGATGAAGCTGCTTCCGTAACGCCCATGAAATCAAACGAGGCTGCTCATCTGGTCGACTTTTTATGGTACAGACACGACGAAATCAGCAAAGATCGCAGCTACATTACTCGCTTGTTCAAAGAGTACCTCGAGTTGTGTGAGCAATCCAAAGAAAAGCAACACAAGGCTCGCAAGGTTCACACACTCACCTTCTTGCTCAATCACGCAAAGGATGCGCCTACACTGGAACTCAAGATCAGCATGCTCTCCATGCTGGATTCCATCGACAGCCCTCTCAAGTTGCAACTATTAGCCCCTCTCTTGGAAGAGGCCTTGAACGAGAAACGCACCAAGAAGTCTACTGCTTTGGTGTCTTATCTTATTCGCACCTACTTGCCTTGTAATGCCGCTAACTTGGGTGCTAAGGGCGATAAAACCTTACCTCTCTTCCTCCGTTTGCTTGCCAACAAGGACACGCTTCAAGGATCTGATGAAGATGGCTGGCAAGTGTCTACCCGTCATTTCGCTCTGGAGCAAATTACCGCCGACTTCTTTGCTCAAGCCAATGCTGCTGCTCAACAAGCTATCTTTACTTCATTGATTGATATTGCTACCAATGGCGTTCAAAACGAAGTACGTGCCTCCAAGTTGGTACTGTCCAAGATTGACATTGACGCCAAGATGTTTGATGATGTGCTCTTATCTGCTGCCAGAAACCTCATGGGTGCTCCTACTCCCACCAGCAATGGCGGTGTTCCTGCTGCCAAGCGTGGCCGTGCTATTGTTGAGGTGCAACACAGTGCTGATGTCGACCTCTATGAGCTGGTCACTGTGCTCGAGCTGATCGAGTCCAAGACCATCACCAAGGACTACATCCTCGTCAAGTCTCTGTTTGAGGTCTTGACAGCCATGGTAAATGCTGATCTCCGTGATGCCCCTGTTTCTCTCGAGTACATCAACCAACTGCTCATGTCTGCTCTCACTCGCATCATTCACAATGCTGAGGAGAACGGTACCGTCGTTGAGGAATCCGCTCTCCGTGTGGATATTGTGGTGCAATGCATCCGTATCACTGGTAACCCACAAACCCACAACCAAGCGCTCTTGCTGATGGCCACCATTGCCTCCATGTTCCCAGAGACCGTCTTGCACAATATCATGCCTGTCTTTACTTTCATGGGTGCTAATGTACTTCGTCAAGACGACAACTACAGTTTCCAAGTCATCCAACAAACACTGGAAAAGATTTTGCCCCCTCTTGTTGTCTCCAGCAGAAAGTCCAACAACGATGATGAAGCTGCTCTTGTGCTCGAAGTCAAGCCTATCATTAAGGTGTTTGTGGACGCCCTCTTCCACATTCCCAAGCACAGACGTTTGCGTCTCTTCACTGTCCTCATTCATACGTTGGGTGAAGACGAGTTCCTGTACGCCATTATCTCTTTGTTGTTGGAGAAGTTTACCGAAAGACTGGCCAAGGGTGCTCGTTCTGAAGCCGAGTCCTTGACAGAATTCAGTTTGGTCATCAGTCAGCACTTTGGTCCTGAACAGCAAATGAAGGCCATTCTGGCTCTCTTGAACGGTCTCCTGGTGTTGCCCAACGAAAAGCCCGAGGATGTCACTATGAGTAATGAGAAGGATGCTCACTTGTTCAACGTCTCTGAACACAGTGCCAAGCAGCTGCGTCAATACAAGCTTGCCACACTCAACTTTGTCGGCCAGTTGTTGTCTTCCAAGGGTTTCTTGAACAAGGTCATGACTCAAGGCAATGCCTCTGACGTCTTTACTCAACGCATGCAACCCTACTACCTCCAAGCTGTGGAGATCATCCTCAAGATTGTCACCTACTTTACCGAGTTCCGTGATACCTACTCTGTTTCCAAGAACGCGGTGCCTGGTATTGCCAAGTTCTGGAGAGCCATCTTGAAGGTGGTCTATGATGTCTTGGACAAGGTCAATGCTCTCTTGCCCTTGGACGCATTCGTCAATGTGATTTCAGAACTGATCCAACACAATGACTCTGCTATTCGTCGCAAGGCCATGAACATCTTTAACGAAAAGATTGTTTCTTTCGATGGCCATGCTCCCGAAGGCTCTGAGGATATTTTGGTCAAGATGATCAACAACTTGGCTCAAGTCATTCAGAAGGAGTCTGCCAGTCTATCCAGCGAAGAAGACAGCGCTGTCAACAAGCAATCTGCTTTGCTGTGTATTGCTTCTCTCGCCAAGATCCTCGGTAACCTCTATCCTGGCCAATTTGCTGAGGCTATTCCTGTCATCATTGGTGCTGACAGTCTTCAGTCTGGCAATGCTCAGTTGCAAATCTCTAGTTTGGTCTGTCTCACTGTCATCTGTCAAGAGATTGGTCCTCGTGCTGTGCCTCATCTCCCCAAGTTTATGCCTCTCATCACTAATATCTTGGACAACACCGTCAATGCTGAATCTCCCAATATGCTTTTGCAATTGGGTGTTGTCAGTGCACTTGAAACCATTGTCAGCGTCTTGCCTCACTTTGTCAGTCCTTACATCACCAAGATGTTGAAGGGTCTCTTGAACCCCTCCATCTATACCTACGATGCTGCTCACTCTCAAAAGGCATTGATCGAAGCCAAGACGACTGCCGTCTTGTCTCAATTGGCTACCAGCGTTGCACCTCGTGTTCTCTTGACGCCCGTTTTTGCCTTCTTTGACACTGCCATCCAAAATGGCACCAAATCCGTCTTGGCTCTCTGCTCTGTCGTCTCTCAAGCCATCCGTAGCATGACGCGCGATGTCATGACTTCTCATTACAAGCAGCTCTTCAAGTTCTTCTTGATTGCTTTCGATATTCGTCGTACGCACAGCAAGGATTTTGATGAATCTGATATCAATGCCATTGAAGACGCCATTGTCGGTGCTTTTCTGGATCTGGTCATGAAGCTGAATGAAACCTTGTTCAAGCCCTTGTTCCTCAAGGTGGTGGATTGGGCTACCATTGAGTTGGCTACTGACGGCGCAGTTGTGTCTGAGGATGGCCTCAAGCGTGTCCTGTTCTTTTACAAGTTGGCAGACTCACTCTTGGATAAGCTCAAGTCTATCTTTACACCTTACTTTGGCTACTTGATCGACGATGTGATTATGCGCCTAGAACGCTACAAGGAAGAGCAACAGCCTATCGACGCTCTCTGGAACTACATCATGTCAGCTCTCCGCAAATCGTTCTTGTACGATAACGACAATCTTTGGAATGCCACTAAGTTTGAAAAGATTGTGGATCCTGTTACCGATCAAATGTTGGTCACCAGCAAGGGCACCAGCTCTGATTACCTCACTCGCATGAACACTTACCTTGTGCCCTGTGTGGGTCAAATGGCTGTCACTGTGTCTAACGATACTCTCTGGAAGCCTCTTAACCACAAGGTGCTGTTGAAGACAAGAGAGGATGATCCTGAGATCAGATTGGCTGCATTGAAGTGTATTGAAGAATTCTACATTCGTCTTGGTGAAGAATGGCTGCTCTTCTTGGCTGAAAGTATCTCCTTCCTTGCTGAACTCATGGAAGACGATGATGTCCGTGTCGAAAAGCTGGTTCAGCAAGTTAATGCTCAAATCGAGACTCATTTGGGTGAAAGTTTAGACAAGTTCTTCAACTAGATTGTGTAATAGTAATAATAAAGTTAAAATGTATGTGGCTTCAATACTTATAGAGATGGCCACGTAGCAATGTGTATTTATTTTGTAATGTTGGTCAATCTGGCCTTTATACTCTCGATCAAATCTAGCAGTGCTTCTGTGTCTTTCACATTCTCCTTGCGCTCTATTCTTTCCTTGTCATTCACCTCTGGCATGGTATCCAATTGCTGTAGAATGTGCATTAACTTTTCGTGCATGTAGTTTCCGTAATTGATCAACTGATTTGTTTGTTTGGGCTCGGGTGAGGGTTGTAATAGATGCTCGCCAACTTGCTTTTCATAGCGCTTGATATCAGGTCGCAGTACGGATTCTCGCAAGTTTCGAGTCCACAGTAGTCGAGTTGCAATGGGCGCATCTGCCTTGGGAGGTGTCTTTGCCACAGAAATGTGTGTCTAAAGCATACACCATGAGATGTTGATGTCGTTTTGTTGGGATTATTTGACAAACCTTTGATCCGCCCATCAGCATGATTTTGGCTCCTTGTCCAACCTTGGTGTCTTTGATCAACTGTGTGTCGTTTTTTAGAATGGCTGTGTACATAGTGAGATCTGACATGGTTCAATGCTGATGTTGGTGTTTGTATGTATACCTCCTTTGACAATGAGTTTCATAAACTGTGGCTCGACCTCTGTAAGTTGCTGGCATTTTGACTTCAAATCAGATACTGTCATTGTATCAAAGGTTTCTTGAGTGAGCTCAATATCAAACTTCTTGGCACCCCATTTGATTTCAAAGGATATCATGATACAGAGTGAAAAAGAGGAAGCAACCTCCAGGAGCGTACTGTGGTTTGCTTTGTATGCGGAGTTGCATCACACCTAAATTGCAAATACCTTTCCTTCTGCTGCTTGGATGCATTTTTTTGCATCTCTTTCTTCCACAAGAACATCTTGACACCATGCCAAGGCAAGTAGTTTGTCGTGCCATCGCCCAGCTCGTCTATGACTAAAAGCACAGGCCTACAGGCAAATCGCTACAAATGGCAAACTCGATGAAGACACAGCTGATTTAGATGCTCTTCAAAAGCAATTGGGCAGGATGAATGGCCTCTCTGATAAACTTGTAAGTGAATCTCATGCTTAAAGGCTATTGACGTACCAAACTAGCCTACATTAGGTGAACATTCTGGACCTGTTTGATGGTAGATTACTCAAACTGGAAGCCTCCATCTTACCCATCCATAAATCGACACAAAACTTGACGAAACTCGCAAACAGTAACATTCCACATTATCCACAGCATCTCAATAGGATCTAAAGTGCAATTTCTAGATATCGATGCCACTCTCAAGGAAACGGAAAACATTGTCGACTGTCTCAACATGCCTAGCAAAGAAGAAGCTTACATATTGAAAGGGTATATATATATATATATATATATGCAACAGCATATACACGAAAATACACAGCAGCTGATTTCGCACATACAGTCCTGACGAGAATAATGTCTTGCCTTACTTGAAAGCAATGGGCAGACTAAAGGATGGTGTGGACGCTATTGAAAAGAGCCAGCTTCGATCTTGCGAAAAGACAACGTATCAAATGGTAACACGGAGAGTATCTACAACACACCACAGCATCTAACATTCGCATACAGAAACAACTCCTGAAAGCGGGTATGCTTCATCTCGAGACTTTGTTTAGAAAATGGCTGTCTGCAGTAAGCAACCCAGTAGACGTCAATACCATGCTCAATTCAAGTAGGTGACAGCCACGCCGTGTGATCAGAGATCAATCGTATTCACCCCCCAGGAACATTGCATGATAGACAGTGAAATGATGACAACCGCTTCTATGAAACAGCTCTCACAATTATCCACTTATATTTCATCGTCTGAAAAAGAGATTGGCTACTCAGTGGATTTCACAAAACCTTACATTGATATCCGATCATCCTTCTTACAACGGTCATTGCATCCATTATCTCAATCTGTCCAACTATCCGAGAAGCACCAAGGCAGCTCATATGAAAGAGGATCGAGTGAATTTCTCAAGTACACTGAATGCTATACGAAGATGCTGGAATCCGAATACAAGTTTGCTCAACAAACCATGGGTAATGAGCAAAGAAGAGCTGCAGCACTCAAGGGATCGCTTGTGCCAGCCACGGTGGAATACATTGCAGCCGGTAAACAACTGAACGCAGTGGCCAAAAGACTCAACTATACCGAAACAACATTTGTGTTTGATATCATCGAAAAGTTTGATCGAGAGTGTATATCGTACGTGGAGGAATTGTCTCATGTTGTGTCGTTGCATGATATCCAAGACATGATGAACTCGTTCAAACTGACTGTGCTTCGCAACTTTTATGAATTCATGGAGGATGTAAGAGGCAGAAAGGAAGTCAGTCAGCCTATCAACCTCAGCAGTGATGGCACTGTGCATGAGATGACCAGTAATGTAAAGTGTATGGCATAGAAAACATTCAGCCAAGCTGCTAACCCATTACTACTAGACTCTCAATTATTTCAAGCGTCTTTACATTTGGAGAGACACAGTGGAGCCACTGCTGGTTTTGATCGGTGATGGTGGCTGGAACAATATGCCATCGCCTCAAATTATGAACGACACCTCTCGCATTCAACAGGGCGAATCCGCTATTGGTGCAGCCCTGCTTCAAAAGTTCTTTGTGGATGCGTTGGACCAAATGACAGTTGCACTGCAACTCAAATCCAGAGGCTACAAAAAGCAGACATTAGCTACCTTATTCTTGCTCAACAACTACAACCACATTTTGAGACAAATCCGCTCTCCACCCTTGAATGCCATCTTTGACGACGGATCCGAGATGAAGTTTGGTAAGCTCGTCAAGAAACAACTGGATGCATACCAAGAATCGTGGAAGCCTTGCGTTGAGAATCTGATGGATGTGACCTATGTCCGCGGAGGAGCCATCAAGAGCTCCATGGGAAGTCAGGAGAGGCAATTGATCAAGGAGCGCTTCAAGAACTTCAACACTGAGTTTGAGGAGATTGCTAGAGCCCAACAAACGTATGCTATTCCAGATACAGAGCTGAGAAATCAAGTTATCCGTGATGTCAAGAACGTGCTGGTGCCCATGTATGGTCGATTCTTGGATAAATATCAACATACGGATTTCACTAAGAATCCTGCTAAATATATCCGTTATGATAAAGACAAGGTAGATCGAATGATTAGTCATTTATTCGAACCTACAGCTTGATGTCACTTACAACGCTAATAAACGTATACGTCTTTTGTCGTTTCATGAAACACTCTATTGTAAGAAACTTTGTGATCTGTGCTGCTGATCATGGAAGGGACTCAAGCCAACAACCTTGATCTGCTCGATGATTTTTTTTTCCCACTAGGCACGCTAAAGCAGGGGTTTTTAAAGCGACATCATACTTTGAATATAAAGCTATGAATCTGTTGAAGAGCTTTCCATCAATGCCTCACTATTGAGACCAAGAGGAAAACAGCCTGATAGTCAATTTACTGCTTGAACAATCAACATTTAAAAATACAACATGTGCTTTGTCAGTGTGGGTACAGTTCGGCGACTTGCGCCTTACCAATGGTGATTATGATGGTTACCTCATTCCATATCTTCAAGTCCGGTTCATGAGTGATTGGACATTATCCATTCAAATGTGAAGCTAGCATCTAATTGGATTTTAAATTCTGATACACAACCGCACAACATCTAGAGGAAAGGGCAACGCAATACAGGATACATAAAGAGGAGGCCATGAAGAGAACCTGGTTTTTTTCTCTTTTTCATCTTTTTCAGTTCTTTTTTCCCTATTTCCTACATCTAAAAAGAAACTGTTTGTTTTTTTTTTTTTCCTTTCTTTTTTTCATACAAGAAAAAAGAAACGTATCCAAACACATATAACAGGTGAAATCTTACTTCACTTAGACAGAACACAAAGAGCAACTACAAAAGAGTTGACCCTTTTATACGACTAAAAGGGCCTTTACAAAAAGAACATTCAATCTAAACAGGTGTTGCAAGTTTCCTCAACTAAAAACCTTAAGTATGAACTCAACTGTTACTCACATCAACCAACCTCATCAAGTATTCTTCACTATGGTGAATCATCACTTGAGCCCACAGAAGGCTTGCTGTTCCATGGACGACAACAATCCTCTGGTGGTCTGAAATCGCATCGCACCCATCATCAGCGTACGTCCAGGCGTTACCAACCCTATTCAACTTCTTTAAACAACAACAACAACAACAGCATTCAAGACGCTCCTCTATTTGGTCCTATTCCATGTCTCTCATCCGCTTCTCCATCGTCCTCTTCTTCGTCTTCAACATCATCGCCATCGTTATCCTTTGCTGCTGCCTCCTCCCCTTCCATTACATCATTAAATAACGCATCTATTTTAGAAGATAATGAAATCTTCAGTGAATTTGATGACTTTATCTCTACACCCGCAAGCAACTATCTCGCTTCTCCTCCTCCCTCTCCTCTTTTATCACCTAGTAATAGCAGTTTCAACAACGATAACCATGACGAGGATGATTTTGATTTCTCTGATTTTCCTTTATTTTCTTGAATGCCCTTTTTCCTTTAAAAATAAATATTTGTATCAAACGACAGAAACACCTTCTATCTTCAATGTAGCGTCAGGAATAGCATCGCCTTTTTCAATGGTCCATAGCAGGGTCCAGTAAGCTTTGTGAGTTGTCTGTACTTTCCAAGTTCCAACATTTACAGTGATTTTAGTAATTTCAGGTGGCAATGGGAAATAGCAGCTGGGTACGTAAACTTCTGTGGGACCATCGCACTGAGGTTGATAGTGCATTGTGTATTCGAATATGGCTGATGCGCTTTCAGTGGGTGCGATATAGTTGATGCTGATAGGAATGCCGGCTGTGAGCGTCGGATGGGGTCGGTGCAGGCTAATGACATTACGAACATTCGTTTGCTGTTGTGTTTGTTGTAGTAAACCTTGCAATGAATCGGTGCTTGCATTCGTCATGATATAGTCGTCAGTAGCATTCCAGGGCATCTTTTTGCTTGTACTACTGGGCGTGGCGACAATGGTATTTGAGGAACTCGATGATTCTGCAATGGAATCGCTGGTAATCACAGCCTCCAAATCGTCATTGTACTCTGGTATTTTAAGTGATGTGGTAGATACAGCGTTTGCAGGTGGTTGGAAGATGCTAAGATCTTCACCGTTCCACCTGTCGCCCCATTCTTGGCTGTTGTCAGACATGTAGTTCCAAAGTGTGTAGTTGAGCAAGTTTTTCTCCAGAGCATTCAAGTTGGCATCCAACGCTCTGTTTTGCGGCGAGTTGGAGCTGTTGATCGAAGTCTCTGCAACCTGACTCGCCTGTGTAAAGAAGGATAGACACCAGTTCCACCAATATGCCACGCTGTTTGTGCTGGAAGAGTCCGACACCTCTAGATCATAAGGAATACCAATTTCACCCAAGATACAAGGATAGTTTCCAACGTTTTCCAGGCCTTCGGTTTGTATCGTCTTTAGCTGATCTACAAAGCATTGTCGAATAGCCTTTTCACCCAGTCGCAATGCGCGCAAGAAACGCAAAGGGCCAGTGCCATATTTACCGCGGTTTAGATTGATGAAATCCACGTTATAGCTGCACCATTTCTTCTTGACCAAGGTGAGTCCATCGTACCAGTGAGGAGCATAGACAATGCGTTCAAGCGAGGAGGGCATCTTGGGTGGTACTTCTAGCACTGGAGGTTGCACAAACAAAATAGCATCAGGATGGATGGCACGAAGCGCAGCTGCATAGTGGTGCACATGCTCCAGCCAGTAGTCAATGTACACCGTGGGCTTTCCAGTAGTAGGATGTGTAGCAAAGTAATCAGGCTTCAGCAGTTGCTGCGTTGCCTTGTCCCACACACCATGGAGAGCCCAGATACAGCCAGCTGTCCAAGAAGGATCTCTTTCCCATCCAAATGTATCACACGCTCCTTTGAGTTCCTCATCAGTCAGCCAAGCAACCACGTTATCAGGATTCACTAGTTCCTCGCTCGTCTTTTTGGGACCATTCCATCTAAACTCCCAGTTCTCCACCTTGGTAGGTATACCTGAACCTAGTAGCATGCCTTGATAAGCAGTAGGTGTGAAACCCATCTTGAAGTCCGTGTCCTCTTTGGACAGTTGATTCAGATGTGGGATGGGCAGATACCCTTGGCCAGGCTCGTTTATGGTATCGTAGCCAATAATAACTGTATTCTCCAATCCGTTGGCTTGAATGGCTTTGGCAATCTGCTGCATACTGTTGATGTAGTGGGATTGTAGATAGTCTTGCACATGGACCCCATTGACGATGCATTTGGGTGCAAATGTCTTGCCTGCAAAGAACAGTGTGAATAAGGTGGCAGCTGCTAATTTTGCATAGTTTGTATTCCAAATCATTTTTGGGTATTCTTTTGGATTAGGATAGAGGTTGTGTACAATGGCTGCATTTGTGTCTGGAAAATTCAACGGGTTTAAGCCAGCAAGTGTCAATGTCCAGCCAGGATGGCCAGAGCCACCACAATGTCTAGACCACTGTGGAGCAACGAAAGTTAGCAATAGTCGTAATGAAGCCACTATACACTGCCTACGCTGTCTTGGTGAGGATCAATGAAAGCCTGCAGTCCGTAATGCTGGCATTTCTTGAGTAATGCCATCAAGTAATCAATGTAATCCTGATCATAGATGCCGCTAAAGAAAAGGCGTTAGTTGAATAACACATCCAGCGCATGTGCATAAACGACTACGTACGGTCCTTCATGCTCAATAGCCTCCCAGGTAACGACACAACGTAGCAAATTGAACCCAAGGCTCACCAATCGCTGTAGATGCTCATCTGCTTCATCTAATGGGAATGGTCTTCCCACAAAACTCACTCTACGGTCATAATCCACCCAATAGCCATGACGTTGGTGAGAAGGCATGCCAACTGGCAATTTAGTGCCACCGCTCAAGTTGACGCCTTTGAACAATACGGTGCGATTCGTCTTTTTATCAGTAAACCAAGGTCCATTCAACTCCATTTCCTATTTATTGTAGCAGTAGAAAGTAAGAAAAGTGTAAAAACGGGAAGAAGAAAAAAAATAACTAAATAAGAGAAAAGGAATGGGCTACTAAAAAAAGTAACCCGGATGACCTCAATGGTTTTGTGCTCATAAATAGCATGAATTCGGACTTGGCTCAAATGTCTTGAAGGATAAAGAGAACCTTCTGCTGCAATTTCAGGTCATTTGGATCATTCGACACTTTGAATAGAGGCACTTTTAATCGCACAAATTCCTGCTGTAAATATCTCGCTTCTTTGTCCATCTCTTTCAGTATCTGCAAATCCATCGAACGCAATTCTCGATCAAGCTCTCGGTCAATCGACTAGCAATGAAAAAGAAATTGAGTATGTCATGCCGTCTGTACACTTGCTTCATCTTACTCTAATCTCGCTGGCATCCACCTTCACGCCAATCAGTTCCCTATACACAGACAGAAAGAGAGATTCAGTGTTTGTACATCAAATCACAACTGATCAACCTACTTTGCCATCACATTCTCCTTTTGCTTTTTATAGCGACTCTTGATGTATTCTCTGTGCGCGTACAATTCTTTCTCCTTTGCGTCCTGCCTCTGCTTACATTTCTTCAGGACTGACTTGAGCTCTGTTTCCTTGGCCATATTGGCAATAGCAATCAATACTTCGGGCGTCAGAGAAGTGGCATTTCTCAAGCTGTCTTCTGCTGATTTCTTTGTTAAATACTCTTGCCTCACTTGCTGGATGAGAGCAGGATTGATGCTGGATAGATTTAGTCCAGCTAAATGATCGTGCGTTGATGTGGAGGGTAGTTGTGATGGTTGTGGCCCATTGCCATCAGTTGCTGTAGTAGGCGTCTTTACATTTTGACCCTAAATTCTACAGATTATCACACATGTTGCTCACGAGGAGGGGCATGGAATGTATCCTACCTTGAGTAATGAGAGAATCTGATTGAGGTCTGACATGTAGCGTCGTTGTATAATAGTAGTAAAAGAAAGCAGAGAAATTTTAACGATAGAAATGTGAATTAACCTTGGATACCACTGGAACGCTACTAGTCACAAGGTGTACTTGATGTCCTGGATGGCATTCAAACACTGGCGTTGCTCTTTTGATTGTAAGAAAGTACATTACCAAAGACTCTAGCTCGAAAACGGTGTACCATACTTGTCTATTGGTGGATTTGCCATCAAGACACTGTGAAAGCAACATTTGTATTACATAATCACCTGGATTTGGTCAAACGCAACCATTATACATGGCAGAGCACAGCCTCAGATGATTTCCAGCCATGCATAGGCTTAGTCTAAGGGATAGGCAGCTTGGATCTTGTATCTTCAAGACCAACATATGCCTCTGGAATGCTCTTGGGTGCTAAGATCGATCAAATCGTTGACATGTGTGTGTGAGTACGCTGAATGTCCAAGATAGCCGCGGTAACTGCTTTTTGGCAGCTGGTGGCAGGTCAAATGTCAGATTGCCTACCTTCAGAAAAGGGCTTTGCAGGATTACTGTCCTACACCTTCTCATCATCTACTGATGCCAATGTGAACGGCCGCTCTTGGCTTTTACAAGCCTACAACTTATTTCAATCGCGCAGAGATGCCAATGAAATCATCATGGTGCATTCTAGGTTTCAGTTAAAAAAAAAAGTAGTTCAATTCATGCAAACCTGTAAATCCTACGACACATTATCTCATGGGAACATTTTCTTACTTGGGAAACATAAACAATAGGGCGCTTTGTTCTCACAACTCGAGTGCTTTTGTATAAAATGATGGCATTTCTCGTCAAGGCCATCCTTTTCTCTCAAATCGACATTCTATACTATGAGTCAGCGAAATAACAAGTACCATGTAACCATTGAAGATTGTCCTGATGAGGACGATTATCGACATTTCAATCAAAAGTCTTCAGGCGCTGATGACATTGACATTAGCCATATAACCAGCAATCAACAAGAAAATGACAGCATAATGGCCATTGAATCCTCATCAAGAGGGAGCAAAAGACAGGCCTGGGATGAAGTAGACGCCTTGGAGGAACAAGCCAGAAATGAAAAGATGCAGAATCAACCCACTGCCATGGCCAATGCCAAGCAAACTGCCCGCATTGTCGAGGAGGCCACTCAACAATCTTCTGAATTCTAAGATGCCATCTCTATTCGTATTTATTAACATGTAAATTTGAAATTGTAATAATAAAAAAAAATCACTGTTGTTGTGTTTCATTATTGCTACTACGTGTGCTTTTATGTCTTCGAGTGCTGCTGGATCGACGGCGGTGATGATGGCCTATATGATGATGAGTCTTTCTTTGCAAGACGATTCAATTTGAGGTTTTACCTGTTGTGATCACTCGTCCACCAGTCGCCTGCGCTTGAAATGTAAGCGCATTCTGAGCCTGTTCAATCAACATTTCTGTCATGCGCTTCAATCGATTGAATTGCTCGTCGTTTTCCCAATCCTCTTCATTTTCTGCTTGCCGTATGATCTCTTCTCTGCGCTGCTGCTCTTGCTGCTCTTCGGCACTATGCACATGAAGAATAAGCAACCTGATGTGTGTATCAAGAAAGAACTCACTCTGGAATTGTCATTATTCGTTTCTTAAACGAAGCAACCTGCTTTGCTTGATGCCGAACAGTTAATTCCAGCATTCCATTTATTGTGAGCAACGATTTGTTTGAAATTTCTAAATCTGCGATCTTAAAAGTTGTAGTATGTCATTAGTTCCGAGTGCTTTTCTGATGATAATATCCGAATCTAGGTACCTTTCGATGGATGCGAGCTTCAGGCAGGCTGTCATTGTTGGTGCTTTGCTGTTTTGCTTCTTCCTCTTTTCTCTCTTGTTCTTGTTCTTGTTCTTGTTCTTCTTGTTCTTCTTCTTCTTCTTGGGTCACCTCTGCTTGATCTTCAGCACCTTCATTGTCACTTGGTACACTCAAATCTTCTTGTTTCTGATCTACAATGTCGGTTATAGGCATTGGCAATGCAGGTAGTGGTGGTGTTGGATTTGACATTTGCTCGGACTTTTGTAAGATGTGAGGTCGAGTGAGCATTTTCAGCTGATATTTGCCTGGCTTATACAGTTCTATCATTGGCTTTTTAAGAGGTTGAACAGTAGCCGTATGCTGCTTTGGGTCGTATAGACTGAATGTCGATGATCTCTGATGGATTTTCGATGAAGCGATGATTTTCGAGGGCTTTGAAACGAATTGAGGAGGATGGTTGTTGACATTAGTAGTCTGATTTGAAGGTCTTATGATGTTGATTGCTTTTGGAGCTGATGATTCCTTCATCATACTAAATGGCAAGAGTGGAAAAGAAGAGATCATGCCGTTGAAAAACCTGAAAGGCATTTATCAAGGTCAAACCCCACGTGATACCAGATCATGTAGCATGTTGTTCGCATTTGAATGCTATCGGGAAAAAGTCAGGGCATTTCTCCCAAGTGCTAATTCACGATGGTTATTTATTTGTTGTTCCAGAGAAAGATGTGGAAAATGCAGCATTTGCCTTTCTCTTTTTTTTTTTTTTTTTTTTTTTTTTTTTTTTCTTCATTTTATATACAATAACATACCATGGACGTTTACGATACAACTGCTGCTCATTCAGTGTCTGATGATGGCATCTCCAATTGCGAAGAAGTGATAACGCGTAATGAAGCATGCGAGCTGTTCTCCCCCCTCCCTTTGATGGCATGCTAATAGGTGATCGTGTATAGGCATTGTTACAGACTTGTTTTCCTATGATGATATCAAAAGAAGACGTATATTTGACCACTATTATTTTCCAAATGCCACATTTACATCGCCTATATTGAGGACTGAAGGCGTGCACAACATCAAACAGTGAGTATTTTGCGCTGATCGCATAGCGTCACTTTTTGTTAACAACTAGACAACAGCGTCCTGCTGGTATGGAAGACACTCAACAAAGAGCAGCCGCAGATAAACAGCATTTGCTTCAATGGAAAGACATGTGTTGTGTTCCTGACGCAAACACTGTGTCCCAGAATGTTTCCCTGGATCAAAATAGCATTGCCAGTTACTGTTGTACTAGAATTCAAAGAAACAGACAAAGACAGCGGATTGCTCAAGATTGAAACACATCAAGAGCAGTGGACAATCGAGGGTGAGGGGTGCAGAAGCTGCTAGTGGGCCAATGTCATCATTACGCCACAACAACTAAACTGTTTTATACAGGTATATTGAAGGCAATCCCATTTGTATCGTTTTGGTATGACCACGTCGTACGCACGATGATTGGTAAACTGCTCTCTGCTACTGGAGAAGCAGTGTATACGGCAACAGAAACAGCAAGCTTACTTGTATTGAGGAGCAAAGAAATTGAAGACGCCAAACGAAGGCTAGAGTCTGGTGCTTATGTAGTGATCGATGATAATGACAATGGCATTGATCAGAGCAAAAAACAAGAGCAAGTGATGATGCTGAGGATCAAACACTCGTCGTTCTCTTCCACTGCCTCTTGATGGCCACAGTGGTAGTGTCATAGTAGCAATGCATTCCCTCCTTTCCCCACATGTTGTCAGTATTCACATTTCATCGTTTGCTGCATAGCATTCATTTACTTTCAGTTGGATTCATCATACATCATAGCATCTACATGACATGTCTGCACCTGTTTCATTCGACTGATCTTGGGAATCGATTCAAGACGAGAGGACAATGCTGCATGAGTTGAGTTTACAGTTCTGGCAACAGAGTTCAGAATAAACACGTGTCTTTCAATATTATATGTGTTCACTTTCTTGGTTTTTTTTCTTTCTTTTCTTTTCCTTTCTTTCCTCTTCTCCTTATTATCTTCAGCAACATGAACGCGGAATAGTAAGGCTTTAAAAGATACCAGGTATTAGCAACGACTTTATTTATCACTCTCATGTAGCGACTATCTTTTCAAACTACTCCTTATTGGAGACTCTGGTGTAGGCAAATCTTGTCTATTGCTTCGTTTTGCTGACGATACTTACACTGAAAGTTACATTTCTACTATTGGTGTCGACTTTGTAAGAACTCGTGAGGGACACTGTCAAGCAGGCATTGTATTAAACCATCCCATGTCATAGAAAATTAGAACTATTGAATTGGAAGGAAAGACTGTAAAGCTTCAAATTGTAAGTTGCTACTTCTTGGACAGTGGAGTTGATATTCACTAGGAGCCATAGTGGGATACAGCAGGTCAAGAACGTTTCCGTACTATTACTTCATCCTACTACCGTGGAGCACATGGTATCATTGTGGTCTATGATGTAACTGACGCCGATAGTTTCAACAATGTCAAGCAATGGATGCAAGAAATCGATCGTTATGCCGCTGAGGGTGTCAACAAACTATTAGTGGGTAACAAGAGTGATTTGACTGACAAAAAGGTTGTTGAATATACTGAAGCCAAGGTGGGTTTTGATTACTGTTTGTCATGATCACATTTGGGGTTATTAATAGTGGTCATTCGTACAGGAATTTGCTGACTCTATCACTATACCTTTCTTGGAAACATCTGCAAAGGACTCCACCAACGTCGAGCAAGCATTTTTGACCATGGCCAAGCAAATTAAGGATAGAATGGGCGCAACTGTCCAGCAACAGCAGCAACAATCAACTGTTAAAGTAGGTCCCGGTGCATCACTTCAACCTGGACAGAGCAACAGTGGTGGCGGCTGTTGTTAAATGTATATCGCTTGATGTGACAATTTACCGCAGAAACAACAATACAGACACACATGGCATTTACAGTTGTTTTTTCTTCTTTCCTTTCGTATACAATTATAAAATAAACCAACCATATATATAAGCACACACACACACACACACATGGAATTATTCTCGATTCTTTGGCAATTCCTGCTGCTATGGGTATGCTTGTATATCATTGTGTTTATACTCCAAATCATCAGCACTCGCAAGAAAAAAGAGCCCTCTCGACGAAGGCCCAATTCCCTGCTGCCAACCTTTTCCATTGTCGATGATAGTAGCAGAGAGCCACCGCAAAGAGATCAATGGGAGATTAAGCTGTTCCAAGTCAAATACACAACACAGCGACTGAACAATTTGTTTGGCAAGTTGACTCGATTATCGCCTTCGTTCTGGAACATGTGGTTTACTTGTGGTGTCATTGCAGCCTCGATTTTGATCCTTGTGGGGATGATTGTTATTTTATTCGCTGCAGCCAAAATCTTGGCCAGTGCCAAACAGATCATCATGCCGAGTCAGCCTAGCAGCAATAGCAGCTTGAAGAAAAGAGGCATAGAAGGAATGGATGACGACGACCAAGTATTTTTACCTATGGTAATGTAGTTGACTCTGTGCACGCAGAGAAAGACCAGAGACGCTAATCCTTTGCAAAGATACCCGGTGTTACTTTGCCAATGTCACACATTGGCTACTATCTACTAGCATTGACTGTATGTGGACTATTTCACGAAGCAGGCCATGCAATTGCATCTTACAGCCAAGGTGTTCCCATACAGAGTTCAGGCATGTTTGTCGCTTATATGTATCCCGGTGCCTTTGTCAATATACCAGACCAGCAACTACAAGGCCTAACCCCTTTCAAACAACTTCGAATCATATGTGCAGGTGTATGGCACAACCTTGTCTTGTACGCATTTTCATTCATCTCGCTGGCAGGAGGATTAAAGCTACTACTGCTGATTTTGGGCTGGCAATCCCTGGAAGGCTACGGTGGTGTCAGTGTTGTACATATTCGAGAAAACTCTCCCTTAGCGCCACATTTCCCACCATCCACCGTCATATACCAACTCGATGATTTTCCTCTCGTCAACAACATTGAGGACTGGAATGCCCATTTATTTCAAGAGGATGGCAGAAACAAGGTGACTCAAGGCTTTTGCACTGCATTACCGACAGAAGACTATGGAAGCAGTTGTTGCAACATCAATGATGCGTATCCGTTTGGACAGTCAGACAACGCTTCTATCTCCTGCTTCCATCCATTTCCCAATACAGGCAAGATATTGGACCGTCTCTGTTTGCCAACACTGTCTGTGATAGCATCCACTAATCCAGAGCGATGCTACAAAGCTTCTGATTGTTCTTCCTTGTCTGGCATGGAGATGAGCTGCGTGACACCATACACACCTTCAGTTACAGGACAAGTTGTACGGATTTATGCTCGATTCCCTAGCTGGATTAAGACCGAGAACGAGAATAATGAAAAGGTCTTTGTGTTTGAAGGCGAACTGGTCGACATTTGGGAGAGTGGTAAGCTTCGTTAGACTTGATGACAAGGCATCAAGCACTCATTGCTCTACAAATAGTGAAAGTGAGTCTATTGACACCTAGATTTTGGATTCTCCCATCATCCCTACCTCACATTTTGGAACTAACATTGAGGTACATTTACATGACGGTACTTTTGACTGGGCGGCGACTAACATCTAACGCACCATAGATACATTTCTTCATTCACCCTGGCCTTGGCAATGCTAAACATATTACCTGCCTTTAAACTGGATGGCGAATTTGCATTAGAGCAATTCTTGATCTTATTTCTGCAACCCCAAGATGCCACGCCAGTGACTACAAGAGCCAATGAGACGTATCGATCTACTACAAAAATGCATAATACCATTGTAAGAATCACCTCGGCTGTAGTAGGATTTGTGATTGTTGGTAGTATCATCGTTGGGCTTCTTTCATCAAAGCTATAGACCATACATTCAACAACCGAGCTGAGCGGAAAAGCGGGGTGCTGCCTAATACCCACTAACTACCGTCACCAAGCTAAAACTTGCAAATGAGGATCGTACATGTGTTGGTTTGGAATTACATATATTCTTCAAAATTGTAACTATTTATATATCCACCTTTCTTCTCTCTTTGGTTCCATAGAAAAATAATAAAACGATGAACATTTTTCGTCTTTGTGCAGATCTAACACATTTAGCGTCCATCTTTATTTTGCTCGCAAAGATTAGACAGAGTCGTTCGTGTGTCGGTAAGGAAAAGAGAGAGAGAGAGAGAGAGAGAAAGAGACTCGATAGATTTCTCGAAACAACGTAGTAATCAAAATTAAAAATGTTGCATTACATTAGGTATTTCGCTCAAAACTCAAATCCTATTCTGTGTCGTCTTCTTGACGCGATACATTGATGTCGTCTATAAATTCCACTCTGTTTACAACACTTGCATGAAACTCTTCTTCATTGCCTCGTCCTTTTATGTCTTGTATTTGATGATGAAGAAGTTCAAGGCCACTTACGACCCTAATCTCGACACTTTCCGTAACGAATATCTGCTCGTATTCGCCGCTGTCTTGTCTGTTTTGCTCTGTTACGAGTATACTCCTGTTGAGGTATGTAGTGTAGAATTGCAATTTTGTTGGTGCCTGTAAAACTAAGACATGACGCAGATTCTTTGGTCTTTCTCCATCTGGTTGGAGTCGGTCGCTATTTTACCACAATTATTCATGCTGCAACGCACTGGTGAAGCAGAGACGATCACAACACATTACATTTTTGCCTTGGGTGCTTACCGCACGCTTTACTTGTTCAACTGGATTTATCGTTACTATTTCGAAGAGAATTACTCTGTGGATTGGATTGCCTCTGTTGCCGGATTATTGCAAACTGCTTTATATAGTGATTTCTTTTATATTTATTACGTCAAGTGAGTAGAGATTGTTGATATTGGAGGATGTAGACTGATGGATTACTTGGAAATAGGGTTGTAAAAGGAGAGAAGTTTGAATTGCCGAAGTAAGTTGCAATTTCGCGTTGGAATGGGAGATCTGAGAGAGGACTGGAGATTACTGGTGGTAGATTGGGCTTTTTACTAACCTGTTTTTTTTTTTCTTCAAGGGTTGCTTAAATGACCATTGTCTCAAGCATTGCTAGGCTCCTCATTGAGTTGTGGACGCTGTAATCTTAATAAACAAACATACTATCCCTCATGTATAGACTTGCTTATTGAGAATGGAGAGAGAGAGAGAGAGAGAGAGAAAGAGGAAGGAAGAGGTTGTAAACAATGATTGATACTGCCTCCATAGCGTTGCATTAGAGATCAATCAGTTGGATATATTCATAGGGCAGTTGGATTCTTACTTGCATTGTGGTCATCATATTGCGCGGCACTTGAAGTCTATAGAAGTGTTTGCTAGCTATAATAACACATCACATCTACAAGATTAGCGCTTGTAATGTAAGCTCTCTGACTTGTAATAGAATAGCATTACATTGGCGTTGAAAGAAGATATGCATACTATCTGAAGCGAAAGAACGACTCATGATTATCACTTCAACTGTCGAGACCACCATGACGTGGTCGTGGATTGCAGCATACGACAACCAGCTTCCATTTTGGGCTATTGTGAACGTTGAATAAACGTCTGTCTCAATCGCATCGCAGATACCACATGAAGCTTGATTGGCGCTGATGCTACTCCTGCTGTCGAGATAGCTCCATTTGTTGCTTGTCAACATATGACCCATTCCTTTCTCCATTAACATTGTTGTACTCTTTCAATCCTTAATAATGCTCCATGCATATATGCCTCTTCACTCCAATCCGCTATTGTCTTTACTCAGTCTTTAGTACTTTCATACCATGATCCATCATCAGCATAATCATCATATCTATTGCCCCTACACACTTTTGAAGCCTCGAAAAGGAAAGAAGTTGATTTAACAAGCATTGGCGATATTAGATGTAAAACTTCAAAATATAATAGCATGGGTAACTTCACTGCTATGTAATTTGTCACATACTCTCTATTGGCTTCAAGAGCATCTGTTATTATTGCTTTCATGATTAGAAGAAGGGCTAACTGGTCCTACAAGCCGCCAAAATTAATTCCAGATCAGATTCTTAGTCTATTCCAGATTGGACAGATTCTCATGGTTTTTCGACTTGATCGATCTATTTTGCCAGGTTCGACTATAAAAATGTGATGATCATCCTATGCCTCATTAAGCTCCCCCTTCCAATTCACTCGCCATCCTATTGTCTCCCAACGCGTTGCTGACCACATCCTTTATAGTCAATTACTGCTCCAACATTTCTTTGCGCAACAGTGCTTCGTATCTCCTCGTCCATCCTTAGATCCCCATCAATCTCCTTCGCTGCGTGCCCTTTGTCGTAGCATTCTCGTCCCTCCTCTTTCCTCATCCCTGCGTGGTCGTTTGCCCCTCAACAGTATCCGTTTCTTCAAGCGATTACGACAAACCTCTTCCTCTTCCTCCCCCCTTTCTCTCCTCCGGCCTTCCCAATGGCGCTCATTCTGGGCGGAGGCCATCCCCCTTGCTGCTCGCACGGTATGGTATCGGGCGATCTATGAGAAATACCAACAAGAGCCCTCCTACATCTACGATTCCCAGAGAAACATCCATCTCCTCGCTGTAGCATTTGCTCTACCTCAACCACGGAGGATATCACTCATGCTCTGTTCTCCTGCCCACCTAAACTTCAGGTCTGACGTAACGTCTATCACTCTTACCTCTCTGTCTCTTCACCTATCTCTGATGTGGATCTCCTTACTCTCCTCCAACAAACCTTACTTGATTCCTCACCCCCTCTTGATTGTGATGCTACTCTTCCTTTCAATGATTTATCTATTCCTCAACTTTTTGCAACCGCTCTCTTGACAATATGGCAAGCGCATTGGCGTTGGATCTTCGACCAAACCCCGTTCCTAGCTTCAACTGTTCAACTTCGTCTTAATCGCTCTCTTGCTCGCTTGGATGCCGAGTTAACTCTAGATTCGTAAGTACTTAGTTTTTTTTTTTTTACTCTTCTTCCATTTCCTTTTCTGCATCATTTTTTTCTATTTTACATCCGTTCCTACCATCTATATATCCAGTCTTTTCTATCCCTCATAATGACATTTAAAGGACTTAAAATAAAACATGGGGCTCGACTCCCCTACAAAAAAAAATGCCTCATTAAGCTTTCTTGGAGTGTTTTTCAAGGCGCATCCAATGGTACCAAGTAAGATAGATGTTTGAATAAACTTATTGAATATTTTACGAAAACATGAAAAGAGGTTTCTGGCCAAAAAGTCGAGATTTTGCATATCAAAGTCCCATAAAGATGATTTCAGAGGTTGCGTTGGATCGATAGAAACATTTTGATTCACTATGTACCATAGTAAAAGTCTTCGTTATCAAGATGAAAAACACGATTGTTTGATTCTCGATGAAAACCATGAGGGGTACCTCATGCTTTTTGGTCGATTTTTTTACCATGTTTTTTTGGTCCCCAAAAAGTTGAGCAAAGGTGTCAAAAAGTAACTACCAGATGAGAGCAATTGTTTGGTGCTATTCTGACCATCTAAAACAGCCTTGAACGCGAGAAAACGCAGCTCAAATGCACTCAGATCTTGCTGTATTAGGCACACTCTTGACTAAAAAGGGATACTATCTATGTGATACTTGCCCACATATGAAGTAGCTACGTGTATATGGATGTAGAGCATCACATAAGAGTCAGATCCGCAGATAATATAAAGAATTCTCATGTGTAAGTGGAGGGTCAAGATGAAAGTAAAAGTATTTTGATAATATACGCAAGAGCAATCGGTAGCGTGAGCTGCCACTGCGCAGGTTGGTTCTCGCCGAAGCGAAGGTAGAGAGCCATCCGAAGCATAAACACTAGCAAGTAATAAAAATCTTTAAACTGATACACTTTATACATTGGGTGTGCTTATGACGATTGAAAGAAATAGTACTTGCTAGTAACCATGAGTAGTGATGTTGTATAAATATGATATGGAGAAGCATGAAGTTAATCAGCAGGCAAGATATACTCACTCGCAAATTAAGCCTGCCTATACCATTATTACAAGAGTCGTCAAGCAATCCTATTGCTGCTGAGCATAACAAGAGTATTCAATAGATATAGTAGTGTTTATTCCGATATGGATGTTGGCATGATAAGATAATAAAATGCAATAGTAGAGTAATTTGATGGAATGAATGATAATTTGATAAAATGAAAGATAGCTACAATAAGCATATGCCTATTGTTGATTTTGTGTGATGATCACTTTCATATGAAAAATAGTTGAAATAAGGGATAGTCTAATTTGAATAGTAATTGGGATGATTCATGTGTATGAAAATGTCGTGGCTAATGTCCAAACGCAGCAATGCTTCCTTCTGTGGAGTAACTCGACTCTGTCGGATCGGGTATCATTGTTGTCATTTGATGCCGAGATGCAATGCTGGAACGCTGTTGTTGCAATAATGGCTTCTTTGATGCAGATGTGGGCGGTGAAGCAGCAGGAGACTCACTTGAAGAGGCTGCCAACAGGTTCTTGCTGCCATGATGAATGGGGAGTAACAATGTCATGCGCTTAGCGACCCAGAGAGATATGTTGAGTGGGAGCAAAATCAAGCTGACGACCATGCCATGCGCTTGTTGACGCTGATCTTGCTCGATACGATAGCAGATGTACTGGTCAAATTCACGCACTTTGTGATCAATGGAAGTAAATTGCTCTTCAGACCAAGTGCGAAGTGCGAGATCACGCTTTTCGAATCGTTTGAGTGCTTTTGCCAGTTGTTGCAAGGAGGGGTTGATGTCTTCTGTTACTACTTGACCGAGATCCTTCTTGGTAGCATAGGCTTTACGGAGACCATAGAGTTCTTTTTCGAGCAAATCCATCTTTGTTTGCAGGACTTGAATTTGGCTTTCAGAGACCAATGCTTCACTCTGTAAGAACATGGTGCGTTCTTGCAAGAGCACCATCACATGCGAGATTGGCTTGATGGAAGCAGCTAATATAAACACAGTAACATTGAATGCGCTAATGTATCTATCCACGTTACTAAGTAAATATCGACTGTATTGCAATGTGTAACCAGCGATAGCAGGCGAGAGTACAACCCAGAGTAATCCAGCAAGTTCATGGCGACGAAGCTCTGCCGTGATCAACTTGCGCTTGGCATGTTCTTGTTGCATGCGTTTGAAATAGGCTTCATCTTCTTTCTGGGTGTTCAAAAGACTCGCTTTTGACTTTTCAGTGGACGATTTCTGATGAATGATGCGTCTGGTACGTGCGCTTTCATAATAAGCCCAAGGAACTGTTGATAAATTTAAATTAAAAAAATTAAGCTTTGCATTGCATTTGTGTGCTTACCCGTCATCCATTTGTAGACATAGTAGAGTATCAATAAGAGCATAATGAAATCACTCCAAATCTCGGTATTACCAGCGAAAAAGGCTCCCAACGTAGGGATAATGGCGAGCAAGATGGGCCATGATACGGTAGGTGGAAACTCATTTTTCTTGCTAATGTCGGCTGATCGAAATGGTTGAGATGGAGGTGGTGGAGGAGCAGATGAATGCTGCTGCTGCTGCTTGTGGTTTTGATGCTGTTGCTGAGAACGGTTGTATTTAGCTTGCTGCTGGAAATGCCTTACAAAGACATTGTCCTGATCGTTTTCAGATAATGACATGATGGAAAGGAAGGGAGAAATATTTAGAGAAAGAGAGAGAAAAGAAAAAGAAATGAATTGTGAGAACCTAGGGAATTTTTATAGTTGCTTTCTCCATGTTATCAGCTGAAAATACCCCCCCCCCCACCCACCGTCCGTTAATACTTGTACAACGATTGACATGAACAAAAGAGCATGATTTTGAAAGAGTGGTTGGAATCTATAGCATTAGATCATTTTTCACGTTTAGAGGCACACATGTGCAAATTGAAGGATGATGTGGATACGTTTGAAAGGTTCACCTACATGGTAATTATACATGCTCTTCACGATATATGATGTCTTGCATAAATAGTACCTATTCTTGACGTATTCGCTCTGTATTTCTGACACCAAATATTATACCATCATGATGAACATGGCAAATCGTAATTGAATGCACGATAGTGGACTAAACCAGTAGAAATGGGTAGGTTTGGCTTGTATAGAAACACACTTCTTGTCATACCGTTTGCATTAATGTTTGGTGTTTTTTTTTTTGTCAATCCACCAAGGGCTGATTTGATTCGATCATTTATTACTACTACTACTACTAAGGATCCAGGCTTCCTTTGACCTGCTTGGTGCGTATGACAAGATCATATTATAGGGATTGCAACAGAGCGCATTAAAGCCCCGTACCGAGAAATGGAAATCTGAGCGCGGCAGTTATAATAAGAGATGCTTGCTTTTTGGCTTTCGAAACCAACTGAAAAGGAAAAGCCAAAATATCTATATACGGGTTTCTTTCTTGTGCTTTTCTCTTTTCTCTTTTTTCTCTTTCTTTCTTTCCTTTCCTTTCTTTGCAACAACAACGACTGAAAGTGGCGGCCTATACAGCAGCATTCAGTCAATCACCTTTACAGCATGGAAGGCGAGATATCAATACCAAAAGCAACAATTTCCGCCTTCAAGCGTCTAGGTATATCAGATGCCACAAAGAGCCATAGCCAAGGATCTCTGCTCCACAACAATGGCAGCAGTAGCAACAACAATTCGCCCAAGGATGGCTTTCTCGAAGCTGACATGAGTGATTCAGTGTTTGACTATCCACTTCGAAAGCAATGCTCCACATCCGTGCTGCAATCATCCACGCATACTTTGGGAGCATCTGCATCGCACCCCAACCTCATTGTGAAGGACGATCTTCACCTCCTCCATCGTACGCCAACCCCTCCATTCTCTCCCTCGCCACCCTCCTCAATTACTGCTGGTCAAGATATCACCGACAATGGATCAGAAGACAAGTTCCTCACACTGGATCCCTTGGATTTAGCCAATTTCAGAAAATGGATTGTTGGATTTTGTATAGTGAATTTTGATTTAGAGATCGGCCAAGGTAATATTTTCTTGAAATAATGAACCCTTCTCCTTGTTTCTGAAAGGCTAAATCCTTCCTGCATATAATATAGCTTTGGATTATGCGTATCCTCCAATAGATTTGACGATTACAGAACAAAAGAACATGTAAGGTATCATTGTTTGTTATGAAATGCTTGAGCTAACATGCCTTCTAGATGCTTTACTGCATTTCCAGATTCAAACGTGTTTGAAGTGGGAGATCAAATATTCAATATACGTGTCAGAGCCAGCACATCTAAATTTGCCGCATCAGGTAAGACATGCCTCAAGGGGGGGGGGGGGCTGCGTATGTGTTCAGTGGCTGACTTTTTGTCACCATGATGCTCCATTAGGTCCAACTGCAGATGCTGGATTCTTGTACGGTTATGTGTTCTTTAGACAGAAAAAGGATCCTACTATTAGACGGGGGTATTTCCAGGCAAGTTCATTGTCATGACAAAAAAGTGCTGTGGATCTAACCGGACTTTTTTTCACCATTAGAAATCATTGGTCTTGCTCTCACAGCACCCATTCGTTGGACTCTTCTCTCGGGTCGTATCGATTCTAGGTCCTGCTTATTTCGATACAGGACAACCCATGTTGGAAGCAGCGTGTATGAACATAGCACAATGGTACAGTGAATAGATCCAGCATAGGATCGTTTCTGATCTAACATGGGATGTTTGCATTAGGAAAGCACCCCGTGATGGAAAAGTCATCGATTTACCATTTCTCGGTCGGTTATTACAAGTAGAACTACCAACACCGTTTAAACCTCAATTATTGGAAACAACGCCTTTTGATATGAACAAACTAAAGCCAGACGTGCAGGTGAGTTGGATTGGTTCAATGGAAGATGGGCCTGGATCACTGATAGAAATCAACCGTATTAGATCATGGCATCACTGCCAGTGGGAGGTTTATATCATCATTTCAGAGACATTTTGAAGGATTTATGGTTGTTGTGGGAATTGATGTTGTTGGCAGAACCAATTGTAGTCATTGCTCCTGATCCAGGTGTGTGTAGTGAGGCAGTCGTTTCCTTGGTGGATATTATCAACCCTGTAAGTGTGCGGCGACTGTTGGGATGTGTTTTGTTGATTAACAGAGGTGTAGATACCTTACTGTGGTGATTACAGGCCTTATTTCACCATCCAAGATTCTGACTTCAAGAGTTTTGTTACCAAAAACAAGGTGAGGCAGTGCTGATTTGACGATTTGGATAGCGACTAAATGTTTACCTTCTGCAATCAGCCATTATCCAGTTTGGTGCTAGGTGTAACTAATCCATTTTTCAATACCGCTGTCCAACATTGGCCCAATATTGTCAGAGTAGGAAGGCAACAACTGAGGTGAGTATGCCCTGAAGACGTGAACAAGCATCTTGCTGACTAGTTGCGATAGAAAGCCTGACGGTACGCTGATTCCTAGTCATATGCAGCATATGCATTCTGGAAAATCCAAGCCTGGACTTGGTAATAAATCAAATGTTTTGTTCAATTTTGTACAGGTAATTTAGATTGAAGAATACGTCATTGTGTGTACTCAATCCGTGATTCATCACAAACAGGGAGTGACATCCAAACGAAAATCAGTGATATCAAGAGACCGAGAACTAGTCAAGATGCTCACAGAAGCATCCGTCAGAGGATATCCTCCTGACTGGGTTCTGAATAATATTCTGCGAAGACATTTTGTAGATCTAACAGAAAAATTCCTCGTGCCCTTGAACCGATATTTTAGCACATTGATACCAGTCAACATGTAAGTCTCTTTAGATGTGCACGTTCAAGTGGAGATGCTCATCATCATCTTTACGCTTCGTTAAAGATCCGCTGCTGGCGAAGCACCCAGATTAAGACCCTTCCAGACCGACCAATTCATGAAATCCCTGAAAGAACATGGCCCACAATTACCCTTCAAATCCACCTTTAAAACTCGAACATCTACAACAGACCCCACCAAGGAACTATACTCGCAATTCCTGAAATGTGGTAACTTTGCAACCTGGCTACAGCAACGCACAACCAGAGCCGAAGTCGAAATGAACAAAAAGAGAATTTTGTAGTTTTTCCGTGTATTTAGACATTTCTGTTTTTTTTTCCTTGTAATTTCCCTCTACTAACCTATTAAATGTAAATACTTGCTTTCATTTCTATTAATTGTAATAAAAATTCCCTTGTTTTTTTTTTTATTATTAAAATCAAGCGAAAATGATCTGCTTTCGTTGTTGGAAAGTGTAAAAATAGCTATTCGTTGACTGTACACAAGAGAACGTGTCTGATCTTTTGCTGGCTGTCTTTATTTGGCAGGTTTCCATCATGAAAAATGGGAAAATAAAAATAACTCCTCTTTTTTTCTCTTCTTCTCTTTTTCTTCTCTTCTTTCTCTATACCACACATTCACCGAAAATGCCTTCATCTTTTACTTCGAAAATTACTCGCATGCGATCTGTAAAGCTGCCCTTCAAAAAGTCGAGTTCTACATCATCCTCTAACGCATCATCCACAGCATCCACACCGTCTCCATCCTCACCACCATTGCAATCACAATCAAGAGAGCCGAACTTTTACAATACCCCTGAACCCACTGTTGTGGCCACTTCTGTTCATGCCATGCCTCAATCCAGTTTTGCTGAAACACTCAGAGTCATATCAAAGGAAGCGAATCGCACTCAATTTGATGATGTATTCGATAGTTTCTTTTTCAACGATAAGAGATGTCAACATCGTGCTTTGTTTATGGCTGCCCGCTTAAAACAAACCTTAGATGGAGTCATTAACCCAATTCGCCCTAGCTCAAATTACGGACCATTACGTGAATTACCACCAGTGACATTAACTCCATCTTACTCAACACCCATAACGTCATCTACCACGACCACTGCTAGTGCTGCCTCATCACAAAGCACTACATCACCTGCTACCCCTACCAAACCCATTGCATCCGTTGACAGCTTCTGGCGTACAGTAACTCACAGATTATACACACTCAACTATATTCTATTTGTCTTGCCTGCTGATTCGCAATCGAGAGCTGATTTTCTAAACAAGATTGAAGCAGATTTATCGCAAAAAAGTGATGGCCGTGAACTACAACGTCGTGGAGGGATGGAAGCGCATTTTGCTGTGCGCTATGCATTGGAACATAAGCGACCTCGCCGGCGCAAGACATTGTTGGAAGATGCATTTGCCGAAGAAAAAAGAAATGGCGGCAGTGTAGCAGGTGCTATTTTGCCTACAACTACAGCAACGTCAGATGATACTCGAAAAATTGACCAACTGGTTGAACAAGCTAGACTCGTCATTGAACAATGCCTGGAAAGCGAGTCCAAGCTGGGACATGCAGAAAAGGATGCCATGTATGTATTTCATGGTGTGCGCGCGGGATTACATGGTGCATTTGATTTGCACATTGAACTGGAGGAAGATAGATCATTGCGTCATAGATTGAAGAGAACTGTGGACCACAATAGAGAACTGGCAAAACCAGCTTACGAGAATCCATTTGAAGACGAAGATCTAATAGTAACTGAAGAAGATGAGTCTTCCCTGGAAGAGGAGAAAAAATCATCGAGGGAAGTGGATAGTGGGTTTTATGATGGCTGGGCCAACTCTGCAAACCATAATGCCACGCTGTCAGCTTAATCGCTTTTTGTTATGCTTGTATAAAATAATAATTAAATCATGCCTCCCTCCTTTGTGTTGTTATTATCTTCTCCCTGTTTTCTTTACCCTTTTTTGTAACACTTTATTTCCTTCAGATCAAAAAAGTCATGTCGTCTGTTATTTTTAGCAGCTGGAAAGCCTCCGATTGTAGCTGATCAAACCAGTGCCTTTGTGCAACATGTTAATATTTGTATCAAATTTGCCTTTTATATAACAATCTAATTACATTGCTTGTTTGTTATTGCCAAGATGTTTAACGATCTCAAAGTGCAATGATTCATTTGAGCATTATTTCATTGATGCGGAATAAGATAACCTGGTTTGAATCGAAAAAATTAGACTTGCATAGCAGTCAGCTCTCAGGTACAAATTTTTAGTCTGTATCCTTCTGTACTTTGCGCATTGCCAGCTACATAGCACCATTTGCTGTTAGCAAGACGCTCGTAATTTGTATCCAGTGGTGTGTAAGATTGATTATCCTTGAGTTGGTTTGAATTGATTCTCGGCAGCTAAAGCAAGAAATGACAATGGGGACATTATGCTATATTTAAAAGAACATTGCATAGGAAACGTTTACGCTCAAAAAGTTTGCCTGTCTATTGCTGTATGATGTGGATTCTCATTACCTTTACAAATATGAAAGCCAATAATTAGGCCAAATGAGTTTTGGTATGCGATAAACGATGATTTTTTATTGTTTTGCAGATTGAATTCATATTTTTTATACTGTCTGAAAACAGCTATGCACAAGGTCTGTGTGCACCGAAAATGCAAAACAAAAATAAAGCGTATCTCTGTCTCATATATATCTAACCCTAATGCAAGCTATGTAAATCCAACTCTTCGCGCGAAAGCATCTCTCGTTTTGGCCCAGGAAAGTAAAATAGAACTGAGCGCAACAAGGGTCGATCCTGGAAGCGTATAATTTAAACTGGGAACGTGTGCTATGCACTGAGCTATGGTTTGGACGTTTATTACGCGCATATACATAATCTTTAAGAAACTATTCCCAAGAATGGCACGCAGACGATTTCGCACTACAGCTCTGATTGCTCGACTTGGTGCGAGGAAACTAAAACATGTTGCAAGTTAATAAAAGACAATCTGGTAGGGCTGTTATTTAAAAGATATACTCTTTAGGATAGTCAATAGTGTTTCAGTTCTTTTGATTTGGCAGCAGTAATTTTGAATAAATGGTAGCTCCGTAGTTGAAAATACTGAGACCTCCTACTAGCTTGACACCTAATAACACTCATACTTCCCACTTCTAATTGCTCAAACGTATTTTTTTTTTTTGTTAGTAACCATTGTCCGTAGTCCGTAATACGTATGTGCAGGGTTAAAATGCACATAGGATGATACTAACCTTGACAGTTATCCCGAAATTTTATCTCGACAAGCCTGATATTATTTAATTTATCAAAAATATATCACTTACAAAAAGAGCATCAAAATTAATCAGGTAATAAGAGATATCATTTATTACATTGGAACTAAGTGGGTTTATATACTATTCGAACTGAGGGATTTGATGTGATGGTTGATTTGGGTGATGGGATAATAATAGATCTAATCTATTGTCCTGAACATGATGCCATAACTAGGATCGTAACTGAATCCTGTTTCAAGGCAAAGTTTATGATCTGATGTGATCTGATGTGATCTATGCTTGAACTGATTGTTTTTACGCATTTAAAGATTCAGTTTAGAAATGATACATCCAGCAATGCTTTCAATCTAAAATTTAATTAGGTGCACCACCGTTTTTCTCTCAAAATTCATTAAAGAAACATGCTACTTTCAAAAAGCTCTGGCATCAATACTCCAAAGCTTGGCTTTAGATGACCCAAAACTTGAATTTCGAAGCATTTTTATACATTCAGGATATGAAATGAAGTGAATGATAGCAATCCATGCAATTAAGCCATGCTAGAAATCAATGATAAACGACGCATGACGCTTGGCGGGACATTTGGTACTAGGAAGAGCTAGTATCTAGTGTACTGCTGTACCTGTATATTTTTCCCTACATAATGAATTTAAAAGATGTTTCCTACATGAAACTGTTTAATACATGCTAAATTGAATGATTGTATCGTATCGCACTATTGAACAAACAAGAATATAAGTTGTATGTATTTGGATACGCTTTTATTACAAACAAAATTATATTAGATGGTAAATCAATGGAAATCAACTAGTTGTAGACCTTCGTTGCTTCAGCCTCTCAGCCAATCAGATTGCTTGAAAACTCCGCTGACCTAAAAAAAATTTTGCGAGGGTTTCCCCCTGTTTTGATGTGAGGCAAAATTTTAAGCTCCGCTATAATAGCAATATAGCCGCTGCTATCATCAAACTTCCCCCAAGTGCTAGAGCATGCCTTACTTACACCACCTAGCTTTAAATTCAGGCATTGAGACCCTCAATCATCACTAAAGTAAGTAGCGATAACCAAGTGGAGGCGGCCTATCTACCCCCTAGCCTCGGATAAAGTCTTGTTGAGCTTCAGGGATAGGCACATCCACACAACGTAAAAAAGGTATGCTTCAAAGAAACATAATAATAATAAAAGAAAAAAGAAAAGAATATAAAACTATACGAGTATAGTAATATATGTAGACAAAAAGGAATACTCATACGCAATAAGTCAAAGAAAAGCATAACAAACACAACATCAAAGATGTTCAAAAAAGCTTGTTGCTGTTGCAAGAAAAATGCATACATGAGCAACGCGCATGGTAGTAATAGTCGGATGTAAAGAAACATGACACAAACACGCACAACTGCAAAAGCAACAATGGTATTATAAGTTTGCAATACAACGTAATGACTAATATTGTTTCATGTGAAACCACAGAGGAAACACCACCAACAAAAGAAAAAGAAGAAGTAAGCGCAACAAGGCAAGCATGATGAATGCATTATCACGATAAAGGAAGCAATAATATAAGCGTTCAAAGAAGTTTTATATCATTGCGACCAGAAGAAAGAAAATACCTACCACTTACCACAGCCACAGATAGACCAGAAGAGTATAGGCAATCACCGGAGACAGACCAGAGAACGAGCATGCACCAAATACGGTAGACCGGGAAAGACCATATTAGCAGCAGCAACAGCAGCAGCAACATTAGCACCATAGAAAAATTAAAGAACGAACGCCATCAGCAGAAGGAAGACAAAGACCAGATAAGTTACTTACCACTTATCACCACCACAGATAGACCAGATATTACACAATCAAAGGATATAAACCAGAGAACGAGCATGTACCAAATACAGTAAACCAGGAAAGGCCAAATTAGCAGCAGCAGTAGCAACGCCAGCGCCATAGACAAACCAAAGAATGAATGACACCAGAGACCAGACAAAGACCAAAAAGCAATCGCTAGACATTACAAATCAAAGAAGCAGACAGCAAAAATAGCAGAGAAGTAGTGGCAGCAGCATCCACTTCAAATAGGCAAAACAAATTATCGAAACCTAATAAACAAATTCAACCAGTGTTAATTCTACGTCTTCCAGTGCTCGTTATCGAATGGTACTTACTGTATTCCACTTTAAAGAAGCAGTATCAAATACTAATAATAGTACAAGGCCGTGTTATCAGAAGCTAGAGTGTTATTTTCACTCAAAAGGTTTACAAAACAGCCGTGGGTTGATAATAGTAAACGCGTTTTGCAAAACAGGGAAAAAAAACTGGAATATGGAAGAATGATGGGGAACCCTATCCGACGTCACGGCCAGTAGATTTGCTCTCAGTCTTCTGCCGTGGCAGCTATAATTTCGGCAACTTAATTTGAATTTATGCAGTGAGTATTTTCGTGTTCAAACTTGACTTGATCTGACATCTATTAAACGTTTTTGGCAAACTTGAATATGAAAACTGTCAATATCACACCCAACTTCCTAATATGTTTTTAAAGAACTAAAGAAGCCGCATCGAATGGTGCTAATCACATTCAACTTTCAAACCCAGAAAAATGAGCAATCGCCAGAAATAGGAAAACAGGTTTTCTGTGAATACGTCAAGATTTAGCATATGAAAGTCTCATACAAAGAGTTTCCAATGATGTATTGCATCTTTACGATTAGTTTGATCTTATATGTATTATAGGAAAAGTCTTCATTTTTGGGGTGAAAAACGCGATCGTTTGATTTTCAAGAATTTTCCCTTGCTAATACTCATAAAAATATGAAAATTTTCATGGATTTGCAATGACAAAAAAATTTCGAGATAAAGCATCAGTAAGTAAAGTGTATCAAAGGAGGGCGATTTGATCCTATTCCAAACGTCTACAGCGCTTTGTAGCATGAGCTATTCGTGCTTCAAAATGACTAAATTTGGGCAGAATTTGACCTAAAAATAAAGCGTAGTAGATTCTGTTGCCGAAAAAATAAATAAATTACAGCTTTGTTTGACGCCTCTGATGTTCTGTATTGTACGAAACCCAACACCAAAGCAGTCGACGCTTTTATCTGATTCTTGTTGTGCCAGAAGGGCTACAACTGTCTATAAAGATTAAGGTATTCTTGATGGGTAGATATGTCTGTGTTGTGCAACAACATGGACAAGCTATGATAATTGAAGTGCATCTCAGCTATCTAAATACTGAGGTTCACCAGATGTGATAAGCGTTGTACAAGATAAATTGCTACTTTGGCATTCAGAACTTAGTATAAATAGAATAACTCTTGTCTTGATCAATAAATCTTTAATTTTTATGTCTGATCTTATTCAAATAAGTCTTTTCTTGTTTTTATAATATCGAACATTTTATAAGCTACAAATAATAATCCTTTTATTCTTTGTGCTTAACAAAGTGATACCAGCTACAAATACATTATGTACTACAGAATTGTACTACTATCATGAAACCAAGTTACGTTATAGAATAATGATACACTATTTTCAGAAATTATTGGGACATTTTTAAAAAAAATTGGTACTAATTCTGAATAAATATTGGGTCAATTTATAATTAAATTTGGGACAAATCTTGAACTATTTTGGAACACTTGCCTAATTAATATTGGGACACATATAAAAAAAACATTGAGACATTTTCAGAGAAAGTAAAATTCATTTATTACAATGGCTCTTTCGCCAAACAAACATCGAATTTCTTAACAGAGTAGCGAGCAGAACCTTCAAGATCACTGTACAATACATCATTGCATGCATCGGTAATCCTGGTCGAAAGTGTTTCAGTTTTTAAGAGCCTCTCCCTCTTGAGTTTACTCTTGACCACATGCCAGAATTGCTCAATAGGATTAAGCTCAGGGGAGTATGGTGGGAGGTAAACACATCTGTAACCTCGCTGAATGATATACCTCTCAATATCCTTGGCTGTATGGATGGGTGCATTGTCCATAACAAGATAAAAATCTTTGAATTGCTCATGCTGGTCCATGATATCAATCGTTTTCGCAATAAAGTTAAAGTAGTGGCCAGTTACAGTACCCACAGTTGTTGTTGCTTTTCCAGAAGAAGTGCCAGCTAACTTTCTTTTCTTGTTGGATGTTCCAGGCAACCTCACTTGAACATTCAACACTCCCCATACGCTAGTTGCGCCAATAATAGTGGTAGTTTTCGCTCTTGTTTGAGGTACAGGCACTTCAGCTCGAGTTCCTTTCTCTGACCAAGCCATTGTTCGCTTCAAGTTAATATGGAAAGCTGACTCATCAATGAAAACACAGTTGGACATGTAATCCATGTCGGTTTGGCTCCATTTGACTACCCAGTCGTACCGGTTTTGAATGTTTTCAGGCGAGTTTCTTTCTTTGGAATGGAAATGAGCTTTCTTGAAAGTCAAGGCAAGATCATTGGTCATGTAGTTGTAAATAGTCGTTTGGCTGATAGTCAAACCCGAGAAAGCCCTAACAAGACTCTCATGAGCTTGTTCGATTGTTACTGATGGATTATCTTCAAATTCTAGTTTTAGGTGCTTCGTATGGTCTTCGTTCAAAATCTTTGGTCGACCTGCTCTCTTAACTGGCTCTTCATCGTCCTCAATTTCTTTGTTAACCTTTTTTTGATCCTCTGCGTACCATCTGTAAGCGGTTGTTCTTGATATATGGCCGTGCGCTTTCCAAGCTTGATTAGGATTCATGCCATGGTCGTAGATAAGGATAAAGAATCTTGCCTTGTCTTTGTCTGTGTAGCTGTTATATTCAGTCTTGGGCACATTTTTCTTATTTTTAATCTTTTTCTCTTTTAGTACGGTCAATTCTCTTTCAGGTGGCTTCCTATCAACATAAGTATTGTAGTTGGTAATGTTACCGAGAGGGAAGGCTTCGTTGTCTACATCCATCTCAACAGCTTCGTTTCCATGCCCATCGACTGGAGCATTTATTCCGTCTTCGTAGTAAATTCTGATATCTGACATGTTATGAATAACGAAGAAAGCGACTATGATTTCATCTCAAATCCCATTTAGTTTTGTCTCATTATAATTTCGAAAAGTGTCCCAATATTAATTAGGCAAGTGTTCCAAAATAGTTCAAGATTTGTCCCAAATTTAATTATAAATTGACCCAATATTTATTCAGAATTAGTACCAATTTTTTTTAAAAATGTCCCAATAATTTCTGAAAATAGTGTATTGGAGCAACTTTTAAGTGGGAACATTATATTAGAAATGCCTACTTCATGAGATAATCAGCGTTGGAGATGCTATTTTTAAGCGGGGAAATATGCATACCTTAAACTGGGAACTTTATTATAATTAAACAATAGGAGCTACAGTTGTCTAGTTTTGCCAACAAGATTCTTCAACATGTCAAGTACTATTGATAATAACTTGAGATCAGTAAGTTAATATTGCCCTTTTCGTACGCTTCGATTTTTAAAATGCTCAGTCAAATTTATACATGTGCCGTGTACACATGCAAAGGCTAAACGGAGATTCAATTTCTAATATTATGAATGATGATCTATGGGATTCCAAAATCTATCGACCTTAAAATTGCTTGATTCTTGATAGTAAACACCCCTTCAAACTTATATAAAACTTGTAGAGGATCGCAAGGAAAATACAATGGCATCTATTTCAAGTCTCTGATGTACATCGTTCACATGATATTTGGTACGATAGTTTTTGCGATTTTTTGAATGTTTTCTAAAGACTAATGAATATCTGCCATCAAAACGTTTTGTTACGCATTACTAAACATTGTAGACCAAAATATTTCCTATCGAATGAACTATTTTGTAAAGTCCTAGCATAACTCTATCATGAAATACTGACAATCTTTTACTGACTAAAAAATTGTCACCTAATTTTTTTCCTTGCCATCACAGGCAGATTTTGAAGAAAAACCAATGATTTTGCATGATACCCTTTTTTGACCATATCTCGACAAATACTTACTGGATTTGCGCAAAACAAAAACAATTCGATAGCTCTGTATTGGATCTATTATTATATAAGAGCTTTGCGCTCCTTATATACGTTCCTTTTATGATTTTACTCAGAATTCTGACTTTAATGATCTTTAGGTACAAAAGTTGACAGATCATTCTAAATAATAGAGTCATGTTAGCCACGACGTTACTTGATACAGAATTGAAAAGCGCATCAAATGGTACCAGACATGTAAGTGATGATATAGAACTTATTATAAACAAACAAGCTTATTTATATGTATATGTATATATATTAGATGTTCTTTAAGGGAGCATATACTTAATCTGCGCCACTTCTGTTCATTGTGTAGGCCACCCAAGAAGAAAGAAATGCTGTTTGAGATCTTACTCAAAGCTGCAGCATCAATTCTCATGGATCTACAGCGCCCAATTGGTCATCAGCCCCATTGCTTATATCTTTACCCAATAATGGGTTACATCTCACAAATAGAGTTGATGCAAATGCTATATTTTGAACTTGCAACAATAGCTGTGCGCCAAGTCGCACAAATTCCTAAGTAATTAGCAAATACAAAGTTAAACATCATGGTAATAACGTTCAATATTTTAAAAGTATATCTTGCTTTGTTCTGTTCATCCCAAAAGGTGTATAGGTGTGATGCTTCGTCCCAATTATCAAATTCATTTTACATCATTTAAACCTTCATTAACTCCTTTTTCCTCTCAGTGTTATTAATTTATAGTATTCCATCTTTGTAAAGTAGCAAGGGCTATTATCGAGCGACATGATACTGTGATCGCACTGTCCATTTGTATAATGCATATTTAAAGATAAGCACATGTATCCTTGCTTAACAAGCAAAAACCCGAAGCTTAATAAGCTACAAATCGTATAATAGCTTATTAACAGTTGATATGTGAATGCTCGGTTTACCAGAATCTAATTTGGTCGAATAGATATCGTATTCTTAGCTTGCTAAAAAAAATGCCATTCTCGTATCGAGGTTTTGATGAAAACATCCCTAATAGTTGAATACTGCAATCAGCTGAAAACTTTTGAACATAGAATCCTGGATATCATGTTGTCTCTAGAAATGCAATATTTTTTGCATTATCAAAGCAGTTTTATCGCCCTGATTCATAAAGAGCGATGGGATTAAAAAAAATCGTATCAAATGGGATATAGCAAGTTTGAATCAAGCCCATAATATAGATGCTCGATGAGTAGGAGTACTCGAAGTTGTTATTTAGCAGCTCTTTTTTGTTTGATTCACCAGCATACATACATACAGATAGGGTAGCATGCTTGCTAGACAGTGCAATGTATATCATGTATTTGTCTCGGTAAAAGACGTGCATTACATTACATAACATGACAACAATTCCAAGTTCTTAGTGCACAACTTTCAAGTGCAATTAGAATTTTGACAGATTTCCTGTATCTTTTAACCTAAAAAAAGCTATTATGAAGATAAAGGTGGGACAAGCCAAACTGGCTCTTAAACAGGAAACCTGGCCATTGGGATGCGATAAGATGTATTGCAAAGACACAGCAATAAAATGAGTGTAACGTTTGAAAAGGGCATTCCATTAAAAAAAAAAAAAAAACGTGGTTTATAGGCTATGGGATCCGTATAGAAAAGCATTGACCTCTAAATTCTTATTGTTTTCGACAACAAAATGTGTTTAATTATAGAATTGGTATTTTGTTTGTTTGGTAAATTTTCATGCAATTTTAAAAATAATGCAGGGAAAGAGAGGGGAGAATTGCTGAATTAGACAATAGGATGTAGATTCACAACAAAAAGTCTTCGAAACTCAGGAAAGGTGCTAGTTGTTCTCGCGAAAATCAGGAACCCTCAATTCTCTAATGTCACTCTTTTTTTCTTTTTTGGCGGGGGAATCACATTAGATCCAGTGGTATATAAAAGGTTGAGATTCATCTTGAATCTCACAACTCTTCAACTCTTTCTCTCTTCTACTATCCTTAAACCATCTGTTAAAATGAAGGCTGCTATCATTACATCCCTCCTTTTCGTCGCTGCTGTTGTTGCCCAAACAACTGCTCCATTCTACTTGACAAGCCCTATTGTTGGCACCACTTACAAGGCTGGTAGCACGTAAGTCTTTGCTATAGTTCGATAAACCTACAGAAAGATTAATTTTCATATTACATAGTGTTACCATTAGTAAGTTTTTCGCTTTATTTTTGCAATTGCAATTCATGAGGATAGACAATTGACCATTTGTTTGCATTGAATAGCTTGGACCAACGGCGTTGATGAGTCTGCCCAAGTCTCTCTTCTTACTGGTACCAATGCTGCTACTATGCATCCCACTGGTGATACTTTCACTATCAAGGGCTCTGATGGAGAGTATAACTGGAAGGTACAGAGAGAAAGAGATAGAAAAGAAAAACGTGCACATTGACTATATCAAGTCGATTCAATGTTACAGCAAGTCGGATTTACTAACTGAAATTTGTTCTATCAGGTACCTTCTGATCTCCCTCAAAATGCTACCTTCTCATTCAAGATTGATTACACTGATTCCAAGGGCGTTGCGTAAGTAATAACTTAGTAACACATTCAATTTTAAATTACTAAATCTTCATATTCCCATTGTAGTGGCTCTACCTACTCTAGTGGTTTCACCATTACTGGTACCACCGGTGATGTTGTTTCTCAATCGTTTGTCTCCTCGATTGCCACTGCCGTTTCCTCTGCCGCCTCTTCCGCTGTTCCTTCTGCCAGCTCATCTGCCATTACCAGCTCCTCTATCCGACCTTCATCCACTTCTTCCGTCCCTCAAACTAGCAGCGCCGCCACTACCTCTGCCACTGTCTCTGCTTCCACCACTCCTCAAGCTCCTTCCGCTGCTAGTGGATTCAAGGCACCTACTGTTGCTATCTGTGCCATTGTCATAATTGCTTCAGCTCTCTTTTTTTAAAAACGTAATAATTTAATAAACTATATCATATTTATTATACTTTAACCAGACATGTAAAGGCATGCAGGTTGTGGGCGGGTGGGGGGTATATGTATCCATCTAGAATAGACCATCATTTCTAAACAGTTGCATGTATTGATAGCTTGTATGAGCAGTTGTAAATTCGTTGTTACTGAGACCAACTTGTTCGTAGTTATATTCGTATTCACAGGATAGTTGTGCTGTTGGAGGTACGATGGATTCGACAAATTCTTGGAACAGTCTGCTGGCATTATTCGGTGTAGTACATGGATGATAGTCAATCTATGGCTATATGAGTAATTGATGCTGTATAACGCTTGATTTCACGATTGTACCTCTAGCAGTAATCCTTTGTATGTAGATCCCAGTAGAATATTGGCAACTCTCAGTGTAAAATCGCCAATTTCGTAGCTTGTACCCTATTAGCATAAATTGAGTCTCACGCGCACTCTTTCTTTTGCACAATCTGCGTTTTCACTTACCTCGATCGTAACGCTTTGTCTCAACTGCCATAGATTCTTCAGACGTGAAAGAATTATCTCCATTTCTTTTTCTGCTTCTACCACTACGCTACCATCGACCATACAGTATACATGACCTGGCTGTTGTGCAAGCGACACCTGGTAGAGCAACTTGCTGTCTTTGAGTGCTATTTGTCTGCTGTTTTGGTTGTTGTCGCGAAATACTTTGAAAGAAAGTGACCAAGGACCAGTATTCTTACCATGCAACGTCTTGGTGACATGTTCGGCAATGAAGGTGAAATCACGCATGCCTGTAGCATTCTTCCATCGAACAAGACTGAATATATGTTGGTAATTATCCTAATGCTGAAACGCATTGTATACTTACCAAGTGACGCCCATTTGTAGTTTACAGTTGGTGTTTCAAGAAGTAAATGTGCCATCCATTGGAGAGCCTCTATTTTAATAGATGAGCTTTTAAGCTCAAGCGGTGGCTTAGCGTACGTAATGCATGGATCAAAGGATAAATCATTCGTATACCATAGATAAAGGGAATCTTATGAGGATTCCAATGCAGACATAATCATACGTGTATTTGGGTATTGGATTGATCATGTGAAGGCATCAAATCAATGTCAGAATTATCAGCCTTTACCGAGGTTTTGTGATCTGTGGGTGGTCAATGGAAATGAGACAGGTCATGTTGGCTCTAGGCTTGGAGAGCCTTCATCTGGGCATTACAGGTAGTGCAAATCTCGACCTGAAGGTTACTGCCTCATCTCTCGTGTTTGCCACTCTGCGCTGAAGTGATACATCAAACTCAAGGCAACATCTTGTCAGAAAGCTGTGTCGCATCAAAGAGCCTTCAAACCCAGTGACAAACAAAACGGGGCAATGTTTTATAAAAGAAAAAAAAAAGTTTATTTCTTCAAAGGGCTTTCTTCTTGTTAATATCAATCAACATGGGAAACTTACTTTCAAGAAGCTCCAGCGAAGACAAGGGTAGAAAGCGTGCTTTAGATTCTGACGACTCATCTAGTAGTCTTAAAAAAAGAAGCCGCTTTGATCAAGAGCCCACAGTCGTTGTAAAGGAAAGCGATGTTGGCATTGTTGCTTATGTCAACCCACACTTGAAGGGCTTTCATAGTATCTTGAAATACAGGTAATTGATACTTGGTGTGCTCGTGGTTCATTGCACTCACTCGATCTGTTGCCAGAGCTGAAGATTTCCTAGTAAATGAAGTGGACATGGAAAAGAATATTGTACACCTTACTTCTCTTGCACCACCCAATACCAAGACCAAGGTAAACAAATTGCTGTCGAATCATTTAAATTGCCAGGCAACTCAACATTGATATAGGAGGTTTTGTATGATTACTATCCCTCTGATGTGTTTGACAAGGCAGTAGGCGAGATTCTGAGCAATGATTTTGCTCAACAGTTCCGTCAATTCCTCAATCATCCCGAAGACGAAGCTGCCGTCCTCACAGTCGAAGTAATTTGCAGAAACTTGCCTACCCAACACAAGGAAGATTAATCGGTTATGTTACCATAGACAAACAAAGATCAGCGCGTGGAGTTTTACCAGCTCATTGAGACACATTTAGAGACAAAGGTCAATTGCCGTGGTAAAGATGGAAAGCTCGTTCTCAGATGGCCCTCAGCAGTGCACAATGATGGTATACAATGACAGCTGTAGAGCATTTGACAGCGATTTAACATGGAATTGCTAATTGTAGAATTCATTGATTGGAAAGCGCTCGGTGGTGAATATTTGCAAGTCAACATGTACAAGTCTGGCATTGACACTATGAATGCTATCAACATCATCTCTAGCAAGACCTTGTAAGCCATTAAAGCAAATGTACAGGCACGTTTTTCTGATGTTTTTTTTTTTTTTGCTACAGGGTTCATGCAAAACATTTTGGCTACGCCGGTACAAAAGATGCCCGTGCCATCACCACACAAACACTCACACTGAAAAGCGTCAAGCCTGGCCGCATCATCATGGCCCAGGAAGAATTGATACAAAGCGGTATTTATCTTGGCGATTTCAAGTGAGTGCAAATCATGCGCTTTGGTGTAGCTGTCTAACGCTCTGATTAGATTTGTTCCCAAAGGCTTGACACTTGGAGATTTGGGAGGAAACCATTTTACAATTGTGCTCAGAGATGTGCAAGGTGCCAATGAGGCTGATTTGAAATTGTCATTGCAGTCTTTACAAAGCAATGGCTATTTGAATTACTTTGGCATGCAGAGATTTGGTACTAGCACTGTGCTGACACACACTGTTGGTTGTGCTATCATGAAGAAGGAATATGAAAAGGCATCTGATTTGATCTTGGACCCTCGCGAGGGAGGTAATCAGCATACAAGATCATGGTTGCAACTGTCACTAATCACTTGCTCAATTGCTAGATCGCGAAGAATACCACATTGCCAGAACATTGTGGAAAGACACTCACGATGCTGCAGCTGTATATGCCATCTTCCCCAAGAGAGGCTTTGCCGAACGCAAATTGCTTAGTTTTTACAGCAGAAATCCCGGACAGCATGCAAAGGCCATCAAAGCAGTAAGACGCTGATATACTGATTCATGCAATTAATGTTTCTCACGCCCAAGAGTCTTGTAGTTGCCCAAAAACATGCTTTCCTTGTACTCACATGCGTACCAATCCTACATCTGGAATCGTGTCGTTTCTGAGCGGGCAAGGCTTTTTGGCACGGATAAGCCTATGGTAGGCGATATCGTGATGGTGGATAATACAAAGCAAAACGAAGGCCGATCGGATAACAATACTGGTAGACGCAGCTTTGCCAATGTAAGTTTAATGTGCCGCATAGGATAATACGTAGTATGTTGATTATACTTTCATTCAAGCGTCAAGTGCCCAAGATTCTGACTGCAGACGACGTACAAAACTACTCTATTACGGATGTAGTTTACCCCTTGCCTGGAAAGAAGTCTGTGTATCCTGATAATGAAATCAAGGAACTTTACAAAAAATTTATGGGTAATATTTAAGAATTATCTTTCAATTGACACAATACTCATACGATTTATTTCAACACAGCCGAAGATGGTATTTCCATGGAAAAGAGAGACAATCATTTCGAGTAAAGTTGCCATATTCAACACAATCTAAGTGTTTCTGTGTACTGAATCTTAACGGTATTACCTTATAGTGGGTTGAATGGCGATTATAGAACCATGCTCTCCAAGCCAGAGCAGATGAGCTGGTAAGTCATTGAGCTTGGCGGATACAATGTCAATTAACATGTAGCAGGTCTTTCATTAGATACAATGATCCCAACGAAAAGCTCTGCAATACAGATGTGGATAGACTCGAAAACAAGGACGAGCCTGTTGGCATTGCTGGTAAATATCAAGCCCACCTACAAAACTCTAATATTTCTGGTATTAACGATTCCCACCCTTTTACTATATACGTACAGATGGGCAATATTTAGCTTTAAGAGTGGAATTCACTCTTGGTACAAGTCAATACGCAACAATGGCATTGAGAGAAATCATGAGAGCAGAGACTTCTTCGCAAGCACAGGCTACTATTTTCCATAACTAATATAGCCCGTATATTGAATATAGCACTATGATAGACAAATTAAAATTTAATCAATGGCTTTTTGAGCACATTCAGTGAATCCCGTAATTTGAGTGTTCCCCGCATCATCAAATGTCTACTCCTCCCCCCGCAATTTGTGTTCATGATTGTCCTTGCATAAGCAAAAATTCAATCCAATACCCGCTACCTTGCTGTTTGTTGGGATGGAGCAAGTGAATTGAGTGTTAATTGCGCTGATAAGTGCACAGGGACATGTTGGATAGATAAGATATCAAATATACTCTGATACACACAAGATAGCATATGCACATCATATCAAATGATAAATGTTTAAGCAGTGAAATTATACTTTCATTTAACAGAAAAAAGAATCACGCCACTAATAAAAGAATGGAAATCCATCAAAAAGCTGAAAACTTCATTTCTCACGAATGATTGGGAAGTTGTATATCGAAAGAAAAATACCAATCATTAGACTAAAATCTACAAGTCCTTACTGGAGTTGAATCATGGCAAATATACCAGTATAATCGCACAGATTGTGTTACACTTATATTGAAGAAATTCATATAAAAAGGATCTATCTTTTTCGAAATCATCCTTTTTTTCTTCTTCTATATCTTAAATACTATCAATTTATATTCCAACAATGTCTGCCAACAACGCCAACGTTTACCTCAAGAAAGCCCGCTACGGTAAGGACCTCGTCCGCCTTATGAGAGTCTACAGGGAGGGTAGCGTTCAACACTGTACCGAACTCACTGTAAGTTTATTGCAATCATCTTGACATTGCTTGACATGGGATCTCATTCTGCTGTTTCGACTTGTAGGTCAGACTTTTGTTGGAAGGTGATATCGAGACCTCTTACACCAAGGCCGATAACTCTGTTGTTGTCACCACCGACACCTGCAAGAACACTGTCAACATCGTGGCCAAGCGTAGCCAAAACGTCGATAACATTGAAGTCTTTGGTCAAGAAATCACTGAACATGTCTTGAAGCAATATCCCCACATCTCTGGTGCTTTCGTTGACATCATCAAGCACAAGTGGACTCGTCTTATTGTTGATGGTAAGCCCCACAACCACTCTTTCGTCCGTGATGGTGAGGATATCCAAACCACCAGTGTTCACCATTATCGTGCTGGTAACGAAGTCCGCATTACCTCTGGTCTTGACAAGCTCCTCGTCCTCAAGACTACCGGCTCTGCTTTCCACGGTTTCTACACTGATGAATACACCACTTTGGTTCCTGTTTGGGATCGTATCTTCTCTACTGCTGTTGACTGTAAGTGGACTTTTGTCTCCAAGTCTCCTTCCACTCTCCGCAATGTTGATTTCAAGGCCATCCATGCTGGTGTCAAGCAAATCACTTGTGATACCTTTGCCAAGGATGACTCTGCTTCCGTCCAAGCTACTCTCTACCTCATGCAACAGCAAATCTTGGCTAAGTTCCCCGCTGTTGCTGAAGTCTCTTATGCTTTGCCCAACAAGCATTACGTTGGTGTCGACATGAGCAAGTTCAACATTGACAATGCCGGTAAGAACATGGAAGTTTACCACCCTCAAGCTGATCCTTCCGGTAAGTGTTTATAATGGGATGTTGAGTGAATTGGAAAGAAACTGATTCCATTCATTTTTTTTTTTTGAATAGGCCTCATTACTGCCACTGCTGCCCGCAAGGAATCCAAGTTGTAAATTGCTACAACTGCCTAAAAAAGGAAAAACAAGATTTTATGTCGATGATCCTACTTTTCTCTTTATGTTTGATATTTTCCCCCCCTCAAAAATTGACGAAATACCTACGACTTTATCCTATTTTCATTTTCATTTTCTAGCGTTTCTTCTATTACAGTATGATTTGGTAACTGGGTTATCAAAGAGCACTGCATTGGGATTGACAGCTTGATCTTAATTATTAAATGCGATATGTTATTGTATATATACATATTCTCGAAAAAATCATTTGAAAATAAAAAGCTTTATTTTTTATACATTCAAGCAATTTGATCTCAACTTCCTACATATATACTTTTGTTTATAGTGGTATATTTGTAACCCTAAAAGCCAAACGATCAAGTTACGCAAATGAACAAATGCCTATATATTAAACTTTACACTACACATGTGTCATCCAACGAGTTCGCTGTGTTCAAGATGTAGATGAGTGTCTAGATCCAAAGCTCACCGAAATAAGTGGCAATTTTACTTTACTTCTGCTTTGCTGTATCTGAGAAGGTACACTAATCTCATCCAACAGCATCCTTTAGCCCACCATGGCTGAGCTACCAACCTGGAAAGAATCTTGGCCATTCAAGCGTAGTTTAATCCATCAGATGTTACAGAAATCTGGGAGAGCGCGAAGATATCAGGATTTTTTGAAACTGCAGTAATTGGATCATTATTGTGCCTTGCTACATACAATGGGTGTCTTTGTGTGTGGGTAACATCCACAGATTGCCCACTTAAAGGCTCTGATTCAGACATTTATAGCAAATGTCACTTGTCATCACATGATACAGATTGCTTGAAATGTTCAGCGAGCGAGAGATGTGTTTAAATCAATGATTAATCTTCTTTGTCGCTTCGTCAAAGTAACTGAACAATTTTCGTGCTAGCAAGACACTATACTACGTCAGATTGCAGGTATTTAGTCTTATACAATGGCATCATCTCATTGAGTTACCCGTGAAATAAGTCGCAGACATATCTTTGATTTAGTGTGTTTCTGAATGTGACTTGAGAGAGGTTTCGATCAGCTATAAATTGACAGCTCCATTTGTCCCAAATGTCATTTTCTTTACATATTTTTCAAAGGAATGTCTCCTCATAAGATTTCATCTGATAAAATTCTCAAGATGATATACTTAACATGATGCTCCAAAATCAAACTTTTTACTTGTATCTGTTGTTTGCGAGGCTAAATTATCACAATCCTTGTAGACGTTGTAAGAAAAGTCGCACATGTTCAATCTTTATTTAGTAATCACTAGTTTGAGCTCTAAGAATCGATAAAATCAAATGAAAATCAATAGCCACGAGACGCTCCATTTCTAAATAGTAATATCTTGTAAAAGCGGCTCATGACAGGCCATCATGCATTGTAAGATAAGAATAAAGATGTTTAAGAGATGGCATGTAGTAGCAATTTCATCAATCTGAGATTGCACTGCTTGTTGTACTTGAAATTGCCTTACAGCAGACGATTGCCTGGTAAAATCTTGATAAGTCGTTAGTTTCGTAGTATTATATAACTAACCGATCTATTTCGCTACGCTTGATGTCGGCGACGCCCTGTGGGCTCTCGCCAAAGACATTTTAAATCAGATATTATAACATTTTGGCATATCAAGTAGACTTTAAACAACCAATTATTATTTAGTAAAAGAAAGGCTATATCAGAGCCAGGAGGAGAAGGTATCTACCTTAGCATCCTTTTTGCTTACACTGATGTTAAACGGAGCCTATTATTGAGACGATGTAAAAGAAAATTCGAGTTTTGTGCAGCATTTGTACACCACAATCTCCATTTTCTGATAGTAGATTTGTCATACCATTCGCTACTGCTGATGCTCTTAAGATGGCGCATAAAACTGTTCATGCGCAAATACAGGACTAGTGTAAGATCTACAGCGACGTTTTTGGGATATTGCCATTGTAAAAGACACCCTTATGAGGAAAAACCCACCAGAAAAAGTATTTGGGCTAATCAATTGTTTTTCAATTCTATGATCCCCATTCAATCAGTATCGTAATCATAATTGTCATCATCAGAAAGGCATTTAGGTCGGCCAGCAGCAATGCCGCCGCCAAAATAGATTTAAGCTCAGTTTATTTTTTTTCTGTTCAAGATTGGACAAATTCTGTCTTTTTCCGACTTGATCAAGCTCTTTTTCGAAATTCGACTATATAAATTGTGATGATCATCCGATGCTTCCTAATACAGTCCCTGGTGGTAGGGCGAAGTGGTAGAACTCCCGTATGCCAACGGGAGGATCCCCGGTTCAAATCCTGGTGAACGCAAGTTGTCTGAATTTTTGACGTAGTACTGATGTCCTCGTTTGGTGTTTTGTATTCTTATCCATTCTCTATTTTTGACGATTTCCGCAAGATTGCATTGGCTCTAGGTTTCGCACCTTATTAGTAGTAGATTTCTTTCCCAACTTAGTTCAAAATTTCTTATTCCCCTTCATTGCAGACATTGGGTCCACCAACAGTCTTTTCTATCCCTCAGTATGACATTTAAAGGACTTTAAATAAAAACCTGGAGCTCGACTCCCCTACAAAAAAAAAAAAAAAAAATGCTTCCTAATACACTCTTGGGGTACTTTTCAAGGCGCTTCCAATGATGCCAAGTAAAACGGATGTTTTGAGTGAACATAATGAGCAATTTCAAAAAGTATGAAGTAAGGTTTTTGGCCAAAATGTCGAAATTTTGCATATGAAAACCTGATAAAAGTGGTTTCAGACGTTGCTTTGGATCGAGAGAAATATTTTGGTTCAATATATACCATAGTAAAAGTCTTTATTTTCAAGGTGAAAAATGCGATCGTTTGATTTTTGATGAAAACCGTGAGGTACCCCTCATGGTTTTTGGTCGGTTTTTGGACATGTTTTTTTTTGGGCCAAAAAGTTGAGCAAAGGTGTCAGGAAGTTACTACTACTCGAGTACAATTGTTTGGTGTCATTCCGGCGGCTCAGAAAGGCCCATATGTCAAGATAGGAAGGCTTGAAAGCTGTCAACTTGTTATATTTTTGCGGTATAGCTTTTATTTACACAGCATGAATCACATCTTTGGTAGCTGTAGTTTTCTGGAAGGTCAGCTGTGCAGCCTGTGCAATTTCCAATTCGAATAGGAGGTATATTGATTTCGGTAAAGCTAAATTATGCAGATTTTGATGCGTTATGCTGTTGGTAAGCTTGATAATAATAAAAATGAAAAACCAAATTTACTGCTTGAATACTATGGTTCTGCACATTTGCTTCGCTACGGAAAACCCCTCTTTATTAAGGTTAATGTTACCAAATGTTACCTTGAAGCTACAAATCACTCTATCCACAGCCAAATAGCAGGCAAGATATTACTTGGATTGAATGCGTTATGTTCTCGAGAGATAGAATTCTGATCGCTGATTAGCTACGGCGATGTTTTTTTCGTAGTTTTCTAGTATGCTATTAAAAGATAATCAAACTTATGAAATATAACCAAATTGACAGCTTTCAAGCCTTCCTATCTTGACATATGGGCCTTTCTGAGCCGCCGGAATGACACCAAACAATTGTACTCGAGTAGTAGTAACTTCCTGACACCTTTGCTCAACTTTTTGGCCCAAAAAAAAACATGTCCAAAAACCGACCAAAAACCATGAGGGGTACCTCACGGTTTTCATCAAAAATCAAACGATCGCATTTTTCACCTTGAAAATAAAGACTTTTACTATGGTATATATTGAACCAAAATATTTCTCTCGATCCAAAGCAACGTCTGAAACCACTTTTATCAGGTTTTCATATGCAAAATTTCGACATTTTGGCCAAAAACCTTACTTCATACTTTTTGAAATTGCTCATTATGTTCACTCAAAACATCCGTTTTACTTGGCATCATTGGAAGCGCCTTGAAAAGTACCCCAAGAGTGTATTAGGAAGCATCGGATGATCATCACAATTTATATAGTCGAATTTCGAAAAAGAGCTTGATCAAGTCGGAAAAAGACAGAATTTGTCCAATCTTGAACAGAAAAAAAATAAACTGAGCTTAAATCTATTTTGGCGGCGGCATTGCTGCTGGCCGACCTAAATGCCTTTCTGATGATGACAATTATGATTACGATACTGATTAAATGGGGATCATAGAATTGAAAAACAATTGATTAGCCCAAATACTTTCTTTTGCTTTTGCTGGGCATTTTTATATCTGAAAACACCAGTCAACCTGGTTCACCACCAAAATGTATGTAATCGCAACTTCCCATTCATGATTTGCAGCATTTCAAAATGGCATATAGGCAGTATACATATCATTAATTCGTTTAAAAGAGACAATTGCTACTGGCTGAAAAGCTATTTCGGTATGTGTCGAGGTATTTTCCATTGGGCTCCAATCTCATTTGAGGGTTGAGTCAATTGTGGGCATTATCGTTGATATAATTTCAGGCTTGTCGTTTTTTTTCTTCACTCAGGATTTCATGAGCATGCTTGTAAACACATTCTTATGGTCTGGATTGGCCAAAATGACACGTTATTGATAGTACTTGAATATGTGGTATGATATATCATGTCATTGGCATTCTCCTGGGTGATCGCTGGGAATAGTTCTTTGATCGAAAACCACATTTGAAAGCGGATGGTTTCTGTAATACTTGCAACCATATCCCATCATTCTGTAGTATTAAGCGTGGACATTGGTATGGAATATTTCTTGGTCGAAAATTGCAATGTGCTCTCAAACCAATGTTCTTTTACAAGACTAGGTCTTTGGCTTTAATTGACATGGTGACAGATGTATGGCCATTCAAGCATGTATTGAGGGATCTCAATCGCTGTGTGATTATAGCTGACGCATCCACTATTCTATTGTCCGCATTGTAATTCCTCTAAAAAAAGGCTTTTCTTGATTGCTTTTTATATATTTTTTTTTCTCTTGTACAACAACATATTAACAGGCTTTTGATCAACCATGCCAAGCTCAACAAGGACTGTTCGACTTACAGTCATTGCTGCTGATGGTCTTGTTAAGAAGGATCTCTTCTTCAAAATGCCTGACCCATTTGGTAATATACTGCATTTTCAATCGTCATTCGTAGCTCATCTTTTGACATCTTTCTCTTGCAAATAGCTGTAGTAACTGTGGATGGTGAACAGACCCACACAACAACCGTAATGAAAAAGACACTGAACCCTTATTGGAATGAGAGCTTTGACTTGTGAGTATACAGTGCTGCTTAGTATCTACCTTTGCTAATTTTGAGCGCACACAAATAGACAAGTCAACAACTCCAGTGTGATTGCAGTTCAAGTGTTTGATCAAAAGAAGTTCAAAAAGAAGGATCAAGGATTTCTAGGTGTGATAAATGTGCAAGTGTCGAGCGTATTTGACCTTGATGTTGGTGGCGATGGTAATATTCATGATCAATTTATTTGCATCTGCTGTTACTAAGCATGTCAATGTAGAAATGTTGACACTTGACTTGAAGAAATCAAACAACCATGACACTATTCAAGGGAAACTCATTTTGAACATATCAACCAACGTCAATGCTCCCATCAGAAATGGTACCAATACCCTGGTATCGACTTCTCGCAGCTCTGTTGCCCGTAATGCCTCTAGTCATTCAATCGAAACCAATTCGCAACCACAAGCACAGACGTCAATTCCAACTACTGCTCCACCATCACATACGCCTGCAACCGCCACTTCATCTTCCACGGACGACGATGCCAGAAACAGTGATTTGCCGGAAGGGTAAGAAATAGTATCAGCTGTCCCTAGAGGCTATTGTCTAACAAAGTCTCTATTTACAGATGGGAAAGAAGAGTTGATCATTTAGGCAGACCATACTACGTTGACCACAACAATAGAACAACCACATGGAAGCGACCTTCGTAAAGTATCCATTTGATGTAGCTCAGTACTCTTTATTAATGCTTGTTCTCCATTAGAGCCAGAACTGCTCAAGACCAACAAAATCAGACCGAATTGGAGAGACGCAGACACAATGCTCGAGGTTTACCCGAAGAAAGGTCCAGCGCAAACAACAGCACTACCTCTCTTGCAGAGACAAATCGCCAATCACAATCCCATGTCGCTGCGGCTACAGCTGCATCTGCCGCAGCTACGACTCCCCCAGCGAATAGCAATCCAGGTGGTGTTGTTGGCGTTCAAAATAACATGACAACAGCTGGATCTGGCCCATTACCACCAGGTTGGGAAATGCGCACGAATCCCGAAGGCCGTCCTTATTTTGTCGATCATAATACTCGTACTACAACTTGGGTAGATCCTAGACGTCAACAGTATATCAATACGATTGGCCCCGGATCTAATCTGCAAGTGCAGGTGCAACCTGTATCCCAACTGGGCCCATTACCTTCGGGCTGGGAGATGCGTTTGACAAGTACCGGCAGAGTTTATTTCGTAGACCATAATACCAAGACGACCACATGGGATGACCCACGATTGCCCAGTAGTCTGGATCAGAACGTGCCTCAGTACAAGAGAGATTTCCGCCGCAAGTTGATCTACTTCCGTTCTCAGCCTGCTCTGCGCCCTGTGCCTGGTCAATGCCATATCAAGGTGAGACGTGATCATATCTTTGAAGATGCTTATGCCGAGGTGATGAGACAAGTGCCCGCTGATCTCAAGAAACGACTCATGATCAAGTTTGAGGGAGAAGATGGTTTGGACTACGGTGGTCTTTCGAGAGAATTCTTCTTCTTGCTGTCTCACGAGATGTTCAACCCGTTCTATTGTTTGTTTGAGTACTCTGCTCATGACAACTACACACTCCAAATCAACCCTCACTCTGGTATCAATCCCGAGCATTTGAACTACTTCAGATTCATTGGTCGTGTGGTCGGTTTGGCCATCTTTCATCGTCGTTTCTTGGACGCCTTCTTCATTGTGTCGCTATATCGTATGATCTTGAACAAGAAGGTGCTTGTTGCCAACATGGAAAGTGTAGATGCTGAATTTTACCGCAGTCTAATGTGGATTCTGTAAGTTTTTCATTGATTGTGACCCGGAACCAAACACTGACCAAGATTTCCAGTGACAATGACATTACGGATGTCCTTGATTTGACGTTCTCTGTAGACGACGATCGTTTCGGTGAAATGGTCACTGTTGATCTGAAGAACGGTGGACGAGACATTGAAGTGACAGAAGAAAACAAGAAGGAATATGTCGAGTAAGTGTATTCGAGATGTATGCTAGATGTAGGAGCTAACATGCCATCTGCAGTTTGGTCACTGAATGGCGTATTTCTAAGCGTGTTGAAGAGCAATTTAAAGCTTTCAAAGAAGGCTTCAATCAGCTGATCCCTCAAGATCTCATCAATGTGTTTGATGAACGTGAATTGGAACTGCTCATTGGTGGCATTGCAGAAATCGATGTAGATGACTGGAAAAAGCACACTGATTACAGAGGATATACCGAGCAGGATGATGTTATCCAATGGTTCTGGCAGTGTATTCGTACCTGGGATAGTGAAAAGAAGTCTAGATTACTGCAATTCACCACTGGCACCTCTCGTATTCCAGTCAATGGTTTCAAAGATCTTCAAGGAAGCGATGGTCCCAGACGATTCACCATTGAAAAAGCAGGCGAGGTGACTCAGTTACCTAAAGCACATACATGGTAATTATTAAGACAAGTCTGTTTCATGTAACCCTTATAAACTGACGCATTTAATAGCTTCAATCGTATTGACATGCCACCATACAAGACGTACGAATCCCTTGTTGCCAAACTGACAATGGCTGTAGAGGAAACTGTTGGTTTCGGCCAGGAGTAAACCATCATTTCACTATAGACTTTTTTCTTTTTCATTTCAATTTCACAGCACAATGCAACATTCATTTCAAGTATTTTTTTTATCCCCCTTTTTATTGATTTCATCCCTTCAAAGCTCATTCATATTATTGTTCTACTAATAAAAGCACAGTGAAAAACTTATTTCTGTATGTATATTGTTTATTAGGAATAAAAAAAAAGAAAAGAGTAATACGCTTTTAAAGGCTTTTTTGATTTTGGTTTTGTACACAAATAGAAAGATGGAAAGTAAGAGTGGGAGAAAGAGAGAAATGGGACAATATATAAAAACACACCAAGCATTTATAGAAAAAATGATACAGGAATGATTAAAATCTAATCTAAGCGGACAACATGATACCAACACCAAACTTGCTTTGGCCCTGTTCAAATGAATTAGTAACTTTGCTATAAAACACAACATGCTGAACTACTTACCTTCATATGATCTAAATCACCACTGATGAGGAAAGAGAAGCCAGGAGCCATCTTTTCTTCTAAAACAGCAGAAACTCTACCGGTAGTATCGATTTGACCTCTGAAAGTAGCTTGTCTAAAGTCAAATTTACCACCAACAGTAGCAACAGCCTCTCTACGACCACCTTGAACCATCAAATTGAGTTCGACACCAAAATCAACCTTCTCGTTAATGCGTTGATAATAACTGGCTTGTATCGCGCCAACGCCTTGGAATTGTGCAGTAGCAATATAATCGTTGCCTGTATATTTACCAACAAGAGACATGGCTGTTTCCTCCATGTCAGGAGTAGGACGTTGCAAGACAATCTCAGATCCAACAACCAAACGTTGAGAGACAGATTGAAGGTAAGAGGCCATGTAGAGGCCAGTCAACTCCAAAGGATTGGGGTTCATGGTCTTGAATGTCATGGAGTAATCTGATCCGTTGACTTCTTGTTCAACTTGAAGCATGGAATGACCGGGCATGTTGGTGAGCTATTGTGATAGGTATTACTCTCTTGTCGTCTAGCAATGTGTCATCCTCTAAATTACCTGTGCGACGACCTTGGTAACAGAGTAAGGAGACCAGGCATGTCTGAATACGCCGTTGAGGTTGGTGTCGTTATCCATAGTACCTTGCAACATGGTCTATGGAAGCAAGGAAATGTCAAAATCCAGTCTTATGGGAATACACATTTCGCACAGCAATCAGCCTATAAATCACTTACTCTTTCAGTCATGTAACCAGACATGAAGTTGTACATGGGAGGCATAACTTGAGAGCCTAAAGAGAATTGATGTTGAACGTGAAAGTTACCGGAAAGTTCTTTGACAATGTTGGCTTGAGCACCATCAAAAAGGTAATTGGTGGTGAAGACCTCTGCAAAGCCCGAGATGTGTTAATACTTGGCAGATAAAATCACCCATTTACCATTTACCTTTGGTAACTTCGCCATGAAGTCTTTCGAACTTTCCAGGGCTAGGCAAGTTAAGGCGTCCTTTTTGGTAGGTAAACCAAGTGGGCCATTGAAGAGGGTTCCAAGGAGAACCAGCAGGCTTTTGGTCCTTGAGGCCAAAGGAGCCAGAGAGAGGAGAAAACATTCTGGGTGATACTGGGGATGTCTCGGGTGTAGCCATGGTTGATTATACGAGCTTTATTTCTTGTTTTTGAAAGGAAATATAGGAAGAAAAGAGAAATTTTCAATGTAGATGGTACCCTACACCAAGTTTTTTTTTTTTTTTCTATTTTTCTGAAATAGCCGCTCCTCGACTATTTTTTTTTTTTTCAACGCTAAACTCGACCACACCCCAGACTCAGGCGAGGTCAAAGAAGTAAGGGAATGAAGGGCTAAATGTGACTAGTTAAACATCATACCCTGACAAGATGTTGATGGTTTCTCATGGAATCTATCATGCTTGGTCTCTAGAAAAACTTCCATATGAGCTCTCGAATCATTTGATACGATACATCTGTCAGGTGTGTCTCCACAGCAACCATAACTGTCAAATATGTAGCTTTTATAAAGTGACATCATGTTGCTATAGAGATGTTCAACATTGATCTGGCTTTCAACGCTCTCGAGATGCGAAATGGTGGACGGAACCCAGCAAAAGCGAAAATAAGATCCTTGACATCTTACCCCTTACCTTTCATATTGCTTGCCGAAATAAACATGAATCGTTTCAACATACCACAACTTATACAGAAAGTCAATTACTCAACAACGAAACCAATCTTACTTAACAAAACCATCAAGACATTGCTCAGTGAGGATAGCGCCAATGTAGCTGTCCGAGGCTGGATTCGTTCTGTGCGCAAACAAAAGCAAGTTAGCTTTGCTACTATCAATGATGGCTCCAACTTGAAAGGCATTCAAGCAATTCTTAGCGGCGAAGATGCAGAAAAGTAAGAGATGTCCTTTGTATTGACAAGATAAATGCATTGAACATTTGAGGAAACCAATATAGATTGTCAACTGGTGCCTGTGTCGAATTGCATGGTTCATTAATACCTAGTCCCGGCAAGGAACAAAGCAAAGAACTAAAAGTAGATAGCATTAAAGTGCTGGGCGAATGCGATTCGGTACGTAATATATCTCAGTGATCATATGCGATATATGAAGAGGTGACTGACTACAGAACAGACGTATCCATTGCAAAAGAAGCGTCATTCTACAGAGTTTCTAAGAAGCATTGGACATTTGAGAATGCGTGGCAATACAGGAAGTGCAGTTCTCAGAGTTAGAAATGCTGCCAGCGAGGGGCTCCGAGATTTCTTTAGAGATCAAGAATTCATATTGACAAACACACCCATTTTGACATCGCATGATTGTGAAGGGGGCGGAGAAGTTTTCAAGGTCTCTCCCATCGATACAACAGATCCAGTGGAATTCTTCAAAAAGCCAGTGTATCTAACAGTATCTGGACAATTACATGCAGAGATCACAGCTTCAGCCATGTCTCGTGTCTACACATTTGGACCCGTGTTTAGAGCAGAGGAATCATTGACATCCCGTCATTTGTCTGAATTTTGGATGTTGGAAGCGGAAATGGCCTTTATCGATGAATTAGCACCCTTACTTGATGTGACAGAGGGCAGTGTACAACAAACCACGCGTCATGTACTGGATACCTGTAGCGAGGATCTCGAGTTTTTCAATCAATGGGTCGACAAGTCATTATTAGAGCGATTACACAAAAGTGTTGACAAACCATTTGCAAGAATGACATACACAGAGGCCATCGACGTGTTGCAAAAGGTGCAAGATAAGGAGAAGAACAAGTTCAAGTTTCCTACGACGTGGGGATCCAGTCTTCAATCAGAGCATGAGCGTTATTTAGCATCAGAATACTGTGGCCAACCTGTCTTTGTTACTGACTATCCCTCAGAACTGAAGCCTTTCTACATGAGAGCCAATTCAGACGGAAAGACGGTGGGATGCTTTGATTTGTTACTGCCTGGCATTGGAGAACTTGTTGGGGGTTCTATGCGTGAAGAACGATATCAGATCTTGGAACAAAAGATGAAGGATGCTAAAATGAACATGGAGGATTATCAATGGTACCTTGATTTACGTAAATACGGCAGCGCTCCTCATGGTGGTTACGGTATTGGCTTCGAGCGTTTGTTACTGTGGCTCACTGGTTTAGAAAATGTTCGTGAAGTCATCCCAATGCCTAGATGGGTTGGCAACTGCAAATATTAGACTATATTTCATGTAATATATAAATTATCTGTTGAACTCGATGTCTTGTCTTGCTAGAGCAGTTTCTAATAACTGGCTTTCTAACATTTGTGCTTCAAGTTGCTGTTGTGGGGAGATTTTTACCTGAAATGGCATCTATTACTAAAGTTTGGTATCAAGCATTATTTTGGTGATGAGATTTCTGAAATGACGAGATAATTTCAACAAGATGAAAAGAATAAGCGAACATCAAACTGTAGCATTTAGTGTCAGAGGCTATAGCACATTGTGGTTACCATTGTGGTGATTCCTTGTACCCCACCGTCACGAAAGTCGTATAAAAAGCGCATTTTGCATCAGATAACTTTGCCTTTTTATACTTTGATAGAACAAGCAAATGTCATTTTGGAAGCCTGGAGCTGTTGCCCCTGGTAAGGATGAATGGAAAATGACACAATCTGGCTCATTCAATTAACAACGTACAATGCAATCATGCCACAGGCAGCACATTAGATAGAGACACAGAGAACGAAACAGGCGAAGCAGTTGTCGCTCACGCAGAAAAGCAATATCGCCACTTGACACTTACTCAACAACGAGAGCGACTGCCCGTTTTCAAATTGAGAAGAGAGCTGTTATACCTATTAGAAAAGTATCAAACTGTCATCGTTGTAGGTCAAACGGGTAGCGGAAAGACAACACGTACGTCAAAATGCTCACTTTATCGAGTCTATTATTTATGCAATGTTCTCTAGAAATTCCTCAATATCTAATGGAATCAGGATGGGCAAGTAAAGGAAAGCAAATTGCCTGTACTCAGGTATGATATATGCCGTAAATCAACTACTTGAATCTCACAGCCATTGTAGCCTCGTCGAATTGCAGCAACGTCAGTGGCACAAAGAGTAGCAGAGGAAATGAATTGCAGTGTTGGAGCCGAAGTGGGATACTTGATTCGATTCGATGATCAAACGAGCGACAGAACCAAGATCAAGTACATGACAGACGGTATGCTGTTTCGTGAGACCATGGTAGATCCTCTCTTGACCAAATACTCTGTCATTATGGTGGATGAAGCGCACGAAAGAAGCTTGTACACTGACATACTGATTGGTGTCATTAAAAAGTGAGTTGTGTTGTGTTAGAATGACAGGGATACTCAACGATATCTTTTTGCAGAATTCAGAAAAAGAGACCAGAGTTGCGAGTGATTATATCTTCTGCCACCATGGATGCAGAACAGTTTTATGGGTTCTTCAACACAAACACTACTCGAAATCCATCAAAGGACACTGCTACTATCATCTCTTTGGAAGGAAGAATGTTCCCCGTCGACATCTTGTACGTTGACAGGCCTGTGGTGGATTACGTCGAAAAGTGTATACAAACTGTGTTTGATATCCACATGAAGGAACCAGCAGGCGACATCTTGATATTCATGACAGGCAGAGAAGAGATTGACAAGGTCGTTTCCGAAGTGTACGAGAGAGGACAGACGTGAGTTTTCAATGGCAAGGATTTTTATCAGAGTGCGTTTACTGATACACTGCTCAAACCATAGGTTACCAAAGAATAGCTTGTCTGTGATGCCTCTTCCTCTTTATGCTGGTCTTACTATTGAAGAGCAATTGCAAGTTTTTGAACCCACACCCAAGTACACTAGAAAAGTGATTGTATCGACAAATATTGCAGAAGCTTCAGTTACCTTAGAGGGTGTTGTATACGTTATAGATACCGGCTTTGTCAAGGTAAGTGGCATTCTTCAAAAGAGGGTTATTCAAAGTGTCTCATACCCGTTCCACCAGGTCCGTGCATACAACCCGAAAACCGGAATGGAGGCACTCGTTGTAACACCTATATCAAAAGCCTCTGCTTTACAGAGAGCTGGTCGTGCTGGCCGTGTCAAGCCTGGAAAAGCATTTCGACTATACACAGAAGAAACTTACAATACACTCAGAGACACAAGTATACCCGAAATTCAAAGGTAAGCAAAGGATATGGCCCTGTAAGACTGAAGACTCATTTGAATCACGTTTGTAGGAGCAATTTGGCACCTGTGATTTTACAATTAAAGGCTTTGGGTATTGATAATGTGCTTCGATTTGATTTCATCACCCCGCCGCCTGCGGAACTCATGACAAGGGCACTGGAACTGTTGTACTCCCTGAAAGCACTGGACGATGTTGGTCGATTGACTATTCCCTTGGGTTTGCAATTGGCCGAGTTTCCTGTAGATCCCATGCTGGGCAAGATACTGTTGTCGTCAAAAGAGTTTGGATGCAGTCATGAGATTGTCACCATTGCAGCCATGGTCTCTGTACAAAACATTTTCATTCAGCCTGCTAAAATACCTCGTGAAGTGATCCATGAAGCACGACGCAAATTCTGGGTAGAAGAAGGCGATAGTCTATCGTTAATCAATGTGTACAATGCATTCATCAACAAGGGCAACAAATCGGGCAAATGGTGCCATGACCGATTCCTCAACTTCAAGGCGTTATCCAGAGCAATGACGATTCGATTGCAGTTGATGAAGTACCTGAAGCGATTCGACATACCTCTGGTGAGTGCCACTGCCAAATATCCCAAAACTGCAGAAGGTAGACTGGCAGCTAGTCAAGATGTGAGGAAATGCATTACCAGCGGCTACTTTTCCCAGGCAGCGATTGCAGAGCCTGATGGCAGTGGTCGATTCAGAACAGTGCGAGATGGCGTGTTGCTGCAAATCCACCCCAACTCTGTCTTGTTCAACAGAAACCCCAAATGTGTTGTATTCCATGAAGTCGTGGAGACAACACAAGCCTACATGAGAGATCTGACAGTCATTGAACCAGAATGGCTAGCAGAACTAGCACCTCACTTTTACGAGTATAAAAAGGCTTAGTCTGTATGTACAAACGATTCTCTTTATTTCAATAATAAAGCTCTATTGATCTTTTATATTAATTCCATCTTCTTGGCTTCTTGTTTGAATCTCTTGGCTGTTGGAACTGCTGTTGTTGGTGATGATGTTGGTTTCCGCCACCACTGCCATTGCCACCACCGCTGAAAGGAGGAGGAGGTCGATATCCTGGCAGATTGTCTTGCTGGTGCTGTTGAGGATAAGGTCTCTTGTTCATATTGTTATTGCTGTTGTTCATCATTCTCGGTGGTTGCTGTTGCTGAAAGTCATTGTATCTGCCATTGTTGTTGTTATTATTCATCATGGGAGGAGGAGGTCTATATCCTTGTTGGTGCTGCGTATTGCGATCATTGGGGTTATGTCTTTGCTGCTGCTGTTGTTGCATGCCTCCTCTGCCAAATTGACGTGGATTGCCTCCTCTTTGTTGCTGCTGTTGTGGTCTGTATCCTCCATCAAATTGTTGCTGCTGGTGTTGCATGTGCTGCATTTGTTGAGGTGGAAGGGATTGATTCTGTCTCATCATGCCGCCCATCATGTCTTGATGTTGCTGAGGTGGAGGTCTGAATGGAGGAGGAGCATTGTTGCCAAAGTTACTGTTGGGTCTAAAGGGTGGAGGGCCATTGTTATCCATGATGGAAGGAGGACGAGGCATATTGGCTGGTCTGAAGGGCGGTGGCTCTACCTTGTTGTGAGGGCCCTGAGCGTTGTGAGGCCTAAAGGGAGGAGGCTCTGTGAATTGCTGTCTACCATAATCCTCGTTTTTGACAGTTGCTGGTTCTTCATCATGATGCTGACTCGAGTCAAACTTATCAGATGTCAATTCTCCTGGTCTAGGACGAGTCCAAAAACGAGTTGTGTGATCATTGGAGCCACTGACAAGTATGTGCCCAACAGGGTGCCAGTCTAATGACCAGATGTTGCTTTCGTGTGCTGTCTCTTGCTCACCTACAGGTTGATCTTGGCCGGTCATCCAGAACATCAATGCACCATCGGAACCACCAGTAGCTAGCAGTCTTTCATGTTGAGGATGCCATTTAGCAGCTAATTGACAAATCGGTTATTGATTGAAGTTGTCAAATAGGTATCGATACTTACAACAGATTTCCTTCTTGTGGCCTCTAAAGATCTGCAACTCTTTCATTGTTCTGATATCGTACACCTTGACCAGTTGATCTCTACCCGCAGTAACTAGCCAGTTGCCGTTTTGGTTCCATTCGAGAGCTAGTACCGTGTTTTTATGGCCATGTCTAGTGAGCACACGCAGGGTTAGTAACGTAAACACAGACTGCAATTGTGAGCAACTCACAGTGTTGTAATGTTCTTTGCAGTTTTAGGATCCCACAGTTTAATCAGATTATCTTTACTTCCAGAAGCTAGCAATGCTTTATAAGGATGCCAGTCGACACACTTGACATCCCAACCGTGACCTGTCAGCGTCTTTTCTTCAGTGCCCGTATTGAAATCCCAAATTTTGATCAATGAATCATCTGAGCAGGTGGCAAAACGAGTATCAGAAGGTGCAAAAGTAAGATCACGGATGGCTTCTTTATGGCCCTGGAACATTTTCAGATTACTCATGTTGGATTGCCAGTATTTGATGATACCACTGTGATCTCCGGTAATCATCCAGTTATCATTGTGAGACCAGTTCATGGCACGCACGGCTGAATCATGCGCCTGGAGGATAGTTTCAAAGTTGAACGTGAGTCCGTTCCATAGAGTGAATTCGCCACTGGAAGAGCCTGTAATCAATCGACGACCTTCGGGTGTCCACTACAGTACGGTACAGAAGCTTAGCTTTTTTTTTTTGCTAGTTTATTCCTAAGCGACTTACTCGAACTACATTGACAGGAAATCTGATCTTGTTGGTGGATGTGTGGATGAATTTAGTCGTTACAGCATTAATCGGGTTATCGAGGTAGGCAACAGGAGGAAGCATCTATCAAATCACCAATTCATCAGCCGTGCGCTAGTACTTACTAGTAAAACACACTTACATTAACGATAAAGTTGGGGTCAGGCCTTAAGTACCGCGAATCCCGTCTGTCTCGAATCCATACACGCTCCTACAAAAGCAAACCAGAAAACCAAGCAATCAATAAGGAAACATGAGCCAAATTTTTCAGAAATTCTCGTATTTTATTTAATAAGAAAACGAATCTAACCTGCATCCATCTAGCAACACTATGGTTATAATCGACTGTTCTTCTCTGAATAGCCTTTCTCATTCTTTTACCGTCGAAGATCATCTTTGAGAATGGTATATTGCCTCCTCCTCCTCCTCCGCCATCTTCTCTACCTGACATTCTCATGGGACGACGACCGCCTCCTCCTCCTCCTCCACCTGCTCCTCCAGAGTGATCGTCTTCCCATTTGTTGTGTGATGCCGTTTCCATTCTGATGTAATGGTTGTATTTGTAGTAATGTGTAATTAAAAAGTGAAAGAGAGGAAATGAAACTGGCCATTTGAAAAATTCGAAAGAAATGGCAGGTTTTATGGAGTCACACTGACTTGATTCTCAGCGTTCAAATGCTGCTACAGTTTATTGTCATGCGAGTGTAGCTATATGCTTTGGATTACTCCATTGGAGTGGAGGGTCTGGAATCAGCAGCAGTCAGGACGTTCTTGAGTTGCTTGACGCCACCTTGGAGGGACAAGTTTTCGGAACCGATCAATGAATGGTGGACATGTTCAATTGATTTAAAGTATTTTACAGTCTATACATCATACAATGTCAGCATGCTTCTACCTCTGGATTCAATGCATGACATACCTTGACATGGAGCTCCAATGTAGCATCTTCGTCACAGACAATCAAACCTTTGGGGTGCATTTGAATGGCGGATACTGTCCACATGTGGTTCACGCCTTCCTCGATACATTTAGCAAGTGCGATTGCCTGTGAGGCATGTCAGTCTCAAGATTGTTCGTCCATTAGATGGATGGCTTACCTTGTGTGCACCGGTAATAAGAATTACTACCTCACGGGCATCCATCACAGTACTGTCATGCAAGATTGTAAGATACACTGATCACAGCCGCTTACAGGCACACACCCAGATTCTACTTACGCTACACCAACTGTCAATGCAAGCTTGGGGACCTTGGCAATGTCGCCGTCAAAGAACCTAGCATTAGCAATGATGGTCTCGTAGGCCAATGTCTTTACACGTGTGCGAGATGTCAAGGAGGATCCAGGCTCGTTAAAGGCAATATGGCCATCTGGGCCAATACCACCTAGGAACAACTCAATGCCTCCCACACGAGTGATTTCAGCTTCAAATTTCTTGCACTCTTCATCTAAATCAGGTGCATTTCCATCCAAAATATGAACATTTTCTGGGCGGATATCGACATGCATAAACAAGTTTTTCCACATGAATGAATGGTATGATTCTGGATGATCTCGAGGCAACCCAACGTATTCATCCATATTAAAAGTAACGACATGCTCAAAGGTGACTTGGCCGGATTTATACAACTCGACTAATCGCTTGTAGACGCCAACTGGAGAAGATCCTGTAGGCAAACCCAGTACAAAGGGTCTGTCTGCATTCGGTTCAAATTGACGGATACGTTCCTTGATGTAGTTGGCTACACAGCTCCATTTAGACATGTGTGTCAAGAGTCTATGATCAAAGATGAGAAATACAAACCTACAAATTCAGATACTTCGTCGTAATCTTCACGAATTATCAGTCTCATTTAATATATATATATATATTTATATATATACGTGAATCAAAAGAAAACAGGGAAAAGAAACAAGCAAATGTTGAGGTAGAACTCAAAAACCTTTTTTTATGGCAAAAGTTTAGGGGTTTCTTTAGCCAATCACATAATCACGTTGGTTTGACAATGCTGGCGTGGTGTTATCATTCATCCTTTAGTATGCATATATCATCAATATTTGCGTCATTTTACAGTGTCATTCATCGATGGTATACATCAAGAGACGGCAGTATGGCTGGCCGCATAGAGAGTGCGCACATGGCAGCAATGTAGATCATGGGTGGCATCTCTTGTAGTATGTGCATGTGTTGGGGAAGACAACAAAAGTCAGATTTAGGGTTCATGTTTCGTATCCATTTGTTTGTATATAAACACAGCTAACGTCTAGAGTCAAAACATAAAACCACTTGATAGGCAGGGTCTCCTGTTGTGCTACTCATCATCATGAACAGAATCATTTGACAAATGCCGTCTCTTTCAGGATGCTTGTGTCATGTGAAGCTTGACATCTGTGAGTAATTAAATCATAGTGGGTCAAGATAATGCACTGTTGAAGAGATCACAACAAAAGCATAAGGCGAATAGTATCGTATACCAAAGATACTGTATTTGTCAATAGGCGAGATGTGACAAATGTATCAAAGAGACCTACAAGGACAAGCGATGAATAGCGTCAACCAGTTGAATGAGTTTTCCACATACAACACACAGCGTTCAGAGAGAAAGAGGAAATGAAAGCTGGGAACACCTAAGGCGCTTTATTTGTTTTTATTGAGACCATTTCCATCAAACACTTTTTGAGATATCTAAATGTTAATTTTGATCAGTTCCTGCTGGGTAGAATGAACTGACAAGTGATTGCATGGATTATACTGGTACCATTTGGATCTTTGACTATTGTTTCTGTGGGATTATCTATAATAATGAACTTTTTGTTGGATCACTGGAATAATAATTATACAGTACAATGCACTACACCTACTCGAAATGATAAGAGATGGTTACGCCTAGCAACTATCGGAAACAACCTCTTGCTATACACTTACATGGCAAAACACTGCAAAATTTGAGTGCATTTGAGCTGTGATTTCTCGTGTTAGAAGCTGTTTTAGACTGCCAGAGTAGCACCAAACCAATTCTCTGATCTAGCACTTGCTTGTTGCCACCTTCGCTCAGCTCTTATAGGATCTCAAAAACAGGGCCAAAAACCATGAGGGGTACCTCATGCTTTTCATCGAAAACCAAACGATCGCGTTTTTGACCGCAAAAATGAAGACTTTTACTATGGTATATATTGAATCAAAATGTTTCCCTCGATCCAAAGCAACTTCTGAAACCACTTTTATGAGATTCTCATATGCAAAATTTCGGCATTTTGGCCAATAACCCTATTTCAGTTTTTTTGGAATTGCTAATTAAGTTCAGTCAAAACATCTATTTTACTTGTCATCATTGGAAGCGCCTTGAAAAGTACTCCAAGGGTGTATTAAGAAGCATCTGACGATTATCACAATTTATATAGTCGAATGTTACAAAATAAATTAAAGAAGTCGAAAAAAGACAAAATTTGTCCAATCTTGAACAGAAAAAAAATAAACTGAGTTTCAATTGATTTTGGCGGCAGCGGCACTGCTGCTAGCTGACCTAAATGCCTTTCTATTGATGACAATGATGATTGCGATGTTGATTAAATGGGGATCATGGAATTGAAAGGGCAATTGACCAGCGCAAATACTTTTTTTTGGGGAGTTTTGCTTCATGAATGTGTCTTTTGTAATGGCAATACCTCAAAAAAGTCGCTGTAAATCTTACACTAGTCCTGTTTTTACGCATGGCCAGCTTTATGTCGCCATCTCAAGAGCAGCATCAGCGAATGGACACCTCTGCCTCCTGAACCTGATATATCCTTTCTTTTAATATTAAGTGATTGTTTAAAAATCTACTTGATATCTCTGATCTGGATTGTCTTCGGGCGAGAGCCCGCAGGGTGACGCTGACATCGAGCGTAGCGAGATAGATCGGCTAGTGGCAAAATACTATAGCTTAGGCTGGTTATTTTTTTTTCTTCTGTTTATCGCCACGTTTTTGTATATGGCTGGTCTAGTTGATGCACAATGGTTACCCCAATGCGAAACCTACTGCTACTTATGCAGTAATAATTTCAATGTGAACTCTACTTGTTACCTGCAAGCTTATGGTCTCTACGGCAATGGTAGTGCTTTACATGGTATACAGAAACCATAATATGAAGCTATTTAGTTAAAGCCACTCTATTAACAAAATATAACACCTACCGATACCTACGCCGCTCTGCGATGCTACTGTGATAGACAGTGAAAATTATGAAACAAGAAAGACTGAGGCATTCAATGAAATTAAAACCTTTTCACTCAAATACTTCAATCGTCATTAGTTAACTTCTATTATATTGTATTTTATTGGAACAGTTGGTATAAATGTAGAAAGTAGTCTATAAGACGGACAAGGATTGCTCATGTACCAACTCAGCATAGGTACCATCAAGAGCCAGTAATTCAAAATGAGTGCCTTGTTCAATCACACGGCCATCTTTGACAACACAAATCAAATCGGCATTTTGAATGGTAGACAACCGATGAGCAATGGTAATGGTGGTTCTTCCTCCTTCTTCCAAAATGTTATCTAGAGCTTGTTGCACCAATTTCTCACTATCACTGTCCAGAGCGCTGGTAGCTTCATCCAGCAGCAAGACCTTGGGCTTACGAATAAGTGCACGTGCAATAGCAATTCTCTGCTTTTGACCACCAGATAACTGAGAGCCTTTGCTACCCACCCTCTCTGCGAATCCGTTTGGCAAACTAGAGATGAAATCATAAATATTGGCAGCTTTGCAAGCATCTTCGACTTCTTGCTGAGACACCTGCTTGGATTCTTCGATACCGAAACGAATGTTTTCATCGATGGTTAAATCAAACAAAGTAGGCTCCTGAGACACGATGGCCATATGACTACGCAAGTTGTAGAGAGAGTAGTTCTTGACATTGGTATCATCCAAAGCGACAGCACCCTTGAGGGGATCGTACCAACGCTGCAGCATGCCAATAGTAGTTGATTTACCACAGCCAGAGGGGCCAACAAGAGCTATTGTTTGGCCGGCTTTACCATGGAGATTAAACTCACCATTGAATACAGTAACATCTTCACGAGCAGGATAAACAAACTTGATATGTTTGAATTCGACATCGCCCTTTACAGTGCCAACAGGTGGTTCAATGCCCTCCAACTCAGGGTCAATCTTGGACTCACGTTCAATAACAGCATAAGAGGCAATGGCGGCGTACTTGGCTTTACTAAAGGCAGAGGCAAAGGTGGTGGAACGACCAGCAGATTCAGCAGCTGTCATAATGACCTATTATTCATGCATGTCAGTCAAGCAACGTAAAAGTGGATATTTCAATCAGTAAACTTACAGTCATACTAGTAAACATTTGTTGGAAATCAATCATGCCACTTTGGATAAAACGAGCACCAGCGTAGAAAGCAAGAGCCGATGTGTAGATGTTGATGCCCTTACCGAGACCAGCAGCAATGGATGATAGATAAGCCTTCTTCATAGCCAATCTGTGAGGACGGTCTGTAGCCAGATAGTAACGTTCTTCGAAATAGGCTTGCTTGTTCAAGGCAGCCACTGTTCTCACTTCACGGATGGCTTCGCCAGCCACTTGCCCGCTCTCGGCATTTGCTTTTTTCGTTTCATCCTCAAACCCACGTTGAACACGGAACTCGTAAGCTGTAGCAGCACAGAGGAAAGGCGCCATACACAAGACAACCAACGAGAGAGCCCAACTGTGGATAAAAGCAATAATGAATGCAGCAACGATAGTAGCAACGAGTTGCGTCAAATCTCCCCATGTTTTTGTCACCATCTCGCTTACATTTCGGGCATCGACAGCCAAACGAGTTGTGAGAGCACCACTGTTGTTTTCTTCCAAATCAAAGAAGCCCACCTCCTGTTTCAGGTAGGCATCGAATACCTCCAGTCGGAATCGCTTGGAAAACTTTTCACCACAGACTTCATAAGCACAGAACTGAGTGCCATTGCCGATAAAGGAAGCAATAGCAATCATGACAAAGATAAACGAGTACAAGTTGGTGCCTTGGAGAGGACCAGGCTGGATCTCTTGGCCAGGCACACTGAGAATAGAGATGACTCTGGAGAAACTGAAACTATACACGGGGAAAATGCATCCAGCTATAGCAGAGCCTACCACACCGGCACCGAGGTAGTTCCATTCAGGACGCATATGTTTCAGCACCTTCCACATAGGGGCCTTTTGTTTCTTCATTTCCTTCTTGATTCGCTTTTGCTCAGCAAGTTTAATTTCGTACGCATCAATTTCTTTGCCACCTTCAGTGCCAATGTACTTTTCATCACTGCGCGCGGATAAGTTGGTGACCACTCTGGTAAGGCCATGACGCTCCTTTTCCAAGATTTGTTGCTTGACTTCAGACTCTTCTTGTCTTAGTAATTCTTCAGCGTCTAATTCATCATGACGCGCGGCTCCAGCTTCTTCGGTTTCCTCCGTATCAATTGCTTGCTTCTTGACGAGATCAGCATAGATACCGCCCAATTCAATGAGTCGTTGATGCGTGCCACGTTCGACAATGACACCGTGATCCAACACCACAATCATATCAGCCTTCATAATGGTAGATAGACGATGAGCAACAACAATCGTTGTGCGAGAAGCAGATGCCTTATCAAGGGCGTTTTGAACCAGACGTTCAGATTGAGTATCCAAAGCAGAGGTTGCCTCATCCAACAACAAAATAGTAGGGTTCTTTAAAATAGCACGCGCAATAGCAATTCGCTGCTTCTGACCACCAGACAACATACCGCCAGCATCGCCGACCAGTGTATCGTATCCATCAGGTAGTTGCGTGATGAAGGTATGGCAATTGGCTTCTTTAGCAGCAGCGATAATCTGCTTCTCTGACACATCAGCATCAACACCCATCAACAGGTTTTGTCTAACGGTCATATTGAACAAAACTGGCTCCTGGCTAGTATACATATTAATACACGGCAAATCAAAGCTACGCTATCGTGTCTCATCTTACCTCACAACGCCAATTTGCTGGCGAAGCCATTTGACATTGAGATCCTTGACATTGTTGCCATCCAACAAGACTTCGCCAGTAAGTGCATCGTAGAAACGTTGAACAAGTTGAATAGTGGTTGATTTGCCAGAGCCCGAAGGTCCAACAAATGCTACAGTCATACCCGGATTGATGTTTAATGAGAGGTCTTGCAAGATGGTGAGATCAGGACGCGTGGGGTATTTGAAATGGACATTCTTGAATTCGATAGCACCTACCACCTTGTCAGGGGTAAGACCTGATGTTGCGTCAACATCAATATCAGGTACACGATCAATGATTTGGTACACCTTGTAGGCAGCTGGTATAACATGTCAGTTTACTTGTTATAAGGTATGCGTTATTCCTCTTACCACCACGGGCGCTGGACACAGCCGACAGATTAACAGGTAAACGGATCATACCTACGCCATTGAATTAGCACGTAACCATCCATTTGATCATCCGCTTGAACTTACTCATGGAACCCATCATCATAGCCAAGAATGCAACAAACACAGCAGGGCCAGTTAGTTCACCCTGCACAACTATACATAGATGCGATTAGTCCGTCATGATCAACATCAAACACACACTCACTTACCCTTTGTTGATCCGTACCACAAGGCTAAACCATAGGTACAAAAGAGTATAAACATAAAGGTAGCGAAACCAAGACCCAAGGACACACCACGCTTGATACCGAATTGACATGCCTCTTCCAGCTTTTCGTCGTATCGCTTGGAGAATCGCTTTTGCAAGGTGAATGAGTAGATGGTGCGAATGGACTGGAAGCATGATTCTGCTACTGATCCAGCAAGAGCGTAGGATTGTTGACCCATGACAGTGTATTTAGTGATAAAATAAGCCATCACTCTTCCTGTACCAAACATCAGAGGCAGTGTTGCCAGCATGATGACTGCCACTTGCCAGCCTAACATCACATCACGTTGAGTCATTGAACCATGAATGCCACTGTGCCAAGGACATCTTACCTTTCACAAATGCCACGATAAAACCACCAATGAACTGAGCAATCAATTGCACCAGTAAGCCCATTTTTTCTGAAATGCCATCTTGAATCAACTGCGTGTCGGATGCCAAACGTGTATTGAGCGATCCATCAGCTGCTTTATCATACCAACTCATGTCTTGTTTTAGCACTGAATGCAAATACAGGGATCGAATGCGTCTGGTCTGACTTTCACCTGTCATGACCCACAGACAATTGGACAGGTAAGCTGCAATGAGGGACGCTGTACCCATGTAAGCCATGATGTGAATGACGGGCAATGTTGTTTCTAACAGTGAACTGGGATCATTGAGTGATCCAGTGAGGTTGTTGATGAATGTACCGTAAATCAGAATTGAGACAGGCTGTAATGCTCCTGAGCCAATGGAAAATATAACTGCTAGCACAAGCAGCACTCGTTCTTTAGGTGTAGAAAAACGGAACAGCTTGAGCATCGACACTGCAGGCCCCTTTTCTCTCTTGTATTTGGGTTTTTCTGCGGCTTGTTTAGATTGGGGTTGTTTTCCTTCTTCCTCTGCTCGTTCAGTGGTAGATGTGGAGACAGCTGGGGTCGTTGCCATTGTTGTTTGCTTTTCTTCTTCCTCTCGCACCCCTAGCTTTTTTTCGTTCATAATTGCAAAATTGAGAAAAACAGAAAAATAGAAGAATGATGCAAGATCTCGATCGTTTTATATACGAAATCACATATGGTAAATGTCACACAGAGAGAAAAATAGGTGTGTGTCGTCGCAGAGCCAACACCGCCATTATGTCAAATTTAGATAAAATCGGCGTTGGGGATGCGAGCTGCTCGCTGCGGATGAAACCATATTGTCAAATGTCGGCTCCTGGCTGCTGCTGCTGCCAAGCAAAGGCTGCCAGTGGGCCGCTGGTTTACAAAATAAATGTCAATCTTGCACTGAACATCATCTTTATATGGATAAAAACCTCCGCCTTTTTGTTTGTGTATGTGTGTGGACACGCTCGTTCAGGTGCGCTTTCTCGGGGATCAAGGTTTTCCTAATGCGTCAAGAATTGCTCTGTTGCGTAACGCATCAATTGCTTGTCAATTCTAGCTATGCCAATGACCCTTCTTTTGATCCAGCGATAAGCGACTGCCTCCATTCGCAGCCAATTACACTAAACAAAAAGTGTCATCATTACTCAAACTATTTGGTAATGTGATGTGAAATCTTGAAACTTGTGTAGTGTTGCAATAAAGCGATGTTCTTGATCCCGGGGAAAAAGTTTTGACTTGTTGCCCATATTTAACAAATTAAGCTAAATCAGGCATCTCGTTGTCCTACATTGGAGGTAGCCATGTTGCACTGATAGCCCAAAGCAGCACTCTGCGTTCAGCGCCTGCTCCATAGTTGGTAGTATTTTCTTTACGCTGAATTAGAGGTAAACATTTACTGTAGTCTCGCAATCAATAGCATACTGTCTCTTTATATTCAGCGTATGGATGTCATTGCCTTGATGTAATACCTGTAGTAAAGTGCCTTGAACTTGATCCAACACTAGCAATATACGGAAATTGATTCTACCACGGTAGATTAAATTTCCTTTTCCCGTGGTGCACCTATTTGCTAGATCAAGGGCAGAACTATTCAGCCATGTCTCCACCTTAGGGTACACAGGCATGCTAGAAACCGGGATACTGTACATTTACTTTTACTTTCTATATGGCTCAAATTTGTAGTAAGATCCTTTTGCACCAACCATTAATAACAAATGACTAGAGTTCATTTAGGTAATAGTACATTTAATATTAACTGAGCCTATGTCCATTTGGCTATCTAAATGAAAATCCCCCCCAAGGTGCTATCCGTATCTGTGACCATCACAACTCGACCATAATAGCACAACATCGCGCAGCAATACGCACAGACGCGTGTGGACAGTATTCAGCAGGAATTAAGCCTGTTGAGTCGTACATTGACCCAACAGACCCTTATCAATACGAACTAGCAGTCAATACACCTAGAAACGCGGCTTAAGAGGGCTGTTACATAGAGCCTGTGGATAATTTTGGGCCCTGTCGAGCTGGACAATTTATAAAAAGGACATTTTTAGTAAGAAAAAAAGGCCCAGGGTTCATCTATTGACAATGATCTTTCTGCTTAAATGAGTGCACGCATCTATAAACAGCTCAAATAAGAATAAATCCTACTGTAACAGTAGTTGAACCGGCCAGCCCTGCTATCCCGGAAACCAATTTTGAAGAAAGGGGCCCAATAGACGACAGAACCGTGGCTTTAGAGCGTTGGCATGGCACGTCTATGGCTATTATAATACAAATCAATACAAATACTGTCGAGCCAAAAGCATCGTATTGAAGCAGACGAAAACCAACTTTTGATAGCACACTGCTATGCTTCCTGGTGTTGGTAAACAAGACCGGAAGCAATTGTGCATGCAAACCTTGCAACGAGTCCTTTTGGAGATCTCGCTTCTTATGAGAACAATAAAACCCATATTTTATTTTACATGCAAAAGCATTCCATAGAACCTGTCGCAAGCTGATTTTTGTATGGTAATGAAGGTGCCAACTTGAAATGATATCGATTGAATGGTGCGCGATATTTTTGAATAATTCCAGCAGTCTATGCTTTAGACAAGGTCTGCGCCGTACAGCGCTACTACCACGAGCTATTCATAGAATAACAAATACCTCATTCAAACACAAGAGTTAATCATAAGCATCATTTCGATGGCTACAAACAAAACCTTAGATACAGCCATGGAAGTGGCAAAAGGAGAAGGCCAAGAAATCATCAAGTCGAACGAGCAGAACGGACAATAGTATACAGATGATGTATTTGAACGATGGCAACATAAAGCTATATTATAATTTATCGTTACAGCAGCATCCATCAGTAATAGCCATCCATCAACAGCAACTCACTGTGCCCAATGCCATACATGAATTCTGCCCCGAATTTGCAAAAAAATATGAACATCACATTGTGTCTTGACTTGGACAATGAAGAGAATATGAAGAGAGTCTGAAAGCATGTTTACAGAAATCGACACTACACGTATATAGGTTATAGATACCCTGCCTGGGTCCCAGGATTTTTACATATGACAACTCATCCGAGAATGATCAAGATACAGACATGGATATGATCACTTTGCTGTTTCGGCATGATAATTTGGTGCAATTAGCTCTTTGTGAATGATCTGCAGCACTCCATAGATGGATTGTTTCAACATTTAGGCTGTTGTTTACATTCGAAATGTTTGTTGTCTTAGCCTACTTATATAAAACTAATAATGACTTAAATGTATATATATACATGCTATGTGAATTAGACATGTATACGACAATGATCATCATCACTGATCCATTCTGATCTACTTGAAGCATGCCGTGCCACCCCTTGATGTATACACACACACACACACACACACATCCTGCATGAATAGAGAAAATGAACCTGTTACAAAGATGTCATCCGGGCCTCCCGAAGGCATATGCTAACGTTTATCAACAAGTTGCCCAACTTGGGATCATTGTTTTTTTTTTTTTGCTCGAAAAATGTGTAACGTCCCTTGCCACTCCTTATTATCAAGCCAAAATGTTTCAATAAAAGTAAAGCATTCAGTTGATCATCACTTCTCTTCTTTTTCATCCTTACATTTACGCTAAAAATGAGCTTGAATGAAAAAACAAGCAGAAGCCAGTTGAAACCAGATCGATATTACACACCGCAAGTAAAAAATCCTACTGGGCCAATTCACACCACAAGTAAAATGCATATGCAAGCAACAGAAGAGTGATTTACAACTGACGTTATTTGTACGATTAGATTATGAACCCACACCATCTCCAGAATCTGTCATATTTCACAAGAAAGCAAGAGCACCGAAAAACGAATCCTGTTGTCTTGCATGGTAAATTTCTTACCAAATGTTGTAGAGTTCTTTGCATGAATAACGTTTTCCATAGCTTGCTGGCATGCTTCCTATGTTTTGCTGTGAAAGGCGATGATAGTAAAACACCACCAGCATCAAGCCCTCCACCCACAGCACCTACATCGCCACTCCCACCATGACAACATTTTTAATGATAAGCATCAATCATCGCTTTTTTTTATTCATTTGAAAGAAGAAACTCACATAATACAGCATATAAATACACAATAAATGGTGGCTCTCATCAAATGGCCATGTCTTTAATGTCTTGAATGATGGTTTCTTGCGCACTACAATCATTCTTTTTGGATTTGTTCATCACCATGGTAACCAACCCGTTTATACAAGGGCGTTTAGCAGATGCCTTTTTCTTTTCCCCAGCAGAGTGATGATGGGAAATGTGGACCTTCTCCAGAGCATTTGCTAATGCATCTTGTTGCATTGATAATCTTTTGTTTTTTTTATGAATGATGCGCGTCGATAAGATAGGAATACGAGAGGGTCTTTTATGATAAGTGTGTCTCTTTAATGGATGTTTTCTATGTGTCAGTAGCAATCGCTCCAATGCCTGAGCATGTTCTTGCGCTGAATCATGACTTGGATTCACAACAGCATGAATTTTAGCGGATAAATGCTGGGAAAAAACGGCTTCCAACATGGACGCATCCTGAGGTGATGGTGGTGGCACCTTCATTTGCATGCTTTCTTCATCACAAACATCCTTCAAAAATGAGCAATTCCATTTATTATCATCTTGAATCATCACAGCGTCCATTGTATGTTTGATGAGAAAAATATATTTTAGAAAAAGAGAGAGAAAAAAAAAAGATAAGCTTCTCCCTCCACTTCTAACCATCATCCCGTCTTTAAATACACACACACACACACACACACACACACACACACACACACACACACACACACACGTTAATCCCGATCATGTGATTTCCAATGTATATAGACGTTTATTTTACGAATAATGCTCGTTTACATGATGATTCACTGCCATATCATCGCCTTCAATCATCTTTTGACACACTGGACACTCTACACGACGCACCTGAGTACCCTTCAATAAGGTGCTGGCATCCACAGGCGCATGTCTGGGTTGTTGTGATTGGAACATGTTGTTATTATTAGTAGTAGTAGTTGGTGTAGACATGCCAAAGTTGGGAGGGATGTAGAAATTGGACGGATCGTGCTGTTGCTGTTGCTGTTGATAGGGTTGTTGATAGCCTGGATTATTAAACATCATGCTGTTATTGTTGGGATAGTTGCCAATGCCAGTGTTCGGGGTTGGCATGCTGTATGGTTGATATGTGTTACCACTAACACCAAAAGTGTTCATTTGAGGAGGGGTACTAACATTGCTGGTAGCAGTAGATGACATCAATGAGGCATTGGCTGTGTAAGGAGAAAATTGGCTTGGAGGAGGACCAGTTGTGGTAGACGGTAGTGAGGAAGTAAAAGAGCTCTGTTGAGGCAATGTCGATGCAAAGTTGCTTTGCTGGGGAGGAGTAGGAGACATCATGCCCGTTTGAGGCTGTTGATATTGCCAAGACGGTTGCTGCTGGTACCCGCCTTGTGGTGTCGTGCCCATTGTTGGAGTCGATGTACTATACCCACTGCTTCCCATACCATAGTTGGATTGATAAGGTGGCTGTTGCTGTTGCTGAGGCTGCTGCTGTTGTTGCTGACCGCCCATTGTGGGCGTCATATAGTTACCTGTCTGCGGTTGATGGCTACGGAAAGGATTGTTGTCCATCACTGTGATAGATTGGTCAAAAATTGAGAGAAAAGAAGAAAAGAGAAAAGGAAAGACGAGACAAACTTTTAATATACTTGTTTCTAATGCGGCGCGGTGGTAGCCAAGCAAAGCGAGATGGAAAAAGGCGGTGCAACAATTACGTCGTTGAGATACTACAGATGAACATGATGATGCGCCATCAAGATGTCTCCGCTTAGCCTCATCTTTTTGTATCGCATCCCAGACATAGAGGGTCAAATACCAAGAATAACGTGTGGATCTGCTGATGCCAATGCCTGTCGATGGTTCATTGTTCTGTTTTGTTCGCAATTCATGCTACTAAGCGCTCAGTTCCATGTAGCACACGCCACTGACTTCGACGTCATCACAACAATGAATGCTTCAAATGTCTCGTATGTGGTTAAATTCTTTAAAAGGAATCATTTTCACATATCTTTCTTTTCTTCTTTTATCCCACAAAAAAAAACATGTCTCTTATCAAAGCATTTGGTTCTTTGACCATTCAATCGCGTTCCTATGTAAGTGCTCGTGTTCTCCACCCCAAGCAATTCACTAGCAGTAAGTCCAATCCTCGAATCATTCATCATATTTCAAATCTAACAATTCCATGCCAAGTTTTGCAGGACGTTCCTGTAAGACCTCGTAGTGGTTGGCAATTGTACATGAACGAGAACCTTCGCAACTTTAAGGACCCCAGCAATAACAACAAAGTTGATTTGAAAAAGGCCATGCAGGAGTTGAGTGCTAGCTGGAAGGCCATGCCAGAAGCTCAAAAGAAGGTTTGTCAATATCTTGATTTATTGGTCCAAGACAGGTGTGATTGAACAAGATATAGGTGTATAATGAGAAATTTGAGGCTGCTGCAAAGCTTCACGATGACAGCAAAACAAAGGCTCTACTCAATGCCACATCAAAGCAGATCAAAGAAGAGAATGGCTTGAGAAGAAAATACAATCTGCCCCTCTTGAGAGATCCCAGACAGCCCAAGCGTTCCAAAAACAGTTTTTTGTTGTATCTCGACCATCTAAAGGCTACTGACGACCCATTTATCCGCAAGAGTTATGGCAAAGACATGGTTGTTGAAGCTGGAAAAAAGTATAGAGCCCTTAGCGAAGCTGAGAAGAATGTCTACAGAGAGCAAGCAAAGGCTATCCAGGACAAATACAATCAGGAAATGCACAAATACTACGTAGAGAATGGTCTTCGTAACGAATAACTAATGTCAAAGCGTCAATCAAATCATAGCACAATAAAGCGTTTTTAAAACACGAAATTTTTTTGACAGTTGATGATCCAACATGCAGAATTTATAGTGTTTGGAATTCGAGATGAAGAGTTAGATGGCAGCGGTTGCAATTGAGCATTGAATGTCATGGCTTCGTTCTGTCAGCTTCTGCTGGAACATTTGAGTGGTTGATTGAGGGTTTTCAGCGTAGGATCATATTCATTGACTACGTAGTGTATACAGTGGTGTTCCTGCTGCTACCGGAGTAACGCTTCAAATTTAAAAATCTAGCTTGTTTTCAGCCGCGCAGAGATATTTTTTCTCCTTGTTGTGTATATATAAAAAAAAAAATGAAGTAAGTGATTTCTAAAGAATGTACGTAATTTAGTTGCTTATTCAACGATGGCAGTGTTGTCAAAGAGATCCAAAGGATCAATCAAAGGGAAATAAGCAGCGGCTCATGGTCTGATTCTGGTTCATGGCACAATCAATACAAAAATTCTGCTTGGATATATGCAGGTGGTTTACCTTATGATTTAACAGAGGGAGATATCGTGTGTATCTTTTCACAGTAAGGGTTTGCGGTTGTATATAGGTAAACTAAGCACTCATGATTTATTCCTCAGGTATGGCGAAATTATCCATATTGAACTCATTCGCGATCAAAAGACCGGCAAGTCAAAGGGCTTTGCTTTTCTTCAGTACGAGGATCAACGCAGTACCGTTTTGGCTGTCGACAACTTGAATGGAGCCACAGTAAGTTGGATTGGTAAAAAGATGTAGCGCAGTCAATTGACGCATGTTTAGGTATTGGGTCGTACAATTCGAGTGGATCATTCACACACAGGACCGAAAAAGCATAAAAAGCAAGGCGAAGAGGATGATTCAGATGATGATCAACCCAAGATGAATGTCGCTCCTGAGATGATTGAAGGTAGGCGAGATAGTAAGCTCTCATTGGCATAGATGAAACTCATGGAAGTTGGTAGTTGGGCCAGAGAAGAAGTCAAAGCCTGCCAAAATGGATATGGATGGAGACGAAGAAGATCCAATGGCAGCTTATTTCAGAGAAAAGAATGAAAAGAAATCCAAAAAGAAAGATAAAAAGAGCAGCAGCAGCAGCAGTCGACATCACAAACATAAGAGTACCAGAGACAGATCTCGAGAGGAAAGACATCATAGATCAAGCAGAGATGACGATAGACACAGATCAAGTAGTAGACGTGAGAGATCGCCTGAAGAAACGTCTCGCAGAGATGATAAATACAGTAGTAGACGTCGTTCAAGATCTCCTCGCTCCCGTTCTCGTTCTTACTCTCGATCCCCTTCACGTCGTCGTTCAAGATCACCTCGTCGTCGCTATTAATCACTGTACAGTAATAAAAATTGTAATATTGAACTTTCACCTATCAACTTTCAATTTCCTTATGACAGTTCTCCATCAACGACTTGTAACGGTAGATCCGACTCTTTCAAAATGCTGTACGTCTTTATCAACAGGAAGAACTCATATCCGAATAGACAGCCTATTCGCATCACCTCTTATTACCTCAAAATAAGCAAATCGCAGCGAAATTCGGATGCATTTGAGCCGTGATGTCTTGTGTTGGAAGCTGTTTTAGACTGCCAGAGTAGCACCAAACCGATTCTCTGATCTAGCACTTGCTTTCTGATACCTTTGCTCAACTTTTATAGGATCTCAAAAACAGGGCCGAAAACCATGAGGTACCCCTCATGGCTTTCATCGAAAATCAAACGATCGCGTTTTTGACCGCAAAAATGAAGACTTTTACTATGGCATATATTGAATCAAAATGTTTCTCTTGATCCAAAGTATTCCCTGAAATCACTTTTACGAGACCTACATATGCAACTTTTTGACATTTTGGCCATAAACCTCATTTCGTATTTTAAGATGGTGCTCGATAAATTGAGTCAAAACTCATAATTTATGAAGCACCATTGGATACGCCTTGAAAAGTACTTCAGGGAAGCCTAAGGCAGTATGTGATGTTTATCACAATTTATATAGTCAGTTCTGGCAAAATAGATCAATTGAGTCGATTTTGATTAGAATTTGTCCAATCTGATCAGAAAGGTGAGCGGCATTTTAATTGTTTTCTTGGTGGCTGGCAAACAGCAGGATGCTATTGTTATTATTATGGCTCATTGTTGTTGTGAAGACAATCGTTGTTTGAGGTTATTATTATTAGCAAGAAGAGACTTGAGAATCGAAAAGTACTGTAGTAGATTGGCTCTTATTGCAGTTTATTGATAGCCAAAGCGTTGTTTATTTAGGAATTTTTATTTGAAATTGCAAATCAAGATGTTATAGATCTTTGTTTACAACATGGATAACTCATGTTGAATTTGTCTTGTGTCATACGAAGATCGCATAATTCTCCTCAGTATCTGTATTCTTCTGTTTTCAAATTGGCGCTCTTCCATCTCTTTTTGCATTTCCTCAGACTTTTGTTTTGCTACCTTAATCACAGACAAAGGAATATTGGCTAATCGAGCTACGTTCATACTACATGGTGGAAATTGTAAGTAATGAAGAAAACAGTTTTAAAACGCACTGTCAGCTTACCCATAACTGTTCATGGCAATGCCATCCACCAATTTATATAGAAACACAATGTTGGCAAAGTCTGTTCACGCATGAGTAGGGCGACTAAACAAAGAGTAATAAAACGTACCTGAATCACCTCCTTCTTGAATGTAGCTCATGAAACAGTTTCTGACCTCACCTGGAAATGTCTTGACGAGTTTTCCCAGAGACGGATAGTGTGTAACAAACAAGGTGATTGACTTGACCTGCTGTACAAAATGCTTCAGCACGGCATAGGCAATAGCTTGTCCATCGTGTGTGCTTGTGCCTCGTCCCAATTCATCCAGAATGACCAAAGATTTAGAGGTTGCGTATTTCATAATATCAGATGTTTCGTGTAGCTCCACCATGAATGTACTTTCACCTCGCATCATGTTATCTGACGCCCCCATCCGAGTATACACTGCATCCAAGATGCTCAATGTGGCAGACCTTGCTGGCACATAGGATCCAATTTGTCCCATGATGGAGATCAATGCAATTTGACGAATATACGAGCTTTTGCCTCCCATATTAGGGCCTGTCAAGATCATGGCTTTCTGTAATCCGCTAAAGTCAATATCGTTCGGCACGTATGTGTTGGATAAACGTTCGACAATTGGATGACGGCCATCCACGACCTTGATCTTGGTTTCTTGCTCGTCTGTATTGAACACTGGCTTGACATAGTCCAATTGACTAGCTGTGATGGTAAGTGACAATAAACAATCCAAGTGGGCCAAGGAGGAAACAACGTCTCGAAACTGCTCGTATTTTTCTGAAATCTCTGATAAGAAGTTCTTGTAAGCCGTCTCTACAGATAGTGCTAATAGTTCTCTGTATTGCTCCCGCTCCTTGAGTTGATCTATAATATACTTGTTGTGATATCTACTAACAGCTTTTGTGCCGCTAATCTTGATCCAGTTGTTGGGTACCTTCTTGGTTCTGGTATTTAGGACCTCTATCAGATATTCAATGCCTGCCACTGTGACATATGTGAGCTCGTTCATGTGGGTGGTGGCCTTTAGTTCCTCCAATTGATCTGCTAGTAAACTTTCCACGTATTTGATGTTTTTCTTTTGTTTTGGAATCTCTGGCCAGCGTTCTTCTGATTTGAAAAGGTCGACCTTGTTATCGCCACTGAAATTGGGGTTGATAGCCTCTCGAAACTCAACAGCAATGTCATGGATAGTAGGTAGTGTGTCAAATAGTCGGTTCAGCAAATCAGAGCTAAATCTCGGTTCATGCGCTTTTAGAAATGCTGTAGAGACTCTAATCAACGCATCCAGCACTTGAATAAGTTCCTTTGGGGCAGACTGCAGATGCGAGCTGAGTGTTAGTATGAACCATTACTTCAGTCTTGCTTTCAAGTTACCTTTCCGTAATGAATGCGACACAATCCTTTTTCAATATCAGGCAGTTTGCTGAACAGTGATAAAGCCATATTCTTCTTTGGATTATCAGTGGCAATTAACTCTTCAATGGCATTGATCCGTTCATTCAATCTATCCATGTTGACGAGTGGCCTTCCTACCCATTTTCTCAGTAATCGTTGACCAAATTTTGTGCTTGTATGGTTCAGAATAGAGAATAAAGATCCTTTCTCTGTGAAATCAGTATTATTGCGATATATCTCTAGATTCACAAGTGTATTGCCGTTGAGCAGCATGTGGCTTGCTGAAACAAAGTGCTTGAAAAACTTGGTATTTTTGAGTGTGTTGGTCAGATTGAATTCATCCAGATAGCGAATGATGCATGCAAGTGTCTTGATCACTATATCTGGTAGCTCAACAACTTGAGCCAAAGAGGGCGTGGAAGCGTAAAAGTCAGAAACAAAGGTCAATGCTGCATTGTAGTCTCCACAGAGTGTATCGTCTGATGGCATGCGTTCAATGCGAACCGACTCTTCTCCAAATGAAGTTGACTTCTGTAACGATAAATGCTTGACTAGTTTCTCGGTGGGTTTACTCAACATGCCAGGAACCAGGAGTTCGCTTGGTTCAATGTGTAGTAATCGAGTTTCCAACTCTGAGCGCATGTATGTATCCTCAAATGTGTCATAGATTATATCACCTGTGGAGGGCAGTATCGCAACCATGCCTGTATATACTCTCTCATCTGGCCCATGCCCTCCTCGTTTTTCCTCTACCAGACACATGAGATAGCTGCCGCTTTGAGGGCTTTCTAGATCGTCCACCATTGTGCCTTTAGTAATCATCTGCTGAAGCTCTCTCTGGAATGGCTGTCCTCGATTTGACCCTACTGCTTTTAATGCCGCCGTCTCGGTTTGACGAACAATACCCACCCGATACCCCGCTTTCACAAGCCTATAAGCGTTTTGAGAGATAAACATGCCATTTGATTTATCAGCATCTGTACCTTACTTTTGAACATGATGATTCAGTCTATGCACTGGTATACTGGCAACATAAAAGTTACGATCAATGAAATTTGCAATGTGTAAAATGCGGGATGCAATCTAAAACAGTATGGTTAGAAAAAATCAGCTCAATTTCATGCAAACAGGCGATCTGTACTTTTGCGTCTTCTCCAAAAAATCGAAATTTGTATCCTACTTCAATCAGCAAAAGACATCCAGGGTATTTGGCCTTGAGTTCTACAACTTGTGTTTCCAACGGTGTAAATTTCTGGTGTGGTATGATTTCGACCTTTTGCTTATCAATATCTGTCATCAACTGCTCCACGCGTTGACGTTTCAATGATCTCTCCTTGTCCATTGATCCAAATTTTTGTGCAAATCGTTGATGCAGAGCCTGCTTTTCTTGGTCAGAGATTGGAGGTTTTGCTAGTGCGAGCTTGTACATCGGCTTTTTCGGTGCTGCTACGGATTCTGCTACTGCTACTTGAGGAGGATCAACTTCCATGGGCGTACTCGTTATCGCATTGCCAGTGTCGTGCTGTAGCTTCGGCTTCTTGTCGGCCACTTGTTTGGTGAAAAAGGAGCTTATAGTAGATTGACGTTTCATATAAGCACACAAAGAATAGAGTACATGTACAAAAAGCACTTTTATTTAATTAAACCTGTCTACTCCCAACCTTCATCGCCGGTGTAAATGACTTCCTCAATCTGATAGAAAGCGCTCATTCCAGACTCGAAATGAGAGGCGACGTGACAATGAAAAAGCCACTGGCCTACATTATCGGGTATCATATCCACTACCTGAAAGCTGATGGGCGTCAGGTCCACTACATCCACTCGGTGACCATGATGCAGCATTGTTGCGCCATGCCAATGTGCTGTATGCACATCTTCATCCGAGACGCCAAATGAAATGACATACCAGCGCACTCGAGATCCATACACAATGTTAATCACCTTGTTATTGTTGTAGACATAGCCATTAATATGGTACATGCGGTTCGATTCTTTGAATAGTGGATCTGTAGCTTCCAATTCCTTGAGTCTGTCTACACTAAATCCAAGCCGAGCTCCTGACTCTGTATAATAGGTTGATTTTGATTCATCTGTATTGGTCATCAGCGTGAAGACTTCTTGATCTATGCCTTTTGGCCTTTGAAACATGGAACCTGGAGATGGGAACTCAAGAGTGCCAGTCTTATAGATGACTACCAAACCAAATAAACCTGCATTCACATCGCCTACAGGTGATGATTTCGACGAATACGACCATATCACAGAAGACTGATTGTCAGGGAACGCATAATTCGCAGGAATATCCCAAACATATCGATACTTGTCGCCTGGCTGAACAAATTGACCGGGCAGATTCATCGCATCACCATTCTCAGTATGCGGATGTATGCTGTGAGGGTAGGAGGCCTTGTTGTAAAATGTGATGTGAATCTGATCGCCTGCTTCTGCTCGAATGATGGGGCCCAAATTTCCCAACACTGTGTCATGAGCTATAGGATTTGAAAATGAATCATCTCGGTATTGTCTGTAGAAGGCTTTGTGATAGACTGAGCCTAAACGCTTGTCTTTTCGATAGGTGGTATACAGAGAAGAGGGTGCTTTTGTAAGAGGCTGGTCTCGCACATTGTCCCAATTCATGGGTGCATAATCCCATAGTTCTTCTTGTGCTGCAATGTAGAAGTGTCGAATAGTTCCTTTGCTGCTGCTGTTCAGCGGTGCTGCATACACAGCTTTCAAGAATAGATTAAAGAAAAGAAAGCTTGCGAAAAGTGTCATGATAAAGAAAGCATTCTCATATCAAGAAAGAAGGACAACAGAGTCGAGCATTGAGTTTTACAAAAAAAAAAATGGCCTGTTGAACATAATTTCTTTGAGTGGGACTGAGCCAATAGTAACGTTCATTTATTTATAACTTTTGCGCCAGTTGACAAGTTGCTGATTACAACAATGAGACCGAAATGCCATATTAATAGCAAATATCTATACTTTAATATAGATACTGGAAAACTATGAAAAAAACGACAAAGTGGGGATCAGAAATCCTCCCCCAAGAACATAACGCATCTTATTCAACATTTGATAGCATCATTAACTTATAAGAGGTGTTTACCGTAGCGAAGCGAAGGTGTAAAACCATATCAATTAAGTATCTAATCCAACATTTGGTTATATTGATTTATCTGAAGTTTTTACCCTAGCGAAACGAAAGTCCAGAATCATGGTAGCCGAGCATCTAATCTAGCATTGATAGCGTTGATCTAAATGAGGGTTTACCATAGCGAAGCGAGAGTGCAAAACCATAGTATTCAAGCAGTAAATTTTGTTTCTTCTTTTCATTATTAATAAGATCACCAACAACAGAACACATCAAAATTTGCATGAATTAGCTTTACTAAGATTAATATGCCTCCTTTTCGAATTTTAAAAGTTGCACAGGCTGCAGAACTGCCCTTCCTGAAGATGTCAGCTACCAAAGATACAATTGATGCTGTGTAAATAAACCCCATAAAGCAAAAATACAACCAAATAGGACAGTTTTCAAGCCTTTATATCTTGACATGTAAACCTCTCTGAGCCACCGGAATGACGCCTAACAATTGTACTTGAGTAGTAGCAACATCCTGACACCTTTGCTTAACTTTTTGGAGACCCATAAATCATGGCCAAAAATCGACCAAAAACCATGAGGTACCCCTCATGGTTCCAGCAGATCAAGAACGAGCTCCTTCAACTACATGCCCAAACTGAAATTCACAAGCAATTGTAATTCTCTAATCACAATTGTCATCTATCATCTGTTCCTGTCATCTATCGCTTTATCCTAAATACAATTGAATATCATAACAATTGCGCCCGCCTCTTGGTAGTGCCCTAGGAACCTACTTACACAGAACAATCAATAAAAAAACAATTTAAAAAGTACCTCATGCTTTTTGGTCGAATTTTGTCCATGTTTTTTTGGTCCCCAAAAAGTTGAGCAATAGTGGCAATAACAAACTGCCAGATGAGAGCAATTGTTTGATGCTATTCTGACAGTCTAAAACGGCCTTGAACGCAAGAAAACGCAGCTCAAATGTACTGAGGTTTTGCTGTATCAGGGACACTGAGGACTAAAAAAGGGAAATACCAGTATGCTGCTTGCTGTTAGGTGAAGTATTTACGTGAGTTCGGATGTGCAACATCGCATAAGAATCAGATCCCCAGATAATATGAAAGGTTTTCATGTGTAAGTAGAGAACTGAAATAAAAGTAGCAGTATTTTGATGAGATATGCAAGGACAATGAGTAGCGCGAACTGCCGCTGTGCAGGTTGGCTCTCACCGAAGCGTAGACACACTTTTATGTATATAAATAAGTTTTATTTTATGAAATCAATGCTAATACAACACAACAAGACATGCTCATCCACTCGAGTCTAAACAATGCCTTACTGGTAAAAAGGGAGTTAAAAGTGTTATTCTATATGATATTTAATTTAATACTTCATTTCTGATTCCCAGAAACCGACAGTAGGGAAAGTAGAAGCAAAATCAGAGACTTCTTTCTTCAATTCTTGGATAGAAGAGATGGCGCTACCGTCACCAATGTGGTTCTTGAAGTCAGCCAACTTCTTTCCACCAGCCTTACCCTTCTCTTCTTGTGTAATTTTGACAGCACGGTCAATGAAATCAGCAATCTTGACGAAATCAGATTCCTTGAAACCACGACTGGTCATGGCAGGAGTACCAATACGAAGACCACCAGGGATCAAAGCACTCTTGTCACCGGGAACAGTGTTCTTGTTGGAAGAAATGTTGACCAACTCCAACACACGTTCAACGCGAGCACCATCAACACCCTTGGACTTCAAGTCAACCAAAAGCAAGTGGTTGTCAGTACCACCAGAGACAAGGTCGTATTTGAGAGCATTCAAACGATCAGCAAAAGCAGCATTGTTCTTCAAGACTTGGGTTTGGTATTCTTTGAAAAGAGGTGACTTGACTTGCTTGAGAGCAACAGACAAGGCACCAATGGTATGGTTGTGAGGTCCACCTTGATGACCGGGGAAAACAGATTGGTTGATGGCATTCTCCAAGTCGTAGTGGGTTTCTATATAGAAGTCGAATGAATTGACTCGTCTGCAAGATATCACTCCATAAGCTTACCTCTGCCCTTCTTATCAACGCTACGGAGACCCTTTCTGAAGAAGATCATAGCACCACGAGGACCACGAAGAGACTTGTGAGTAGTAGTAGTGACAATATCAGCATGTTCGAAAGGACCAGGCAAGACACCAGCAGCAATTAAACCAGAAATGTGTGCAATATCAGCCATCAAATAGGCACCACATTTATCGGCAATCTAAAAAAAAACCGTTATTACCCCACACTATTCAACCCGAAAAGATGATCTCGGATCTCTTACCTCTCTCATTCTAGCGTAATCAATATTACGAGCATAGGCGGAAGCACCAGCAACAATGACCTTGGGTCTGTAGAGCATGGCGTTCTTTTCCAAAGCATCATAATCGATACGACCGGTGCTTTCATCCAAACGGTAAGGCAATGTCTCGAAATAAGCAGAGACTTGAGAAATCTTCTTGTTAGGAATTTGGTAACCGTGAGACAAACTAGACGCACGTATGTGAGAAGAGAGGCCTATTTGTTTTGCAAAATATTTAAAACTTACTGTCCACCGTGGGGAAGATCAAGACCCATAATACGATCATGAGGCTTCATGATGGCACCGTAAACATACAAATTGGCAGGGGCACCAGATAAAGGTTGAACATTAACACCCCACTTTTCGTTATCGAGGTCAAAGGCTTCCAAAGCTCTCTTACGACAGAGGTTTTCGGATTGATCAATGAATTCGTTACCACCATAGTATCTGGCACCGGGATAACCTTCAGAGTACTTGTTTTGCATGACACTGCCAAGAGCATCCATAACAGCTCTGGAGGTAAAGTTCTAATGGCCCAATTCTACATTAGCTCCAAGTATGTGAATACATTCAACAGTCAACTTACCTCAGAAGGAATGAGATCAACACTTTCTTGTTGTCTCTTCTTTTCCTTTTCAATGATATCAAACATTTCAGGATCCATCTTTTCGAGTCTGTCATTGAGGAACTAGATTCATGTATCAATACACATGTCGATTCGTAAAGATACAGCATAACTCACCTCTTGTTGACCAGCAGGGAAGACATAGCCGCGCTACGGAGAGAAAGTTAGCATAATGAATTGACAATGCCGCATGTACTGAATACATACCTTGGCTTGATTGATGGCAGGTCTAGCGACCATACGCAAGGTAGAGGGCTTGGCAGCGTTAGCAATGAGAGATCTAAGCATTTTGAAAATGTAAAGAGAAGAAGAAAACAAACAAGATGTATTAATCCACAAGATGGCACGGAAGGCAAGTTTTATATCTAAAGGGGATTTGAGCGGAGAGGAGCCACAGAGATGAAAGTATTAAGGGAAGAGGGTGAGTAAAAAAGTCTAAAAGAGGCAATCTTGCTTCCACCGAGTCAATCCACCGCGTCAAAAAAATTACTAAAAAAAAGAGATACTGTTTGTGTTATCTATAAACAGCAAAGAGGTTCTCCACATCTCGATGGAATGACTGACAATTGAATGCCATCAGTGATCTAGCGTGGTGCTACCATAGATTCATAAAAGGCTCGCTCGAAAGCATCAAAGATTCATGGACAATTCATGCTAAAGAAGCATCGACATGCTATCATTGGGTGTGTGAAAAATATGGGACAAAAGCTATATTTCTGGAGAGAGCCAAAAGATCAATGGGTGATTTCCATACAGCGGCTATTCAACCAAGAAAAAAAAAAAAAAAAGAGATTTATATATTGCTCATTTTAGAGATGTCTGTAACACCTTGTAGAGAAGCGTACGAATTAGAAGCATATATCTATTATGTACATTGCATGCAACTATGTGTTGATAGAACAAGGTACATGCACAGACCCACTAAAGCATTTGGTATCCTTGATGCAACTAAAGAGATCCACGGCATCCCAGCTAAAATCAACACCCAAATGCCACATTCATGACTGAAGCACAAACATTTGTAGATGTATGTATATATACATTTTTAATATAAATTATTTAAGAGTGATGTCTGGTGCATTGTAAATATGGGTTAAAGACTGCTTTCTATTCATTTTCATGCTGTTTATGCCTCTTGAGCCAAATAACCTCTGTTCTTAGGATCAGAGTAATATTCTATCAAAAAAAAAAAAACATGTCAATTACTCATACCAAGCCAGCCAATCTTTTCTATAAAACTTACTGATTTCTTCCTTTCGTAATGGTGCTGCTAACTTGGGTAATTGTGCAAATTTCTCGGGATGAACAACAGATCTCAAACCAAGAGCATTGTAGTAGCGAGTGACAATCTTGCCGCCAGCCTTTTCAATAGCCTCAATGGCCTTTTGCGATGCTCTGGACACTTCAATTGTGATGGGAGTACTGAAGCTCTCAGCGCCTACACTCAATAACTTGACGCCATCCTCAATCTTATGTATACAACGGCTGTCTAATAAATGCTTCATAGTGATGGGTTGAGAAGCATCAATACGGCCAGTTTGGATCCAGTGTTGCAAACGATCCAAATTTAACTCTTGATAATCTTTACCATGGCTATGTTCAAAGAAGTGTTAGCTAACTGTTGGTGATCGTATATGAGCATTCAGCTATTTACATGTTGTAGAAACCACGCTTTGGCAAACGTCTGACTAAAGGAGTTTGACCACCTTCAAACCAAGGAACAGGTTGACCATTGCCTGAACGAGCCTTTTGGCCCTTATGACCACGACCAGCAGTCTTACCCTTACCGTAACCAGGGCCACGGCCAACACGAGTACGCTATGATCATTTATGTGTGAGCACTCTGTCTGATGGATGTTGCATGTGTCTATTCTCAAATGTATATACCTCTGATACAGCACCGGCATTATCAGACAAATGGCCCAGGTTGACAGGGGTCTTGGGCGGTTGAATGTGTGTTGAAATTGCACGAGCAGGAACTAGCGTTGTAATACGGGCCGAGAATACTGAACGAAGCATTTTGAATTGATATTGATTGTATTAGAACAAGGGCAAGAAATACAAGAAAAAATCCTATTTTGCTCCTTTCAAAATTCAAGGGTGGTGGGAGGGACATTTTCCTCGAAAGGGCAAGTCAATGTCAAAGCAGTCAGTCAGTCAGTCAATCCATCATCAATTCACAAGCCGCTTTCAACTGTGTATGTGTTTATGTGGATCAATCAATAGTTTATTCAGTTTTCAACATGGTTTAGATAGGTACAAGTAACACCTAATTAGAGTTGTTTAAAAGAGGCTGGTTTTCATCATTACCACCACCAAAATGGTGTTCAGGCGATGCAGACAAGGAAGTCTTGGGCACAGAGCCGTAGACAGGCTTCATGTGGGGCTCAATGACTTTTTTACTGCTTAAAGAACCAGTAGAGTTTTCACGACTAGGAGTACCCTTGATACCTTGGGTTTGACGCTTGTGAGCAGTCAATAAACGAGTCAGTCTACTGTTTCTTCTGTTTTGAACTTGACGACGGACAACTCTAATCTTGTTGTGCACTAAGGTAAAAGCAACATGTTAGTTTCTTTTATGATAAAACGGATGCAAATTAAGCTAACCATCAACATAGACATCAGTTTCATCAATAATCTCTTCGCCAATCAATTCCTCAATGACATCCTCGAGGGTAATCACACCCAAAGCACCACTATGAGCTCCAGGATCTTCCGAGATCAAAGCCATATGACTTTTGCCTTCTTGGAAAAAGTTCAAGATATCGAGACAGCTCGTTTCAGGTCCAGTTTCAGGCAAGGTGCTGATATGAAGGTCCTTAACAGGAAGAGCATCTTCAGGGTCGTAAGTGATCAAACGCTTAGTGAGAAGCATACCGACAAAGTTGACATTATCTCCAGGCACATGAACTGGGATACGGGAATAACCAGCAAGCAAGATTCTATCCACAAGCTCTTCATCCAAAATGGCATCAGTAGAGAGGGTGAATACATCGGCAATGGGTGTCATGATTTGAGATACTGGCTTTGATCTCAAATCGAGCACAGCGCCAATGATGGTAACTTCGTCTTCAGTCAATGCATCGACATCAGTAGGGTTGACGGATTTGTGGAGAGAAACAAGCGTCTTCAAACCTAAATTAACACCAGATCAGTCTCTTTGATTTCGTTCCACATCACATTTGTACACAAATACTCTACCAGCCTTCTTGTAAATGGTACCATGAGATTCACCCAAGAAGAAATCCAACAAAAGAGCAGTAGGGTAGGCGATAGGGTACATGATGTACATCAATGCGAGCACCATGCTACACAAGTCATGTCAATGATATTATCAGTATGATTGCATGTCCAACTTACCCAGAAGCCTTTGCACCAATGGCTAAACCGTAACGAACACAAATGGCTACACAGAAGAAAAAAAAAAAAGTTACTAATGACTACCTCAGCATTGAGAAGTTAGAATGGCATTACGTACATTGTGGAATAACTCTATGGGTTTGTATATTAGAACACTGCGCATCACTTTCAACGAGACAGAACTTACTCTCCAAAAATAACAATCAAAGCAGTAGACATGACAACAGCCTTCCAGCCACCACCAAGAACACTGTCCAAGATGATGGGCAAGGTTTCGTTGACAATGACATTGGATAAGAGCAAAGTAACCAAGACCCAATGTTTGCCACGACTGAGCAACTTCAACACTTGCTTGGCATACTTTTTCTCGGATTCTGTACCAGATTGAATAAGGACATGAAGGTTGGTTTCATCCATACCCATTAAACCAAGTGTAAGACCTATAACATTCCTCAGTCAGGGACGTCCCTAAATCATATTTGATGTATCTTACCAGCAAAGGCACCACCCGTCAATACGAGGATCATAATCACTACTAATTTCTCATAAAACTCGGCAGAACCATAATCAACCTCAGGTTCTTCGACAGCAACTTCTTGATTGGTATATTGACTCAAAGGATGGCCATAGATAGTTGATGTCAAAGAGACCGTAGCCAGGATGATGGTTCGTATAGAACTAAGATGAGTTATACTCTTTATGTTGGGCATCAAATGAATATATATAAAAAAAAAAAAAAAAAAGAAAAAATCAGAGAAATGCGCCTGCCAACGTTTTTTTAATCCTGCCCTCTTCTCTTAATGAGGCTAGTCCGTGGGTGGCGTCTCATTTCGAGAAAAAGTGTAAATAGAAACCCATGATTTCGGTTCCCGTCCAACATCCATTTTGTCATTCGTTGGTAGTGGATGGAATGTGGAAGTAATGAGCTTGTTTAACGAAAAGTGAAAGAAGATTGCCTATCATCCGACGAGTTTAGTCAACTGGTGACACACTCTAGACAACTGTGTGATACACAAACAATGATTCTGCTTTATTATCATGATTATTTCTGTAATAAGTAAGCGAGACCATTACAAAACACATCCAGTTCCTCGACGTGCCTGTCCTTGATCATCTGTATAAAGCTGGCTGTCTGGCAAGATTCAGACATGTACTGCAGGGTTGTCTTGAGCACCTCTCTCAGAATAGTGGCAAACGGCCAGGTATCCGAAATGATACCACCATCTTTCTCCATGAGGTCACAACATTGACGATACAGTCCAACCATGCCCTCCAAGCAAACGAAGCGGCTTCGAGCATTGCTGCTGATATGCTTGACTTGCTCCAAAATCCAATGCTCACATAGACTCTTGACTACAGTAGATCCGAACCGATCTGATATAAGCAATAGATCGACAATGTCATTCCAGGACGTCGATGGTGCTAAAACTTTATCCACTAAATGGCCTCTTGTCATCTCGGCCTTGTCGTTTAATTGGTGAATGACGCTAATAAATAACTCCAAACTGTGGAACGTTACATCATGGAGAGGAATGGCCGCCAGCTTGGATTCGGCGTAGTCTGTACTGAGCAATGCGTCAAAAATAGGCGAACGCGCGCGAAGCAATTGTCGATTACCCGATATCTTGGGCATGGTAGGTGTGGCATCGTCTGTGACAAAGGTGATAATTTCAGCAGGTTGGTCCAGCGGCATGTGCTGTGGTAAGGTGATGTGTTCTCGTATGGATTCTGTCTCTACCTTCCAAATGACTTCAAACTCCAAAGCCAGTGTCTCCAAAACTTGAGCCGCAGCGTGTCGACGAAAGGGTGTAATCATACTGAGTAGCGCATCCGCTTGTTGTGTATCGTCGAGCTCCTCCTTCTTTACCAGCTCCTCTTCCTCGTCGTCGTACTCGAGTTCGTACACCAACATTTGACAGAAAATACCAAAAGGCTGCTTGCTACTGACAACGCAGCCATCCAAAGTTACCAGACCAAGGCTCTGATTCCATTCCAATTCAGAGGGAGCTCCCATAGCAGCATAACCTACAGCAATTGCAGCCATTTCGTGCAACTTGATGGCGTTGTCCGCTGTTTCTGTAAAACGAAGCAGGCTCAGGAAATCATTGATCTTCTTTTCAAACAGATCATCGCACACCAATCTTCGCCAGTACTCGTGCGATGTGCCTCGAACAGGATGCTGCAATACAGGCTGGAAGAAGGACGTAAATGCATCGCTCAGCATGGTGAACTGAATGTTATCGTGTGTGATGAGCATGCGCACAGCGGCACGGCGTAAATGCTCAGCACAGCAGAGATTGGGTGCTTCTTCTTGGCGCTGCATTGCTTCCTGATGGCTATCGAGGTCTAAAGGGACATTGTCAAGTATGGTGTCATGGTGTGCCTCAGTCATTTCTGCGTCTTGCACTGGTTCAGTAGACAGGGGCACCAGTTTTTCAATCATGTCGCCGTCTTGCATGGATAATAGGGCGGTCGTACCGTTTACATCGTTACCAACCGTCGTTGTCATCAGCTTGTACATGCACTCGGGTTGATCTGGGCAGTATGCTGCTGTGAGGCATATCATCAAGCTACAAAGGTTGTGCAGTGCTGTTGGGTCTACAATCATTTGTCGGCCGCAGATTGGAATTACTGACAGCTGATCCAATAACTGGGATGCAAGCAGGATGACCTGGAGATCTGATTTTAAGAACGTATTGATCTCTGCAAAATTGACTCTCTTGTCAGTATGGTTCCTCCAAGGAAACAAGACAGATAAAAGAATAGGCAGAATGGACAGTCGTTTGGGTGTATTTGCTGCTACAGTGTACTCTTCCATCAGCTTTGTCATGTCGCCTGCATCTCTACTTTCTTGCTTTATCATAATATCATCCTCCATCTTCATGTCCTGGTCTCGTTTGGCGCATACATCATCATTGATAGGTTGTAGTTCTAAGCTGTTGTCCCAAGAGAGCCACATCCGCATGGAAGGCTCGTCATACTGAAAAGTGCTTATCACCATCAGACAGCTAGCAATGACGTGATTCCAGCCCTTGAAAATGGCATCTTGGTTGTTGTCTTTGGATACTGTGCAAGTCATGTCTCGCTTGACCTCTTTCAACTGAACAGCTTCTTGCAGCAGTTTCATAATCATGGGAATCAAGTTACATTCGTCTCGCAACTTGGTCCTCACAAAGGCAGTGCGACGAGAAAGAGCAGCAATGAATTGGCCAAACAGCGCATACACAGCGAGCAGAGGGGCTGTTTTCTCTATAATATCGCCTCGAGGAATCAAAGACACATCGACCAGTTGCAGTACTTGAGAGTCGACCAGTCTTTCGCAAGCGCGTGGATGTTTGGATATCATTGCCAACGACACAAACGCTCGCTTGGCTTTGTAAATGGTAACGGATTGTTCAGCTGTCAAATCTTGTGATTTCGATAATGATACTGCTGTCAGTAAGCCTTGTTTAGCAGTATCGATCGTGGGTCCCCATACCAGCGATGCGATGTTGGTGGAGGACGTAGCAAAACTGTGGATGGCATCATCATAGTGCAAGAAGAAGACAATCAGCTTGAGTATCCTGGATCGCAAGGCAGACGTTTCTAGTTGATTTGCATTCAAGAGTATGGTCAGTATGGATTTCAGACACCAGGCAACCCGACCAGAAATCATCTTGACAAAGGACGGCGTGGCCAGTTGCACATGTTGGATGAACGACTCGAGCAGCAACACAAACAAGTCTTGGTGCTGGTTGAGCATGACACCATCAATCTGATAGCCTCTTTCTTCAACGTCAATGCATAGGTTGGTGTGCAAAAGCGTCGACTGTGTGCCTACTAGACTGGCTTGTTCTGGTAAGATGGGTTGAGATACGTAGGCCATGAAAAAGTTAGTCAGATCACATACAGCTTGGTCCACATAGTCAAGCCAGTAGTTGTACTGCTTCAGTACCGGCAGGATATCCAGCGAGATTTGTACCAGCTTCTTCATGATGCTCTTGTCCTGATCCAGCATGGCTGACGTAAAAATGGCCTTGTTCATTGTGCAGCATGTGCCACGGATCCATCGTTGCATGCACAGCGCTAGCAGAGGCTGCCATTTCGCTCTTGATGTCTCCTCTGCGATGAGTCCGGATGCTGATGTGGATGAGGCGATGCATTTCTGTACAATGCTAGTCAGTGAATAGACCAGCACACGTTGACACTTAATGCTGACAGTGGCAGTCGTAGCAGTGGCATCATCCATGAGAGATGCATAATCATGGTGACATGCTGCTTGCCACACAGACAGCAGTTGGTGAAATGCGTCAGACGCTGCAAACTGTTGTCGGGCTGGTGATGATTGCGAGGGAAGTTCGTATTTGAAAAGAGACTCCAATAGCCGACATACCATGACGCATTGATCCAGCTCATTGCGTTGTTGTGCTGCATCCGTCGCTGGTGGTTTCAAGGACAGGACATGCAGCAAGTTGGGTATATTGTTCAAAGACTGCGATAGCGTCACATAGGCATTCAAGGCGATCATGTCCTTGGCAAAATACTTGATTTGTGAGGTAAGTGCACGAACACTGTAAATACGGATCGGCAATGGACAATCATGCGTCCTCGCCAGCAACGACTTGACACCGTGTTTATGTCTGATCTCTGCTATTATCGTGGTGGCTGCTGCTTCAGCGTCAGACGATAGTTGTGTAGCAACAGCAGCCATGTCCTCCAATAACCCACACATAAATTTAGTGGCACACTGAATTTGCTGAGACACTTGATCGTCGTTGCTGTTGTTCTCAGTGGCTGTATCTGCCAGCATAGCTGCTGTCCATCGCACGCTCGCCTTGAATGATGGCAATTGAGCTCGTTCCTCTAAATGTGGCTTGACGGCATGTATGTAGATGCAATCCAAACAACGTACAAGTCGTTTTTGCGGCCATTGCTCATTGTTGTGCTTGACATAACTTAGCAGCTTTCTCAGAGTATAATCAATTTCCTTTGTCGAGGCTTTTTTGAGGCGTTGGTTGAAGAATCGAGCGGATGATGACGCAGTGGGCTGTTGTGCTGCTCGATAAATGCTGGTCAAACTGATGTCTTGTCGATGCAGATGCTCTTTTGACATGGTAATAACAAGAAAGAGAGAAAAGCATACTAGCAAACGTCCCGCAGTTACCGTATCGGTTGAAGCAACAGTCGTTGGTTGACAGTGACGGTAAAAAAAAAGGTCATGGCTTTATTTCGATATGATTCAAGTATCCCTCAGCTTACGCACCACTTGTAGGTATTCCATGATATAGTCTGATTTGCGCACCACTTCAAAAGTCTTGATGGCATTTTTAAACCAATCCTTCTCGGAAACCTGGCCTTTTTTGCCTGGTCTTCGTGGGCCTGCAATCACTTGATCTCGCAATGCAGAAACGAGATCCTGCAATGAATCAATGTCGTCCTGCTGTGGTAGAAAAAATAGATTTGCCTCGTTCTCTTGATTTGTTTTATACAGAGGCAATACATCACCCAGACTCACGAGCCCTACATAAAAAAAAAGGGTTTGTTTAGATTGCTTATTGACTACACTCACAGTTCATGCGATGCTTTTTACCTCTAGTTTTCAGTTGAGACGTCTCGAAAAGCGACGTCAGTATCGCTTGGAGAGCACTGTAATTTCTATAGGTGAATTCGTTCTTTTGACACTTGTTGCATACAAACACAATGTCTGGGTAGTGATGCATGTCTTGTTGACCCACCAGCAGAGGAAAATCGGGTATGCAGAACTTGAGCATCTCGGCTCGTTGTATCAGTTTCAACACATCCAAATCAATCTCGGGGCTGTCGTTGACCACCAGCACACTATTGCACACAGACATCAAAAAAATAATGCTGTATAAGCTCTCCATCTCCAGCCACACATCTGGATGAAGTCCTCCTAGAGATCCATGTCGAAGCGCATCGTCTAATATCGTCCAACTGAGAATAGGCTCTGTATCCAGTAGAATCGCTCTCTCGGGTGTAATGTACATGTCGATACCTTCTGTCTTGTGTCCTTGATACAGAAATTGCGCATTGTCTTGGCTGGGAAATGCCTAACATGGTGATGAGCTGGACAGGCCGCACTGGCATAAAGTCTTTCTTACATGTTTGGTATCTTGTGTAAAGTGCGATAGAATAGTTGATTTGCCAACGCCCTGTTTCCCAATGATGCCAATGACAAAATGGCCAGGGTAATCTGTAAGATGCTAGTGCGAAATGGATATGAATAGACCATCTCTCGTGTCTGATATGGATGTACTGCATACTTTAAGTATTGTGTCTGCGTTAAACTTGTTGGGTCGTCGCAAGAATGGAATGCATGTAGCACTAGAATCCTCTATAGATGTCGAATTCGCTTTGATAGGCTGATGAGCGCTAGGTGGTGTATCTACATCAGGATTTGAAGTGGTTGTTGTGGTTGTTGTGGGCGAGTAGGCCGTTTGCTCGGGACGTTCACGTCTATCTAAAATGATGGGAGCTTGTAGAAATGGTTTGCCAGACGACTCGTTCTACAAAGCAGCGACGGTTAAATGCGTGGATCAATCTACCTGCTAGATGGATTTACTTTCTTACGGTCCCGTCTTCTGTTGTTGTCTCGGAATCGTTTGTCAGGCATGTTGTAAAGAGGATGCGAAAGAGGTAAAAGAATTAAAAATGCATCTTGCTCCCGCTAAAATGCTTTGAAAGCTGAAATGGTTCTGCTTGCCAGCCAAAAGTCAATTAAAACTCCGGGGAACAACTGCTGTTCAGATTGGCCAGATTTGATCATTTTGGACTCGATTTCGACTGTTTTGAAAATTGGACTATGTGAATGTGGATGATCATACCATACTTACTAATGGGTTTTGGAGTACTTTCAAATGCGCATCCAATGGTGCCAATTAAAATAGGCGTTGAGACTTGAGATATAGAGCAATTCTTGAAAATATGAAAAGAGGTTTCTGGCCAAAATGTTGAAATTTTACATATCAAAGTCCCACAAAGATGATTTCAGAGGTTGCTTTGGATCGATAGAAACATTTTGATTCAAGATATACCATAGTAAAAGTCTCCATTTTCAAGGTGAAAAACGCAATCGTTTGATTTTCGATGAAAACCATGAGGGGTACCTCATGCTTTTTGGTGGATTTTTGGCCATGTTTTTTTGGCCCCTAAAAAGTTGAGCAAAGGTGTCAGAAAGTAACTGCTAGTCGAAAGCAATCATTTGGTGCTACTCTGGCAGTCTAAAACGGCCTCTAACACGAAAAATCACGGCTGAAATGCATCAAAGTTTTGCTGTGGTGTGCATAATTTTGAGTAGTAAGAGGTGATGCAAGTATGTTCTTTGTTCGTTTACAAGTTTTTCTTGTTGCAACAGATCTGGAGCATCGCATGAGAGTCAGATCCACGGCTATGGAGGGCTCCTACTTAATAGCGTAGAACGCAAAACTTTAGATTAGTATAGCATTCAACCAATCTTGCAGTGTCTTCACGAGATGGAGGAAGGTGAGGTCTGCGTAGCCGTCGCTGCGTAAGCTGATAACCTCTAGAAGTGATATACAATTCGAAAAATGAAAGCAGATGGCAATATCGGCTACCAAGTAGCCCTCAATACATATTAATGGCAGAGTTTGCTACATTTTTATGAGTATGCTTCTCTGGAAGATATGGTGTTATTGCGATATTAATCTTAACCACCCGCAAGTTGTATCTTAGAGTGCTAGCCTACTCAACGCGCGAAACATGATGCTTGCCAGCTCCTATACCCTCAAGCATAACGTCTAATAGATTCAATTCTGCAGAGACCTTCTTCCCTGATGAAGGGGACAAGTTTACACAAAGCTATCAGACTTTCAAGGATGACACTCTATGGACACTGTCTATGGGAACAATTGTGGAGGAAAACTATAAAAGTATGGAATGCAACAAACACACATGAGGTATGTGTAAAGACAGATGGCGTTTGTTTGAGTGGACACTCATCCTTAAAGATTGATATATTGTGCCATCAGTTTATATTGGATCAGAATGATGATGAGCTCCTTTCTACATTCGCAAGTCAAGAAGTGAATGAGATGGATAAATGTCTCAAACAGCTATTTCCTAAAGTTGACGATGGTCTCGTTGTACATCAGAGGCATTTGTATGAGTACACTTGTCTTTGCTTGATAGCTTATCCGTTATTTTGTTACGACATCGAAAGTATGCCTTAACAGGATTCGACCTGGCTGGTCTTATTCGCCAAGAGGCGATAACCCTCGAATATGGATAACACACAGACGCAAATCAAAGGTATGTCAATATGAATATTGAAGTTCTGCAGCATTGCTAACTGTGTTAAACAAAAAGAGGTTGACATCCTAAATACCACAAAAATGGCTAAACAAGACCGGATTACTTCAGCCTTGCCAAGGCCTCACAGACCAAGAAGGAGCGAGGAACCAGAGCTTTAGGAGATCAATATTCAGCCACCATTAAGCTCACATTCCTTTCCTAGTCAATTTGAATCATTCAACAATGTCGTCTATACTCAAACCGATCTAAATAGCTGAGCTTTATCATGGAAAAGACTGTAGATTCACTGATCGCGTCAAAGGCTTCCAAGAAGGTCAATTTGAAAAGAAGCGCTGCTGCTCCTGCTGCAAATCTCTCTTCTTTCTAGAAAGCTGCCACCAAAGCCGCTGCAACTAAATCTGTCTCTATTACTGCTCCCAATCATAACTATTAAGCTGAAGTCCCTATAACTATTTTTACATTTTTCTTTCATCATGCCACTATCAAGATACCATTAATTCTTTATTAGCATGTTTTTTTTTATCCACATGGTTGTATCATAATATGTTTAATTCGTATAGCATCCTTCAGTATATTCCTTAGCCAAAAAAATCTCGCATTTCGAGTAAGGCCATTGAGGACAGTTCTACCATGTTGATCAAAAACCACAAAGCACCATGTCATTGCATTGAACCATTCGCTGTAGTAAAATCTACCAAGGCTCTCGACAGATATGAGTGCTATTAATAGTCGAGTCTGACTCAGAGCATGAGCTTCATTTGGATGGAAGTAGACCAGCAAGCGTGTAGAATGTGATGTCTTATGATGCTTTAGATTGCTTTCCGAGCATTGTACGGTTACCAGCAATAGTTGGCCTTCTTCGCAACGCAAATCCTCTCATCTTCACCCAGCATCTGAAGTCTATATCTCATCAAAAATAAGCGATCGCTACCAAAACAAATTCCTCTCTTGTGTAAATCAAAGTGCAACTGTATCTTCAACCCCTTAATATCAATGCAGAAGGCTTATTCTACTACGATAGGCACCTACAGTTTCATTGGGTAGACATGCTCAATTTTATTATTGTGACACAGTTTGTTCTTGCCTTTCCCATTCAAAAGAGTTCTCCTTCTCTTCCCCTTTTCCCTTTTATTTTTTTTTCCTCTTTACAGCCAGATAAACGATAGTACATAAAAATGGCTCTTTTTGTCGGTAGAATCCCTAGGGAGATGAACAATGTAAGTTTGTTGGATGTATAAAGGGCAACTCGGTGACTAACGCTACTCCGATGTGATCAGCGTGATCTCGAAGATGCCTTCTCAAAGTATGGCAAAATCACTCGTCTCGATGTTAAGAAAGGTAGCGTATTCTCTCCATCTATTGCTACTTGCCTTGGTAGGCACTGTACTGACTTGCATGATATATGTAGGCTTTGGTTTCGTAGAATACGATGATAAACGTGATGCTGAAGATGCCATCAAGGGTATTAACGAGAGAGGCGTACGTAACGTATTGTGTGATTATTTTAGTATATCAGGTTAAATTAAAACCCAAAAAATCCCAAATCATAGGATCTTGTGGTTGAATGGGCCAAGAATGGTGGTAAGAGACCTGGAGAGAATGAATGTTTCCATTGTGGCAAAGAAGGTAAGCTTGATATCAGGGATAGTGTATCTTTATTCTCAACTCGACATGTACAGGCCATTGGGCCAGAGATTGTCTTGAAGGAGGTCGTGATGGTGGTCGTGGTGGTGGCCGTGGTGGTATGGCAGGAGGTGGAGGCCGTAATGGATTCGGCCGTGATAGATCGCCTCGCCGTGATGGTGGACGTGGAAATGACCGCGACAGAAGGTATAGCTTTTTCCCAGTCAATCATCAAAATGTTATCAGTTGCAGTCCAGTGTGTGTGTGAAACAACTTGCTCACAATCTGATACCACAATTTACTTGATGCTGCTATGATGATGTGAAGTATTCCTAGTCTCTGACCACAACCCTTTGGCATTTTTTCTATTTTTTTATATCCTTGTTTTTCTGATCTGCAATCCTCTTGATTCAACATTAATTTTAATTCCGAATTTGTAAGTATTCTTATTCATGCAACTGGGGTAATTTGGTTTGCTGACACGTCTGTTAGCTCATGATGCAGAGATAGTAGAGGTTATGAATCTCGCCGTGATGACCGTAATGAGCGTGGTGGCCGTGATAGATCTCCTCGTCGTAATGACTACCGTGAAAGGGGCGATAGAGTTGACAGAGGTTTCGATAGACGTGGTGGTGGTGACAGAAGAGACGATCGCGGAGATCGTCGTGAATATGTGCCCAGAGAAGACCGTCGCCGTGAAGATGAACGCATGGCATCTGAAAGAAATCAACTCGAGTAAACCTTAGGACTATATACATTTATACAATCAAACTTCTCTTATAATTTTACTCTCCTTTTCCCCCATCAAACTTGTTACCACATAATGACTAAAAAAAAACCATGCAATTGTTTCTATTAACCGTAATCATTGTGAGAGATAGTTGTAGGGTAAACTTTTACTTTTCATTGCCTGGCTTCGTATCTGAGACACGCTTATGTTTAATGAATCTCTTGGCTATTTCCACTGTATTCTCTGAGAAGCAAATCATGCAAACTAACTGTAAATGTAATGACACGAAAATATAGCACGCAGAAATCATTCAGTGTCTGATAATGTGGTCGCCTAAAGAAACTGTAAATTAATCAGGAATTCCACGAATGACAAGATGGAAACACTTTCGTGTTCCATGCTCATGGCTATAATTGCATGAGCGATCCTCTTTTCTGCTGATTAGAAAAAGTACCAGCTTATAAAGCGTGTCATTTTATTGACATGCGCGAATTACAGCAAGTCATGCAAAACATGGCGCTTTTATTGCCATGACAACCGTTGAATGTATTACATAACACCCGCCGTTTTTAACGCGATGTCGTGCTCAGGGTCTATTCTGGTGGAGAGAAAAGAGATTTTTGTGTGTGTGGTTGGAAACAAATATTGACGCCATGGCCACTCGATTTGTATCACAGCGCCTTCTCACTTAATCTATAGACAAGCTGCCGATCTCGTAAACCACTCAAAGGAAAATTCGATTCAATGAAAAGAATGCGAAATAACGTATCATTGCCTCGCAATAATTACAAACGATCTACACGGTATCAGTTCAAGGGTGATTCGCTTTTTCAATTGTAATTCTAATAGATTGAGGAAACCTTCCGCATGTCTAGTATAGCTGTTATTGGTTAGATGTTGTCAATCCAAAGCACTCATGGAAAATATGGGTTGTCTTGTCTAAATCACAAGAGGTTTTTTCGGGAAACACACACACACAAATGCACATGACATCAAAACAAGTTGCTTGATGTTCAAGCAGACATTTACATCATTTCATCTGGTTTCTTTCTCTTTTTCCTTTCTCTCTCTCTCTCTTCCTTCACTCCTTACTTTATATACTTGCATGTCATATCCCACAGTCAGTAAAGCAGCACTGCTAAAGCAAGCCAAAAACTAATTCGTTGGATAGGTACAGCACACGATTGATTCATGGCTGAGTTCCTCCAATGAATTCAACGACCAAGACAAAACCTTAAACAAACAATTGCCATCGGCTCTGCTATCCAATTTATCATCGATTTTCGTGAGCACAGTAGCTTATTTCAATTTGACAAAACAAGAAGCTTTGGTAATACAGTGATTTCCTCATTAAGTAATAGAAAGAATAACATTGCTACGTTTATAGGATACAATTGCCTATTTCTTGTATGAATATCAGGACATTGTCCATTCACAGTTACTGGATTCCTTTCTGGATCATGGTCTATTGACCTTGAATCATGCATCGCAATTAAAGATCAATTACAACATTGCATGTTCAGGCATTTTTATACCGCTCACCAAATGCTATTCACCGTCATGTCAACCAAATGATATGTCATGTTACTCTGCACTGTGTCCAAACAAGCGTATGTCAAGTCTGTTGCACATTTACAATGACTTTCAACAGCAGCAAGAACAGCAGCAACAGGACACACCGCCCAACAAGCGAGACTGGATTTCGACAATACCCCATCACATTCGAGATTCTATTAGTCGAAAAGAGTTGAAGCGACAGGCTGGCATTGCAGAGCTGCTATCCACCGAGCAAAACTACTGCCATGATTTGGACATTCTTCACCGTGTGTACGCCATCCCACTGCTGGAGTCCACCGAGATCATTGCGAACCCATCAAGGAGGCAGCGCTTCTACAATAACGTGTTTGGGAACTACCTGGACATCACTCATCTGCACCACTCATTTTATCAACGGCTTGTCTCTCATAACAGACATTCTGGCTTCTTTATAGGCCGTGTGGGGACCATTATCATGCAACATGTAACAAACTTGATTGAGCCCTACATTCAGTATGCATCCAATCATGTCAGAGCTATCTATTGCATGACTATTGAGCACAGAAACAACCCTCAATTTGCATCTTTTCTGGAGACGCAGAACGCACAAAAATGCACCAGAAGATTAGGCCTTCGACACTACCTGACATCGCCTACGCTATGGATCGGCAAGTTAAAGCTACTGATTGAAGCCATTCTCAAGAACACTGTGGATGATGCTGATCAATTATCACTGAAAGCAACATTGGCTATCCTGCATGATACGCTGTGTCGTATGAACAGCTCAACTGCCGCCAACAGCTCTGCAGAAGACTTTCGCTTTGAAGAGCTGTCAATCTCCATCTACTATGGACAGCAGCCGGAACTACAGCTACTTTCGTTGCCTGACGACTGCACGCTGATCAAGGAAGAAGCGCTGTGGCTGGCTCGTTCGACGCACCCTCTGCAGCCATCCTTATGCCACTTGATGCTATTCTCCCATGCATTGATTCTTACGCATCCCAGGGTATCCAACGGAAGAACAGAATACATCGTCATCCAAGTCATCCCCATCCAACTGCTGATGATTGACTCTAGTACATCATCCATGATTCGCCGCATCTCTTTTGCATCCACATCCATGGTGTCCACGCCACTGCATCTCATTAGCAACTTGCGTCGACAAAAGAGCATCAATTCAGAAGCTTCCAACAGCACCGACAGTGCTGATAGCAGCGATTCGTGGTACAAGAGCAACAACACTACGCTGAGCAGAAGCAACACAACGGGCGGCACAGCGGCTGCTGCTTCGTCAGTCAAACATGTACATACAGTCTCGCTCTCTGACCGAAAAAATAGAGTCCTGCTGCCTTCCCAGATCAAGACAAAACTATCCAAACTCAAAAACAACTTTAGATGGAGCACCAGTTTCTCGGTCCCAGCTTCGCCTACTACCAACACTGGTGAAGTCTTGGTCACTCGCCGCGATTCTGCACCTGCATTGCTCCTATCCAAGCGCAGAGAAGCGCCACTCGATTCAATCAAGCAGCAAGAACAGCAGCAGCAGCAGCAACAGCAGCAGCAAAGCAGACACCAACAACAGCAGCAAAGACGGACGCTCAAGATTAGCCACATGGCTTACCCAGAAAACTCTTTCAAGCTTGAATTCCTCTCCAGATCGGATAGACTCTTTTGGGAGAACCTAATACGAAATACACTGCTTACCAATGAAAAGAAAAATGAAGTCTTTAGAAGAAAGATGATGTTTAAATCGCTCTCTGTGGCAAATGCCAGCCTCAGTGGAAACAGCACAACACATGCTTCATCATCACATGTAACCAGCATTGCTAGGATAAAGTGCGCCTATGCTTTTGGTAAGTTGTTGGCTTGGCGATAGTAGATGATCTTCATTAGGCTCACCTGCGATACGATAGCTTACTTTGATAAACATACTGGCTTCCATAGCAACCTTGTGGCTTTTGGTACACCTTATGGCCTGTGGATAGGCCCTCGTGATGGCACCACACAACCCCAGCTTGTCCTGCCCAATGTCAATGTCCAAAAAATGGCAGTGATGAACGACAAGATCATTGCGCAAGTACACGATAACAAGCAGCACATGCTCATTGCATACGATGTCCAGCCTTTGATTAAGAGTCAGCGTGTCGACTGGTGCATGATCAAACGGTCTTCTGTGATATGCTTTGCCATAGGTCAGATCAGAAGCCAACCTGTCATTGTATACCTCACCAAGCGATTACAAACCACATGGCTGGTGATTATCGTCCAAAATGAAAAGCCCTGCACAAAAAATCACTGGTACAAAAAGTACAGAACCGAGTACTTGGTCTCGATCAAGGAACCCAATGACATCCAAATCATGTACGATGCTGTCTTTGTTAGGTCGGAGCGATACGGCGTAGAGCGAGTCGATATCTTCAAGGATCCCTCTGCTATTCTGAATTCAGCAACGCATTGGGTGTATCTCGGCATGAACACAGGCTTGATTACATGCAAAGACAGAGGCATTGTATGCGATCAACAGCATGCTTACTCTGTGTCCTTGTTTGAGAGTGGCGGCGCATTGGTCAAGATCAAATTCGAATGTCAAATTCAGCAAGTGGCCGTCGTATATCCTTATTTGATTGCATTTTCACCCAATGTCATTGAGATTAGAGACATAGAAACAGTAAGTATATACTGACAATGTATAGAATGGCCTTGTAATTCACGCCTTCTGTTAGACCGAGCTGGTTCAAGCCATCCAAGGTCAGCGTATCAAATTCATATCCACAACAAATGACTATAGTCAACCACTGTATTATACTATGGCAAATACAGCAGATTCCAGAATAACATCTATATATCAGTTGCAACTCACGTTGTAAGCATTTTATTACAAGCTGCATGTATGAATAAATAAAGTGTATATAATTATATACAAAGAGGGGGGGGGGGGTTTTGATTTTGCGTATGTTTGGTATGAATTAATGTATGTGGGTGGGTGTTTACAAGGTGATGAGATATTTCAAAGAGCATAGATTTCCTCTGCATCGTCGTCATATTTGTTGTTTCTTCTATTGCTGCTTTCAGGTTCATCGCTGGTGAAGGAGCCATCCACATCGTTTTCGTTTTGCGGTAAGCTCATCCAGCCGTCTTCCGTTGCAGATAATCTGGGTGTCTCTAATGGCTTCCACACGAGATACACAAGAAATATCAGATAAATCACGCCTGTAATGCCAATAATGATTGCTGAGGTGAGGTTGGTCGCATGAATGATGAATAAAAAGATATCAAATGCAATCACTACAAGCGTTAATCCCCAGCATGTGATTTGCATAAACAAGGAGGGTCGAAATTCCTTGGATAATACGTGTGGCGATGTCGATAGTTTGATGATTGGAATCAGCACAGTGGGTAAACAAACACTATCGTGCAAAACAAGAATGTGTGTCAATATAAGGCACGTTTTTACACACAGAATTAAATGCATTACCTTTGAAGCACATTCAACAACTCGCCCATAGTATCAAAATGATCCACTGCGAAAATAGCCACCAACATACCAGGGATCAATGAAATACTGCGAGTGGCAGCAACACGATGCCAGTCCTTTTTAAAGATATTACCAAAGAACCCTTCTGTTACATATTGTCCAGCTAATGTACCAGTCATGGTAGAGCTTTGACCAGCTAAAGAAATTGTGTTACTTGAGTTCTGCCTGATTCTCTATGCAAACACTCTACCTGCGAGTAATCCAGCAGCCCATAAATACTTGGCAGCAGATCCCAATGTGCCACTCAGCACTTTGTCTGCATCGTCTAAGCCTGGGATTTTGACGGGCCCTGTGTGGTCTGGCTTGAAAAAGACTATGCGATACTAGTTTGAATATGCCCATCATAAATATACCTGTGCGCTAGTTACCTTGTGCAAACACAACAACAATAGCTAGATTGACGAAAAAGGAAACACTTAATGCCAATATGGATTCAATGGCAAAGTAAAAGTTGGCTTCCTTTAACTTTCGAATCGACGGTTGTCTGCCTAAATCACGCGACATGACAAGAGCACTGTGCAAGAACATATTGTGAGGCATGACAATGGCACCGAGCATAGCCACAGCTTGTAATTCCGCATTCTTGGGCACATAAGGCACAATCACACCCTGAATGATTTTGCGGACATCAGGTTGAGATTGCACTAATTCTACCCAAAAACACACGGCCATCATAGTGATAAGGACCATAAAAAATGCTTCTAATCGTCGAATACCGTAGCGCTGAATCATCATGAATGTGAATGTGTCTGTTGCTGTCATCAACACACCCGCCCACAAGGGAAGTCGAAGCAAAATGTGCAATGCAACTGCTGTGCCCACAATCTCCAGAATGTCAGCTCCAATAATAGCCAGTTGTGCAAATCCCCATAATACAAGCGTAAGCTTTTTCGAGTAACTCTGTCGTATCAGTTGAGCAAGATGCTTTCCTGTAATTGTGCCTAGTCGAGCGGATAGCAGTTGAAATATCAGCCCTATTCAGACAAGTCTATGTTAGCCTAACAGAAACTACCTGGTATCAACCCAACAAGTTTCCAATATCTACCAATGACATGCGACCAGAACAATAACCACAATAAGCTGTACCCAGCGACTGCACCCGTTTGTAAATCAGATTCAAGGTTGCCTGGATCAAGATAAGCAATTGACCTAGATATTAAACGAATAATATTAGAGATCCTATTCTAAGCATCTGATAAGTGTCTACACTCTATTTACATGAGCCAGCCTAAAATGACATTCAGTTTAATCTCTGTTTCAAATCATAGTTTAGATATAACAGACCTGGTCCAGTGTATTTCCACAGTTTTTTAAATGAAAAGCAAGATTCAGATACTGTGCCCGTATCGATTTCAGGTTTGATCTCTAAATCATCGCCGAATAGTCTGGATGTACTGTTGGCAGCGTCCGTCCGTTGTTGTTGTGCAGCAGATGATAGTGGTTGATGTGATTGGCTTTCATTGAAACGTTCGTTTTTAGGTAGCAATGGGTCTTCGTAATCTGCCAGAGTGAAGATGTCTAAATCATCGTCATTTTCGGGTAAGCGTCTAGCATCATGAGGTACCATGCTATTATGTTGTATATACAAAATGTTATTGTCTGTTTTCTTCTTTTTATACTAGAAAACAAGAAAGAAAAAAAGAGAGGTATCGCAGATGAAAGGAAAAAGAGGGAAAAGAGAAAATTGAATATCGAAACAAGAAATGTTCATCTCCATCCAATTAGAGGTCAGTGACGTTCCAACCCAACCAGCTCTATGATGCTATTGAATGAGCTTTCCTTCCTGAATATCACATAGTCACCAATGTGCCCTCACCTGTTTAACATTTCTAATGTCGATAACGATATTACCTTACACCGTCGTCTGAAGAGACGACAGCAATCGAATAGGCCGATCATCTGCTGCAGAACGATAAATCTGATAATGATTTATGGGTTACACCAGTTTCTCCACAGACGGAACAGTGTTCGTAACAAAAATATGCCAAACATGTGATTACATACATAAAGACACTTGCCTCAGATGTACAATGCAAACTTGCGATTGTCCAACAAGCTGAAGCGATACATATCACAGTTTATGGATAGATGGCAGATGAGAGGCAAGTGATCTATACTTGCGCACACAGATGGCGGAACTGAGGATACGATACGACACATTATTTGCCTCATTTTCGTGTTGTAGTAGCAACCCTTGCGTGATTTTACTAACTAATTCAAAAATCTCGCTTCTTAGCTTTCCATTATCATCTATCAACAATCTGCAGCGATGAGTTGCGCTTTCGCAGGATGCTCCAAGTCGGTATCAGCATGAAGAAAAGTTCAATACGGGCCGATAGCATACTTGCGTTACATTCTACTACTTAAACATGCAAACCACAGCAAAACTTCGATGCATTTAAGTTGTAATTTTTCGTGTTAGGAGCCGTTTTAGACTGCCAGAGTAGCACCAAATAGTTGCTCTCGACTAGCAGTTACTTTCTAACATCTTTGCTCAACTTTTTGGGGACCAAAAAAACATGGCCAAAAATCGACCAAAAAGCATGAGGTACCCCTCATGATTTTCATCAAAAATCAAACGATCGTGTTTTTGACCTTGATAATGAAGACTTTTACTATGTTATATATTGAATCAAAACGTTTCTATCGATCCAAAGCAGCTTCTGAAATCATTTTTGTGGGACTTTGATACGTAAAATTTCGACTTTTTAACCAGAAACCTCTCTTCATATTTTTGTAAATTACTCAATAAGTTTATTCAAAACATTTACCTTACTTGGTACCATTGGATGCACCGTGAAAAGCACTCCAGGAAAGCTTATAGAAGCGTTTTTTTTTTTTTTTTTTTTTTTTTTTTTTGTAGGGGAGACGAGCTCCAGTTTTTATTTAAAGTCCTGTAAATGTCGCTATGAGTGATAGACAAGACTGTTGGTGGACCCAATGTCAGTCATGATGGGGAATAAATTATGGAAAGGAAGTTGGGAAAGAAATCTACTACAAATAAGGTGGGCACTTAGAGCCAATACAATCATGCTAAGTTGTCATACAGAGATACTGGATAAGAGAACATTCACCAAACGAGGACATCAGTACGACCGTAAATAATTAATCAAAATGCGTTCACTGGGATTTGAACCGGGATCCTCCCGTTGGCATACGGGAGTTTTACCACTTCGCCCTACCACCAGGGGCACTCTTATAGAAGCGTTTTTTTTTTTTTTTTTTTTTTTTTTTTTTTTGTAAGGGAGTCGAGCTCCAGGTTTTATTTAAAGTCCTTTAAATGTCATACTGAGGGATAGAAAAGACTGTTGGTGGACCCAATGTCTGCAATGAAGGGGAATAAGATATTTTTGAACTAAGTTGGGAAAGAAATCTACTACTAATAAGGTGCGACTCCTAGAGCCAATACAGTCTTGCGGAAATCGTCAAAATATAGATCATGGATAAGAGTACAAAACACCAAACGAGGACATCAGTACTACGTCAAAAAATCAAACAACTTGCGTTCACCAGGATTTGAACCGGGGATCCTTCCGTTGGCATACGGGAGTTCTACCACTTCGCCCTACCACCAGGGGCATTACTCTTATAGAAGCGTAGGATGATCGTCATATTTTACATAGTCGAATCTGTAAAAATGGTTCAATCGAGTCGAAAATAATTGAATCTGGCCAATCTGGAATGACATTGATGGTCGTCGGTGATTCAACGTAATTTGACTGCAGGCCAGATCAGTAATGCCTTCACCATGAATACAAATTGATGTTCCTGAAGTCCACAAGAAAAGGATTGTGAATTGACAGTGCTGTAACTTGACATGACCAAATTATTTTACTTTTATTGCGCATAGTTTCATAACTGGTAATGCCACTCAGCCTGGTTTGCCAACGAAACATTTAAAAGCTGATCTTGCGTACCAAAGCTTTGCTGTTTGCATCTTCCAAGATGCAATTTGCGGCTTCAAGCAATCAACAAGAGTGATTGCTGTTGTGTCAGCTCAATTCAACCAGCATACAGACTTGTAATAAATTATCGAAATAAATTATGCATTTATGTAATTTTTATATATACTTTAAAAGTGAAGGGTAGGAAGTGAATAAAGAGAGAAAAAAAAAAGATAACATTTTATACGAGTTTAAGACCAAAGCTGTTCCAAAGATTTACATGATGCGGAAATGGCAGGCTTTGCAAACTTTTCATTTGTTGCGATCGATAAGATCAATTCTGTATCCCACACCTTCTTCAGCTAGATGAATTAAAAGTGATTAGTAAAAAAAAAACATGTTAAAAGCACAACTACAAGCCAACTTACATCCACTGTCTCGGGTGCAACCTTCTTGTGAAGTCTAACAATCAATGTCACGAATCTCAAGTAATTCTTCATGTTTTCATAGTCTAATGCTTTGTCTTGATCCTTTACAGATAGCTCGATGGTGGATTTCACTGATTCGGCAAGCTTGGGGACGAGTGTGAGGAATTTTTCATTATATACATCTGATTTCTTGCCGACGGTACGTTGAATGATGACGGATGTCCATTTGCATGCCATGGAGAGTCTATAGATATTGGCGCAATGAGCACGATCCAAGAATGTTACAAGAGTGTCGAGCATACTCCAAGAGCTCAAGGGGTAACGCTGTAACATTTGCTGGATGATACTGGGATGATAGGGTGTGGATTTCTTGCTCAAGTATAATTTGGCTGAATCACTGTAGATGGCATTGAACTTTTCAACGGCTTTCTTGGTATTTGAAGGTGTAGTCTTATTGATCTCAAAATCAGCACCGCCCAGAATACACTTGCGCAGGTAGAGAGACAAGTTGTTGCACATTTCAGAGAGCTCCTTAGAGGTAGACTGCTTGGCGAAATCATGGACAGCTTGAACGACATCAAATACGAAATCTGCTTGCTCCTTGGGATATTCAGTGGATTTGGAAAGACGGTTCTTCAAGAAGGCAACCACCTTTTCGACGAATTGGTTGGTGACAGATTTGGAGGGTGTAGCACGGATAATGTTCAAGAGAGGCACAATCAATGTTAACACAAGAGGGTTGGCGGGGTTCTTGCGGGCATAGATGACAATAAGGCCCATGACATTGTTCTTGAAGTGAACCACATTTTGTTGCATGGAAATCTTGTCCTCCTTGGCAATCTTCTTTTGCTTAAAGACTTCGGCTAGCTTTTCGTCAAAGGCAGCCATAGCATCATCATCCAATTCCTCGTCTGAATCATCCACAGCATTGATACCTTGAGCCTTCATGGCTTCTTCAATCTTTTGACGGAGCTCCTCATCCACATCACCCTCATCGTCCTCGGATTCAATCTCATCAATGTCATCCATGTCAATCATCTCGACATCGTCGTCTTCAGAATCGTCGTCATCTTCTCCAAAGAGTTCATCGTCTTGCTTGTTCTCGCCAGAAGACAGAATGTTGAGGAGCATCTCAAGAGATTGTTTGGTCAATTTGTGAGAGAAGATTTCAAAGACTTGTTCAGCGAGATTTTTCAGAACAGGAGACTCATTGGTCAAGAAAGAGATGAGGATATCGACAATAACATCAATGGGATCGAGCTGTTCCTCTTCGTCTTCTTCTTGGGCCTTCTTTGCCTTCTTCTTTTGTGTCTTCTTGGGAGCACTGAAAGTCTTTTGGTAACAGTCAGTCAATTCAGTCAAGACAGAGACACCTTCAGCTTCGTTGATCAAAGTATGGAGAATAATGTTGAGGAAAAGAATTTCGAAACCACGTTCGACGCTATCGTGCACTTCGCTCTTGTCCATCTTAGCAATCTTGGCTCTGAGTTCCTTGACGATCTTGACAGCCTTATCAGTGGCCTCACGGGTCTTGTCAGAAGGAGTAGCACGAGAGGTCAATTTCTTGTTCTTTTGGAGGTTTTGGTAGATCTCAAAAGCTTGGTATGCCCACAACTCGCCATTGTTGGTGATGCCTTGCAACTTACGAGTCTTGATAGGAGCATTGGCAGCAGCAGCTTGTTGCATAGGAGGCAACTTGCTGAGAGCGACGAGAACGGCTTGGAAACGGTCTTGGCAGAGCTTGACAGTAGCTTCAGATAAGGCAGGAGTAGGCTTGTGAAGACCGGTCAAATAAGACTTGGTCTTGTCAGCAGACTTGATGTCAAAGAAAGCGTGGAGCATCAAGAATTGAACAAGTTGAGTAACCCAATCCTCTTCCTTGGGAATCTTTGCGTTGGTGATCAATAAGGTGAGCTGAGTCAGAGCCCATTCACGGTTGGAGTTGCTGGAACTTTCATCGCTCTTGACGAATGTTTGAGCAAGATATTCAAGGTAAGACTTGATGCCTTCAGTGTCCATGGTAGTCAACAAATTCTCGACAGTCTTGGTACGAGTGATACGATCAAAGTTTTGATGACCATTTTCGCCCAAAAGTTGGGTAATCAAAGCAAAGCCGACCTGCTTGTTTTCTTCAGCGACATTTTGAATCACTTGAGCCTGCACACAAGACACAATCAGTATACACGAAACACCTTACTTGCATCCACATGATACTTACAGTGTGTCTAGCAGCTCTGTTCAAGAAACGATCCTCAGAGGACAGGTTGTTGATAAAAGTTCTCATAAAGTTGGCAGTAAAGATCAAGGGCATTTGATCCGAAGAAAGACGGCGCAAGACCTTCTCGACGAGTTGGAAGCCCCAGTACTTGCGACCATGAGAAGCATTCTTTTCAAACATGGTGTCTAAGTTCGTGGTTAACGCACACATCCCAAAACACTCTATCTGCAAACTGCATGACTACTTACTATCAACAGCGACGGTCCAAAACTCTTGGAAAGAGGCAATGTTCTTGGGCTGCGACTTTTGGAAATAGACGGCAAGAATAGGATCCCACACAGAGTGAAGTTGAGGCTTCCAATCAGCCAAAGCTTCTTGGGTGTCTGCAGGAATCTCTCTGAGAATGCCAGCCAAGACATTCAAGTTGGCAGCGTCCAAAATAGTGGTACTCTTCAAGTTGGTTAATTGAGCAGATAAGTCGACATTATCGAGCTTTTGTTGCATGGCGAGAACAAGGTTGAGTTGATCGACATTGATGACGGGACCATTCAAAAACAACTCCTTGATCTTGTCTACTACTTGTGATTGGTGCTCTGTGTCCTTCAACTACACACATGAAAGCTATCAGCATAAATACGACCCCATTAACACAACACTCCAACTTACATAAGGAAGGATATTGATAACAACATGGTGGCATACTTCAGCGAGATAGGATTTGCATTTAGCCATTTCGTGCAAGCTTTCGACGATGCGTACAATATCTTCGGTGGTTGTGGAGGATCTAGCAATCATACCAGCAGCGACAATGGACATCAAACCGAAAAGTCTACCAAACAACATATCGCGAGTCTCATCACCACTCATGGCTCCAGTGCGCTCAGTGTATTGGAATAAAAGATCGAGCACGAGTTTGGTGGAAACAACATCAACAATGGCAAGAAGCTAGAAAAATGTCAAAATGTTAGCAAATCATGTTACATATGAATGGTGGCATTGTGGATCCAGTATCTTACTTCAGTCAAAGCCAAGGAGAAACCTTGACGAGCGCCTTGTCTGGAAGAAGGAAGACCACGAAGCAAACGACGCACAGCATAGGATACATCGGAAGCACAGAGAAGGTCGAGCTTTTCTTCAGTGTCGGCAATGTCGTTCTTGTTTTCCAATGTCTCTTCATGGCTCTTTTGGAAATCGGCCAATGTCTTGATCAAGGAGAGTGCGGCTGTTTGTCTAGCACTAGGATCAAAAGAAGCAAGATCCCAATAAAGTTGAAGTGTGGTAGTAGCCATTATATGGGTTTAATGAACTTCGAAATGTCAAAAAAAAAACTAAACAAGACAGCGAGAAAAAAATGTTCAAAAGGGTTTGAGAGGTGGCTGAGTACTCGGTGACTTTTTAAACGCTTTGAATGGTGGTTGTTCCTTGAAGGGCGGAGCAATGTGGATGTTCATAGATCAGTTTCAATCATGCATCATATTCATTGATGTATTGCGCTATACCAAGGTTATTCAAGCAGAACTTGTAGGCAATATCCAACTGGTTTACGACGATCATTCATATCGATCGAGCTTGCAAATGTCATCTATTCTTTGAGCTGTTGATGATTTCTTTTGCTATTTCTGAGATGTAACTCTAAATTTGATAGGCAGCTCCAGAAAAAGGGGCGAGTTCTACTGTCAGTGATACGCCTTATTTGGCAATTGATATCACAGGCAAGCTTAAATGCTACAGAACACACTGACGTCCATTTCAAAGCTTTGCGGCATCTGTATCTCTTTAAAGTTGCGAATGCTTACATTTTGCTTTGTTTAATTCCAGTTTGATAGCCTAATCAGTTCGTAACAGAAGTTTAAAGAAGCCATTGGCTGTTATGAGGTCAAATTCAAATGGGTGTAGTCAGCTAGCAACATTTCAACAACAAAAGCATCCAAAATACAAGCGGCAGAACTGAAATGATAGGTAAAATGACACAACAAATTCAGTTTTCGTTTCCATTATTAATAAGCTTACCAACAACATAACGTATCAAAATTTGCATGAATTACCTTTGCCAAAATCAGTATATTTCCTATTCGAATTAAAAACTGCACAGAATACAGAACTGCCCTTCCAGTAGATTACAGCTATCAAGGATGTGATTCATGCCGTGCAATTGAAGGCTATAAAGCAAAAACATAACCAAATCTGACAGCTTTCAAGCCTTCATATCTTGACATGTAGACCTTCCTGAGCCACCGGAATAATGCCAAACAGTTGTACTCGAGTAGCAGTAACTTTCTGACACATCTGCTCAACTTTTTAGGGACCAAAAAAACATGGCCAAAAATTGACCAAAAAGCATGAGGGGTACCTCATGGTTTTCATCGAAAAACAAACGATCGCGTTTTTCGCCTTGAAAATGAAGGCTTTTACTATGGCATATATTGAATCAAAATGTTTCTCTTGATCCAAAGAAACCTCTGAAACCACTTTTATGAGGTTTCCATATGCAAGATTTTGACATTTTGACCAAAAGCCTTATTCCGTATTTTTTGGGATTGCTCAATAAGCTCAGTCAAAACATCTATTTTACTAGGCATCATTGGAAGCGCCTTGAAAAGTACTCCAAGAATGTATTAGGAAGCATCGGATAATAACCACAGTTGATATAGTCGAATATTACAGAATAGAGCTGTCAAGTCGACAATAGACGAAATTTGGCCAATCTTGAAAAGAAAAAGTAAACTGGGTTTGAATAAGTTTTGGCAGCTGGCGGGCTGTGCTGCTGCTGGCTGGCCCAAATGCCTTTCTGATGATGACAATGATGGTTGCGATGCTGATTAAATGGCATCATGAGTATGAAAGGATTATCGCTTAGCCCGAACACTTTCTTTTGCTTTTGGTTGGATATTTTTATATTTGACAACGCCAGTCAGCTTGGATCACCACCAAAATATATGTGAACGCACCTTCCTAATCGTGATTGCAGCATTTCAACATAGTCTGTAGGCAATACTTATGCCATTGGTTCGTTTAAAAGAGGATATTTTCAAAGCTTGTATCAAATTTTCATTGGGAATGATGGCTGCAATCTCGTTGATAATAGTTGGCAGATTCTGAGTGCGCCTATCGTCACCAGCAATTAGCTACAATCTCATTTGAGGGTTGAGTCGAATGTGAGCATCCTCGTTGATACGACTTCGGGCCTGCCGTTCTTCTCCCTTACTGAAGATTCTCATGAGCGTGTTTATATGTAAATACGAACAGAGGCTTTTGAACCTTGTTTAATGCTCATTGTTTCATGTATATTATTGATATCGTATGTTATATGATGGATAATAAATGTGATGCGCGTATATGAGTTTTATTGATATTGAATAAAGACATTTGATCTGTTTGTAATATATATATAAAATGCAAGATTCTTGAATGGAATGTACACTACTTCTTTTCATCAGCCTCGGGGTCCTTTTTTTCAATGTGAACACCAAATTGCTTTTTCTTGGAGACAATATTCCAGTAATATTGCCAGCCAAATGAGCCCAAAGTGAGCACAATGATAAAGGCAAGCATGACAAAGACAGGGGTTCTGATAATGTAAACATTGACGTGATTCTTGTTGCCATCGAATATAGACAAAAAGGCATTGACCAGACCAGTGTGGATAAATAGATCCAAACCCAAGATCAACAGATAGGCACCAATGAATGCTGTACAAAATATGACAAGATAACTTTCAGCCAGAATAAGTAGCACGGCAAACACAACACCCATGCCTACGATAAAGCAGATGCGTGCTACAGCCTAGTAATAAAGTTTGAGTGTTTGTTTGTTTTCACAAGTCAACGCATGGTTTTCTGAATGTACTTACAATCTGAATCACCAAGTTTTCTTTCCATGACAAGATAAAAACGGCGAGAAAGAGACCAGCAAGACCGCCAATGAAATACAATGAGATGCCAAATAAGAATAGGAAGAGGAAGGCTCCTACAAGACCGAGACCGACACTGACACAGATGTACACAATCTCGTTATGGGGATAGCCATACAAGGGCTCATTATTGACCAGGCCAATCCATGTCATGAGTGCTATATGGAGAAGCAGTTCTTATTATATGGTTTTGTATAACTTGTTGATATGCTACATACCGAAAAAGACAAAGCCCACAGCAGCCAATGTACCTCTGAATGAGCTGAAGCCAAAGATCAAGAAGTAGAGACCTATCAGCATCATAACAATGCCAGTAAAACCTTGAGCGACAGAGATACCGTAACCATACGTGTCTATATGTACATTTGCTGTTTAGAAAGAGGTTACGTAGATGATTACATGACAAAGACTTACGCCATAGGTAAGTGCTCCAGCATTTATCATCGCATACGGGCCCTTTGCTACCACTACTGCTACCGCTTCCACCGCTACTCTTTGTAGTCGTCTTTTCCTTGGTAGCTGTAACAGTTTTGGTGACAGTTCTCATATTGCCATTGCCGCAATAGACAGTGCTTGTTACAGTTTGCCAGAGATTGTTCAGATCGGATACAGCGACCTTTGCATTGTTGTCATTATTGCCATTGCAATCATTTGCCCAATTTTCATATAAACTCAGGGACTCTTCCAAATCTCTTTTGATAAATCTTTTGGGGGCAGGTGTAGGCGATCCTTGATGTCTTCTTATGAGTGCTCCTACTCCATCTGCTGTGCGAGTTGGCTGTGGTTGAATGACGATGGCATGAATAGCACTAAACACTGCTAATAATAGTAAACACAATTGAAATTTCATTGTAATGAATAAAGAGAGAGAGGAAACAAGACAATGAATTATGATAACAGTAGAATGCCATTTGTATTTATATCAGGCAAATGTTTTCAGACTTCCATTAATGCGTAAGCTTACTATGAGAGGGCTCAATGTGTAACTGCTACAAGCTGCAGTTTGGGATTTGCCTTTTTAAGAGCAATGTTTTTCAATTACATGGTATTCTTTTGATCTTTTTGCAAGTGCTGTGGTACCACAATAGACAGCATCATCATCTCATTATTTATAAAATTGCCTATAGATCCCTACTTATAAATAGAATTGCATGTTTCCATGGGGATCTGCTCACCAGAGAAGATCATCATCGAAGCACCTCATGTTGGTTCAAATGCAATGGTGGTCAATGTGACTAGAAGAAAGTGGCTTTTTCTTGATCATCAATTTTTTCTCGGTGCTCTCCGTTTTGTGAACCGCAGCGACGAACATATTTACTCTTCTTTTATTCATAACAACATTAAAACATGACGAACACAAAGCGCAAGCTCTCCAGCATTTGCCCTCAGTGCAGTTCTCGAGTAGAGAGATTCATTATTAACACAGATTGCGAAATCAGCATGTGTGAAAGCCTAAATGTAAGTGTATCCCTTTGCACACATGTACGCGAATTGAAACTAAACATTTTTCTCTTACAGTGTAGCTATCCGTTTAATGAACAAAGTGCAGAGGGGCTTAATATTGAGACTCCCATCACAAGTTTCATACGGTACAGTAAAAGTAATAGCAAAGCATCATCATTATCTAACACTGTTGCTTTGCCAACACCAGATGATGCTAAATCTGCAAAGAAAGCTAGAACTAGCTCCTATAAGCCTGTTTCAAGCTCTTCTACTGAAAAGAAGCAGAAAGATAAATTACATTTAACAAAGCCATCAGTCTCTGATGCACCAAAGCCAACAGTGGCAGCACTGGCAATAGCTACATCCAATCAACACACTAATGTCCTGCCTGCCATCGCTACACAGTACCACATTACCAAGAATCTTGAGCCATCGACTGCGAGTACCAACGCAATCACTTTATTGACTCCGCCTCCTGAGGCAGACCATCAAGACACTATTAAAGACATATCGGCTACTACACCACCATCCTCATCATCTGTATCCTCTGTATCCTCCACATCCTCTTCACTTTTCAGCTTGTTTGGCTTTTCAATGCCATCACCAACCAACAGTATCCTCAGTGATACCTTGAGTCAATTTGATTATAGTGAGTCATCCCAAGGATTGGATCCTGTGATTACAGAGTTACTAAACTATTATTCAGATATCACTCAAGCTCCTCCTCCTGCTGCTACCACTTCATTCAAACGCAATGATCCACAAACCCCACCTGCTGTTCCAGGCTTGTGCTTACCTCCTATGGCTGCCGCTAAAGTTGCCAAGGTTCCTTCAAGTAATACCCCTAATATCAATGATTATACCCTTGGTGACATTGAATCTCTCCTCACAATTGATAATGTAAACCCCCCAACACAGTCAGAAGAGCTTTCATGGATGGAAGACTACAACGATCTCTTTATGTAACCCCCCCCCCCCCTTTTACCTTGTTCCTTTTTACAGATGTAATCAAAGCAAACCATTATTATATTATAAAATATCATTTGCCGATTTATCTCGCCGAAGACATTTTAAATCAGATATAATAAAATTTGGTATATCAAGTAGATTTTAAACAATCATCCATTAATAGTAAAAGAAAGATTATATCAGAGCCAGAAGGAGGAGGAGGGGAGGTATCTCCTTCAGTACCCTTTTTGCTTACACCGATGTTAAACGAAGCCTATTATTGAGACGATGTGAAAGAAAATTTGAGTTTTATGCAGCATTTGTACACCACAATCTCCATTTTCTGATAATAGGGTTGTCATACCATTCGCTGCTACTGATGCTCTAAAGATGGCAACATAAAGCTGGTTAAGCGCAAATACAGGGCTTATTTAAGATATACTTTGACTTTTTTGAAATATTGTCATTACAAAGGACAACTTTATGAGACAAAACTCTCCATTTAATCAGCATCGCAATCATTATTGTCATCATCAGAAAGGCATTTGGGTCAGCCAGCAGCCAAAATTTATTCAAGCTCAGCTATTTTTTTTTCTGTTCAGGATTGGATAAATTCTGTCTTCTCTCGACTTGACAGAACTATTTTAAGGTATCCGACTATATAAACTGTGAAGATCACCCAATGTTTCCTAATACATTCTTGGAGTGCATTTCAAGGCGCTTCCAATGGTGCCAAGAAAGGTAAACGTTTTGAATAAACTTATTGAATGATTTATGAAAATATGAAAAGAGGTTTTTGGCCAAAAAGTCGAGATTTTCCATATCAAAGTCCTACAAAGATGAATTCAGAGGCTACGTTGGATTGATAGAAACATTTAGATTCAAGATATACCATAGTAAAAGTCTTCGTTATCAAGGTCAAAAACGCGATTGTTTGATTTTCGATGAAAACCATGAGGGGTACCTCATGCTTTTTGGTCGATTTTTGGTCATATTTTTTTTTTGGTCCCCAAAAAGTTGAGCAAAGGTGTCAGAAAGTTACTACCACTCGAATACAATTGCTTGGTGTCATTCCGGCGGCTCAGAAAGGTTTGCATCTTAAGATATAAAGGATCGAAAGCTGTCAAATTAGGCCATGTCTCATTCATTTACTTGTCAAAAGGCGCGACTTTGCTATGATACAAAGGCGTCAAGACACTGTGTTCGTTAATCAAGATTTAGAGCATGGTGTTACATCCAAATATTCAGTTTAAATATCAAGTTGAGTAACACTGTGGTATTACTGTATCATAGCACAATGATACAGCCTATTAGGGAGGGTAAGGCACGCTGGGCATTTTAAACGTAATAGGTAGCTACATGTAGTCGTCATATACTTTTATGTGGATCTGTATGAAAAGAATCAGTGGCACAATTGGCAATGTGTTTCGTACAGCGATACGAGCCAGCTTGGCCACCTTATTAACTGGAGATGTACAGTTGACATGATGCTCAGCATACGAATCAATGTCTAGTATGGTTTTCCAATGACATCCCCTCTTTCTTCTGATTCAGTAAATTATTCACAATAAGACAACCTGTCAAAGTCCAACCTGTTTCAATGAGTGGTAAACAATTTACACAAAAAGCAATTTATTTCCATGAGGAAAGTAAAAAGTATAACAAAAAACGGGCTAAAGATGAAGAAATAACGAAACAATTAAGTTGACAATAATGAAAATAAGGTGTGTTGAGTGTGTACACGAGGGAAAAAGGAGGTGAAAACGATTCTAAAGAATAATGCTGGAAACTTATTGTTCCAAGAAGAAGTAGTTGCCACTTGACTTTTGATCTTGATCGAGTTGAGAGTCAAGCTTGTTGATTCTAGGTCTGTAGTTGGTGGGATCACGACGGAAAGTAATTTGAAGAGAAGCCAAGAACTTGTTCATACCAGATAACAAAGATTGAGGAGTGTTGGCAACAGCATGGACGGAAGGAGTACCATCGTAGACAACAACACGGTCAGCGAGATAGGTGGCCATGATGAAATCGTGCTCTACAATGAAAGCAGTTCTCTTGAAATGGATAATGAAACGCTTGATGACCTTGGCAGCAATGATACGTTGTTCGGAATCGAGGTAAGCAGAAGGCTCATCGATAAGATAAATATCAGCAGGTTGACCCAAGGCAAGGACAATAGCAACACGTTGCAATTCACCACCAGACAAGTGCATGACTTCTTGATCAATGATGTTTTCAATGTTCAATGGCTTAATGACATCGGTGTTGAATTGAGGGTTCAAGAAGGCACCCTTGATCTTCTTCAAGAACAACATACGAACAGTACCCTTGAATTTGGGAGAGATCTTTTGAGGCTTGTAAGAGACGTTCAATTGAGGAATCTTGGCATCACCATCAGGCTTCAAGAGACCAGCCAACAAACGGATAAAGGTAGATTTACCAGTACCGTTTTGACCCAACATGACAATGATTTCAGAATCTTGGAACTCACCACCTTCGACATCCAGCTTGAAATCACCGAGCACCTTTTGCATCTTGGGGTACTTGTAAGAGTTAACCTTAGAAACAGAGGCTTCAGTGGCAGTTTCGGCAATCTTGAAGGTCAAGGATTCTTCACGGAAACGCAAATTCTCAGTAGGAATGTTACCGTCCAAGAAGATATTGATACCTTCACGAACAGAGTAAGGGAGAGTGACAACACCATAAGCAGAAGGTCTACCGTAGAGGATACAAATGTAATCGGAAAGGTAATCCAAGACGGACAAATCGTGCTCGACACAGATAATATAGGTGCTGGAAGACAACAGGGAGCGAATAACGCGAGCAGCGTTCAAACGTTGCTTGACATCCAAATAAGATGAAGGTTCATCAAACATATAAACATCGGCTTGTTGGACAGCGACGACACCAATGGCAAATCTTTGTAACTCACCACCAGACAATTGACCCACTTCACGCTGAAGCACATCCTTGAGATCCAAATAATCAATCATCTCCTCCAAATTGTTGCGTTCATGCTTATCTTCCAACAGTTGGTGCACTTTGCCGCTGACGACCTTGGGAATGTGATCAACGTATTGAGGCTTGATGATGGCCTTCAAGTTGTCCTCTAAAATCTTGGTAAAATAATTCTGCAATTCGGAACCACGGAAATACTTCAGGATGTCTTGCCAGTCAGGGGGTGCTTCGAATTTACCCAAATTGGGCTTCATCTTACCAGAGAGAATCTTCAAGGCGGTTGATTTACCAATACCGTTAGTACCGACCAAACCCAATACTTGTCCAGGGCGGGGTACAGGCAAACGATGAAGCTTGAAAGAGTTGGCAGAGTAACGATGAGTGACCTCACCCTCGAGGTTGGTGGGCAAGTTGATAATGTGAATGGCGCCGAAAGGACATTTCTTTACGCAAATACCACAACCAATACAAAGCTCCTCGGAAATGAAGGCGATCTTTGAAGTAGGCTCGACTTCGATACAGAGCTTACCTAATAGAAGCATGCGTCAGAAATTATACAGTCTGATAGACGTGATGGCTGCTGAATATACATACCCATACGGTTCACAGGACAAGAACGCTTACTGGTAAATTCAAAATGCTGGATTAGATTTCAATGATTTGCCACATGCTGATTCTGTCTTTTACCATTCTTGTCTACACTTCTTGGGCTTGCACTTGTCAGCGCTAACGATAGCAATACGGGTAAGTTTATCACTCATTTGAGAGAAGGGGGGGTTATTTGTGAAGTGTTAAAGTGTAAGGAAGAAAAAAAGAAGAAATACACAGGCAATCCTAATATGCAATTGAAATAAAAACAAATTTTTTTCTCTCGCTAAAAATATAGCCTAAGCCACTTGTTGAGAGCATAGTGGCATCATAAGCATGAATAGAATCATGGTTTCTTGGTAGATATGGCAGAGATCCAAAGCTGGGTCTATGTAGCAGTAAGAAATCTTGTTTTATTCGTCTGTTTGCCAGTAAATTTGGCTATTTTCCACATGTAAATGGCCATAAAGTCAAATGCCTAATGTTGAAGGAACATGAAAGAATGATCTCATGTGCACTGCTACTATATCACACGGAGCTGTAATCGCTCAATTTCATGTGTGTATGTGTGTGTCGTGGCAAGCAATGTTTTGGCTATCAACTGTTCCATCTTTTTTTCTTCCTATTGCAATTCTTACTATACCAAATGGCATCCATCGAGAACAACTTTCGGTCTCTAAGCAGACTAGCAGCTGAATGCCAACGACAAGTGGAGCGACTCTACCACGTTGACTCCATCACAGTGCAGAAAGAAGTTGCTGAGCTTATCCGATCCAGCATTCGTTGTTTGGCCACAGATATCGAGGTAAACCTTGAATGCAGTACACTATTTGCATGATGTTCACTCAAGACTAGGTGGTAAAGCAATTAGCAGAGGAGCAAGATACGGAATCGTCTAAAATGAATATCCTGAATCGACTTGGCGAATACGAAAACCAATTAAAACAGTAAGCATCGCATAAAGCTCAGAAGCAGCCATGCTGAGTACCTTCCGTAGACTGCAAGTGAGTTCACGTCAAGCTATTTTGAGGGCAAAAAAGAGAATAGATGAGGAAGAAAAAAGAAACCGGGAGGAGCTATTTGGCATTGGAAGCAAGAGACTGAACGGCAAGAGTTTCACAGAACAGTACGAATTGAAGCAGAAGGGTTTACAGAGAGGGTAATAGTGAACATTGGGAGATGAATTGCAAGCAACATGGCTGACCATCTTGTGGGGGGGGGGTACAATAGTCAACATGATGAAGCTGTTCTACGTGCATCTTCAGATGTCACCGAAGCACTAAAGAGAACTAGCACACTCATGCAACAAGAATTGGAGAAGAGTACATTTTCAGCTAGTATGCTTGGTAAGATTGATTGATTTGATAATGAGAGCCGGAAATCCTTAGAAATTGTTTAGCCGAGTCTTCAAAGACCCTCACATCAACGTACACGGAATATCAAAATCTGGGATCTCTTATCCATATTTCTAAAAGAGTGATTACTCAGCTTGAAGCCTCAGATTGGTTTGATCGGCTCTTGCTCTTATTTGGCGTATTGTTGTTTAGCTCAGTTGTGCTGTATATCATAAAGAAACGCACATGGGATGTTGGCATTTCGTGGGTATCTTGGTTAAGTCAGACCAAAAAGAGCAAGGAGACATTAACAACGACCATTGTCACTGTGATTGCACAATCCACAGCAACCGCCATAGCAACCACCACATCCAACACTACTCCTAGCACCACTGCTGCTACTACCCTTCTTGATTCACTGATTGAAACTGCCTCCCCGGCAATTGCGGGTATAGTAATCAAAGACGAACTTTGAAATCAATCGTTGCACAATAAGAAGCTATTGCTGTTAATAGGTTGATATAAATTTGTGTCAAATAATCTTATCAAATGTGAATAAACGATTGGCTTCATTTTGGGTTGTGTCGGAACCGTGAAAAAAAAAAAAACATTATAAAATTGCTTACACCCCCCCACACACAATCAGGAAGCGCAAACATCAACCTTCTTCTCTTTTGTTTGTATAAAAGAACTTTTCTTACACTTTCAGTTCTTTTCTCTCTCTTTCTCTCTTCAAGCCCCCCCCCCCTACTTTTCTGTAATACTTTATCATGGAGATCGCTTTGATGCAAGCAAAGAAATCTTGCCCATTCATTCATGTGGCATCCGCCTCCTCTCTTCGTAGACTTACGACTGGAAGCAGTGCTAGCCAAGCCATGAGCCCTTTGATGAACAAGGCCAAGCAATGCCCCATCATGAGCAAAGCTATCCAATCTCGCTCCATTTCAACCTCCAGTGTTGTATCTCAATCTCCTTCCAAGCCCGTAAAGGCAACTGCTGGTAGGGTTTAGACAATCAAATGTTGAACATTGCGGAGATGTCTCATTTTAATTTTTTTTCGTCTCTTTATAGTCACCAATCATGGCCAGGGTCCCATCCCCGCTGCTGCCACTGCTGTTTCTCATCAGACCAAGAAGCATTTCGATTACGAAAGCTTCTATCAGGAGGAATTGGACAAAAAGCACAAGGATAAAAGTTATCGTTATTTTAACAACATCAACCGTTTGGCCCAAAAGTTCCCTCGTGCCCACACCGCTCGTGTCACCGATGAAGTGACCGTATGGTGTGCTAACGATTACTTGGGCATGGGAAGAAGTCCTGTATTGACTGATACAATGAAGTATGTCTCCGATAAATTTCCACCCCTTACATTCGCATGCAAACAAATACTAACGTGTAACGATTTAGGCGTACTTTGGATCGCTATGGCGCTGGTGCTGGTGGCACTCGCAACATTGCAGGAAATGCTGATCTTCATTTGCGTCTTGAGTCCGAATTGGCTGATCTCCATCACACAGAGGGCGCGCTCGTCTTCTCCTCATGCTACGTTGCCAATGATGCTACGCTCTCTACACTCGCTTCTAAGCTACCTGGCTGTGTCATCTTCTCTGATGCCTTGAACCACGCTTCCATGATTCAAGGTATGCGCCATTCAGGTGCTCCCAAGAAGATTTTCCGTCATAATGACATGGAGCATCTTGAACAACTCTTGCAATCTGTTGACCCCAGCGTCCCCAAGATTATTGCTTTTGAATCTGTCTACTCCATGTGTGGCTCCATTGGTCCTATCCGTAAGATTGTTGATTTGGCCAAAAAATACGGTGCCATCACCTTTTTAGATGAAGTCCATGCTGTCGGTATGTACGGTCCTCGCGGTGCTGGTGTCGCTGAGCATCTCGATTACGATTTGAATGCTGCCAATCCTACTATGGGCAATGGAAGTATCTTGGATGAGATCGATATCGTTACTGGTACTTTGGGTAAGGCCTACGGCGTTGTAGGTGGCTACATTGCTGGTTCTGCATACCTTGTTGACATGATCCGTTCTTATGCTCCCGGCTTCATCTTTACTACCTCTCTTCCCCCTGCTGTCGTTTCCGGTGCTATGGAATCTGTCAAGTATCTCAAGGAATCCAGTGCTGAACGTAGCCTTCAACAAATCAACACTCGTACCGTCAAGTCTCGTTTGGGTGATATTGGTATTCCCGTCATTCCCAATCCTTCTCATATTGTCCCTGTTCTTGTGGGTGATGCTGCCGCTGCCAAGTTAGCCTCGGATGAACTCTTGTCTGAACATGATATCTACGTTCAAAGCATTAACTACCCCACCGTCCCTGTTGGCGAGGAACGTCTTCGTATCACTCCCACCCCTGGCCACAATGCTCCTATGATCGATGAGCTTGTTCATTCTCTTGACAAGATTTGGACTCGTTATGGCTTCAAGCGTCTCGAGGATTGGTCTGCCCAAGGAGGTTGCGCAGGTGTTGGCGTTGATAATGCCGTTGAGCCTACTCCCATGTGGACTGATAAGCAACTTGGTCTTGACAAGGTTGTTGATAGCCAACAAGCTGTTAGCAATACAAACTAATTCAATCATGCCATGAATGCAACAGGGTCACATCAGACTCGTTTTTCTTTGAAATAAAGTGTTAGCCCTCTCCATTGAGGTTGATTTTTCGTCTTTTACCAAACTTTCTATAATTGCAATGTTAAATGAAGATGAGAGCTATTGTACTACCAATTCAAAAGATGCAGACAAATTCCACCTTTTATCTTGAATATTCTGATACAACCTTGGTCTGCTATCAAGTACACGGCATTGTTCACTGGCATCTTCATGTGGAAAAACCCTAGTGCATCTATATTAAGTTACACTGTGTGCCTGGACCCAGAGATGGCTGGTCTTTGGGTTACCATGTCTATGCCTTGTGAAACTTGCAACAAATTAGCTAAACGCAAACATGCAAAGCAGGCGTCGTGAAGCAAGCAAATGTAAAGCAAAACCAACAGATGAGTTGCGACTTGGATGTCTCAAGAGGGATTTCGCCAGGTCGGCCAATGTTATTGTATAATACCTTGGATCATTTGCAACAGATCCAAACATGTTGGTTTTCCCACAGTCAGTGGGGACATTTGTCATCATATGCAAATCAACAAGTTGTTTATACCGCTAAAGTAATAGCAGCATTGTGTACATTGTCCCAGATTTTCACATATAATGAAATGGCCTGGAATATTATGAATATAAAGATTGGTTCAAACATATGGGTATAGTCATGATAAACCTAGGGATTTAGAGCGTTTGCTTCTTCAACTAAGCATGATATGATGGAAGTCAAATAATGAATACTTGACCATACGTTTCTTGCCCTTACAAATGAAGCCCTCCAACTTGAAACTTAATAAAGTTCCAATACTTTCTTCGATGTCGCTACACTGTATATAATAGGCAAGCTTGGGAATTTCAAGGTGTCAATAGCATAAAATTGTAATGGCAAAGTGCTTTTAACTTGAAATACCATAAGGTATAACTCAATAGTAAATCCATTGAATGCCATACTAAAGGTTATAGAGCCCTTTTGTTCTTTGCTCTTCATATATACGGCCATCTAGTTGCTTTCTTAGTGCTTCAGCTGTTCGGGCCTGATCTTCATTGACCAACTAGAAGATGGTACCAGGAGGTTTGATCTCCCTATAACCTTCTTGGTCATTCGCAAGTATGATGAAATCCGTTCGAACCCCTTTCGAGGCTGTACTCTAGGTAACATCTAGGATTTAAGCATTAAATGTAATTTTGTTAGCTTTGCCCTCCCACGTAAGAAATACTTACTGACTATCTACAGGACGATACAGAATTCGCAGGAAAGAGATATCTGAATAAAGATAGTACATTGGCTATTGTGAATTCAATGCCACTTTTTTTGTTGTTCATTTATAATCGTATCCGCCATCATATTGTAGAGGTGGTGCTAACGTGGAGCTGCCCGTGTGTGGATGCAACTGGTGGATATTTGTATTGCTGCCTCTCTTTAACCTTCTAAATCAATTAACAATTACGATTGACGAATATGTAATATCTAAGAATTTTCGGTTTTTCTATAATACTTATACTATTCTTACATTCATAGTTACCTCCTTCGGTGTCATACAGTAATGTATTTTTTGCTGGTTGTAGTATAACAGTTAAATTTTTAGTTTGGTGGGTGCAGTCTATCCCAGCCGTAGCGAACAAAGCAGGTTCTTTCGCCTCGACGTCTACCGTGCATGAGCGATAGCCTGGGTGAGAAGAATCTACACCAATATAGCAACCATCATCGTCTGAACTGTTATCGTTGCCATTGCCATAGTTTTCCTTACCATCTATACTACACAGAAGAGTACAATTCAAGTACTGCTTAACTGCAGATACTTTTTATGTTTAACTTGCCATGTCTTTTCCTTTTTGTGGTCTAAATTTGCAAGTTGATATTGTCGCTATTGAGTCCGTGCAGTCCAACATTAACGTAGTTGAAATATTGGTTTGTCGCAAAATTTGGCTATAGGAATGAGTTACTTTCAAAGCTCTAGATTTATCAGAAATATATTATTATTTAGAAAAAAGAGTATGAAATAAATCAGCAAGTACAGGATATCGTTTATTACATAAGAAATAAGAGGGTTCATAAACTATTCGAAATGAGAGATTCGACGTCAGGAAATGGTATTAGATGGGGATCTGAGTGATAGGAGGATAACAGATCCCATCATCTATTATCCTGAATAATATGCTATAGTTAACCAAATCCATTTTTGTTCATGGATTTTCAAAATAATTTACTAATAACTTACTACTATTATAGTTCATTACTAGTAAATTTCTCCAGTGTATTCTATAAATGGAATTGTTATTGAATCCAATTTCATGTCAAAGGTTATGATCTAATAATGATATCTGTTGTGCTTGAACTGAGTTTCTCTTCGCATTTGGAGATCCCGTTTTCAGAAATAATGCATCAGCTCTGGTAGTAGTATCAAAATTTCAAAACTCAAATTGGAAACATTTGTGTACATTTAGAATTTTTGATATTATGTGGTAAATAATAGCAATCCATAAGTTGAAACATGTTGGAAATCAGTGATAAACGATTCATGTTTGCCGGGGCATTTGGTACTGGAGGAACCGGTGTCTAGTGTACTACTACAGTTGTACCTACTACAGTTGTACCTACTACATAATTTTCCATACATAATATAAAAAATCCTTCACATGAAACTGTCTTATTGATGCCAGATCAAATGATGATTGCACCTTAGCATACATTTAAATAAAGAAGAAGAACTTAAATTGTATCTATTTAGATACCCTTTTATTACAAACACAACACTATTATAAATGACAGATCAATAGGAAATAAACTAGTTGTAACCCTTCGTTGCTTCAACCTCTTAGCCAATCAGATTGCTTGAAAACTCCGCTGACCTAAAAAAAAATTTGCGAGGGTTTCCCCCTGTTTTGATGTGAGGCAAAATTTTAAGCGCCGCTATATATAGAAATATAGCTGATACTATCATCAAATGTCCCTCAGGTGCTAGAGCATGCCTTACTTACACCACCTAGCTATAAATTCAGGCATTGAGACCCTCAATCATCACTAAAGTAAGTAGCGATAACCAAGTGGAGGCAGCCTATCCACCTCCTAGCCTCGGATAGAGTCTTGTTGAGCTTCAGGGATAGGCACATCCACACAACGTAAAAAAAAGGTATGCTTCAAAGAAACATAATAATAACAAAAGAAAGAAGAAACGAACATACTACTATAGGAGTAGAGTAGTACGTAGGCAAAAAAGGAATACTCACACAAAGTGAGTCAAAGAAAAGTATGACAAATACAACATCAGAGACGTTCAGAACAGCTCATTGTTGTTGCAACAAAAATCCATACATGAGCAACATGCATGGTAATAGTCGGATGTAAAGCAACACAACCAACAAAAGAAGAAGAAAAACGCAACAAAGTAAACATCATGAATGCATTATCATGAGAAAGGAAGCAATAATACAAGCGTTCAAAGAAGTTTTATATCATTGCGACCAGAAGAAAGAAGATACTTACCACTTACCACCACCGTCGATAATAGACCAGAAGAGGATAGGCAATCACCGAATATAGACCAGAGAACGAGCATGTACCAAAGACAGTAGAGCAGGAAAGACCATATTAGCAGCAGCAACAGTAACACCAGCACTATAGACAAATCAAAGAACGAGTGACACCAGAGAACGAGCATGCACCAAACACAGTAGAGCAGGAAAAACCATATTAGCAGCAGCAGCAACAACAGCAGCATCATAGACAAACCAAAGTACGAACGCCACCAGCAGAGACCAGACAAAGACCAAAGAAGTCAATTACCACTTACCACCACCGTCGATAGACCAGAGGATACGCAACCACCTAATATAGACCAGAGAACGAGCATGTACCAAAGACAGTAGACCAAGAAAGTCCATATTAGCAGCAGCAGCAGCAGCAACATCAGCACCATAGACAAGCCAAAGAACAACGAACGACACCAGAGACCAGACAAAGACCAAAGAAGCAACCGCCAGACATGATAAACCAAAGACGCAGACAGCAGAGATACCGGAGAAGTAATGGCAGCAGCACTCACTCAAACAGGCAAAAAACTATTGAAACCTAATAAACAAACTCAATCAGCAGTGTTAATTCTACGTCTTCCAGTGCTCGTTATCGAATGGTACCTAATATATTCCACTTTAAAGAAGCAGTATCAAGCTCTTCTAACAGTACAAGACAATGTTATCGGAAGCTAGAGTGTTATTATCAATCAAACGGTGTCCAAACCACCATGGTTTGATACTAGAACGCGTTTTGCAAAAAGGGTAAAAGCGACGGCAGGGAAAAATGAGAGGGCACCCTATCCGACGTCACGACCAGTAGATTTAGTCTCAGTCTTGTGCCGTAGCAGCCGTAATTGCGGTAGTCTAATTTGAAATTATGCAGTGGTATTTTCGTGTTCAAACTTGACTTGATCTTACATCCTTTAAACGTTTTTGCTAAATTTGACTATGAAAATTGTCGTTGTCACACCCAACTTTCTAATACATCTCTAGAGAACTAAAGAAGTTGCATCGAATGGTGCTGATTACTCTCAGCTTTCAGACCAAAAATAATGAGCAATTTCCAAAAATATGAAAACAGGTTTTCTGTGAATATGTCAAAATTTAGCATATGAAAGTCTCATAGAAAGAGATTCCAATGTTGCATTTCATCTTTACGATCAATTTAATCTAATATGTATCGTAAGTAAAGTTTTCACTTTTGACGTGAAAAACGCGATCGTTTGATTTTCGAGAATTTTCCCTTGCTAATACTCATAAAAATATGAAAATTTTCATGGATTTGCAATGACAAAAAAATTTCGAGATAAAGCATCAGCAAGTAAAGTGTATCAAAGGAGGGCGATTTGATCCTATTCCAAACGTCTACAGCGCTTTGTAGCATGAGCTATTCGTGCATCAAAATGACTAAATTTAGGCACAATTTGACCAAAAATAAAATGCAGTAGGATGTGTTGACAAAGAAGTAAATAAATTCATGTTCTTTCTAATGTCTCTAATGTTCTGCATTATACAGAACTCGACACCTAAGCAATCGACACTTGTATTCTAATACTAAGGTTCAGATCTTTCTTTTGGAAATGCGCGAATACAGTAAGTTTATAACTTGAGCGTCAATGATGTTATGTAAACTTGAATCTAACAACTTGCTCAGATTGAACGAGATGCTTATCAGCTTAGCAGAACACTTTTGATGGTTGTCCGCAACAGAAATGCCATATCATCTAGCCGTCTGTTGTGCCAGAAGAAGGGCTACAAATGTCTATAAAGATTAAGGTATTCTTGATGGGTAGATATGTCTGTGTTGTGCAACAACATGGACAAGCTATGATAATTGAAGTGCATCTCGGCTATCTAGATGCTGAGGCTCACCAGATGTGATAAGTGTTGTACAACAAGATAAATTGCTACTTTGGCATCCAGAATGTAGTATTATAAATAGGAAAACTCTGGTCTTCTTCATTAATAACTCTTTAGTTTTTGTGTCTGATCTTATTCAAATAAGTCTTTTCTTGTTTTTGCAATATCAAACATTTTTTATAAGCTACAAATAATAATCCTTTTATTCTTTGTGCTTAACACTGTAGTATTCGACATCTCTTATTTTGGAGTATTTTACCCTTGATGTCATCATGCTAATACTATTTTTTATTATGATTATACAAGTGTTTATGCTTCGGACGGCTCTCTACCTTCGCGTCGCTTCGGTGTAGAGAACCAACCTGCGCAGTGGCATCTCGCGCTACCGACTGCCCTTGCGTTTCTTACCAAAAATACTGCTCCTTTCGTTTTGAACATCCACACACATGAAAGCCCTTCATATTATCTGTAAATCTGATTCTTATTATGTGATGCTCTACATCCATAATATACACGTAATTACTTCATATAAAGGCAAGTAGCATACTGGTATTTCCCCTTTTTAGTCCTCTCATACAGCAAAATCTGAGTGCATTTGAGCTGCGCTTTCTTGTGTTCAAGGCCGTTTTATATGGTCAGAATAGCACCAAATATTTACTCTCATCTGGTACATACGTATTGCCACTATTACTCAACTTTTTGGGAACCAAAAAAACATGGTCAAAATTCGACCAAAAAGCAGACCGGTGAAAAGCATGAGATACCCCTCATGGTTTTCATCAAAAATCAAACGATCGCGTTTTTCACCTTGACAATGAAGGCTTTTACTATGGTATACGAGCCTTTCAGCACTTCGGGTGGTTTCCTGACCTACGCTTCGCTTCGGTGGAAACCAACCTACGTTCAAACGGCTCGTTACTATGGTATATATTGAATCAAAATGTTTCTATCGATCTAACGTAACCCTTGAAAGCATCTTTGTGGGACTTTGATATGGAAAATCTCGACTTTTTGACCAGAAACCTCTTTTCATATTTTTTACAAATTCCTCGACAATTTTATTCAAAACATCTATCTCACTTGGTACCATTGTATGCGCCTTGAAAAGCACTCCAAGAAAGCTTAAAGACGCATTTTTTTTTTTTTTTTTTTTTTTTTGTTTTTTTTTGTAGGGGAGTCGAGCTCCAGGTTTTATTTAAAGTCCTTTAAATGTCATACTGAGGGATAGAAAAGACTGTTGGTGGACCCAATGTCTGCAAAGAAGGGGAATAAGATATTTTTGAATTAAGTTGGGAAAGAAATCTACTACTAATAAGGTGCGACACCTAGAGCCAAAACAGTCTTGCGGAAATCGTCAAAATATAGATAATGGATAGAGTACAAAACACCAAACGAGGACATCAGTACTACTTCAAAAAATCAAACAACTTGCGTTCACCAGGATTTGAACCAGGATCCTCCCGTTGGCATACGGGAGTTTCTACCACTTCGCCCTACCACCAGGGACTGCTTAAAGACGCATAAGATGGTCATCACATTTTATGTAGTCGAATCTAGCGAAATTGTTCAATCAAGTCGATTTTTATTCTTTTTTATTTGTAAGTATGAAGATTTATTAGATAAACTCATAAAAAGTATTTAGATAAATAGGAAAAGGGTGCGGGTGTAGTATAAAGTGACCCGTCCCGGAAGAGCAAAGAAATTATTTGAATAGATTTGAAGACGATATTTGTCTCAAGTTGGTCATGGCACGGTCCACTACAGACTGGTTGTCAAAGCCAACGTTATCATAATGATTGCGCCACTTGACACGCCAGATGGCTGTTAAAACACATGTTACTGCTTCAAAGATGGAGACCTTGAGAGGCGAGTCCAAGAGACAGTACGAGGACAGGTTGAGGGACAGGACATCTTGGGCAACTTGGCTCATGTCGAGTGACCCCAGAGGCACGAAGATCAGAGCAAAGTAATTGGACCAAATTTCCAAGTTGGCAGGACAGGTAAACAGCATGTGAGTTGTTGTCTCACGATAGCCACAGTACACACATAAGTCATCTGGGAGCTTAAAGATGGGACTAACATTAGCTTTGGATGAGACCTTATTATGGATCAACCGGAACCAAAGATTACGAGGTGCACTAGGCATTTTCGTTTGAAGAGAAGAGGCCATAGTGAGTCGATTTACATCCACCCGAGGGTCGGTTATTGGAGGGTGATCGCGCATGTACATTGCACGGAGCTCGGTACCAGACATGGACAGAATCTGAATACCTTGGTAGAAGAGCTTGTGACAATAGTAGGGCGACAGATCAACACCTCCACCGGTGACAAGTAATGGCTCAGGGCCAGCAGGAGAAACAAGGGAATCAGGGCATAACGTAGGCAAAAATTGGATGGTGGTGGCACGGACGGCCGTGGTCATTCTGGAAAGAAGACCAGGGCTGGAACTAGTAGTTCTTGGTTTGAACACCAACGCATCCGGGAGACGACTAGGCTCTAAGAAGACATGAGCAGGCAGCATACGAATCTGTTTGTGGTATAGGAAACCGATATCGGTAGTTGTTTGGTCGAACAATACGTTCATCGGTAGCTGCAACATGGTATCCACCGACAAGATGCAGTCGGTCCAAGACGGTTCCACAGCGAAAGCATCAACCGAACGGAAGATCGGGAGCAGGCAGTGGAGGCCAGTCAAGGAGGAGCCATATCGCATGTTGCGAAACAACAAAGGCAAGTGAGGGTGGGCAGCCCCATACGTAACCTGTATGAACGTGCAATCAAGTCGAAAGTTATCAAAGTTTGGCCAACCTAGAACAGGTTGTGGGTCTGAGCTGAAAGTAGTTTTGGCTGGTAGGGCCGGCTGACGAACTCAATGCCCTTCTAATCATGAAAGCAATGATAGAAGCTTTTGAAGCCAATGCAAAGTAGGTAGCGAATTACATAGTACCGTAATTTGCTATGCTGTTTTCTTTGAAGTCTTGCATTTAATAACACTAGCCCACCAAATACTCGCAAGATCAACTTCTTTCCTTTTCAGGCTTCGAAAGTGTGCAGGGACAATGTTGTCATGATATATGCTTATCTGTTGATGGTACCATGTCTTGATTGATATGATATTTACTTTGGGTATTTATATGATGGGGATATAGACCATTTCTCTTCACTCCTCACTTAATTACTTGGCAATCAATGTAGCGACCGAAAATGAGTTCATGTTTTTAGCTACTACCTCCCTCTTAGACTGTTTAGACACATACTACCCTATAATAAAACATGAGATTCAGAACTGTAGAATCAATCGAGCCAACATATTTATGTTATGCTCGGATTCACGGTGTATTAATGAGCATGAGCAAAATACAGCACATTTGGTATATGTGCAGCCACTGTGGCACATGCATACCCATACAGTGAACTGCTTATACACAATCACTACAAATCCTATTACATTTTGCCATTATTAAAAGTATATAAATGTTTTCATGGGATGAATGAACAGTGCATTCAAAAAGGGTGCAGCACGCTGGCAGGCCCAGAGCAGCGGGTTTGTTTATTCCATGCTTTCAAATCACGCATCATGTTATAATGCTAATGAAAGAAGTGCTTGCTACTGTAATGAAAGCTCTGAGCAGGCTTAATAAAGTCATTCTAAAGCACAACAATCAAGCTACAGAGTTACTGTACATGGCCCCTTTGTGCTTTATATTTCGGTTCCACCACAAACTAGCAAGGTACGTAGAGCTAACTCTCACTGTACGCACAGTATGTCGCAGCTTAAGCGGGTGATTCTGCTGTTTGTGTGCCTTGTCCAGAGATAGTATACATTGCATTCCAGCCATGCTACTAGGCGATGCAGGTTACGCCTAACAACTGCCGTGCACATCATCCTGCGAGCATTTTTGTTATGTGTGAGTGATATCACTGTGAATAAACTTTGCAATTCATCAGAAACAGACTACACATATGTACTTGTGTCTCATCAAAATATGCTGCGCTTTGAATGCTAGCTCCCATTGGGTGTAAATTATATCTACAACTGTGATTTCTTGAACACAGAGAGCTGAATTGCCTGAAAAATGGATACAATCTCATCTAAAAGATCCACCATGTGCTATTTTGTTGTTCATTAGTTAGTCATGAAGGCCTCTTCATATTTAGAGAGCCAAAGTGCCTTGTTTACGCCCTCTCGCACTGAAGCTGGGTGTTTCATTGCTGCAAGGAAGAACAGCCACCCTATCACTCGGAGTTGACCCAATGTCCTTTTTACAAGCTTCTTAAAAATCCTTTTAAAACGTATTTCTTTCCTCTTGTCTTTTTAAAACATCTACATGGTTCCTACTCAAGAAGAGTTCTTGATTGTACGTAACAAAAGCTATAGCGATTTCAGTGGTAGAATATTAATGACACTTGACTAGAACGAACACGACATACCATACGAAGAAGAACTCCTTCGAAGCCCCTATTCACTTCGTTCATGGCTCCACTACATTGATCATAAACGACTTGGATCATTCAACGAGCTTTGTTTTGTATTCGAACGTGCACTCAACGAACTTCCAGGCTCTTACAAACTATGGAAACAATATCTAGATCTTCGACGCGATAAACTAAAGGGCTTAAATGCAGTTCGACACAAATCGCTGTACAATCATGTCATTGCCTTGTATGAACGCGCACTCGTCCTGTTGAACAAAATGCCTCGTATCTGGTTGGATTATCTTTCATTGCTGACAACACTTCCCATCATCACAAAAACCAGAAGAGCATTTGACAGCGCTCTGCGTGCTTTGCCTGTTACTCAACATGCGCGTATCTGGGATCTTTATTTACAGTTTGCTAAAGCCGCAGGTGGAGAAACGGCTATTCGTATTTACCGTCGTTATCTCAAGGTATGTCTCTCTCGTTGTGTTTGATTCATGTTGGCTAAAACAGCTTGTGATTAGCTTGAACCCACTTTTGTCGAAAACTACATTGAAAGCCTTGTCAAACTCGAGCATTACGACGAAGCAGCACTCAAGCTTGTATCCATCGTCAATGATACCAAATTCAAATCTGCTCGTGGCAAATCACACTATCAATTATGGCAGCAATTATGTGAATTAGCAGTTGAACATTGCGACGATATCAAGAGTGTGCAAGTGGAACCAATCATTCGATCAGGCATCAAGCGATTCACAGATCAAGTAGGTGTACTATATTCTCGTTTAGCTATGTATTGGATCAAGATGGCACAACTAGAAAAAGCGAGAGATATATTTGAGGAGGGAATCACCACCGTCATGACTGTCCGAGATTTCACAGTGATATTCGATGCGTACGCTGAATTCGAGGAGGAGATGATCACAACAAAGATGGAAATGGCTGCTGAACGCGAAGCTGCTGGAGAAAAAGACGAAGAAGAGGATCTTGATCTCGATTTGCGCTTACTGCGATTTGAACGTCTAATGGATCGTCGACCTTTCTTGGTCAACGATGTGCTATTAAGACAAAATCCCAACAATGTGTTGGAATGGCAGCAAAGAGTAACGCTGTGGGGCGATAACAAGGAAAAGGTGGTTGAAACATACACTCAAGCTGTGCAAACAGTGAATCCCAAAAAAGCACACGGCAAATTGCATGAATTATGGGCTCGATTTGCTAAATTCTATGAAGACGGTGGCGACTTAACCTCTGCTCGTGCTATCTTTGAGAAGGCTGTCAAGGTGAATTACAAATCTGTCAATGATCTAGCCGAAGTGTGGTGTGAATACGCAGAAATGGAGACTCGTCATGATGATTTTGATGCAGCAATTGAAGTGATGGCTCGTGCAACACAAATCCCTGGTGTGCTGTCAGTGAATCCCAAGCAGATCAACTTTCACGATGAATCAATTCCTGTCCAGCAACGTGTATTCAAGAGCTTGCGTTTATGGAGTTTCTACATTGATTTAGAAGAAAGTGTGGGCACCATTGAAAGCACCAAGGCAGTTTACGACAAGGTGATGGATCTTCGTATCGCCAACCCACAAACCATTGTAAATTATGCAACCTTTTTGGAGGAAAATCAATACTTTGAAGAATCATTCAAGGTATATGAGCGTGGTATTGAACTATTTGGCTGGCCAATTGCTTTTGAATTGTGGAACATCTATTTGGAGAGATTCTTGAAGCGTTATGTAAGTTTGCCAAGTGCTGAATCGTCTTTATCCATTGCTGACTCTTGCATAAAAAAATAGGGTGGTACCAAGTTGGAGCGTGCAAGAGACTTATTTGAACAAGCACTCGAAGAATGCCCTCCCAAATACGCTAAGCCCATCTATCTCATGTATGGTAAACTTGAAGAAGAGCATGGTTTAGCCCGCCATGCCATGCGCATCTATGACCGTGCTACCAAAGCAGTTGCCGATGAAGACCGCATGGTCATGTACGAATACTACATTGCCAAAGCAACTGAATCATTTGGCGTTATGGCGTCCCGTGAAATCTATGAACGTGCTATTGAAGCACTCCCTGACAAGGATGTCCGTATTATGAGCTTGAGATATGCCGAATTAGAAAGAAAGTTGGGCGAAATTGATCGTGCTCGTGCTATTTATGGTTTTGCTTCACAATTATTTGATCCAAGAGTAAGTTTCTAGCAGTAATGTGCCTGAGTGAGTTACTGATTTAGCGTTTATATAGACTCAACCTGGATTCTGGAAGACTTGGCATGACTTTGAAGTTCAACATGGTAATGAAGACACTTTCAAGGAAATGCTTCGTATTAAGCGTAGTGTACAAGCAACATTCCCTAGTGTTTAAAAAGATTCGAATAAAGTAAATGTTGCTTTTATTACAGTTGTAGAAAATAGGGAGCTTTTTCCAAAATGATGGGCGTAAATCAAAAAAAAAAAAAAAAAAACTTCGAAAATATGATGGCCAATTTAGACTCAAGTCAACAAGAATGAAAGCGTATATTTCTGACAGTTAATGCTGCTCTTGTAACTGCTACTACTAAAAACAGTAGATGATGCATGAGAAGTAGGTGACGACAAAGGAGATACTGTTTGGAAATTCGATCAGTAACAAGCATTCAAGCTGACGATGATACACTCACAATGTTGACTACTGTCGGATGTCGCTGACAGTTCCTTGTTTTGATTGTCTTGTCCATTCTGTTTGCAGAGCTTTGTCCAAACTAGGTAAAAAATCGAGAATTGAAGAGTATAATGAAATTAGTACCACCATCTCCTTAACCCAACCAAATCTTGGCGAATATACGTACTTAGGCCACATGCATTGCACAACGTGCGAGGACCTATTATAGTGGAATATGTAAGAAGGCTGTCTGTATGTGGATCAAGCCAAATTGACACTACCTAGGGGGCCTTTGCGCCACTCGGGTGTTTCAGTGCTGTAAAAAAGAGTGCAGGAGAAAATTAGGGTTAAGCTTTTTGGGTAAATTGCACCAGCTATGTTACCTGTTACATGAGTGGCATTGCTGCTTGGGAGTTGGCTTGAGCTTTCTTTTTTCATTATTCTGCCATTTGCAGTTGAGTACACATAATGATTTTATAAAGCCAAATTCTAGCTTAACCTTACCAGTCGTTTTAAAGGACGCATGCTGTGGGTTGTACTCGTGCGACACTCTTGTTCTACAATGGCGGAAAATGGCCGTTTTGTTGTGGATACTGACATGATTGGAGGCAGCTGTGGCATTACGGTGGACGCTGTTGTTATTGGTTCGCTTGTTTGAGTTGGGTTGATGATCAAATTTTCAAGTTCCTTGATACTGGGTAGCTTGATGTTATTAATAGGCAATGCATTAATGAAAGATGGTCCAGCCAGTGATGTTGGTGAAAGCCTATTGTTGTTGCAAGCCTTTTATGCGATTAATCCATAGTTCAGCTTGCACATGCTACATGCACTTACCAGCTGCCTGCGATGATAGTTGTCGAATCTGTGTGTATACGACGCATTGAGTACATGCCGATGCCGATTTAAGCTTTTTATGCATACCTTTTCTGCTGCTTGGAAGCATCAACTGACATGGAAAACGAGGGTGCTGTGGATGGCCTGTCAGCACAAGAGACAGGTGATGTCGTTGATGATGATGACGAGGAAGAAGACGATGCTGGGTTGATCTTGAAAGAGTGATATTGAATCATTTGTGATTGATATGGGAAAGAAAGAGAAAGGAAGAAAGAAAAACAAATATCCCCCTTTTTTTTTTGTATCCGTTGGAGGATCATGATAGCAACAACAAGCAACAGATTACACAATAAATCAATCCAAGGTTGCACGGACAGAAACCTAGAATCTCACATATATATATATTGTAAAGTCGGAAACACCCGGTATATTCTTGCGACTTTGACTGACTGACAAGCATCATGACGCTATTATTTAGTGCGTTGATTCAAGGCATTTGCACATCACATGTGTGCTGTATGTATAGCCTGTTATATAGTCTGTACATCGCTTACTAGCAGGATCCCCCTTTTTTTTTTCACTCGCTTCTTTCTCTTTCAACCTCTTTGCAGCTTTTTCAATACACCACCATGGTCATTTGGTTCTTTGAAAACAATCATTTCGCCAACGCGTGGATACCCTTTGATAGATCAAACCAAAAGAAGCTGGAATACGTATATCGGCACCATGAGGAGATTATTCAATTATGGAATCAAAAGCAGAACGATACCATCTCTCCACTGACAGCAGACACACTTATAGACTCGGATGAGGAAGACGACTCGATTCATCCAGAAATCCAATATGATCACAACTGCATATACATCAACTTGAAGGATTCGCATTTCGAACATACCATCACACTGTACCCAACCATGCTTTTAGGTTCTTTACCTGATAGAGACATATTAATCATTAGAGCAGAAATGATGGATCATAAAAACAATAAATATTTATTGGAGTGAAAAAGGTCATTTATAGTGTCATTTGACCCGTTGTGAGACTGAGAAGACTGCGCATACCAACCGCATTTCCTGCCGCTGGCTTGAACATGATTTCCATCATTATCAGGAATACATGTTGCAGCAGTTCTTGCACTCCATTTCGCAGTAAAATGCATGCAACCACCCAGTAGAGTGTCCCTCTGTAGCGTATCATCTTTTTGATCAGTCGAACTGTAATGTGTCGAGCGGTGGTTTCAAATTTAAAGAAGAGATTCAGGAACCAATTCGGCGATCTTCTAGGATTGCTGTTATTGCCACTGTTCTGGATAGCCTGCAGTTTTTCAGACAGCAGCCAAGATGAGATGCCTTCGTTTTCAGCAGGTCGTGGGGAGGAGCTCGTGGCCATCATGTCACCCAGTTGCTTGATAGTGGAACGGAACCGAGGTGGCATACCATTGCCTAATTTAGACTGCAGTGAAAGGCCGGAGTAAGCTTTTGCTACACTAGCCAAGTTTGCATGACTAGCTACAGGTGATAATGATGCTAGCGGTGTGTTGTATAAACTAAATGACGATGGCGGCCTGGTCAATTTCTCGCCTGTTGATGTCATGCTGAGTAAAGGTGAGTTGTGTGTGTCATAGTATACAGACGAACTCGAGCTGCGTCTGCTGATAGACGGTGTTGGTAAGAGTCCATGTCTGTATTTTGTATAGTAAGCATCTGTACTCAAGCTCCATTGATATGTATCCATGCCACCAAGATCTGTATCGTATATTAGTTTTTCTCAAGTCCAGCGAGAATGCCTGCATAGTTGATGTCCATACCGATCACAATGTCTTGCTCTTCAATTAGTGCAGGCAACTCTTTTAGTTTAGGGAAATTGACTTTGGCTTTCGCTTCATTCGACAGCACCAGTTTACACATTTGCCATAATCCTTGATACATCCAGCCAAAATTGATCAAATTCACTGTGCCTGTCATTCCGGGGTATCTCCTTAACAGTGTAACAAATGACTTTAATAGGCCAATGTCCTATTATGTAAAGTTGAATAAAACCATGGCAAATCACATCTAAACAAGAACACCTACTGTGGGCAGTGAATTCGCATCCTTAAAGTCCACCAGCACAAGTGTCTCTAATACCATTGGGTGCTCTATGTTTGCCTTGATTCTCTCTTGACTTGTATCCCACAGCAGCAAACGTGCTGTTTCAAGCACAAAAATGACCAGTGGAGTCAAATAGTCGCTCACATCAGTTCCAGCTGGTGCTTTCGGTAAATGAGCCAAATTGATCATCAAAATTGGACGATTGGCTTTGTCTGTTTTGTGGAAATAGACCAACGGCTCTTCCAAGAAATCATCTGCAACTGAGGGTATTCTGATGTTGTCAATGTCTGCAATAATTCTCCAGCGTATCGTGTCCAGCAAAAGAGACAGAGCTGTTGGTAATGAGTAGTTGTTTTTGCGTAGAAATCGAAACAAGGTTGCTAAAAAAAAGCCTTGCTTAATACAGGACAGTACACGGTACGGACGCTATCAACTTACCTCTATCATCTATGAAATCATTCAATGCGTGCACCTCTTGTATTGATAAATCAAATTCATGAATCAAATGAGGTATTTCTCTCTGTATAGCACTGTGTATGCTGTCAATGGCTCGCTCATGTTGTTTATAGAGCTGATTGCTTTCAATGTGTCTTTTGCTGTATACATCCATTTTCGATTCTTGTTATAGGAAGAAGAGAAAAAAATGTGAAATTTATGTTTCATTACTTTTTGCATGTGAAAAAAGGAAGGGGGGGGGGGCATTGTTTTATTACACTTTGTGGGGTTGTGTCTCCGAATCAGTTTTTGGCTATACGTGCGACGTCAATATTGCTTGATCTCCTATGGTTGTCAGGTCCCTTTTCACTTTCTACGCAAGCAACGAGAGATCAATCGAAGGGCTGTTATTCTATCTGGCTATTAAGCGTGCTTTTGCTTTAGTGATTCATTTCAAAGATTGTATTCAATAGGCCAAAGCGCCAAATGTCATCCTTCAGTAGGATTTCGGCAAGAGTCTTAGATACTTTGTACTGTATCATTAGACGAATGTATCAGCCATAATAATTTCTCAATTAAACGACCTCACTGAAATCTCACTTTCAAGGTGTGCATCTTCACGTGAGAGTGCTCCATAAGTCATCTGTAAGTGTGTAATTGACTTTTATGCGGTGCTCCACATCTGCATCAATGACAGTGATGAACTCACGGGCAAAAAAAACATACCGGTATCACTTTTTACGAGCCAAACGTATTCAGTACACAGCAAAATTTGGGTGCACTTGAGAAGCAATTTCTTGTGTTGGAGGCTGTTTTAGACCACGAGAACAGTGCCAAACAATTGTACTTGAGTAGTAGTAACTTCCTGACACCTTTGCTCAAATTTTTGGGACCAAAAATATCATAGCCAAAAATCGACCAAAAAGCATGAGGTACCCCTCATGGAAATCTTTGAAAATCAAACGATCGCGTTTTTCACCTTAAAAATGAAGGTTTTTACTATGGTATATATTGAATCAAAATGTTTCTCTCGATCCAAAGTAACTTCTGAAACCACTTTTATGAGGCTTTCATATGCAAAATATGGCTATTTTCGCTAAAAACCTCATTTCATATTTTACCAAATAGCTCAATAAGTTTATTAAAAACACCTATTACAATTAGCACCATTGGAAGCGCCTTGAAGAATAGTTCAAGAATGTATTAGGAAGCATCGGATGATGATCACAGTTTACATAGTCGAATATCATAAAATAAATTAAAGAAGTCGTCAAAAGACACAATTTGACCAATCTTAAGTAGAAAAGTTAAACTGAGTTTGAATTGATTTTGGTAGAGGCTATGCTGTCGCTGGCTGACCTAAATGCTTTTCTAATGATGACAATGATGATTGGGATGTTGATTGAATGGAGACCATGAATTTGAAAGAACTATCGCTTAGCTTGAATGCTTTCTTTTGGCGATTGAGCATATTGTAGGATAAATATGTTACGTTCAAGCACACAGCATTACATAATACAGCTTTTTTTTTGAAGAATGGTACAGGGCTCTGGGAAACATGGAAGGATCCTATTTTGTTTGCTAGTCCATTTCAACAAAAACAGTATGAATTTCTAACCATATTGAAAAGTGAACTCGATGACAGTGTTGGTGGTATCAATGATTGGTGCTATGTGTTAAGAGAGCAAACAACATTTTCTTCGTTCTTTTTTAAATTTGTACCATTACTACTATCTTTTTGTCTTGTGGGGGGTGTTGCCAGAGAATCTGCAGGTTATATGTTTGGAGAAGCTGGTAAAACAATCCTACATCCACTGATCCTGAATTGAGTTGCAATAAGTTCATGCAACATGAGCCACTATAGCGTTGATAACTGTACACTTGATTTTATTGATATCTAAATATATTACTACTAATGAAATTATTATTCTATGCTCTTCTCTTCTTGGCCTTGGGACGACCGCCCTTCTTTTTGTTTCTTGCTGATGAGAATTTATTCTTTCCTCTGCGTTCTCCATCAAACAAGCCGTTAAAGCTGTCTTCATTGTCGTCATCGCCTCTAGCACGCTTTTGTCCAGCTTCCAACACATCAACATCTTGCTTTTTGCGATTGAGCACATTGCGATAACGTTGATTTTCTTGTTCTTCCACATCTTCCAGTCCAGCCAAATTGGAGAAATCGTTCAAGTTCTATAATAACCACATCATGAACAACGAATCCAGGTACAATGTCTGATTTACAACACTTACATCGAATTCGCTTTCAAAGCGCATCTTCTTGTTTTTGTTCAATCTCTGTTTTTCCTTACGGGTCACTGCAAGACGGACATAGTTGTCTTCTTCATAACGATCCTTCTCGGCAATGACATTGTCGATACGATCACCATAACCGGTACCCTCATTCACACCACCAAAGACACCAATTTCTTCTGGATTCTCAGACATTTCAGCCATGAGATCCTTCATCAAACGGGATCTGGATGCCTTCTCCTTCATACGAGCCTCATCACGCTCCTTCTTTCCACTCTTTCTGCCTACGTTTTCATCGTAATTGACAGGTGCCAACTTGGGTGGTCTGTACACACCAGCGGCATTGGTATCATCATCATCCACATCCTCCTCTTCGTCATCGTTGTCTTTGCTGAGCAAGTTCATGGGATTAGGTTTAAAAGCAAGAGGGTCTGCAGCAACAGCTTCTGATGTTGAGACATCAGCCTTCTTTTCTTCATTCTTTTGTGTGTTTTCGACTACTGCAGCTCTGACTAATTTGTCGATTTGATATTTGAGTTTGGCTTCAATTGGCTTCATTTTATCGAGAATCACACGAAGTTCAACAAGCGATTCTACAACAGGGTTGTTTTCTAATTGCTTTCCAGAGATCTTGAGGTGGACAAAGTAGGCGAGTTGAAGGATATATTGCAGCATCACTTGATATTTGACTTCAAGGAACGACACACCTTTAGATGTATGCACTTGATTGTCATCAATCCTAGTGTAAAATTAGTATCTATGTATTTGTAATCTACAGATGTAAGCCTACTTTTGCTTGAGAGGTTTCAATTGATTCTTCATGTCAATGATCTTTGCTTTCAGGCTTTTGATGAGCTTTGTGAATTCGACAGTCTCTGCCATGAGTTGCCAGGATGAGTATGACATTGGGAGTGAGTATTCAGTAATATTGGCTTACCATCAATAGTGTTTTCCAAGCTCTTGTCATTAGACACTTCTACTGCAGCAACTTTGGACATGATGGATGAAATAGACAGTGGAAAACGATCAAAATCATTGGAAAAAAATTCACAAAAGGCAGTTAATCAAGAGGATTTCCGGTCACAGGAGAGGCAGAAAGAAGTTGGCCAATGCGACTTGGCTGCAATGCATTGATCTAGCCCATAGTTTCTGTCAGTACAGCTCTTGTCATTGCTGACAGCCTGGGTGCATTTATCGACCATATCCTTTTCACCTTGGCAGTAGGGCTTGGATAAAACAAAATTTGACAGGTTTGGCCCTGTTTAGCTTTGTCCTCTCTCATTTGGTTGATGCAGCTCACCCCGATCTCTTGTTGAAAATAGCATTTCAATATAATCAGTCCTTTCATTGTCCCTTGCAAAGCGTACAATGGGCCAAAAAAAATATGTTTCCTAAATGAACCATTGGTGGCCATTACCAACAACACTACTCTTACCTGAACCTGCCCAGATAGCCACTGGTCAGTATGCTACAATCAAGAACACACATGAAGGATGCATAACCAATTCAAAGCAGCATAAGTATAGCATCGAAAGGATTGCCTTAACTCAGCACATCTTTTGATACCAATACTACTCAAGCTATATCAACTTTTGTGCGCATCTCCTTGAGATGAGAGTTTAAACAAACCGTTTTCAGAAAGTTAGATTTGAAAGTCATATTTCTCGAGTTCTAAAAACGCTATTGACATGAAACTGCTATCATTAAAAAGCCAGGATGAAGGATATTTTTGGCGTCAACTTTTACATACTTAGCTTTTGCTTTGAGTAAGGTACAGCCTCCCAAAAGTTGATCGTTTTGCTCAAAAACACGTAAAAAAAAAGAGGTGTTGGTATACTGAGCTTGAAAAGCCTGCAATATCGTTCAGTGCCTAATTCCTTTGATTTGATGTGTGCTGTACAATGTGCTTTGAAAACCTTACTCCACGAAGTTGTGGAGGAATTCAATGCAATTCTCACTGAGGGCGCAATACAAAAACATCTTCAGAGCTTTTTGTCAGCTGCTATACATTAATTTTACATACTGAATTGCTAGAAATCATCAGAGAACTCAAGGAACATGTAATCCCTATATTAGGTATAAGTATTGTGTGCGGAGCCTTGCCTTTCAATGTAACTCAAAATACCAATCCGGCATCTTTTTTAATTAAGTTGCTCGTTTATTTCCTTTTCCTACCTTGTTTCTTTTTGTTCTATATAGTTTTTCAATCGAATATACACCCTCACACTCCTTTTCATTCAGCTATTGAGAGCAACTCAAATTCAGTTATCAACACGTTAATACATGTCACTGTTCTCAAAGCTTTCCAAGAGTAGCGAAAAGACGCTTTATCCCTGGTCGCAGAAGAAATTGGGCGGCAGTAATAGTGCTCTTCCAAGAGCGGGCCATGCTGCTGCTGCCATCTCACCAGATGCTGTTGTTATCTATGGCGGCGTTCACCGAGCAAGTACCAAGAAGGAACTATTTTACATTGATACCAGTAAGTCGTTGCAGGGCGTGGTGTGTTTTGGCTGGTTCTGATGTGTGTGCAAAAAATATAGACAACTTGTCTGCCGCCAGCATCAATGCTGTTGGAGATATACCAAGCTCTAGAATATCACCCACGATTGTCGCTATGAACAATCATATTATGCGTATGTTTGTTTGCTTGTCGATTCACTTATATACTGAATTCCATCTATTGTAGTTTATGGAGGTAAACCGATCGTACCTGAGGAAAATTATGATGGAGGATTTTACATTTTAAATCTGAGTAAGTCAGCACATTGGGAGACAGTGGTAGTTGTGTCTAAATATCAATATTAGATACCAAGCAGTGGAATCACATTCAGTTGGAAGGAAATCAACCTGCAGCGAGATGGGGACACAGTGCAGTATCAAGCGATGGCATCATGTATATTTGGGGTGGTCAACAAGAGGGCAACTACTTTAACGACTTGTTCATGTTCAACTCCAGTACATGTAAGTGGGGAGGGGGGTGACAAACATAGAGAAGCTAGATCAACATTTAATGAGCCGTTGCAGTTAATTCAGTGCCTAGATGGGAGCAGCTAAACTACAACAATGAATGTCCTGAACCTCGATCAGGTCATATCAGTGCAATTTATGAAAACAAGTTATACATGTAAGTTGAAAGTGGAAACCTATTTAGGAGCTCTCTCCTCGTGGCCAAGTTACACAAGTTTAAATGATGTCTAACACAAAATTATTTAGTTTTGGAGGCACTGATGGACATGTCTTGTTCAACGATATTTGGTCATTCGATTTACACACCAGATTATGGCTGAAAATCGAAGCAGATGGGTTCTTACCTTCTGCCAGGGAGAGCTGTGCTTCTGCCATGGTTGAAGATGTGATTTACATTATTGGCGGAAAGGGCGAAAATGGAGTCGAATTAAACGATCTATGCGCCTATAAAATCAAAAGTAAGTTTTACTCAGTTTGCTATAGATCCAATTTCATCTAATTTCAATTTAATATAACCCACAAGGTCGTCGATGGTTTAAATTCCAAAATATGGGGCCATCACCTTCGCCTCGCCATGGACTGACCATGACAACAGTCGGTCATCGTTTGATTGTGCTTGGTGGTGATAATGAAACATCTAAAATGGAGGATTCTTCTTCGATCTTTATATTAGACAGTACTAAAATCAAATACCCCACAGATACCCCTCAACAACAGCAATCCATGGATTCGACAAATAGCGAAAGAATGTATCAGCAGCAACAGCAACAGCAACAGCAACAGCAACAGCAGCAACAGCAACATCAGCAACATCAGCAACATCAGCAACAGCAGCATCAACAGCATCAACAGCATCAACAGGCATTTGATTCTGCTTCTATTGATAGCATGAATGGCTATGCTCATCAATCGCCTCAACAGCAACACTCTCCACAACAATATCAACCCCAGTATCAACCGCAACTACAGCAACAAGGAGGAGGAGGAGGACAGGTACCTCAACAACCTCAACAGCAGGGATCTTACTCGCCGCAACAACAACATCAAACCATCCAAAAGCCTCATCCAGATCAAAGACAGACACAAAGATTGAATCCACCTAGCTCACCACTGCAACAGCTGCAACCCCGTTCTCTCGTCGGTGCTGTCATGAATGCCAACGCTGCCTATACAGAGGTCGATGCCACCATAAAGTACCCTGACGTTCAACCATCACCTACTAATAGTAGCCCTACTAGCGCAACTTCTCGGCACCGCTCTTACTATCCAGATCAGCAAAGCAATGGCCAGGTAAACTATGTGTGCTACGAGCTATTCGCACTGTTTTTCTCATTTTTCTATATTGTAGCCACCTGTGCGACCACCTAGACACATTTCAACGGTGCCTGAAGCAGCCCTTCGTCGTCCTCGTGCCACTTCTCCATTGCCACAATCCGAAGCTGACATTGCTGCAGATATTCGTCGTCAATACCAGTCGAATGCTTCGCCTACATCACCGACATCGACTGAAGGCAACGATCTCTTGATGCCTCGTAGTAGTCCAATGCAAACAAGCATTTTAGCCGCTACTGAAGATCATGCGTTTGTCGATCCCATGGTTCAACAACAGCAGCAACAGCACCAGCAGAGGATGTTGGCTCAACAGCAACAGCAGCAGCAAGCAAGTCGCTCATCACCTAGTGGACCTTTGGCTCCTCCTCCACGTCCTCCACGTGAGGGTGTAGGCTTGGGCAATACTCAACGAAACACCATGGTGGTACCTAGCGTGTCTTCAGACACATCAGTGCATCACACTATGGGAGATCATGAAGAGCCATTAAGGCCAAAATCTCATATGCCTCCTCGCAACCAATCAGTGCCCCCAAGCCAGCCTCAACCCCAACCACCACAGCCTCATCCTCCTATGGACATGCAACATACTCAGCCACAATACACTGCACAAGCATCTCCTGTGTCTTTACAACAACCTGAACAGATACCCGAGCGCTCACCCAGTCGTCAAGTGATACCCACCACATCTTCACCCTCTCCTCGTCCAAACAAATCACAGCAAGATCACGCCAAATTACAGCAAGAACATGCTGCTGCCACAGCCGCTGCAAACGAAGAACGCCAAGCACTGTTAAGAGAGATCCAAGCACGAGATGCCATTATCAGTGAAATGAAAAAGAAGGAAAACTGGTGGCGCACAGAAGTATCTTTGGCACGCAAACAACGCATCAAGAGTGATACATTCGATGATGGACCTGACGCTGATGAGGCACTTTTGATGGATGTTGATCATTTGTCAGAAGACAAGGTCAAGATCTTTGAGCAACTTGTAGCTGTCAAATCAGAACTAAGACGGGTGAGAACAAGCATCTTTCAGCAAGCACAGCCCATGTCTGAGAAGGTGGGCCAAGCGGACCGTATGCGTACTGCTGCTTTACAAGAGGCTGCCTATTTCAAAAGTAAATATTTAGCTCTCAAGGCGCGTCGTCAAGAAGACTTGGAGAATGTGGAATTAAGTCGTTGTGATACGCTGGAGAAACGATTAGCTGCTGCTTTAACAGAGAACGAAACCAATGGTAAATTGCTACAACAACTTCAAAAGAAATCGCAACACGATCAAAGTGCTCGTCAAGCCACAGAGGAGCGTGCTCATGAAGCTCAGGCGAGAGCAGAGGAAGCTCAGCAAGCACATCAACGTGCTTTGGAAGAACTGCAGACTGTGTACGCTAGAGCCACCAAGGCCGAGGTGCAGGTCCGTGACAATGCTGTCAAGATTGCAGACTTGACCCAACAATTAAGCGATGCGCTGACCGCTCAACCCGTGGTCAAGAGTCAAGAGCTAACTGAAGCACAATTGAAGGCGTCTCAATTAGAAGCAGCAAATCTCAAGGCTCGCAACGAGGCAGCCACATTGAAGCAAAAGCTGGCCGAAAACATGGATGATATTGCTCGACTGCGTACGCTTCTGCATGAACGTGAAGACTCATTGACCGAAGCTAAAATCCATGTGGAGGATTGCGAAATCCAGTTGGGTATGATGAGAGAAGCCATGAACCAACAGCAGCAGCAGCAACAACAACACCAGCAAAAGACCTCTTCTACTGTGAATAATACAGGATTTGCACCAACCAGAGCTTATTAAATCGTTCATCTACCTTAATTTATTTGTCATCTTTTTGATCATATTCCCCCATTTCCCTTCTTTTCTTCCCCTTTTTTTTTCTTTCCTAATATCACTATACTATCAATTATTGCAATAAAATTGTTAAAAACATGTTATTTATTAATTACTCAAAGCTAATGTCGGTAGAAGATGGAATGAGGGTGATATATATATATATTGTACAATGGTGAAAAAGGTGTTGGCTGGAGTGATTTATCCCTCACGCCATTGATGCTGACAATCCTCGTTGCAGCATTTATAGAAAATAGATGAAGGCTCATCAGCTGAACGGATTTGAATCAGCATGAAATAGGCACGCCCATGCTCACATTTAGGACAAGTAACTTCTGTAGAATCGACGTTCTTCCAGGCATCAGCACCACCTAAAACATCGTCCACTTCCTTTCTCTTGAGTTCCTTACGAGAGGTATGCTAAGATGAATGTTAATATCTGACTATTTCTATAGTAATGTGCAGCTACTTACTCTGCTTTGAATGCTGTAAACATAGGGGCATGATTGGCAAAAGAATGCTTGTCCACCATCGTTTTCGATCAGTAGCAAGTTGGCGCAATGAGGGCAGAACAACATGTTGGATACTGAAGAAGAGAAAAAAAAAACGGAATCTGCATTTCTGGTACCTGGTATTAGACTGTATTTCTTGAGATGCGATACGCGCAAGCCACTCGCCATGTTCAGTAACATTTGATCTCTTTTTTGCATGAAATAGAGAAAGAGCATGAATTCAAATCAACAAAAACCAACTGTATTTCTAAGAAAAAAACTTCTGGAAAATCCAGTACTATAATTTTATCTAAATAACATGTAGGAGAGAGAGAGAGGATACTATGAGTGAACAAAAATCGAGAGCGAATCTTAGGAGTGAGTGAGAGAGAAGAGCAAAAAGGGGATAATAGTAGCATTTATAAGGGGATTTATTTCTTGGCCTCGACCTTAACAACCTTGGAACCGTTCTTTTCACGCATGATCAAAACCAAGTTGGATTGAGCATCAACAGTGATTTGAACCTCAATCTTGCTGGCCTTGGGCTTGGAAGCGTTTTCAAGAGGAAGACATGCTTCGACTAATTGAGCAGCAGGCTTGTTGAAGACATTGGTGAGGATCTCGGGCTCTTCCTCATAGGGCTCTTCATCATCTTCGAGTTGGACAGGCTCAGCCTTGACCTCAACCTTCTCAACAATATGATCACCTTCAAACAAAGCAACATAGGCGTGAGTTTGGTTGGCCTCAGAGTTGGAGAACTCAAAGACACGACGAGTAGGGAGGGCAGTACCACGGGGAATCACAGTGACAAACTCACCCTTGGCATTGATGATACCAATAGCCTTGGTGGTGTTGGGAGCCAAAGTGACAACGGGATGGATAGCAGCTTCAATGTCTTCCTTCTCGAAACCAGAGACCAAAGAACCTTGAATAGCACAACCACGAGCAACAACTTCATCAGCTTCGAGTTCATTCAAGATCTTGGTGTGTTCACCGCCAAAGACTTCACGGATCTTCAAGGCAAACTTGGGGATACGAGCAGAACCACCAGCAAGGAGAACTTCGTCAATCTCGGAAGCATCCAAGTTGGTCTTTTCCAAAACCTCGCCAATGACAGTTTGGAGTTGAGAGAAAACGTTCTTGGACAACATCTCGAAACGCATACGGTTGACATTGCTGTGGAAATCAACACCATCAGCCAAAGACTCGACAAAACAAGGGGCAGAGTTACCGCTGGACAACATCTTCTTAGTGACCTCAACGGCGTTACGGAGCTTGGCCAAAGCCTTCTTGTTGGAAGAGATATCAATCTTGGACTTCTTTTGGAATTCGGCAACAAAGTGCTTGATCAAGTTGTCATCGAAAGAGGCACCGCCAATCTTGGTATCGTGGGCAGTAGCCAACACAGTGTACATACCGGAACGAACAGCCAAAACAGTGACATCGAAAGAGTGTCCACCCAAATCACAGACAACGATGGTCTTGTCTTGAGGATCCTTGTTGGAGGCATCTTGACCAACACCATAGGCGAGGGCAGCGGCAGCAGACTCGTGAACGAGTTGGACAACCTTGATACCAGCAGCCTCAGCAGCAGCAACCAATTCCTCGCGTTGCTTCTCGGTAAAGTAAGAGGGAACAGCCATGACAGCGCCGTTGATGGCAGTACCCAAGAAAGCTTCAGCAGACTCGCGAATGTGACGCAAGTACTTGGCAGAAACTTCTTGAGCAGTGAAAACAGACTTACCAGCGGGCAACTCAATCTCGTAAGCAGGGACACCGTTCTTGTCGACGACGGGAGCAGCGGAACCAGTCAAGTTGACAGCATCAGCAAAGCTAATAAGAATGACACACATGAGTATACAGAGTTGCATGAAATAGACAAGATCAGGATATTACCTCTTTCCGAGATTGGCACGGAAGTTGGCGATGGTGTGGTTGGGATGGCGAGCAATATCAGACTTGGCTTGAGAACCGATAACCTAATCAGTTACTAATGTCAATACATATGTCTACAAACATGCCATTTCAAATCACGGAAATACGCACCTCTTCATCACCGTGGAAAGCGAGAGCAGAGGCAATTTGTCTATCACCTTCTTCGTTAGCGAGACAATCAGCGCGACCTTCCTATAATAACCATGTCAATATACTACCATACAATATGCTGTACCGAGGAGCTCTCCAGTGTGTCTGCTCAATGCCCTCCCACATGCAAAGCTCGCCCAATGTCCTTATGAACGTACCTTGTTGAGGTAAGCAATAGAAGTGTAGGCAGTACCAAAGTTGATACCGATGATAGTGTTGGATTCGCTCATATTGTTATAAGGATACAAGATAAAAGGGGAGGATTTGAAAAAAGCTAACGAAAAAAACTTTTGATCAAATGTCGACTACATTCAATTGGTTAGTCAATGGATTTAGAAAGTATTTTCAGTCACTCAACTACTTTCAAGGTGACATCCAATGGTGTAAAATAGCATGAATTTGAGATGGACTTTAGTCAGGAGCATAGCATAGGGCCTCTTTGGTTAGAGATGCCCTACAATAGACAGCAATATTGCAGGCATCTTCTATGAGTCTGTATTGACAGGTTGGCATCTCGTACATGTGGAAGCCCTGAAATCATATCTTGTCAAATCTGAAAAGTATGTAGATGTGTTTGCGATGAGTTGTATTGAAAGTAGCAGTTCAGATTCCCACATCGAACAGCAGTGATGAAAGCATCCAACCCTCGAATATATCGCCTGCTCTGTCATCAACGATCCTTACTTGTACATCTAGTCAACTCAAGCTTCAACCAACTCTTACACCAGTTGAAACCCAGTAGAAAGTGATACAAAATGATGAGATTCTGGATAATGCACACATGCTCTCCTTTAGTTTCCCAACAATGAACTATCAAGCACCACCCATTCCGTCCAGGCCTACTACGAACAACATTCAAATTAGTAATGTAAGAGAAGGTGAAACTGTTCATCAGGTAGGCTACACACCATGACTACATGACAACATGGCTCACACCCGCATACACTGCTCGCAACAGCGATTTCTCCTCGTCAATGGTCGTGCTGGACCTCGCAACGGCTCCTTTGATAAGCCAATTTACGTTGTATGCAACGACTTTCCTCAGACAGAATGGCCCTGCGTTAATTCGTACTTCAAAGCGATGGTACACCTTGTTCCTGGACCGAATACGATTACGTTCGTCTTTCCTCAAGACAATGAATCACTTCATTTCCACGTCAACTACCTGCCCCTATTGCAGAATCCACCATTATCACTGGTTATCTTTATTGGCTCTGATTCCGATGCGACATTTGATGTGCCTCCAGAGAAAAAGGACCAGAATACGTTGGATATCGCCGTCGAGAAGCTTCGAACAGCAGGATACATGTGGCAAGCCTTTTGCGCCGAGCAATTGCATCGTAACGGCATGGGCAGACGGACATTTCGCCTCGAAGAAGCCTGGTTGCCCGATACAGTCAGTTGTCAAGATAAAGGTGTGATGAGAAACACTGCCAAAGTGCATGTCATTCGCTCGAAATACACTGTTGCTCAGATTCGTGATGTCCGTCGTGCCCAACAAAGCGATGACGAAGATGAAAATGTCGAAAGCTTATTCGGATTATTTTTAGATGATTTGCGTGAAAACCCTGCATTTGACATGCCTTGTCAGGTGGCAGGACTTATTTTGGACGCACACTGGGATGTGAATAAGCAGTTGACTGTAGGACATGCTGCGCTAGGTGGTGGAGCTGGACATACAAAATTGGGCATCTTTGGCTCTCATCTGTTGCATGCATGGCCAACTTGTATTGAAGACATTGTCCCTGCCTTCATGAACAACACAAAGACGGATACTCGCTATGTGGCAAATGATGCGAATGAAAGTGATAACTGGTGGAGAGCCTGTAACATTGGCATGGGTGCCATGGTAAGTGTATAAATGAGCCGGTGACAGAGATTGCTTAACGAATATAACCTATTTCTTGTAGATGCATGAAGTTGGACATTCATACACGTTGAGCCACACACCAACAGGTAACCTCCACTAAGAAAAAACTGCGCAACCAAACACTCATGTAGTAAGCATTCTTTTGGCAGGCGTGATGAGTCGAGGCTACAATAATTGGAACCGTACATTTGTCGCCAAAGAACCTGGATATGGACCTATTCCTCCTGAAGAAGAAGCTGGATCGCATTGGCATAGACTTGATATCATGCGTCTACGTTTCCATCCAGCATTTAGACTTCCTCAAGATGGCGTCATTGGCACCAAAAATCCCTCTCAACCTAGCTTCGTTGCACTTGAAGGCGGTCAATTCCAAGTGATTGCGCCTGCCGGCCTCTCGTTACTCGAGATCAATGTTGGTGGTCATTATCGTACACATTTTGAGTTCTTGCAAGATCAGCCTCGCATGGTGACACTCCATCAAAAGGACATTTGTGACAGATGTAAATGCAATCCCGATGAAAAGATTTCACTGCATGCTATTTGTGTCAACCAAGAAGACAAGGGCATTGACAGCTTGAATTCCTTTTTGAACTCGCATGGCGGCGTCCGTTTACCCGGCCTGGATGGACTCGTACTCAAGAGTGACATCTTTGGTAACGGATCCGACCAAGGTATGATCAAGTCTACAGCTGTCTTTTACCAGAACAGCCGACCCAAGCAACTGACATGCATCTTGGTAAACCATGGTGCCTTTTTGGACGGCTTCACGTTGGTGTATGAGGACGGAAGTCGAGATCAAATTGGAAAGACCGGCGGTGGTCGTAGTCAGTTTGATGTGAGTAGAGGGGAACGCATCCAAGGCTTGATTGTTCGCAGTGGCGCGTGGATTGACGGCGTGCAATTCAAACTATCTAGTGGCAGATTGAGTCCTTGGTTTGGAGGCAATGGAGGCGGTTTAAATGAAATTAATGCACCACAAGGATACGAAATGGTTGGCATATTTGGCTCAGCTAAAAGTTGGATGGAGCAGATTGGCATATTTTATCGTCGTGGTTAAGTTTCAGATTTTGGAAGGTGGAGAATAACCGGAAACTCCACCCCGTCTCTGTTTCCAAAGAAAGAATGAAAAAAAATTGGCTATAAAATAAAGCACTAAATTTCCAACTATCCAGCTGTTTTTCTCTTCAACAATACAAACTATAAAATGAAACTTATCTATGGATACGAAATGAGTAAGTCTTATAGCGGATTGCTCTTGATCCTACTACTCTCTCATCTAACGTACTGTATTGTATAGATGCTTCTGCTGGCCAAATTGGTCATGTTATCTGCCCACCACTGTTATCAACCAAAATCACTTTATCAAGCGCAGGAAACACAAATCGTTGGGCATTCTATGGCACTCGCAAGCAAATCTTGGATTGGATGAGAGAGCATGGTGATATCATATTGGAGAATTCAATCTTTGCTGGAGGAAAAACATGCGATAGTAATGTTCACACTGAAATTGTTATCGATGTGCAATATGTCTACGATCAAGAGCAAACTTACGTCGATTACATCAAGTCTTATTTCGTTGACATCTACGATTCTGAAAGGGTTAAAGTTGAAATTAGACCTCGTGTCGATTCCAAGGACAGTGTAATTCCTGCCTTGAGTCGAACCGTCGTTGCAAGCGGTACTAAACTAGGAGATTTGGTTGATGATTTACAAACAGAGTGGTTCAAACCAGGACAATCCTATGTTCAACAAACCGTTCATTTGTTCAATGATACACCTACGCCTAATCACATTCTCAGTGCTAAACCTCCTACATCTATTCATGTGTCAACAGATGCTGCTCAGCAATCTCCCGTTGCTGTCGAGGGAGATTTGTGTACAACTACCACCGCGAATGTCACTACTACTACTACTGCTCATTAACTTTCTCTATATCATACCTCTAGTCTCCCTTTTTTGCTGTAAAATACATTTTAAAACTCTATTAATAAACATTTCTCTGCACAGTCGAAGCCATTACACTGCATTTTAGAACAATGAGTCTTCTGAGCTTGCTCTTTTAGCGAATCGCAAATTATGCTCATTTACACTTTATGCTTAGAACAGTTTGCATGCCGGATGAACATTTCTTGCTCCGTGAGCTTGCCAAACAGTGGATACGTATGTAGCCTGATAGATAGTGCAGCCAATATTTTTGTACAACTGCTGAGCATTAGTCATTTGCATAACATTACTCAACTGATTTGATATGCAAGTATTACATTTAATTTTGGCAGGCAGTTGGTATTATTGGATAAATAAGAAGTTGGCACCTGCTACTGCAGATATTTTTGCAGGCAGATGAAGGCCAGTCTCAAAAGCATTTGTACTAACTAACATACATCATCTGTACTTGGGGACCTGGCATCTTCGCGATGCTCTATATCTGTATCAATGGAAACGATGCATACGTGAGCAGGTAGCACGCTTGCATTACCTCTCACTTCTCAAAATTATGCAAAACACAGCAAAACCTCGGATGTATTCGAGTCGTGTTTTCTCGTGTTAGAAGTACATTCAGACGGCCGGAACAGTGCCAAACAATCACTTTTGCCTAGCAGTTTCTTGTTGATACCTTTGCTCAACTTTTTGGGGACCAAAAAAAACATGGGTAAAATGAGAACAGCTGGAGCAATTTGTGGAACACACAGATCATGCGTGGAAGCATTTGGATGATCCCAAGCAAGAGGCTATGGCTGAAGTACCTTTGCTTGAGACGAGTAAAGGTTTCAAAATGAAGATGATGAAAATGATGAAAATCAAAAGCGCCGTCAAGAAGGAGAAAACCAAAGCAATAGACCCTGAAAAGCTATTCCACGATGCTTACCATGCAGGCACATTTCAGACATCTCCAGCTTATGCTTTTGGTACTGATAGCAAACATCTCAAAAAAAAAATGCTGAGAAATACGACACCAAACATGTCAGCTTTCATGATAAACGTGAGTTTTATTTTGCAGTGATAGGCATAGCAATTGTGATACTTAACCACAAACTTTTTAGGTGATATCAAAGAGTTTATTGACCTAAAAAATTTGGATTACATTATGGATAAGAAGTTTAAGAGAGTCAAGAAGTCGGATTTCGTTTGAATACCAGCTTCAACTATACTACATTCAACAATGCAACCAACCTCCACATGTGCTAGTTCTGTCAAAAATAACCACATTAGCATGTTGGCATTTCTATAATTAGTGGAATTTACCCGATAAAACCTGTCATGTAGCAACCGATCATTTGAACAAATGGGAGGGGTAAAGTATAGCAGGTTCGCTATTCCACGTACATTTTCTAATGAACATTTAATCCTATGATAGGCCCAGCAATAGTAAGCTGTTCTTGATATCGTCATTTTTAACATTATCATTAATCAGGATTCTGTCAAAGTGGCCTACGGAAAAGCGGCATCCAGCTCGAACAGCGACATTGTTTCATACACGCAAGGTAGCTAAAATTTACATGTTGGTGAAGATCCATATTTAACCTAACTCTAATCAAATAAACTCTATTTTTCGCCTCAAGTAAGCTAATCAAATCAACATGTTAGTTTTGTATGTATCTAATCAAACATTTGTAATCGCAGAGGGGTCTCTGCCTCTCACTGATGAAAAGAGATTGGGCTTAATCCCATCAGATCAACGAATGCAGCAGCTTGGACTTCAGGTATCTGTGAACCCTTCTGAAGAGGAATCGTTCGATTGGTATAAAGTCAGTTTCGCTTGGGCTGTTACGTATAAGGACAAGGCATATGTTGCAAAGGTTATATCCAAATCATCAGGCGGCATTGGACCCAGCTGTGGAGGAGCAGGCATCGGCAATTGTGCGTCAGGTGGAATTCAGGGTGCTGATAGTGGCCTTGCCATTGCTAGTATGATTATATAGTCATTTATGACACAACCATGTTCCTGGATAAATATTTACAGTGCTTAGCAGTAAGTGACACCAATGAATAGACTTAGTCTGAAAGCATTGTATGTCTCGTAGTACAAAATTTAGTGATAAAATGTTCTGATTTCAATAAATACATGCTTAATTCGATATGAATCTCTCTTTTTATAATTCACCCCCTTTTTTTTTCATTAGTATGCCATTCTGCAATACCAACCCACCTGAAGAAACCAAGAAAGACGAGTATCCCACTCTGGACACAGTTGTTAATGTCTCCAATTGCTTTTATTATTTGTCACTGCTGGAGCGCTTTGTTCAAACAACCAGAAACATGCCTGAAGATATCTTGAAAAAGTATCTAGTGCGTGCTGAATATCGATACTTTAAATGGGCCTATACTCAAAAAATCTCGAGCACGTCAAGGTATGCGATTCCACCTTTAGGTAAGCTATCTATAATTGAATTGAACTGAATTGAATATAACATACTAACGCTACATCCAGATATCGCATTCTTTTGGCAAGCTCATATGCTTAGTCCTTTGCGATTTTACGAGGATCAGCACCGTTGCCCTCAATTCACAGCATTGAAGAATATGAAAATCCCACTAAAGGAAATTGTAAGTGTATCACAATCCTGTTTAGTCAAAATGTCTCTAAAAGGGTATAATTCATTCATTTGGTATAGCATGAGACATCTCGAAAGGTTCCAAACAATGTTTTAATTCTCTGGAAGGAGGCTATGGGCGACGAGCCATACCATCTCTTGAAGAATCATGTGTCTGGCCCCAAGAGTTATACAAGCTACGCAGAAATCAATTGCATTGTTTGCTTTATCAAGATGGAAGTTGACTGGTACGTGTCAGTGTGTCGCTGCGGTATCTAATGCTAAGTATACGGCATTTCTTTCAGGGATAATTACACTGAGTGGCGAACGGATCCAACCATTGCTTTGCAGTGCCACAAGTGCAATGCCATGTTTACTACCAAACATGTAGGAAAAGCCAACATGATTGCTGATTATGCCAAAAAGAATGCAGTAGCGCAAGTATCTTTTTATGATCCCCAGTATAGATAGCTAACTTTTTTATAGTGGCCTCATGCTTGCACCTGATGAATCTATCAAGTTGAGTTACAAGGACGTTGGGTCCTTGGGCTCTGTCAAGGATCTCAAATCATTGCCCTTCAACAGAGGTACCCAACCTCTTAACAATCTTATACTCAAGAACCAAGCAACCAAATTGAAGAACTCGCCAGATAATTCAGCAAGAAGAGAAAGTATGTATCAGAATGATGCAAAGGCTACTAATTGCTCTAATATGGATTACTAGGAATCATTGAAGCTATTGAAAGCACGTATTTGTGCAATCCTTATAGAGGAAGCTCTATTGATTTGATACAAGCAGTGGCAAGACAGTACAATTTTGCATTCAAGGCTACTCAAACCATCAATTGGGATGCTCCTCAGGGAATCATTAAAGGCATTCGGCAATACACTAACTTCCTTCAGTTGCTAAAGACGAACCCCACGCTGACTGCAATACCAACATTTGAGATAGGTAAGTATGGGCATTCTTGCAATTTGCCATGTCGCTAATATATTAGCAGATCTTGCATGGCATACACACATGCTATTTCCAAGCAGCTATCGCAAATTTACAGTCAAGTTTGTGGGCAAATTTCTCAACCATGATGATACAATTTCTGAAAGCAAATTAGATCAATACATCAAAGACACCGATAGTGCCTGGAGGTTCAGACTCAAAAACAAAGAGCAAGGCACCAAGTCAACAGCCAAAGACGCATCTGAACCAGTCCCTATGCCCAAGAGAACAAATAGCATCACAGTTAAACTCAAGACCTTGTTCAAGAAGAATGAATCTACAAATGAACAGTCTTTGCTATCTGATGAAAAGGCATTCAAGGGTCGCTATATTGCTGGGACATACCAGTCATCTCCAGCTTACAAACCTATCAATGATGACGCTCAAAGCATCACAGAAGACATTGATGTATATGATGTGGAAAATACCAGTTTTCATGATAAACGTATGATGCGATAGTATTTATGGCTGCTTTGAGACTAATTGACAATTGATTTCAACAGGTGACATCAAAGAGTTTATCAACTTTAAGAATTCAGATGCTGTTATGGAAGACAAGTTTCGAAATGTCCAAAGATCCTTCTTTGGTTTTATAGGGTAGTGTATCTTGATGCCTCTTGAAGTGCAATGTGATATACTAATTCGTGCACGTCTATCAATAGAACAAGCACATGTGGAAGTGAGTGTCCATCATTGAAACTATGTGTCGATTTGATGGCTAACAAACTCATTCTCTAGCTTCTGACTATCTTAACAAATGGGAAAGGTAAATTTGGCATAAATAGACATGATAATGTCATTTAACAATTCTAATATTATACTTTGATGCAGCCCTGATATGTGTAAGTGTATCATCATTTAGAAGAGCCACTGCATAGCTATACTAAACACTGTTTCTATGACACAGCTGAAAAGGAGAGAGAAGCATTGCGCTCAAACTACAAAGCGGATGGGTACTCTCAAGGTAATACATGTAATAATAGTATCGCAAAGCACACTCTCTAATTCTTCTGCTTTGTAGTATTTGTATCAAGTAAGCCAATGCATCACAAATTTGTACTTCGCAACACTAACATTGTACAGATGGCGTCGTTCCTACCATCTCACAAAAGAAAATGGCAAAGCTTTCATTTGAGCAACGAGTGCAACTATCAAAATATCAGACAATGTCAGCCGAAGAAAAGTCCAAGAGACGGGATAATCCAACCACAACAGATTCATTTGATTGGAATAAAGTGAGTATTATTTGGGCTGCTACCTATTCAGGTTCAGGATACATGATAGGCAGCATGACTTCTTGTGGTGGCGGTGTTGGCTCAAGCTGTGGAGCATTTTCAAGTTGTGGAGGTGGTGCATTTTCTAGTTGCGGAGGTGGCGCATCATCTAGCTGTGGTGGCGGATCATCCAGTTGTGGAGGTGGTGGATCCTCAAGCTGTGGAGGATCGTAGTGTTTTCAACAGTTGGTTTTGTTAAGCCAAATCTTATCTATGCATAGTAGATATCTCTTCACCAATTTGTCAATAAATAAAGCGTTCCACTACATATTGCCATCATACATTTATGTATTATTTTGGGCTAGTCCATTCAACATCTCACATACAGAGGTTATGTTTCGGTATGAACCTACCAACAACAAAGAGGTCAAAAAGAATAATACGACACCAAAGACAAGAATATGGCAATGAGCATCATTGTCACATAATAAGAAATTTATGGTCCCTAGACACTTTTACAACCCTACTAATATGAAAACTGAGTTGCCAGAGATTTGTCGGGCATGGTTCATCTATGACTAGAGATTTTATCACTAATATTTATACTGGAAAACTATGAAAAAAAAAGTAGGCAACCAAACCATATCCTTTCAAAAATTTAAAGAATGGAGTACCTCACAAGGTGAATAAACCCTTCAGCGAAGCCAGCATTGGGGAGGGGGTTTGGAGGAAATGCTAAGCCCATCCATCAAGAACATAACACATCCAATTTAATATTTGGTAACATTGACCTATGAAGCGATTTTGCCGTAGCAAAGGAAAGGTGAAAACCCACGGCAACTAAGCATATAAACCAGCATTTGGTAATATTAATCTTAATGAGGGTCTTACTGTAGCGAAGCGAAGGTGCAAAACCATAGTATTCAAGCAGTAGATTCGGGTTTTCACTTCCATTATTAATAAGCTTATCAGCAACATAACGCATCAAAATTTGCATGAATCAGCTTTACCAAAATTAATATATCTTCTATTTGAATTAGAAATTGCACAGGCTGCAGAACTACCCTTCCAGTAAATTACAGCTACCAAAGATGTGATTTATGCCGCGTAAATACACTCTATATAAAACAATACATAACCAAATTGGACAGCTTTCAAACCTTCATATGATAACATATAGACCTTTATGAGCCACCAGAATGACGTCAAACAATTGTACTCGAGTAGTCGTAACTTCCTGACATCTTTGCTCAACTTTTTGGGCCAAAAAAAAACTTGGCCAAAAATCGACCAAAAAGCATGAGGGGTTCCTCATGATTTTCATCGAAAACCAAACGATCGCATTTTTCACCTTGAAAATGAAGACTTTTACTATGGTATATATTGGATCAAAATGTTTCTCTCGATCCAAAGCAACCTCTGAAACCACTTTTATGAGGTTTCATATGCAAAATCTGGCTATTTTCGCTAAAAACCTCATTTCATATTTTATCAAATTGCTCAGCAATTTCAGTCAAAACACTTATTACAGTTAGCACCATTGGAAGCGCCTTGAAAAGTACTTCAAGGATGTATTAGGAGGCGTAGGGTAATCATCACAGTTTATATAGTCGAATATCACAAAATAAATTAAAGAAGTCGAAAATAGACAATCTCTCTCCAATCTTGGACAGAAAAATTATACTGAGCTTGAATCAATTTTGGCGGCGGCTTGCCGCTGGCTGACCTAAATGCCTTTCTGTTCATGACAATGATGATTGCCAAGCTGATTAAATGGGGATCATGGACTTGAAAGGACAATTGCTTAGCGTAAATACTTTTTTGGGAGGAACTTTGCCTCATGAAGGTGTCTTTTTCAATGACAATGTCTCAAAAAAGTCGCTGTAGATCTTGCACAAGTTCTGTATTTGTGCATGGCCAGCTTTATGTCGCCATCTTAAGAGCATCAGCAGCAGCGAATGGTATGACATTCCTATTATCAGAAAACGAAGATTGATTGTGGTGAATAAATACTGCATAAAACTTGGATTTTCCTTCGCATCGTCTCAATAATAGGCTTCGTTTGATATCAGTGTATAAGCAAAAAGGGCGCTGGGGGGGGGAGATATTCCTCTCCTCCTCCTGGCTCTGACATAACTATTTTTTTTTTACTAACAATTAACATCACTGAAACACAATTGCTCAAAAGAGTATGGTGTTGTATCGACTCCTGCTTTGATTTCTCGCCTATCACCTGCATCAGGTAATGCAACATATTGAATAAAACATTTAGGCTTTTACTAATAGAATTTTAGTGGCACTTCATCAGCCGATGCAATCAATGCTGTTGAATCTGTAGAAGCTACGAGAGCTAACTCAGTGGTAGTCGGATCATGATTTACATTGTTACTCACTGTCTATGTTGGGACGCAAGGTTCAACAAGAAGTGAACTATATGGTTTGCTATGAAAGTCCGTGATTGCGAAAGACGATGATAGATTGTGAGTCGTATCATCGTAGCTGAACTGACGATTGGATCCTTCATAATGATCGATATTGGATAAACATGATCCGATGTATTGACTCAGTTGAAACAATAATATAGATGGATTTATTTAGCGATAATAATTTAGTATAAATAAGATGTGCTCGAATCAATTAATAAATCATTAAGTTTTCGTATCTGGTTACTTTTTAAAGTCTTCCTTTTGAAATCTATCTTAATTTGTTAATATTGTATCTGTGAATACAACAAATGCAACTCGCTCTGACCTTTCATCTCGTCAGTCATCTGGCAGAAAATTGGATTACTTGTTTTTAGATTCATATAATGAGGTAGGATGTGGAGAAGCTAGTTTGGTAAGTGATGCAAACACCACAAAAGAATTGAACGATGCCATGTTCAAAATGCCAAAAGTAATGAGGGACATGCTAATCAAACTCGTGTCAGTATCGCCTGCTCTCAAGAGCAATTTGATCATAACTGGATTATACATAGATGGTCAGCTCGTTTAATCAACATTATGATTACATTTGCTAAATTTTAATTAGAATACAAAATTGAAACTACTCATGTTGGATTGTCCTACCGAATATGTCACTAGATACGACGCTATGGATAATGTCTTTTTTTCCAACCATTGAACCTCAATTACATCGCCAGTTATCAGCAATTCTGGAGATCATTGTCGGTGCAGAACTCATGATGCAAAACGCCGCCTCCAGATTAGCTGTTGATAAGACAAAGATCTCTGTTGGCAAAAGCAAGATCAATACAGTTGGAAACATGATACTCTGTTTCAATGCAGCTCCAATCTACAGAAAACGTAGGCGACATTAATAATTCGTTCTCTTATTCCTGGGTACATATACTTTCATCTGTTTGTAATCAATCCTACCAATCCCTAATGCAAAGCATTTATATTAGCAATAAACCATAGTTTCATAAATAGCGAAACGATAAATCTCTCAATAAACAACATTATATCCTGCCATGATCCAGACAATGTTGCATCCAAAACCATTAAAAGACATCAAGACATTATCATAAAACCATACCACCCACCAATCCCATTTAATCATCAAATTGCGAACATACCATTGCCATTATCATAAAGCTACGATCAAGTTATATTAAAAATCCCAAACATGCCATTACCATTATCATAAGCCATTATCAAGTTATTTTTATCAAAACGCTCTTCGTTTTCACAATATTCTCAATGGAATAAATCTTGATGTACATCCCCATTGCACAACCAACAGCCACATCAAGGACATCACACAATTTGCTGTACTGAGATGCACTCCCAATCTTCAATCCATCTTGCAGTTCTTCATTCAACTTTTTATGATCTACACTGGCAGCCGCTTACCTTCTGCAATCCGAATGCAATCTTGAACTTGTAAAGAAAATGCTGACAACATTTTTTTGCCGAGAAAGCAAATGAAACGAGAATACAGTCTATCAATTATATTGAACAAACGCTATTTTTCTTCGATCATTTCTGCTGCAGTAAGATCCTTTTCTGTTTGTGTTGCTCTGGTACAGTAATTTACACTCATCACTCGATTTTTCTCTATCTGCTCGACATTCTCAACAGATTGGTCAAAGAATCTAGCCTCCTTCATTATTTTAGAGGATCAGTTGTTGCTCGACTCAAACACATTGACAAGGGGCTGGTTACTGCTAGGATTGACGCCCACAAAGAGAATGGCACAATTACCTTCCATGATTGTTTGATACAAACATGATTTATAAAAGAAAAAGGGAAAACTGGTTTGGGTTAGGTACGTCTCGCCTTTATCCATCACTAGCTACGATATTTAGTTGGAAAATCCTGCCCAATTTTTTTTTTTTTTTTTTTTTTTCAATTTTTAATCGGAAGTAATAGTTAGTATGGGGTATCAAGATTGGCCAGATTTTGTCTTTTTTCGACTCGATTGAACTTTTTTGCAATATTCGACTAAGTAAAATATGATGATCATGCTCGGCTTCTTTAGGCTTTCCTGGAGTGCTTTTCAAGGCGCATCCAATGGTATCAAGTAATATAGATGTTTTGAATAAACTTATCAAGCAATTTATAAAAATATGAAAAGTGGTTTCTGGCCAAAAAGTCGAGATTTTACATATCAATGTCCCACAAAGATGGTTTCAGAGACTACGTTGGATCGATAGAAACATTTTGATTCAAGATATACCATAGTAAAAGTCTTCAATATCAACGTGAAAAATGCGATTGTTTGATTTTCAATGAAATCCATGAGGGATACCTCATGCTTTTTGGTCGAATTTTGGCCATGTTTTTTGGGTTCCCAAAAAGTTGAGCAACGGTGTCAGAAAGTAACTGCCAGACGAGAGAAATTGTTTGGTGTTATTTTGATGATCCAAAACGGCCTTTAACGCGAGAAAACACAGCTCAAACGCACCGAGATTTACTGTATTAGGCACACTCTTGACTACAAAGAGGTAATACCAGTATGCTGCTTGCCCTTATATGAAGTAGCTACGTGTACATGGATGTAAAGCATTACATAAGAATCAGATTCACAGATAATGCGAAGGGGTTTCGTGTGTGAGTGGAGGGTTAAACTGAAAGTAACAATATTTTTGATGAGATACGCAAGGGCAATCGGTAGCGCGAGCTGCCGCTGCGCAGGTTGGTTCTCACCGAAGCGAAGCGAAGGTAGAGAGCTATCCGAAGCGTAGACACACTGGTTCAAATCAGAGAAATCATCGACCAACATTGCTCGTTCCAACAAAATTGCACGAATCAACATTAAAAAGAATATGTAGCCCATCTTGATCTAGCAGAAAAACCATACATCACGTATTTAAAAAGAGCACAGGATAAGCTTGATTTAAAAAACCAGCATTAGATCACTGTTGTACAGGACCTTGTCGTCAAACGTCAAAGGTAAATGCTATGCTGAATTGATTAACAATATTCCATGAATTCCTCATTCTTTATTATTTCATCCTTTCTTCTTCTTCATTACCATGATAAAGATCCAACGAAAAAAAAACATGAAAAATGAGCATTCTTCCACGCTAAATACTGGATGCTTTAAGGGTGGATGTTCGTACTGGCAAGACATTATATTTCTTATTCTAAATGCAAGTGTTTTCTTTATTAAATATACAGCGTGAGATGGTTTCTCTACTCCAACATATCATCGTCACCATCTAAATCCACCTTTTGTCTCTTATTCACACGACCACCAATCTGTTCTTCCTTTGAATAATGCTTTCCAGTCTTTTCTCTGAGCGAATCCACATTATCTTCTTCTTGAGCCCATTCAAGGACAAGATGACGACCGTACAAGTGAATATTACCCATATTGTCATATACATTTTTAGCTTCTTGCTTAGTGAGAAAGTCCAAGAAGGCAAAACCACGATGGCCACCATTGAACTTTTTGGGCATACGAAGTGATTTGAGTTGGCCATAAGCACTATGTCATACATGAGTATCATTTCATTACATACACCCCTACAACAACTTACCCAAATAATTCGCGCAAATCTTTATCAGTAGCTTCAAATGGCACGTTACGAACGACCAGTTTGGTGGTTTCAGGTGTCTTGCTGCTCTTCTTTGAGCTTGTATCTGCCTTACGATGAGAGAGCTTTAACTCTAGTGTATGTCCGTCCAGGTTGAAGCCTTGCATAGCCTTCAATGCCTTTTCAGCATTGGCTTTGTTGTCAAATTCAATGAAGCCAAAACCCATACTGAGGGTCTTTCCTGGATTCTTGGCATCTGGCTTCACATTAATACGAGACGATCTGTAGCCAGCGATACCCTTGAATGAGTTACGAAGTGCTTCCGCTGTAGTAGAAAAGTTGAGGTTTTTGACAAACAGGGTGGTGATGTCGTCGCTGTTGACAGTATCATCAGAGGCTTGCAATAGATCAGCAGCACTAGAAGGTTTAGCTTCAACAGCTTCCTGTTTCTTGGCAGCTGCATTGGGGTTACGTACAAACTTGTCCTTGAACAAGTTACTAGGAGCCTTTTCAAGATAGATCAAGGAATCCTTGTAGCGACGGTAAGCCAAAGACTTGAAGGCATTACGGGCTTCGCTAGGTTCAAGAAACTCGACCACGGCAATTGTCTTTGCAGGAGGAACAAGTACACGACCCAATTCACCATATTTACCAAACAATTCACGCATGTCATCTTCGCTGGTGCCATAAGGAATGTTCTTGACCAAGATGATAGTTTCGCTCCTCTCCTTCTTTCCAAAATTGTCGAGCACGATGCCATGCTTTTCAAAAAATTCTTTGGTTTCATTGACGATTTGTGTTTCTGCTAAAGCCAATCTCACAGCCATGTTATCAGCATCAGCGTTTAATACTTCAGATTTGTCGACACCGAGACGATCAGCAATGGATTCTGCAATAGCATCAGCCTATATCAAACTTGAATGAGCTAATTTGATTGTTCATTATCTATCAAGCACTTACACTCATGTACAGCGAGTTCCAATTGAAATCATTGCCGGCAAGATTTCTACGCTTCTTCTCTTTATCCTTCTTGACAGCACTCAATTTAGTACCATTCACACCCAAAATATCCTCTTCCTTGGCGGGAGGCTTCTCTTCAGCAGGGATAATGTGTAGTAGGCGGCCTTGGAAAGTCTTCATGTCCAATGCTTCGTAGGCTTTGAGCGCATGTTCAGGCAACAAGTAGAGAATGTAGGCATAGCCCTTGGATTTCTTGGTGTCTCTAGCAATGGGCATATGCACTTCAGACAAGGTACCGTATTTCTCGAAAAGATCTCTCAAATCTTGCTCTGTGCATGCGTATGATAAGTTACGAACAAACAAGCGGCCAGTGTCCTCAATCAATTCCTTGGGGTTGTCGCTCTTGGTGTGCACAGGAGCCTCCTCTGTCTCAGTTGCTGCTGCTGGTGGTTCAGAAGCTTTAGTAGTAGTTGTAGTCTTTTTGGATTTCTTTTTCTTGGCATCCACTTCCATACTGTCCTCTTCTTCTTCCTTCTCCTCCATATCTACATCCTCTTTATCGGTCTTCTTGGTATCATTTTTGGGTGGAAGATCATCGTAGAGTTCATCATCTGAGCCTTGATAATCGACCTTTGTTGAAATATCCTCCTTGGCTTTTTCTTCTTGAGCAGCGGCAGAATCGTCGTTGGCCCAAGTCTTGCTCTTGGATCGAGATGACATGACATCCAAATATTCTTTCAGCTTGGGATCGCTCTTTTCAGCATTCAATTTGTTGATAAACTCTTCTCTTTCTTTGCGCTGCTTGTCATGATATGCGTCGGTCTCCTCTACTGCGAACTCTGCCTTCTTTTTCGATGCTCCAGTCATGCGGTCGTGGGCAGAGGAACCTTCTGAATATTTACTCCAAGCTCTAGGCAAGTTTTCTGATCCATAAGCGATAGCCTTCTCCACGTGAATTCTGGATGTGTTGATGTAGGTGTTGTCAAAGTATTTCATGGCTGCTTCTGCTGCTGCTTCGGTCTTGTAACCGATGAATCCAAACTTACGGGACACACCCCATCTAATAGAATAGCTTAGTCTCTAGGGCGGCTTGCTAATCATAGTGATCGCTTACTGTGTCTTCATCAATTTGGCATCTGTCACCTCTCCCTTCTTGGCAAAATGCTCTTTGAACTTTTCCTCGGACAGCTCTTTGGGCAAATTCTTGACAATTAAACGAGACCTAATATCAAGATGAGTACATGAAATTATAGAGTACACAATGGCTGTTGGATAGTTACATGATGAGTGTTGTATAAAGAGAAAAAAAGTCTGATTTATTGTCATTTCCATGAGCATTTAGCTTTTTTTTCGGTTGCGATGGTCACAGAAAAGGTCACAGATATATGTAGTAATGCAATGGATCAAAAGCATTGAAGCAAACGACTTGCAGTTGGTAAAAAGAACAGATCAATAGTACATGATATGAAGAAACAGAACATGTTGATTGCCTTTTACCTACTGTTCTGACTTGATATATGGATCAAATTTATGTGCAGTGTATGCCCGAATCTTCAGCAGAGCTTTCAATCATGCTTTATTCAGTTGTCCATGTCCTTGTGGCTTGTTAATCAGAGGCATTTACCCATTTGAACAAAAAGGCTGGTATTCAAATCAAGTTCACCCCCTCTTTTTCTCTTTGTAACCCTGTTATTATTTCGAAATGTCAACTATTGCCAGCAAGATCTTACCTAGAACAAATAACGGCACTGGCGCATTTGTGCTTCAATGTCGCAAGATGGTATTTAACTACTGCGAGAAATGGGGAAGCAACAAGGGCATGGTGTGAGTAGTCATGTATTAGTAACAGATAGAGGCATACCCTGGCTCACACAGTTTGACATGCTTGTGTCTAGTGAATATATCAAGAAAGATCTCGCCGAATTCGCAAAGCAACACCCTCAAATAGAAATTGTCGTTCAACCTAGACCAGCTCATCATCCCATTGTCCGTGGATACTACTGTAAATAGATGTCAAATGCAGCATGTGTGTGTACTGGAAGCTAATCAATCCAAATAGTAAACGGCCGTGATAAAGTCATTTGTACCCGCAATTTAACACCTGGAGAAATCAACACTAAAGTAGAACTCTTGAGAGACTCAAGTGGCGAAAAGATCAAAAACTTGACCAAGAAGCCTGTCATCTCTACAACCGAAAGTGTTCGTGGCATCTGGTCACCATTCAATTCTAACCCTCACACCATTTAAATAAACCATTGTACAATATATATTCGATTTAGACACGGAACTTAGCAGACGTTGTTGTTTGTGATAGTATATGGATTGTGATACGGGAAAACATGTTGGAGAATGTGCGGTGGGAGGGGGGTATCGATTTTATTTTGTTTGATGGCCTTTAAGCACGACACAGGCTAAATCATGTACACCATCCGATAGTACCCAAGGTAGACCCATATATCCGTCTTCGTCAGTCAAGTGGACATTCAATGGTTCCTGAATAGGTGGGGTGCCTCCAATATCTAGCACATGCATGGTTTCAAAGTAGTGTGCCATTACAGCCTCACCCAAGTTTTCACAGTTTGGACCCTGATGGAATCTGAATTGGTACTCTCGGTCTTGTAGTAAACCCTTTTGAAATGCACCTGTAGCAACCACTTGCCCAGTGTTGTCTTGATAAAAGCTGAATTCACCCACAATAAAAGGCCCTGTGAAGGAAGCGACAGCGACAGCAGGAAAGAGCTTGTCTTGGTATACATCGTAAGTATCAAAAGCATCCGCCATATTGGGAGATGTCTCTTTTCTTTCTGCTTCTTGTCGTATAAACTGCTCTTGGTCCTCTTCTTCTGGGTCGTAATAGTCCTGAGCCAGTAATGCAGGAACAAGTAGCAAGACGACAAACAAATGGGATATAAAAACTTCGTTGTTGGATAGCACAAGACGAAGGGGAGAGGAAAGAGCAATGATGGTGCATTTATTTATATAAAAGAGACGTTCCTACACGATGAAAATCTCGATTGAATCCAAATTCTTCGTTCTTATTTATGCTGTTCCATTAGTATTGATGAACTTCAACAGGGATTGATCAAATTGATCTGAACGAATTGGCATTTCTGGGGTATGGAAGGGGTTCTTCATGACAAAATCACTATAAGTGTCGTAAATCTTCTTCATGTAAGCATCCACATTGTTTTGCTGAGGTGCCGTGATGAGCAGGAATTTGGTGCCTATGTGTTTTATTTTAGCTTGTTGTCATGTAGCATAAATTCTGCTGTTTACCAGTGAGTGTTTGGTTGCAATACAGCTTGAAATTCTCGGCTTCCAGCATCTCAATACCAGAGGAATTGTGCAGAGGCGAAATTTTGGATGTAATAGCATGGACACTGTGAGCTAACGGATGAGTATTTCTACAGCCTAATGTGCATGCTATCTGTATTTTTACCCATGAAATGTACCAGCCAAGACGAGATACTCATTGCTGGATAGTTTTTCGAGCTGATTTGTGAAATCTTTCTGATAAACAAGACCACCAGCCTTGTTGATAATATACAGAGAATAAATCATGTTGTGTAGAAAGGACAAAGCCTTTGAAATCCTCCTCTTTGCAATTGTCTATATTGAAACACCACCACCATCACCCAAACATCAAATGTCACGAAACGCCCAGATTTATTACTGTATTTGGTCAGCGCATTTTACAGTAAAACATTTTATCTTTCTTTTCACTCAAATATACCGCCATTATGTCTATACCGTTTGATTTTTTTGCTTCCAAAAAGACGCAAAAGCAAGAATACACACAATTGGATCTGCTTGACAACTTCATTCCCACCGCAGAACCAGCTGTGCACAAGAAGAAGGTCCATGCTCCGGGAGATGGCCAAGTCATTACTATTGAAGGCATCCGCATCGATTTTCCTCTCAAGCCCTGTAAGCATTCTGCTGAATCTGTATCAGCTGCTAGTGCTAACCATCACTCACAGATGCTGCTCAGATTCAAATGATGACAAGAGTTTGTACCTTGTACTAGTCATACGCAGACTCAATGCCTAACCTGATGTTCATTTTGTAGATTATACATGCTCTCAATACGGAGGAAAATGCATTACTAGAGAGTCCAACAGGTATTCCATCACATAAGTATCAAACCGACTTGTCAATTGAGCCTTTTACTATTAGGTTCCGGCAAATCACTTGCATTGTTATGTGCTGCGCTAGGTAATTAATCAGCGAAAAGAGAATTTACAGTATGTTTGACAGCGGATCAATTTTTAAGCATGGAGAGAGAATCAAGAAAAGCTAAGAGCAGCAGAAATGTTAAAAGTACAACAACAAGTACCCGAAAAACGGCAAATTACTGATGAGCCTGAAACAAGCCAAGGGCCTAGTAAAAAAGTGAGAACACGCTTGGCATCACCGCCGTCATTTTGCAGTGATGAGGATTTTCAGCAACCTTTGGTAAAGAGATTCGTAGCAGAAGTAGTCGACCCAGACGAGGAAAAATCACAACCATCAACTCCAGACTTAGCTAGCATGGACGAAGCCAAGAGGATGAAATACGAAACTTACAAAGCAGTGCCTAGAATCTTTGTTGGTAGCAGAACGTAAGATGTGGATGGGATTACTGGTAAACAATGGGATTGACACTTGGGCTAGACACAAGCAGATTACTCAGCTTGTTGCTGAATTGAAAAGCAATACAAGATATAGCCCTCGTAAGTTGTGATAGATCAAACAGTCTTGATACTAAAAGTTATGCATTATTCAGGCACCACTATTCTGGGCAGTCGAGATCATCTATGCAGTAAGTTTTGCTTGGGTATCGCAACAAGGTTAGAGATATACTAATTTGAGTGCGCGGTGCTAGTTCATCCAAAGGTGTCAAAATCCAACAACAAGACAGACGATTGGTATTAATGATACATGTAGCTTCGAGTAAGTGTTTATTGACATTTCATCCGTAATAGTACAGCACTGCTAGATGAAAACAGATGCGGCTATTCGCATAAAACCCAAAAGCTTCTCAACCATTCATCACTTAAAGCAGAGAATCGCATCTGGGATATTGAAGACATGGTTCAGTTGGGTAAAAAAGTGCGAGGATGTCCATACTATGCTGCAAGAAAGTTATACGAAGGCGCGGAGGTCATATTTTGTCCCTACAACTACATCATTGATCCAGTCATTCGCAAAATTCTAGACATTAATCTCAAAAACAGCATTGTGATTCTCGACGAAGCGCATAACATTGAAGATGCATCCCGAGGTGCTGGATCACTCAATATAGACGAAAATATGTTGGAGGTCTTGCTGAAAGAACTGAAACTCACGACTCGATTTGGAGGCGAAAAGGAAGCGCACAGTCAAATGGACACTATCATAAGCGGCCTGTATGAGGCAATGAAATCAGAAGACATCAACTATGTAGTGAAGGAGTATGAAAGACAATCATGCCAGTAAGTTTCAGCGTAATGGAATGCACGATACACTTAGTAATGTGTGATGTCTATTAGCTTTACAGGGCTGGAACTTTTGCATACACTGGATGAAATGAACATAAACAGCAATACATTTGCAACTGACATATTGCCGGCATACAGAAAGATAGCGTCTCATGCCGAGGCAGTACGAAAAGCAAAGGAAAGCAAAGCGACTCAATATGATGACTATGAAATGGAAGAGATCGATGGCTTATCGTCGCAAGTTGTTCATGCGCAAGGCACTCGTGCTGTCAGTAATGGTAGTTTGACTGTATTGCAAGGCTTGGTTACAGTCCTTGGATTTATATTTGAGCCTGATCAGTCAAATGCCAAAGACTATCAACTGGTGTTTATGAAAGCAATGAAGAGAGCAGCGGCAAATTCAAATAAGCGGCGCAAACGATTTCAGGATCCAGCCAAACAGTCTTTATGGGTGCATAAAATTGCCTTTTGGTGTTTAAATCCTGGCATCATTTTTGGTGATATGTGTAAAGAAACTCGGTCTGTCATTTTGACCAGTGGTACATTATCACCTGTAAGTAATAATGGAGTATATACATAGTAAAGTAGCTCATCTTGTCTATAGCTAAACACGTTTGCATCCGAACTCGGTGTCCCATTGTAAGTACTTGACATTGGATATATTTGCAGTATCGAAATTAACAGGTACTTTAGCGCCGGAAGATTAGAAGCGAACCATGTTATCAAGCCATCTCAAATTTGGGTCAGTTCGATTCCTCATGGGTGAGTTATTTCTCCAAAGTTGCTATGAACTACCAGTGCTCATTGTGTGATGGTAGGCCAAATCGTATTCCACTGAAATGTGTGTATTCCAATATGGAGTCTTTAGCCTTCCAAGATGAAGTCGGTGAAAGTAAGTTGCTTTCATGGTGAAATGTCAAACGCTGCTAATCATTTTACAGCTCTTTGTGACATTATCGAGCGAGTGCCTTATGGTGTACTTGTCTTTATGCCGTCTTACAAAGCTTTGGATTTGTTTATGGACAGATGGAATGTATGTACGCTAGCACTATGTGTGGCAGCAAAATACTGATTTTTTCATAGAATACGGGCGTCATGGATCGTTTGAAAGCCAAGAAACTTGTTCTGTCGGGTACGAGATGAATTTTCAGTCATTGATTTTGTTCTAACCCAAAGATACAGAACCTAAAGGCAGTGACAAGAAGGAATTTGAAGCGGTATTGAACACATTTTATGAACAGATCGATGCGGTAGAAGCAAATATTGACGAGGAAAACCGAGATGGTGCTCTCTTCTTTGCTGTATTCAGAGGAAAAGTGAGTGAAGGTATCGACTTTAGCGACAATTACTGCCGTGCTGTAGTGACATTGGGTATTCCTTTCCCTGGATTGTAAGTAGAATTGGCTGAACAGAGTGAAAAGGCATTGATCGGTATATATAGCAAAGACCTAGAGGTCAATTTGAAGAGAGACTACAACAACAGAATGAAATCGCAATCAAGTGGTGAAAATTTGCTGTCTGGGACGGAATGGTACGAGGCTCAAGCCTATCGAGGTAATTGTGCCGTGGTTCTTGGCTTAACATATAGAGCTAAATGGTTTATGCAGCAATCAATCAGGCATTAGGAAGATGTATCAGACATAAAAATGTAAGTCGTTGAACATGGCGGCTCAAGAATGTAGACTTATGATGTGGCTTGTAGGATTGGGGAGCTATCATACTGCTGGAAGAACGGTTCAACAAAAGAAGCATAGTGGACAACCTCTCTAAATGGGTCAAGGGTCAATACAAGCAGCCAGTTGGATACAGGGATTCGATTGCAAATCTGGGGCAATTCATCCATCGACAAGTAGAAGAAGATAGAAAGAAAGCAGAGGAAGAAAGAGAGAAAAGGCGGCTTGAGGATGAAAAGGCAATCAAGATCGAAAGTCAAAGCTTCACCGCAGACGCAAATCCATTCACGATTCACAGCTCACAGTCGTTCGAAGAGGAGATTGTCACCATTAAAGAGGAAGGCAAGGATGATTATTTAGTCACCAACGAGAAGCATGAAAAGGAGCAGTCAACTACCTCAACATTCAGTAAATACTTTAACCAACATCAAAAGACGACACCATCACAGAGCATTGAAAATACCCATGACCCATTAGACAGCTCAGTGCCCCTTTCTGGCCCAGCTTCTGTTACAAGCGAAAGCGAAACAATGCTCCATCTATACCCTGTAAAAGAAGAGGAATGCCATGTCCAAGTTAACGATGATTATCAGACCTACTCTCCCCAAGATGACGCTGTTGAAGCTGCTGAGCACGATTTCAAGCTTGACGACGATGATTTGATGCCACCACCTCAATTGCCTAGTGCAAAGTATGAGCCACAAGACATACTTCATGGTAACAATTTCAATGACACTCACTCTTCAGCAAAAGAGACAAGCTCTATTCATTTTGCATGCCCAAAATGTAACAGGCGGCTTTTACAAGGTAGTCATGAAGAAATTGAGTTGGTTGAAGTGCGTGATTTAGAGTGTATTAAGGATTATACTGGCAACCAATGCAAAGTGCAAGAAATTCGGAATCCTAGCCGTTGGGAGGCTGCATCACATCTATTAGGCGGTCCACTGGACATACGTTCCTTGCCATCACGTGGAAGTGTTTTATACGACAGAGTGGATGATGTGTGCTTTCGATTCATTTCATGCGCGTGTGATCCTTTGGCTGAATTGGGCATAGTAGTCTGTTTGGCTGCAAATCCTGCAAAAATGCATCATATCGGAAAAGTCTATCTCTGGGGATTCCAAAAAGATGACAAATTAGCACCGTTGAAGGTTGATTCATACAATTCTGACAATCTGGACGTCCAAATCCCAAACTCTCAATATTCTTCGGCAAATGATATATTCTACAATCTATGAAAAGTATTATTATATAAACGTTCAATACAATACCTGATGAATTCGTAATAATAAAGTCGGCGAAAATTATAATCAGCTGTCAACTGTATCTAAAACGAAAAGCAAAGAGCTTGTTGTTTATTACAGGGCATCTTACTAACTTCTTAGATATGATACTACTGTAGATCCCTGGCCAATGATTACTATGTTGAGATGGTAAAATAGCAGGCCACTACTAGGATCATATTGATTGTTGGTATAGCTACTAGTAGTTGAGAGACCAACTAAGTCGGTATGTTTAGTATATTGTAGGAGGATCTCGAGAGCTTGAAATTAGAGAGATCAAATTTATTGTGGCTGCTGAGGCATCTATATACACATAACTGACTGGAATTGTAAACATAAATGTGATGTAAGACGATCAGCAGCATTATCTATGTTGCTACATTATGAAAGTGGCTTGAAGAGAAAGTGAATATAATCCAGGATGCATGCTTGTATGCAATAGCAGCATGTTGGAAATCAATGATAAACGACAAATCAATAGGAAATCAACTAGTTGTAACCTTTCGGTGCCTCAACGTCTTAGCCAATCAGATTGCTTGAAAACTCCGCTAACCTAAAAAAAAATTTGCGAGGGTTTCTCCCTGTTTTGATGTGAGGCAAAATTTTAAGCGCCGCTATAATAGCAATATAGCCGCTGCTATCATCAAATTTCCCCCAGGTGCTAGAGCATGCCTTACTTACACCACCTAGCTTTTAGATTCTGGCGTTGAGACCCTCAATCATCACCAAAGTAAGTAGCGATAACCAAGTGGAGGCAGCCTATCCACCTCCTAGCCTCGGATAAAGTCTTGTTGAGCTTCAGGGATAGGCACATCCACACAACGTAAAAAGGTATGCTTCAAAAGAAACATAATAAAAAAAACAAATGAACAAAAGAAAAGAGCATGCTACAGTAGTACTACAGGGGTATGAAGGCAAAAAAGGAATACTCATACTCAATGAGTCAAAGAAAAGCATAACAAATACAACATCAGAGAATGTTTAAAACAGCTCGTTGTTATTGCAGCAAAAATGAATACATGAGCAACGTGCATGATAATAGTCTGTTGCAGAGGAACACAAACACACACAGTTACATGAGCAATAGTAGTATAAGTGTGCAATACAACATAATGACTAATGTTGTTTCATGTGAAGCCACAGAGGCAACACAAACAACAATCCACGGCTATATAACATAGTAGTATTACAACGGTAATGCAGATATATAGCAGTGCATCACGCTTGTTGTTCGTATATACGAAACAACAGTGTTGCAACAAGTACTCGTTGAGCTGATCATATCACAGCCAACAAAAGAAGAAAAAAGCGCAACAAAGAAAACATCATGATGCATTATCATGAGAAAGGAAGCAATAATACAAATGTTCAAAGAAGGTTTATATCAGTACGACCAAAAGAAAGAAGATACTTACCACTTACCACAGCCACAGATAGACCAGAGAATACACAACCACCAAATATAAATCAGAGAACGAGCATGCACCAAAGACAGTAGACCTGGAGAGACCAGATTAGCAGCAGCAGCAGCAGCAGCAACACCAGCGCCATAGAAAAACCAAAGAACGAACTACACTAGAGACCAGAGAATAGTACGCAATTACCGGAGACAGATCACAGAACAACGAGCATGCACCAAATACAGTAGACCAGGAAAGGCCATATTAGCAGCAGCAGCAGCACTAGCACCATAGAAAAACCAAAGAATGAACGACACCAGAGACCAGACAAAGACCAAAGAAGCAAACACCAGACATAATAAACCAAAGCAGACAGCAGAAATAGCAGAGAAGTAATGGCAACTGCATCCACGTCAAACAAGCAAAAAAAAATTATCAAAACCTAATAAACAAATTCAATTAATGTTAATTATACCGTACGTCTTCCAGTGCTCGTTATCGAATGGTACCTAATGTATTCCATTTCAAAGAAGCAGTATCCAGCTCTTCTAACAGTACAAGACAGTGTTATTAGAACCTAGGTTGTTATTATCAATCAAACGGTTTGCAAAACAGCTATGGTTTAATACTAAACGCGTTTTGCAAAAAAGGGAAAAAAAATGGGGATATGGAAGAATGAGGGGGAGCCCTATCCGACGTCACGGCCAGTAGGTTTGTTCTCAGTCTTCTGCCGTTGCAGCTGTGATTGCGGCGACTTAATTTGAATTTATGCAGTGGATATTTTCGTGTTCAAACTTGACTTAATTTCACATTTTTTAAACGTTTTTGCTAAACTTGACTATGAAAACTGTCGATATCACACTTAGCTTTCTAATATACTTTTAAAGGAATATAGAAGCCGCATCGAATGGTGTTGATTACATTTAGCTTTCAGACCCAAAAAAATGAGCAATCTCCAAAAATATGAACACAGGTTTTTTGTGAATACGTCAAAATTTAGCATATGAAAGTCTCATAAGAAGAGTTTTCAATGATGTATTGCATGTTTACAATCAATTTGATTGTATATGTATCATAAGAAAAGTCTTCATTTTTGGGGTGAAAAACGCGATCGTTTGATTTTCAAGAATTTTCCCTTGCTAATACTCATGAAAGTATGAGAATCTTCATGGATTTGCAATGACAAAAAAATTTCGAGATAAAGCATCAGTAAGTACAGTATATCAAAGGAGAGTGATTTGGTCCTATTCCAAGCGTCTGTAACACTTTGTAGCATGAGCTATTCGTGCTTCAAAATGACTAAATTTGGGCAGAATTTGACCTAAAAATAAAGCGTAGTAGATTCTGTTGCCAAAAAAGTAAATAAATTATAGCTTTGTTTGACGTCTCTGATGTTCTGCATTGTACGATACCCCACACCAAAGCGGTCGACGACGCATTCATCTGATTCTGAAAAGGCTCAGATTTCTCTTTTTGATATGCGCGAATACAGTAATTTCTGATTTATCAGAAATAAATTTAAAAAAAAGTGTATGGAATTAATCAGGTAAAGAATATCGTTTGTTACGTTGGAAATAAGAGGATTTATATACTATTCGAGCTGAGGGATTCGATGTGAGGAGGATATGGTATTAGATGGGTTGCTTTCGATGACAGAATAATAGATTGGATCTATTATCCTGAACATGCCATGATTCGCATCGTAACTGAATCCTGTTTCATGTCAAATCTTATGTGATGTATGCTTGAACTGATTGTTTTTACGCATTTGGAGACCTGGTTTATAAATGATACATCAATTTCATAACTTGAGCGTCAATGATATTGTGCAGATTTGAATCTGATTTGGGGAGCAGTAGTTTGTAATATATTTGGCACAACTAGATCAAATCTCATCATTTATAAAGATGTATTAGCTAACATATATTTTTCCTTCTTTCCCTCTTCCACATAAGTCAACATATTGGTATTTAAATAACCATCAATTACATCATTTGGATTTGATAATTGTGGAGTACATCCACTCTGATCTCCATTCCAACAGTTCATCCAGTTACCACATTAATTATAAACTGTATGTACACTGGATTAGATGTGCGATATCGATTTATACTATAAGAAGATATGGACTTCAGATACGCTAGTACTATAAGATTCATATTATATAAGATATAGGCTATAGATGGCACCACGGACATGGATGGCGCTATAGACTTATACTTGTATTCCGACATTGACTACGGATGTTTACCATATCTGGATAGGCACCAAGATTAATGCAATATGAGCTTGTTGCTTCAGATGTCCACTTTATAATACACACTATAAGACTCGTGATTATAAAAGTGATACCAGCTACAAATACATTATGTACTACAGAATTGTACTACTATAATGAAACCAAGTTATGTTATAGAATAATGATATTGGAGCAACTTCTAAGTGGGAACATTATACTAGAAGTGTCTACTTCATGAGATAATCAGCATTGGAGATGCTATTTTTAAGCGGGGAAATATATATACTTTAAATTGGAAAAGTTATTTTCCTTAAATAAAGCAAGCTACAGTTGTCTAGTCTTGACAACAAGATTCTTCATCATGTCAAGTATCTATTGATAACTTGAAACCAGCAGGTTAATATGGCCCTTTTCGTACGCTCCAATTTTTAAAACGCTTGGTCAAATGCACACTCGTGTGGTGTACACATGCGGAAGGTCAACAGAGATTCAATTTCCAATATTCTGAATGACAATCCTGTTATGTCAAAATGCAATGTAAAATTGAATCTGCCAAAGAATTACACTTTTATTGAGAATGCATCCCAAGGATGCATTTATATACTTTTCATTATGCTAGGGTTTACAGCATGATGATGAACTATAATACAAATAGGTTTACTATCTACCCAACAATTGATTTGTAAATCATGATTAGCATGATTTACCCAAAGGAACTAAGAATAGCCTAAAACCTTTAGTGTGAGACCTTGCTATGACATTTGATATAACAAATCCATGGAATTCCGAAATCTATCGACTTTAAAATTACGCGTTTCTTGATAGTAAATAACCCTTCAAGCCTATATAAAATTTGTAGAGAATTCAAAGGAAAATACAATGGTATCCATATCAAGTGTCTGGTGCATATGATTTAACTAATATTTTATACGATAGTTTTTGCAACTTTTTCACTATTTTCTAAAGATTAATCAGTATCTGTCATCAAAACATTTTGTTAAGCATTACTAAATATTATAGACCAAAAAATTTTCTATCAAATGAGCTATTGCTTGAAGCTCTAGCATGATTCTATCATGAAATATTGACAATCTTGTCCTGACCAAAAAATCGTCACCAGGTTTTTTCCTTGCTATCACAGGCAGATTTTGAAGAGAAATCGATGGTTTTGCATGACATCCTTTTTTGGCCGTATCTCGACAAATACTCACCGGATCCGCACGAAGCAAACACCATTCGATAGCTCTACATTGTATCCATTATAATAAGAGAGTTTGACGTACCAAATGTACGTGACCTTTATAAATTTGCTCAAAATCTTATATTTCATGAGCTACAGACAGAGGATATGCAAAACTATTGTCGTTTCTCTATAAAAACTATACCATCATCGTATAGAGAATTGAAAAAGAAACAGAAGCTATTAAGCTTAAAGCTCTCCATTTAGTAAAATCTAGCGGCATGGTCCTTTGAAAATCGGCCATTTCTGTTATCTGTTTTTATTACTCATTGACATCATTCTCAACAAGCCCGAATCTAACGCGCCATAATAGTCTAACAAAATATCCCCTACGACTTTTATTAGACTTACTGTCCACATTTATAAAGCAACCAAAAAAGTTTACTAGTAACGTCTGTCCAAAATTTGCAGATTCTAGGAATCACGAATATTTTATCATCAAGTATCCTATTTAAAATCCAATTACACTGTCGTTTTTTATGCAAGAAAAGACTGCTGTAGGAACATGCTACTTTCGAAGCTCTCAATACTTCAAAAATCGATTTTGGATGCATCCAAAAGTTGAAACTTCGATCACTCAAACGTAGTCTTTTCAGTAGTTGACATTTTTCTCTATCTGTCATAAGCCTGTACAGAATTGAAATGCGTAACAAATGGTACCACTTTTAAAAGTGATCCCACAGCTTGTACATACGCAAGCTTGTTTTAGATATTTTAAGGGTTTTTAAAGGAGAACATGTAATAATAAGTCTGCACCAACCTGTAATAATATCCATTTTCTAGGAATAAGAATTATCTATTGTTTCAGGCTTTACTCAAAGTTGTAGCATCAGTTCTCATGGATCTGCAGCACTCACTAGGTCATCAGTCCCTGCCAGATTTTCGTAGATCGTATTCACTGTCGAATGCAGAGTATTTCTTAAATAAATGACATACACATGGTACGTTTGGCGTATGAATATATAAATACAGTGCTGGTATTCCATAATCTTATATTCAAAACCGTGCTTGACACAAGTGCGTCATTTTTTATGACATCCCGTATAGAAATGATACACCACACTCTACCATATTTTGTTATTATATCTTTGCTGTGTAGGGAGTATTCAGCTGTACAGGTAAAAAGAAGCCCGAATTCGAGGTCTACGTAGAAGTGTTTAGCTTATAAAGATTTTAATTCATACAATCGCCATATAGTATGCCTTTTAGAAGTTGTCTTTTTTAGATCAGGCATAGACCTTACGTTTTCTATTCTGCACTGAAATGTTTGTAACGTGTTTTGCGTTCTGATCGCGAATTTCAGCTCGATTAGCTTTCATGTTCGAGTTATTGAAGTTGTGTGCTTTTGCTAAAGATTGTGGTAGGAAAACTTGATTCAATGAAGGCTTCAAAATTATAAAGAATTCATAGACAACGCTCTTTATTGCCACAGCCCTGCAATTAATAAGATCAATTGGTCCGATATTAAAGTAATTTTCGTTATTTGTATTTACGAAAAGAAATTACAAGACATGCAAGCTTAAACGACAGCATTTTCGATTCACACAACAGTACAATAAAGCAAAAGTAAGTGCTTAACACGAGATAAACGTAGGCTATCACTTGTATGATATCCACAATGAACAGGATGATCGTTGAAATTAGTGAAATCAAAAACAACAAGCTTGAAAAAACAATCTCATCTATCGTGCGGTTTCCAAATCAAGTAATAATGAGCATTAATTCAGAACAATTAAAGAGAATGCTATGTCTTGGAATACAAGGTTCATGCCACGCATCTAGATTCAGAATTTGGCATTCGGGAAAGGCCGTGGCGATGTCAAAAGGTGTTTATCCTATTGTATGGTATTTGAAGAAATGGACTGACATTTGCATGTATGCAGGCTTCTTGTTGGCAAAGGCCTAGAAAACCATTGGTCCCATATGTACGTTAATTAGATGTACCAGGGCATCTCTTCATCATGTAACATGGACACTATTTTTTTTTTTTTTTTTTTTTTTTTTTTATGGAGCAAGATGTCTCGAATTTGAGAGATCGCTGTCCTCACTCGTAAGATACCCTGTATATAAACTAATGACAACTGAATCCAAGAGCCTACACAGAGTTAGTCTAATCTTTTATTACCAATCTAAAAATGTCGAAAAATAGACTCTTTGCCTTTCTAATCATTCGACAGATAATGTAACGCAAGAAAGACAATCATCTGGCACATTATGCCTAATTTTGAACTGTTGTCTACGTAGTATTGCCTCGTTTCAATAGCACATCACTTTCATACACAGCCCCAGAATCGACGAAAACAAGCGGTTTACAGCGGTGATAGCTTTCTACCATTTATTTGAGGTTTGTCATGATAAACATTTGATGATATGTGGTGCCCAATTTAAATTTGTACAACACCTGCCTTTTAAACAAATGTTAACTCTCTGGGCGGCAATAGTTGATCCGTGCAAGATTACACAACAGTGGTGCCTTTTTTTGTTTTTTTTTTTTTGGAAGTGAGCCAGTTATTCTTCGATTCCGAGCATATCATTAAAACAATACAACATTAAACTTTAGGACACTTTTGTGATCCTTATTATATATAAATTTAAATTTTATACATGCTGCTTGTTTTGGACCTCCTTTTCTTTCTTTTTCTTTTTTTCTTATTTTACCAGCGCGTTCCATCTCGCCGTCCTGTTTAGTCTCTTTCTTTATAATCATCTTTTCCTCCTCCTATTTTGAGAAGGTCCTTTTTTTCACACAGTGTCTCGCTTTCTTTCTCCTCTGTAATACCATAAAAAACATATGAAAACGAGTGCCAAACTGATCGGTAACTTGGTTCACCGAGTATCAGTTCGAGTTAGTAGACATGGATCGAGAACAGCATGGTCGATATTCACAGCAGTTCTTATAGTTACCCTACAAAAGCGGCAGAAAGATCGAGGTCGTCGAGCAAGATCCCATTGTCAAACAAACAGGTAATTTGCAGCAATGAATCTTAGCATATTTCCTGATACCTAAACCTCGCATTTTGAATTACAGTTGCGGCCATCATTGAACTATCCAAATACAAACTATCCATTGTTGCCAACACATTGGGCTATGTATTGGAAAGTGTGTCCAAGGTAACAGCACAGACCTATGTATGCAATGACATTCTACTGATCGAAAAAGACAAACAATAGACCCATCAAATTTACGAGCAAAATGTCCCAGTTGAAATCATGCAATCCAAGCTGTTTGTTCTGCGACTCTTATCTGCATGTATGCAGCATCATTGGCAGTACTGTCGCGATCTGGAAAAGGAGAAGAACAAAGATACACCAATAAACGAATTGAATGTGATACCACCGCCATTAGACGCCGCGTTAGTCACCTTCATGCTGGTACTGATGAGTCGATATATCACACAATTTCATTTGATCGAGGAGTCCACCAACATGGAGCAAAACAATACGCCTATACCATTTATTGATTTCAGCGAAAGCGAAAACGGATACACCTACGAGCAGATCAAATTGAGTTTACTCACTGACATTTACAAGGCCTCCTCTCGCATTTTATACTACATCAGCGCAAGCAATTGGGACGCTTGTTATGCCAAAATAAAGAACGCTGTGCTCAGTTTGGATTCAATCAATGGAACTGCAGACAAAATTCCTCCTGAAATTCGAATGCTAGAGTGTAGCTGTTTGACAAGAGAAAGACTCCACACTATATTCTCAGGTACACACATGCGCACGCACATTATACATGTTCGGGGGATCTTGCTAAACTCGGCGTATATCTAGAACTAAGCCCATACTACCTGCATATGAGACAGGAAGGCAAATTACTGTTTTCCAAGATGATGCGAAAAGCAATATGGAAGTGGATCGAAGAATACCCATCCCAATTTGCACAGGTATGTGCTAGTGATGCTCGTCTATTATCTGGATCAGAAGTGCTTTTTGACATGTGCAGTTCAACTGCTGACAACTCGAGAAAAAAGGCAGTGCTTTGGCCATTGCAAACCATCTTGCTTGTACTGTCACCTGAACTACTGATGCAGGCGTTCCTGGACACAGCCCCCATACACAACAGACGAGCCAATTTCTTAAGCTTACTGAAGAAATCACTACAGACAACAAGAAACGTGGACATTGCTGCTGTATGTTATGTCGATCTCAGCAAGGCAGCAACGTACGTGCCTCCCAACAACGAGTCTGTTCTTAGAGCCATTGCAGCCGACATTGAAGTGGATCTCAAGGACAAGGTGTGGGATTTCTCCAAACCGCCCAGCTCTGAATCGACGTTGGCCATGTTGGGTTACACCATTGATCAGCAAACACTGACCACTGACTTTCTATTATCTCGCATACGCCTTCATCCTGAGGAAACACTGCTGAACATCATCCCTTCATGCATACAAGACAATGTGCCGATACTATTTAAATTGGCCCTTGTGAAAACCTGTCTGATCATCACAGAGGACGACAACCATCTTGCTTGGAACCCCACCATTGCCTCCCTGTACAACGGACTATGCACACCCTTACGAAAGCTCTTTTTGCAGACAATTCACATGGATCTCAACAGCTCACCCAGCAGCAAAAAGAAGGAAACACACAGCAACCATAACAACCGAGTCGAATTGCTGTTGGACATGCTTCGACTGTATCGATTGGATACCAAACTGGCCATCCTTGGTAACAATGCAAATCGTGTGGAAGAGAACAGTGCATGTATGGTTGGTTTGGCGACGCTCTTTCAGCACCCGGTACAGCGAATCAGACAGGGCGCACTGGAACTGCTCGTCAAGCTCCATCAAGCGGATGTTGTCAAGGAGTGGGGCCCTCCCAATCAGCTCGCTGTCAATTTTTGGAGAATTTCCTCGCCTGTGATCCTCAACTTGGCACGACAAATGCTGGAAACCAAGTCCAATGACGACAACCTCAGGGCGTTGTTGCAATTGCTGATCAAACTGCTGAAATCTAGAAACGTCTTTTTGAAAAGCAACCAAGTAAGTTGGGCCACCTGAATGACACATGCTGGGTTTTCTGATGAATTGTTTTCTTAGCACTTGTTGGCTCCTGAATATGCCAATATGCGTGAGAGACTGCAGGCATCTGTTGCGCTTGAAATCGCCTTGTTAGTGTCCTTGTGCTCTGGCACCAAGGAAGTCTGTGATGATGCATCTCAATGCATTGGACTACTATGCAAAGAAGCAAGGATGGTGGATTTGGATGAAGGTGGGGAGGTGAAATCAGTGACTATTGCTTGCAATCTCAAGGTCTACGAGGAACTCGCTGCGGATGACCATAAGTTCATTGGACGCAAAGCACAGCAAAAGCGAATCAGAAAGTACCTGCGCATGCTCCCTCAGCACACTCCTGGCAATATGGCTGCATGGGAAGAAGCTTGGAAACGCTGGAAACAATTGACACTGCTGATGAGCAGACTGTCGGATGACGCGGCAGATGACATGTCGATGGACAGCACCAACAGCTCACTCGCCAACGGATCCATGAACTCGGCATCGACACTAGTGGCATCTTCCAACAATAGCAACGGTGCATCCAATGCTGCTAATAACAGCAATAGCAACTTGAAGAAGCTGCCATTGCCCCGTGGAGCAGCCAATAATAATAACAACAGTAACAACTTGGAAAAGGCACGAGCCAACACATCGTCAGCACCGATGGCTGGTACAGCAACCAAACTGCAGCAACAGTTAGACATGTATGAAGACAAGGCTATTGAATGGCAGAACTTCACTGGGTTTTTAGCAGCACTGGGTGGTTGTTGTTTAGACGACATTGATCCTGGTATGTGGGCCATGGAGCAACAGCAGCCATCTCGACGCGTCTCTTCACCAAATCAGCCCATCATCATGGTAGATCGTTTCATCAGCGAAATGACAGACATGCTTGTCTCCGAAAACGTCTATATATCCGAGGGCATCAAGGACACTTTGGGCAACGATCTCTCGCCCGCCTTGTATATGATTCTCTTCCGACACTTGGAGGCCTACATGGTGAAGTGCTTTGACGCTAATGGAGATGCTATTCGCAGCCCTCAGAACAAACTGTTTGTAGAGCAATCGGTGCTTGTGCTTCGACTCATTCTAGACCGACTTGTCAATCCTGGTGATTGCTTGTTGAACATTGATTTCAGCACCCTGATACACCAATTTGCAGACTATCTCAATAGACTGCCCAACACCTACATCACACTTCGCATCAAGATCAAAATGTGTCTGCTAATTGAGGCCGTCATGCAGAAGAAGGAGCACATTGTCATTAGGGATGAAATGAGGTTGAGAAATAAGCTTTTGGAGATATGCGTGGAATGGACAAGCGATTTTGCTCTGGTAAGTGGTGATGTGTCATTAGGCTTGTGTGCAGCTAGTCTAATGCCCTGTCTAGTTGCGTAAACCAGTGGAGACAGGACAGCACATGGACCGACTGCAAAAAGATCTGGATCAAGCTTGTTTAAAAGCGGTGGTCAGTCTGTTGCAGCAACTGCCGCTGCAGCCCTCTGAAGCAGTGAGACCTGCAGATATATCTCAGATCAAGAGCAAGTTGTTTCTGAAATACTTTGGCTTCTTTCGCAAACTCCTGGATCGATACAAGCAGAGCGAAAGCGATGCCCATGTCGTGGGTAAGCTGGGCATCAGTACTTCCATTACCAGTTCGCTCAACAGCCATCTCATCAATCACAGCCGAGAGTCTGCTGCCATCAAAGGGCTGAACGGCAATGGCGACTTGTACCAGGACATTGGGCAAATGAAAGAACTGACAATTTTAGCCATGTCGCATCTTTTGAGCGCCAATGTAGATGCAGGACTCAAGTACTCGCTGTCCATGGGTTACGACGACGATCAAGAAACACGAATGGCGTTTATGCAGGTGCTTACCAACATTCTGAATCAAGGCACAGAGTTTGAAACGTTGGCGGAGAGTGTCATGACAGATCGCTACGAGAAACTGATTGATGTAGGTGGTGTATGCAGTGTGCATGCCAATCAAAATACTGACATAAGATGCGTAGATGCTGGTGGATGCTGATATGGAAATTGTCATGTCCTTGTGCGAAGTATGTCCATCGCAAGAAACCACTGGCGTTGCAGAGATTTTATTAATCTGCTTTGAATCGCGCGCCAAAGTGGTACCATTGCTTAAAGCTGTTGTACAAAAGGAGATCGCACTGACTGGTACGTTACCATGGATACACGCCATCCAATACCACTCACCCTCTTGATTTAGAGCAAGAAGCGACTCTCTTTAGAGGCACAACTATGGCAACGCGAATCCTCTCTATTTTTGCCAAGTTATCCTGTCTGGACTACATTCGCATCACATTGCAGCCTGCCATGGAGCAAATCAATGCTCTCCCCGAAGACCAACTCACTTGGGAACTAGATCCACAGAAGGTGGGCTCTGCAGATGAAGTGATGCGAAATAAACGAAATGTGATACAAGCAACAGAGATCTTTTTAAAAGCCATTTGCTCCTCGGTAGAAAGTGCGCCACGGTAAGTTTTCTTTCAGAGTAAAACGACACACTTGCTCACTCACTTTATCCCAATAGTGTGTTCCGAGAAGAACTATCTCTGATCAGTGAAGCTGTTAGTGCTCGCTTTCCAGAGGCTAAATCAACTGCCGTGGGCGGCTTTGTGTTTCTTCGCTTGTTTGGTCCCGCTATATTATCACCTGAAAGTGCTGGATTTGCCAAGCATGCATTACCCAAAAGCCCCAATGCGCGCAAAATATTATTGCAAGCGACTCGGGTGATGCAAAATCTCGCCAACAATGTCTTGTTTGGATCCAAGGAGACACACATGATTGTACTGAACGATTTCTTGACAAGCAACATTTACAAGGTCACTCATTTCTTGAGGTCTATCTCCACATTGCCACCGGAAAGCACACACAATATCCAAGGCACCGTCCGCATGGATCAATCGGGATATGTTCGACTCCACAAATACCTGTCTGATAATTTGGAGCGCATGTCTAGGGACTTGACTGGCCGAAGAGTGCTCAACAAAACACATGGATTGGATACACAATCTCTCTTGGGCTGGAAAAAGACATTGGATAGACTGTCCAACCTGCTGGCACAGCTGGGCAGACCCTCTGACATTCCCAATTCTGAATTGACCTATGCTCGCAACTATGCTATTGCCAACAGCAACCACTATTACAGCGAGTTTATGCGCAGAAATGGATACCGTGATCTCTCGGTCATTAGTTCGCAGAATATCTTTTATTTGGGTGGTACATCTAAAGGTGGGCGTCCTGTCTTTTATATCGTTTGTCGTGCTATTGATGCGGATGAAATGGATTTCGAGTTGCTGGTATACTACATGTTGCGCGTAAGTGTGTTTCTATATATGTGTGGTATAAACCTCATCAATTGAGAATATATATAGGTGATGGAACCTTATTTGAACAATCCCTTCGAGCTACTGTTTGACACAACAGAGTTTAGTTCGATCAGAGCCATCCCGATTCATTGGTTGACTCAGTTCTTCCAGCTGGTATTCAGTGAAATGAACGATTACTTGGTGTCACTCCATCTGTACAATCCCAATACTTATTTGCAACGTTATATCCGAAAATTGCCAAGAGCCATTGTCAACAAGCTTGTCAAACGAACCCATTTTTCGTCCAACCTAGTGGAATTGAACGAGCACATTGCTACTTCCATGATGAAACTGCCCAAGGAAACCCGTAAGTGTGTTTACATGTCTTTGCGCTACTATGCTAACTTTGTTTTGCTTTTCTACAGTTGACCTGGAAAAAGAAGCCAGTGTGACCATACTTCCAGTAACCAGAATCACACATTTGAGATCCTCTATTCCAGTAACAGTGAGAATTGGCCCAGAGCACATGCAGGTCATCACTGTAAGCACTCAAAAAAAAGTGGCCTGATAAAATATTCAAATAGTGAAATTAACCTTCTTATTTCAGATGAAGAAGCAAGAAATCTTGTACAACTTGAACGCTGTTTTAAGAGATGTCTATCATATATCTAATTTGGAAGACATGGTTGCATTGCCATCTTCGAAGCCTGAACACGGCGGAGAAATCTCCATCAAATACGACCGAGGAAAGTCGACCATGGTGCTCTCATCTACCAAACGCGATGTCTTGCTGGCCGTGAGTCATGTCTACACTCTCTTTTTATACTGGCCAATTACTCACGTACTCTTGTATATGTAGCACCTTCGTCACAACAAACAGCGTTATGAAACATGCAAACCCACTTCCATCAATGAACGTGCCATTCGTCCCAACGATGTGCCTGGAAGACTGTTGAACATGGCGTTATTGAATGTCGGCAGCGAAGATCCTGGCCTTCGATTGGCCGCCTACAACTTGCTTTACTCACTAAGCTTATCATTCAGATTTGATATTGGCAATCAATTGCTGAACGCAAAAGGTACATGTCTCTCGGTTTGCGTGCGTTATTTGATCCATACTAAATTCCACATTATCTCGACTCAAAGATCTGTGTATCCCATCCAACAGCTCCGATTTCATCGTGAGCATCAGCGAAAGTCTAGCAAAAAGCGAATTGCACTTGACATTAGAGTTTTTGAATGAGGCCTTTGTAGGATTTGCAAAGTCGAGTGAGTCCATGCAACAATTGACGCTGGATTACATTGTGCCTTGGCTGAGAAATTTGGCTGTGTTTACTCGACATTCGCCTGACGATCACAAAAAGAACATGTCCAAGACAAAAGATGTGATTCGACTGTTGATTGATGTCACTGTCAAGAGAGTGCAGGTAAGTCCAGTGCTGCTGCTACTCGCAGGAGGCGCCTACTCATTCCATTGATCTTTAGCTGTATAAACACATTCAAGCACGCGTCTGGAAGACGATTGCAGAGGTCGATGATATCGTCAATTTAGTCATTGATTGTTTTGTCCAATACTCGGTGGAAAATGGCATTGGATCCACGCAGGCCGAGATCATTGCAGACACGTTGGTTACCATGTCCAGCGTATCCATCCGTGGCAAGGTCATCAGTCGCATGAGAAGAGTCATTGAGAGCACGTCCATTCAACCCTGTCGCCAATTGATTGAGCATCCCTCGTGGAACGAAATTGCCGTCCTGCTGCGATTTATTCTGATGCTATCCTTTAACAACACTGGGCCCGTCATGCCTTATATACCCGAGATATTCCACATTGCTTCTATCCTGGTCGTCACTGGGCCCACTCTGATGCGATCTTCCGTGCACGAACTAGTGGTCAACACCATTCATACCCTGTGCACCATGGGCATACCTTTGGTCGATGAAAACATCAAGAAGTTGCACTTTGTGTTGAACGATCTCTGCGATAGCAAGAACCGAGTCTCGTTTGGTCTTACGAAACAGCATGCCAACGCATTTACTATAACCCAGGAAACAACCACTGATTTTGCAGACACCATCGATCTCAGCTCGTTGCAGAATATTGTGCGATTATTGCTGGATGCGTTGAATTACGGTGCTCCGACTGTAGATATTGCCAACATGTGGCGTGCCCGATGGATGGGTCTAGTGACAAGTACGGCCTTTTACTTTAACCCTGCTATTCAGCCGAGGTCGTTCGTGACACTGGGTTGTTTGGCTCAAGATGAAGTGGACGATGATCTCATTTACCAGATCTTAGTAGCACTCAAAGGTGCTTTGGCCATCTTTAACGAGACGGACTCGAGTCTAATTACAAGTATCATGATGTGTCTCAGCAACATCATTGATAACTTGCCCACTGATTCTCGCTATTTATTGCAATTGTTCTGGTTAGCTATTGCCCTGGTGCAAGTAGGTCATCCTGCTACCTTCCAAACCGCTGTTCAATTCCTACAATCGGTGCTCCGTGCTCTGGATTCTCGAAAGCTGTTTGCAGAAAAATCCATTGAAGAAGTGCTGCTAGATGCTCGTGCTGAATTGAGCCCTATCGCGGATGAATTGGACGATGCTTGTGGTGTTTGTTTCAACAATTACTTTTCTTTTGCCGTGGCTGCCATCTTACTCAAGGGACTAAAGCAATGTGAAAACAAGGATGTTATATTCCAATGCTTGACAGCTTTCCTTGAAATTGATTCAAAACGGCCTATGGATCAGGGCTACATTGAAGCAAGTACATTGGGTTATCTTGCTGGATTGCTGCCGTTTGCTGCAAAGGATGATACTTTGCGAGAGCTGTTGCGCTTGGCAGGCATCAATGATGTGGAATTGGATGCCATTGATTTCGGATCATCGCATTCTGGCTTATTTGATATTTTAGAGATACCGGATAACAGTACAGCCTTGTTGCTGATTTCGCTTCTAGTGACTTTACTGAATGCATCTGAAAACGAGTCTGAGCGATTGTTCTTGTATACGCTGTTGGCAGATGCAGCTACCTCGGTACCAGAAGTATTTGCCTTGGTGTAAGTTGTTGTCCATTATACAAGCTGTGCTTCTATTGATACTCATAGTGTTTGATAGGTACGAATCTTTGTTGCCCAAAATGAATCAAATGGTAGTGAACAGCCAGAATCAAGATGTGATTGAAGCCGTGAAAAGCATTCTGTTGACAGCATGCTCTGAACCAGCATTCAGTTCAGTCAATCAAGCAGCATCCACCAACAAAAGAACACAGAAATGGGGATTGGAGAGCCTCAAATTTTCATCTTTGGGTGAACCTACCTTTGGTGCCATCAAGACCAACGTTGGCATCAACGCCAAACTAGCCAGTCGATTACTTGGCTACATTACAGATCAGCGATAGAATATACAAGAGTAATCATATTAATGTCTAATAACTATAATCCTTTTTACCATACCTGTGACATTTTCCACAAAGATTGATTCTTGATGGAGTATGATGAAAGAAATGTTGACTCAAAGAATAAAGCCTCGTTGCAACTGTTTAATGGTATGTACCATCTATAATATACTGTATATGATGGAAAGGGTTTATTTCGCATTGGAATTGCATTTGGTCGATTATCTGACAACGACTATAGCTGTAAGATATTAGAGCATACCTCAAAGCGCGTAAACTGAAGCCTAAAATCTTTCGATGCGTAATCCCCTTCCCCTGAGCTTCCAACAGCATCGGTCACCTTTTTTTTTAAGGAAAGTTGTTTTATTCGTAACGAATCTGTCTACGCTACGGATAGCTCTTTACCTTTGCTTCGCTTCAGTGAGAGCCAATCCATGCAGCAGTAGTTTGCGCTCCCGATTGCCCTTGCTCATCTTATCAGAATACTGCTACTTTCAGTTCAACCCTCGACTCACACATGAGAATCCCTCATAATATTCTCGGATCTGATGCTATGGATCCATATACACGTAGCTATTTCATATACGAGCAATTATCATACAAATATTATCACGTTTTAGTCAAGAGTGTGCCTAATACAGCAAGATCTGAGTGCATTTGAGCTGCGTTTTCTCGCGTTCAAGGTCGTTTTAGATCTTCAGAATAGCATCAAACAATTATTCTTATCTAGCAGTTACTTTCTGACACCTTTGCTCAACTTTTTGGGGACCTAAAAAACATGGCCAAAAATCGACCAAAAAGCATGAGGTACCCCTCATGGTTTTCATCGAAAATCAAACGATCACTTTTCTCACCTTGATAATGAAGACTTTTACTATGGTATATATTGAATCAAAATGTTTCTCTCGATTCAAAGCAACTTCTGAAACTACTTTTATGAGGTTTTCATATGCAAAATTTTGACTTTTTGACCAGAAACCTCTTTTAATATTTTCATGAATTGTTCAATAAGTTTATTTAAAACATATGTCTTACTTGGTACCATCGGATGCGCTTTGAAAAGCACTCCAAGAAAGCTTAAAGAAGCACAGGGTGATCATCATATTTTATATAGTCGAATCTGCCAAAATAGCTCAATCGAGTTCGAAATCTTCATGATTTGCCCAATCTGGAACAGACTATGAATCTGGATTTGAATAAATTCTGGCTTGTAGGGCCAGCTGGCAAACTCAATGCCCTTTTCATCATGAAGGCTCCTCTCATATATTTGTCTAAACATATATTATCACAGAAAATTGCGCCTGCCGCTTGATTATAGCCTTACTACTATAGTTTATGCGGAGCAAGTAATAAAAAACCTTTAAACATTATGAAGGCAACACTAAATGTTTTTAAGCCAATGGAAAGCAATTGGCAAATTATAAATTATTAGCTTTAGGCATGCTATTTTCTTTTGAAGTCTTGCACCTGATAATGCGGGTCGACCGAAATACTTGTAAGATCAACTTCCATCCTTCATGAAGTTTTTAAGTTTCTAAAAATCGGGGGTATGCAGATTTGAATACATATAGGTACAGAGTACTGTGGACTAAACATTGCATTTGAAGGGACTTGAGAAGAGAAAGCAAGCAGTCGTTTCAGGCGGATGCTGATGGGCAAACCGTGTAGTGATGAGTGAATTTGCCAGACATCTGAAGGTGAAGGAGTTCTTTGGTAGTGATTTTGTTGTGTAGGATTCGGTACCAAGTACTACGTGCATTCAGGGATACTTCAAGTTTCCAAAACTTACGCCATTGAGAAAAAGAGAGTATACAGCTAACAGTAGTGGGGAAAGGAAGAAGCTAGAAGGCAGTTATAGTATTTTATAAAAGTAACTTGCGTTGTAGAATGAATAAAAGTGCTGAAAATGAAGATATGTTATGTGCTGGAAGATCATGGACCTCCAAGACGTTGTGCGATCGAGGTACATGTAGTAAAAAGATGTACAGAACGAAATTAGTAAGAAGCAGGTAAATGGAGCGCAGAGAAGAGACAGCTTTGGTGATGGCTATGCCATGTAAAAAGGCGATTGGGGAGATGGTGGTATTTCAGGTGGAGTCAAGTAGAATGACGGAAGAAGAATATATCTGATCCTCTAAATTGCCGGATTGTTGGACGTGTCTTTAATACTGATTGAGGGATTGAAAGAGAGTTGCTATGGTGTGAGTGGGCGGAAGGAGTGTACAAGTAGTGCTATGAGTGGTAGCCGAAGGCAGGTGGACATGGTGGCATCGGTTGCCTTCATGAGGAAGGGATTTACCGTTATTGCCAGCAGCAGCAGCCAAAACAGTTAATGCTTCGTCCCTTTTTTCACTGGCCCGAAATAGGGATTTTGCTTGATTTTCGACTTCTTTAAATTACTTTTTCAGATTCGACTATATGAATTGTGCTAATCACTCCATACTTCCTAATTTACCTTTCTTTCATCTAAATTGTTTTTAGGGCCTTTCAAACCCCGAAAACAGCACTATTAACGCGATAAAACAAATAATAACAACAGAAGTAAATAAAATGAAAACCCCAACAAATCCAAGCAGTAAAACACCCACTCCTCCACCCAAGCCAGTCTCTACAACCGCCAAGAGTTGCCTTACAACATCTACCATCCCGTCTGTCTCCACTAAACGTCGACTCTCCACGTTAGCTAGACAAACACTTACCCCTCTTCCCTCATCTGTTAGTCTTCGTCCCAAGTTAACAGCTACAACCCGACTCACCCGTTCCATTACCAAAGCCATGGCCGAGAACACCCTACCACCTGCTGCCAACGCTATTCCTCCCGTAGCCGTGCCCAACATAGCTTCAACCACGACGATCCCTACTCAACCTTCCCCTCTTTCACTGAGTGACCTCAACATTCACTCCGTGCCCAATCTCCCTGACTATCTCAAGGACATTTACGCCCGCCTCGATAGTCAAGCATCCCAAATCTCTGAGATGCAAGCTCTCATCCAGGAGAACATGGGCCCTTCGTTCCTCCTTGGATCACACCAAAAAAATAATTAGAGGATGCTCAGCAACGGATTCGTCAACTTGAATCACAGCAAGCTCCGCAAACCTTCCCTGCCCCTGAATCGACTGCTGCCTCACCTCCTTCAACTACTGTGGCCCAACCTTCTTTTGCCGACGTCGCCAAGAAACAAGCGGACCCTTCTGCCGTCAAACGTCCCAAAGCTAAAACCATACCTCGAAAGAGGCCTCAACCTCTCAACCTTAATGTTAACGATGCCAGTCTTACTGCTGCTCGTCAATTTTCGGTCGTTTCACCCCACCATGGTTACCGATTTGTCTACATTCCCAACCGTGGCCCTTCGCCCATTAGCCAAATGAGGGATAACTTCCATGCTATGGGCATCCACAACAAGCGAATCTTGGATATCCATTTCCCCGACCGTCATGTTTGTGGCCTTCTCGTCCACATAGACTACATCCCATCCTTGGAAGCCCAATTGACCAAGTACGAGTTGGCACCTATCCAATTCGACCCCATGGATACTACCACGTTGCGTGGCCCCAGATATACTGACTCTGACCCTGCTTTCCTGGCTGCCGAATGTCGCCGCCTTTTCCTTGCTCGATGGAAGGTCATCATCGGGCGTTTGAAGGATCCGCATCACCAGTTGGCAGTGGCCCGCTTCTTCTGCTTTAAACAACACTTCATTCCTGAAGACGAGTATGCCCAACTAGCTAAGTCCATCAAACCAGCTTATGTTCCAGCTTACAAGCGTCAACAAACCAATACTACACCCACCGCCGCTGAACAAGACCTCACCATGGGCGAGGCAAACACCACTAACACCACCACTATCTGAGCTGACGAGACTTCAGCCCCCGTGACCTAATTAGTAACTATATGAATCCCCACCCTTATGCCCCCCTCTATGACACACTATGCTACTAACCCACCTATGACAGATTATAGATCAACTATTAAGATAGGCTCACTCAATTGTCCAAGTCTCAGTAAGCTCTCCAACCCAACCACCAGTTCCGAATTTGTACGATTCCTTCGTAATCCTGAACTGAAATATGACATTCTATGCTTCCAAGAAACCCATGCTACCGAATCAGTCCGTGAACGATTGAATATGCAATTTCAAACCAACACCAGCATCTGGACATCCCACTGCGGTATTGTCTCCCTCAACCCAAAAATCATCATCCAACCGCTCAACGTTACCCTTGGTGACCGAATTATAGTGTGTCAGGTAACACACTGTAATGCACTCTTTTCACCCATCACACTCGTTAATATTTATGCTCCTGCCACGGCGTCGTCCAGAGCCCACTTTTATTCACAACTGCTTACCATTCCACTCTTTCACCCCGATACCTGGGCTCTGGACACCTTTCCCATCACCATTGACATCCAACCACCTCCAATGTCTACCGAGGAACCTTCCACGATTGCAGTGGATCGTGAATCTCTGATTATACTAGGTGACTTTAATTATCATGCTACCTCTTATGCCATTGACAATACCAACTATACTACTGATTCTTTCTCTCCCCCTATACAGTCAGATCAACCCCACCACCACTATGCCATGCTGGCTCAACATCGCTGGCATGACTTACTCAGCAATTACCTCATCGAATGTACCCATTCAAAACATGATGGGCCACTTTTACCAACATTCCGTCGCGGGACCTCACGGTCGACCATCGATTATGTCTACTGCTCACCAACGCTATTTCAACAACTACACTCGTCCTCCATTGATTTTATGTGCTCCCAATGGACTGATCATGCCATCCTCAATACCACCTTTCAATTCTCCTCCTCTCAACAGGGTACTGGACTTTGGCGAGCTAATCCCCAGCTAGCAAAGAACGAGTACTTCGTCACCGAAATCCACCAGGCGTTAGATCAGTTCTTCCAGGAACCAGGTACTTCCCCTCAAGCACAATGGGATGCACTCAAGGCCGTAGTGAAAACCATTGCCCGTCGCATTGGTCGCCGCCACAGCTCTTGGCGCAACCGACAGCTCAAACGGTTTCAAAGGAAACGCAACCAGTTGTTCAAACGATATCAGAATCAACCAACCATTCTCCGAGAACGATTACCCGTTATCGAGAAACTCATCAGCGATCTGCAACAGGAGATCTCCATCCAACAAACCATTCGTGCGGGTAAAATGTGGCGTGAACAGGGTGAAACGTCTGCCGGATACCTCAAACGCACAATCGCCACTAGACAAATTCAACGCACCATGTTAGCTCTCCAACATCCAGACACCCACTCCATCTGCGATACGGCAGAGACTATGCAGGATGCTGCAGTATGTTTTTATCGTAAGCTATATACTACTGACTCCATAGATTATACCAGCATCTCTGAACTCTGCAACACCATCCCTGCCTCAGCACAGATCCCAGTAAACAGCCAACCCACCTTGGAGACGCCATTTACCATCGACGAGATTATGACTGGTGCACAGCGGTCGCCCAACCATAGCAGCCCAAGTACGGATGGCCTACCCTATGAAATCCTAGCGGTGCTACTATCCCACCAACAAACAGCCCAACTTGCCCATGCCGTCTTCAAGGAGGCTCTTACCCTCGGCATCGTTCCCGACAGCTGGCTCGCTACTTGCATGTGCCTGCTCCCTAAAAAGGGCGATCTCACAGACCTGAGGAATTTTCGTCCCATCTCGTTAATCAGCTGCGATGCCAAAATCTTCACACGCCTGCTCAACCAGCGTCTGATGCCACATATGCAACAATTAATCAGCCCCCAACAACTTGTATTTATGCCGAACCGCTTCATTGACGAGCACGGCTTCACATTACAGACCACCAAACTCCTAGCTACTACCAACCATTCATTCACCATTGCTCTTCTTTTGGATCAAGAAAAAGCATATGATCGTATTCATCCCGAATATCTTCAACACATTATGCTCCAATTTGGTATTCCACAATCTTTAACACACTGTATCATCTCACTTTTCTTCTCCACTAACATTCAGATCAACATTAATGGCCACATCACCACGGCACCTCTTCCTCAAGAAAGAGACCTTCGCCAAGATGATCCACTCAGTCCCCTCCTTTTCAACATTGCTTTTGACCCTTTCCTCCGCTCCATTCAACAGAACCCTACTTTTGAGGGTTTCCATGTACAACAAGAAGCCCCACCACATCCATCACCTACTGTTGACATAGACGATCTAACCGAAAGCCTCACCAACTCATCCTCTCCGCCAGCCTCTCCTCGCAACACTCCTTCAGTCTCTCCCACCCATTGCAATCCAATTAAGTACAAAATTCTAGCCTATGCAGATGACACATTAGTCTATTTGAAGAACTTTTCGGATTTCCTTCTTCTGCAGGACTCTATCAATACATACATGAAAGCACCGAATGCACTACTAAATTACAGGAAAACTATAGCCATTTCGCTCTCTGGACACCCACAACCAGATTGGCGCGAGTTTCTTGCTACACACCAAATCCACCAAATGCATGACCGCACCTCTCCTGATCCAGTAACATATCTTGGCTATCCCATATGCTCTAGTTTATCCCAACGCAACCTCGCTCTCCAACAACTCTACAACAATATCTAACAATGCATCCATATTCACTCCCAACGGAACCTCTCCATTCGTGGAAGAGCAACCGTTCTCAACACACTCATTTTCTCGAAACTCTGGCATGTCATGCGCAACTTTATTTTCACTAAAGCTCAATTACTCTCCTTACGCAGCCTTGGGTCCTCCTTCATTAACTTTCGTATCTTCCCCAAACTATCCTTTAGAACCCTTCAACAGCCTCGCCGTCATGGCGGCCTCCAAGTTTTAGATCCCATTGTCCAACAACAAGCTCTCCAATGGCGCTGGATTTGCCCTCTCATTTTAGCCACCTGTCATTCACCACTATTACCGACATACACCACCCCAAACATTCCACTCCAGTACACCTTGCAATGGTATTTCCACTCAACCGCTTTCTCTGATTACTTTTACTACTTACTCTTTCCTACTGCTCGACAAACCATCTGGTTCCAACATCGACCCAGCCCACACCAAGCTTTCCTTAACATACTCACCAATGTCATTACCACCATGGATCGAATACCTCGCTCCTTCACAACCTGTCACTTAGATTTTCATACAGGTTTATCATTACCTTTCCTTGAAATTATCTTACACACCCTCCCTTCTACTCACCCCCATTTCTCTTCTTTCACAGCTCCAGATCAACTGTTTGACCGACATCACGCCGTCCAGAAACTGCTCGCAATAGATGTGTTTACCTTTGACTTCGACTTACAAGTGATCCGTCTTAGAAACTGGACCTTCCTTGAGTTTTGCCATTATCCAAGAATATCTCATCGAGTTGCCCGTTGGATTGAGGAAGGCCAAATCTACCTCCAACCATTCTTTCTCGCTCTCTGCCGTCAGGCCCCTCGCCATTCATTTACCAGTGCCTCCTTTGGTGCCAACCCCCACAACATCCGCCCACTCATTCGCCGTCTTATCAAACCTATAACACCACTACCTCCAACAGTGCCACTCAACAGTATTCAATACTACAAACACTTGGTTTCCACCGAAATGCCCACCATCAACACCTCACCTCACCTCTTTTCCCATCCCAATGGCGCCTCTTTTGGAAACTACCTATTTTCCTTCAATCCCGAACTGTATGGTATAGACTTATCCATCGAAAAATTCCCTCCAAATCGATCCTCCACCACTTCATCCCCACAACTCACCCTTCACCTTCGTGTCCTCTCTGTTTGGCCCAGAGCCCGGAGGATATCCAACATTTCTTCTTTACTTGTCCTCTCAAACTCGCTGTATGGCGGTTCCTTGCCACTACATACCTATCCCACACACCGATCACCGACGACGTCCTTCTCCCATTCCTCCACGGCATTCAAACTCTATCCATAGCTGAACCCACTCGCTCTGCCTCCTTACCTTTTCCAGAGCTTACCGTTTACCAAGTTTTCGCTACCAGTCTACTCTGTATATGGCAAGCCCACTGGCGCTCCATCTTCGACCATGTCCCTTTTGTCACCCTCAACGTTAACACATCTATTGCCCGTTCTCTGTCTCGCTTGGAATCGGAATTACAGTTTGATTTGTAAGTATGTACCCCCACGTATTTTATGGTCGTATTCCACTTCCTTGCTTCCCTTTTTCATTTCCTTGCCTTTAAAAATATATCCAGTCTTCTTCTTCCCTCATCATGACATTTAGAGGACTTTAAATAAAAAATGGAGTACAACTCCCCTACAAAAAAAGTACTTCCTAATACATTCTTGGAGTACGTTTCAAGGCGTTTCCAATGGTGCCGAGTAAAATAAATGTTTTGACTGAATTTATCGAGCAATTCAAGAAAATATGAAAAGCGGTTTTTGGCCAAAATGTCAAGGTTTTGCATATATAGGCCTCGCAAAAGTGGTTTCAGAGGTTGCTTTAGATCGAGAGAAACATTTTGATTCATAATATACCATAGTAAAAGCCTTCATTATCAAGGTCAAAAACGCGATCGTTTGATTTTCAATGAAGACCATGAGGGGTATCTCATGCTTTTTGGTCGATTTTTGGCCATGTTTTTTGGGTCCTAAAAAAAGTTGAGCAAAGATATCAGCAAGTAAATGCTAGATGAGAGCAATTATTTGGGGCTATTTTGACAGCTTGAAACGGCTTCTACCGCCAGAAACCACTGCTCAAATGCATCCAAATTTTGCCGTGTTTTGCATATTTTTGAGCATCAACAGGCAATGCACAGAGATTAGCGCAACATCTACTAGTAGCAACCCTTTATTGACGTAAATATACACTGCAGGTACGAT